CTTTTGTTTTTAAAAAAAAAATTCAACAACAAAAAACTGGAATTTTCATCATTCATTCATTCATTCAGTTAATCATCAAAAATGTTTGTTATCCAAAAGTACATCGAACTTGGAAAAAGAAGAAAACCAAAAAAAAAAAAAAAATGAGAAAAGAAAACTGGAAATTCATTTCATTCAAAAGTTTTTTTCTTCGGAATTCAATCTATTTCATAACGATCAATTCACTCTCTCTCTCTCTCTTATTATCTTACTGATATCGAGCAACGACCTGACGATTTTTGTTGTTGTTGTTGTTGTTTTCATTCGATTCAGATGATGAAGAAAAAAAAATCCGGTGTGAATGTACCCTAAATTCTTTAATGGCATGATCCTGGAGCAATGAACGATGAATGGCTGCTACCATTATTTATTTTCTGTGTATTGGAAATAGGATATCAAAAATTCACTGCTATGATTATTATATAGAGAACAAGGATACAGAATTCAATGAATCCAGCAGAATTAGTAGCAGCAGCAGCGGCAGGATCCAACAGCAATCAATGATTCTATATAGAGAAAACATGATTCAATGTTCAAGATACGGAAATTGATGTTTATGGAAAAAAAACCCGATAAGTATGCGTAGGTCCCGGCATGAAGAACTTGACTTAGTTTCTTTTTTTATACTATCGCCAATGTATGGATTCTATTATTAGAATCCAGCAAGCGTGGGCGTTTGTATTTGAAGGCCAGTGTTTTTTTTTGGCAAGTAGCCAATGTTCTTGAATAAAATTCAATCAAAACCACAAGAAAATTGAAATACAACTAGAGTGATCGTGACCTAAAGATTTGTAGAGAGACTATATGACCATGACATGTCCAGGCCATAGGTCCTTTGTAACGGTCAACACACATACACAAAGACAGTGACAGGATGGAAATACAAACAAACTAGTACAGAATGGTACAACATAATAACACAATGACATTGTAATAACGTTAACATCTAATAAATTATCACAATAGACAAGGGTCAATGGTTGACACACACATATTTGAAAACAGCAACAAGTGATTAATGTCAACTTTGAAAAAAAGAATGTTTTTTTGTTGTTGTTGTTTCATTTCAAATTCTATAACAACAATTCCAACATTGTAAATGAAAATTATCATTCGATTATGATCGATTCAATTTGTTTCTGGCTGGTCATGCCAATCACTCACTCACACACACACACACACACACACACACACACACACACACACATACACACACAGGACATAAATCAGTAAAAATATTCAAATGATAAGAATTGGCAAATTCAATTAGAATGATGAATTATGAATTGTCGAGTTATCAATAAACACAGGCATATACAGGATAATTTTTTTTTTTTTGTTTTGGTGATATCAAGATTTTTTTAAGCATTTTTTTTTGTTTGATTGGTAAAAAATAAATTTGCATGTTCTGGTGTTCTGTACTGTGATATGACATATACGCCGGATGTCAATCTCATACATAGCGTGTATCTTTTATGTGTGTGTGTGTGTTTGTTTGTTTGTTTGAATGTTGTGATATTGATAAACAAAACATATTGATCGATTGATGATGATGATGATGATGATGAGGAATTGACATTGACAATCATCATCATCATCATCATCAAAAATGGCATTGTACAATGTGTGTGTGTGTGTGTGTGTGTGTGTGTGTGTGTTGATGTTCGGGTTCGTTGTTCAAGGTAATTATCACACAAAATAACTAAATGTTATGCTTTCTTGCATATATGAATGCATTGTGTGGTGTGGTGTGTGTGGTATGTTGTGATTTAGTGTTCAAATCAATTCGATATAATCAACTGGTTGGTTTATTTATTTATTTTTTTTCAAAAAAAAAAAAAATTATTGTCTATTAAAAAAAAATTTATAGATGAAATTGTTTGACAAGGTCAGAGTTTGGTTGACAAGGTCACATAAACATACACGACATTTAAAATCAATATATAACTGTGTGTGTGTGTGTGTGTATGACAATATATGATAAATAAATTAATGTTGAAGGATACAACAACACAAACAACAGTGTAATAAATCCTTTCGTTTTTACATTTGATAATAATATTAATGAATTTTAAATGGAATTCAATGAATTTCTGAAGTTCGAGGACATTTTGTTTCAACAAGAATGTGTAACACACACACACACACACACACACACTTTGATCATAATCATAATTCCATTCATCATTGATGAAGGTTATATTTTTTTTTCCTTTAAAACAAAAAATTGTCACCTTCATCTTGTACGTACATATATCATCATCATTATCAATTAATTAAGTAGTTTATGATCCATTAAGAATCAATTGACATGATTCGATTATTCAATGATAACAATCATCAAATATGGCAAAAGATGGTGAAAAAAAGAGATAATAGTTATGAATCATTATCATTAATATATGTTTCTACCACCAGCAAGGCAACCAAAAATCAATCTTTTTTTATTGTTTCTTGATTTTTTAAAACCAAAATGCGCATTATCCTTGCCCTAGATTTTTCTTCCTATCTCATTCATTCCCGGTTTTTTTTCGGTATTTGGATTGAATGAATGAATAAATCGATTATGACAGCAAGAGTGTTTTTTTCTGTTCTTGTGTGTAAAACATTCACCCACACTCACACACACACACATATCATCTAAATGTTGTTATAGTATTCCGGATGGTTTGTTTTGATGAAAAGAATCATTTCCCACTACTACTACAAATCTACTACAACTACTAATGATGCATACCCGGAATTTAGAGAGAATTTAGGATTCCGGGCTTTCAACAAAATTCTGGGCGTCAATTCGACAAAACAAATACTTAAATAGACAGGAAGAGAATGAAAAAAAAAAATTCACAATTGAAGTGAATTGAACTTGCCATAATTGTAATCAGGGCCAGTATGCCAAGTGCAAAACAAAACGAAAAAAAGGAACAAGGCCGAAATTTTTTTTTTGGCATGACTTGATATCGATAAAAAGTGCATTATGAAATTCAAAATTATCAGCAAAAAAAACATGGAATTTTCTCATCATCATCATCGATGAAATGACAAAAAAAAATTTAGAATCTCAAACATTTTTTTTCTTTCTACAAATGAAAAAATCCGATTCAAGCCCAGCAGCGTGTGTATCTAATCACGTCGATCATACACATTTCGTGTGTATATGTGAAAAAAAAGAGAGAGAGATGGAAAAAAATGAAAATTGGCTAAAGAACTTATAACGGTGGATTGAATTGAAATGAAATGAAATGAAATAAAATAAAATGAATGAAATCTAGTCACTACTGGATGTATTTATGTGTGTATGTGTGTGTAAATAATAAGCAACTACAATCATGATGATGAGAAAGGAAGAAAAATAGGTCAAATTCATACTTACTATACACACACACATTGATGAATGAATCTCAAAGTTTGAATGAATGTTTTAGCTTTATGGCTCCTTCTTCCCGGTGTCTGTGTGTGTGTGTGTGTGTGTATGAGTGATTTTCAGTTTTACCGTTATTATTCACTTAATGGAGCTACAATTTATATATATTTTTTTTTTGATGACGATTGTCATGACAATCCTGATTATGATGATGATGATGATGACGTTGAATTTTTTTTCCTACTTTTTAAAAATCATTATCGAATTCAAAAAGTGGAAAAATTTTTCAAAAGAATGAAGCGGTCAATGTCGATATTTTAAAATCTTTCGGATTGCTATTTGATGATGATGATGATGAAGATGATGATGATGAAGATGATGATGATGGTAGTCTGGTAGGTTGTTTGGCTTATGGCCGACATAAATCGGTGGCTATGTCGTTGTTGGGTTTTATCATTTTAAGACGGATCGGATGGAAATTTTCTTTCATTGATGACGCCGATGACCCCAATTCCATTTCGAATACAATTTATTAACAAGTCGGAAAAAAATTGTTTTTTTTTCACAGAAACACATCGAGACAGAAAAAAAATTATACAGGAAGATTGATGAAGAGATTGATGATGATGATGATCAAGAAGTGAAATCCATATGAATTCATTATCCATAAAAAAAAGAATTTCAACTGCATCAATGTTTAAATGGAAATTTTCATAATCATCATCATCATCATAGGAATGGTAGTTGAATTTTTCACTAAAATTTTCACTAATTGAAATGGAAAAAATCACTAATGATAGTGATAGATATAAATGGATAGTATGAATGAATGAATGAACGAATATGATTAACCTGATGACCTCAAAACCAGGATATTAAATATTTGAGTGTTGTCGTCGTCATCATCGTCGTCGCTGTTGTTGTTATTATTTGGGTTCAAATCGGATTATTATTATTATAATTATTGAAATCATCATTATAACCAGCCATCATCATGATTGTCATCTTCATTACAAACAAACGATAATGATAATCATTTCATTGACCACAATAATCGAATTAATATACAATGAAATGAAATTTTCGAAATAAAAAAAAATATTAAATCAGAGAAGGATAAAGAAAATCGAATCGAATTTATTTTTTATATACAAAAAAAAATATACCAATAGCGCCATCTGACCACAGTGAATCAAAACATATCGAACATTAAACCTGCATGCAGGTAAACAAGTTATAAACAAAAACAACCGACACGTATTTCTCTCTCTTTCTCATTGTGTTTATATTAAAGGTGAGCCACCAGGTGATATTATGTGCAAGTCAACATTTTGTATCTTATTGAAATGGTAAATTTCGTTTGTTTTTGTTGTTTTTGGCTCATCACAATTTCGAAATCATTGTGCCTTTCAAATTCAAGACATTCCCGGTAAATTGAATCTGAAAATTTGAATAAATTATGAATAAAATTGTATCATCAGAACCATCATCATCGTCATCATCATCATCGACGGTATCAAATCATCATCATCACCATTATCAACAACAGCAACAATCACCACAAATTTATCGTAATAATAATACCAACAATAATAATATGATTGTACATCATCATTCGGGTGTTTTACATCATTCATCATCATCATCATCACCGAATCATACAAATAATAATAATTCGGAACAATCATCATCATCGATACAATCAACAACGGTTACACAATATCCACGTTATCCATCCGTTACAGCTGCATTAATATGGCCAATAATAGTACGACCATTATTATGTAAAATACAAAAACATAGCCAACAAGCTGCTGTTGTATTATTGAAAGCATTAGGAAAATGTGAACATCGACGTCCCGGTTTCCTATTGGAATTTATAACCGAAATTCTTGCTACACGTAATATTATTTCAATGAATATGACTGAAGCATTACTTCGAATGCAATCACAAATACCTGAATTCGAAGAACAACGTTGTCGCCGTCAAGAAGAACCATTCCAGGAATTGAATCGTCGAACATTTGCATTGAAAAAAATCCTATCACGAATACCGGACGTTCTTTATGATCGTCAAGTATTCCTTGAAACTATAAGAAAAATTGCATCTGCAATCAAAAAGCTATTGGATTGTGTTAATGACATTACCGGTTCGAATGGATCATCATCATCCGGTAGTGGATTCATTCAAACCTATCAAGATAAACGTTCGGTTGATCAAAGGAAACGGGAATTTATAAAAGATTCAAAAAATTTTAGTCAAACATTAAAAGAATATTTTAAACATGGCGATGGTGGTGCCGTACTACAAAGTGCAGCACAATTAATTCTTGCAACGAATGCCATACAAAAAACGATAAAAATTTGCTGTGATCCTCGTGATCAGACATCGTCGGCCATTCAACATTTGAATAGCAAATAAATTATCGACACATACACACACACACACACACCGATCCTATCGATCTATTATTTCAACCCCACCGACAAGATAATAATTAAGTGCCTCATTCAATCAAAAATATTGGGAAACGAAATTTTGTTGGAAAATTTTGACTTATTTATTTATTGATACAAGTATAAATTTTTAATTAATAAAAAAAAATTCTGATTATTACACATATAAAAGAATGACATATCTTCTTTTCCCTACAAATAGAGGAGGAAAATTTTTGAGTATTTGACGATGATAATGATGTAAATTTTACACATTTTTTTTCAATAAAAAAAACAAACATAAATGTTTAGGTGGAAAAATTCGACAGTGATTGTAGAAAATTATTTAAATCATATTCATTTTCATATTGTTGTGTATCCCACAATTCTGGAAGTGTTTCGAGCATCATTTTCATTGATACTTGACCAGATGATCCACCGGTAATAGCATACTCCTTGCTTGTTGTTGAATTTCCATTTCTGTTGTTGTTTGCCAGTTCTTTTTTCTCATTACCGGTTGTTGTTAATTCAAACAGATCCAATAATTGATCGGTTGCCATCGAATCTAGGCTTGAATTTTCATTCGATATAACTGTATTTGCAATGGTTAATTTGAATTTTTGTAGGCCCATTATTTTTTCTTCTAATGTTCCGGTTGTGATTAATCTGTGTGGTTTTTGAAGAAAAAAAATTTAATTAAAAATTCATACTATTCAATCAAAAAAAAAAAAAAACATACCGATAAACGTTGACAACTTTTTTCTGTCCAATACGATGTGCACGATCCATCGCTTGTAAATCTTTCATAGGATTCCAATCATGTTCAACAAAAATCACCGTATCAGCACCGGTCAAATTCAGACCAAGACCACCAACCTATTGAAATAAAAGTTTGATTTTTTTAAAAATCTAACGGAAACAACAACAGCTATTTTTTTTACCTGAATGGTCAACAAAAGAACATCTATGGAAGGATCATTATTGAAACGATGAATAACTGAATATCTCGATGCAGCTGGAACATCACCATCCAAACGTAGATATGTCACTGATGGCATATGTGTTTTGAGTAGATCTTTTTCCACAATATTCAACATACTTTTCAATTGACAAAAAATCAATGCTCGATGTTGATTTACAACTGGTTCGGCTGCTGTTTGATCTTGTCCAGTTGTCTGTGAAACACCAATACCACAATCTTGTAATAATTGTTTTAATGCAATCAATTTTGCCGCATGATTTATATCGGCCAATGTTGTATGTTCAGATTTTAATTTGGCCATAATTTTTTCATAATTTGGATGTGTCGATGTCAATACCAATTTCGGATGATTACAAACTTTTCTTAGATATTGTAATGATTGAAATATATGTGATTTTGATATATCCATCGATGATGATGATGATGAGGATGATGATGATAATCGAGCATCTTTGGCGTTTGTTGACGTTGTGGATGATGATGATAGTTCCTGAACTTTATCAACTAAATTATCTTTGATTGTTTGTCTTGCACGACTTTTATAAAAATCTTCATATAGTTGTGCTTGTAATGGACTTAATTCACAATAATAATCTTGCATTATTTTTGGTGGTAAATCTTTCAGTACATCTTCTTTCATTCGTCTCAAAATGAATGGTAATACTTGTCGATGTAATGATTCCATTGCCAAAACACCAGCTTCTTGTTCTTTGGATGAACTTTTTGCATCACGTGATGCTAATATTGGTTTTGAATAACGTGACATAAATTGCCGTTCAGTACCGAGAAAACCAGGCATAAGAAAATCAAATAATGACCATAATTCCAATACATTATTCTGTATGGGTGTTCCAGTCAATATTAGACGATGATTTGCTCTTAATGTTTTTATGGATCGTGCCAATTTTGTTTTACCATTTTTAATAACATGTCCTTCATCCAAAATACAATAATTCCAATTGATTGCCGAGAAAAAATCAATATCATTACGAACAAGATCATATGATGCAATAATTAGATTATGGTGATTTTTTGTTCGTTCCGATTTTGTTGTTGTTGTTGTTGCTGCACCAATCCGATGTTGAGCACGTTCAATTTGTTGTTTAATTTTAGCACGTTCAAATGGTGGTCCATGATACATGATTGGATTCAAATATTTTTCATCAACAAATTTTTCCACTTCATACATCCAATGACCGGTCAATGTTGGTGGACAAATAACTAATGATAATAATGGTTTATTCTGTGATTCACCATTGATAAAACGTTGTTTCATATAATATTGATCCGATGCTAATATACAGATTGCTTGCAATGTTTTTCCAAGACCCATTTCATCAGCAACAATTCCATGTAATTTATATTTATTCAAAAATGCTAACCAATTAACACCATCCTGTTGATATTGTCGTAATTCAGCCTGTACAGGTATCGGTAGCGGATAATCATCTAATTTTTTAATATTCATCAATTGTTCAAGAAAATGACGTTCATTCTCTTTACGTCTTAATAATTCATCGGAAAAATGTAGATTTTCATTATTTAATAATAATGCTTCTTTATATGAATCAATTGTTGTTGTTGTTGTTTTGCACCATTCATTTTAATTGAATTATTTTTTTTGATGATGATTATGATGATCATTATCCAATGGCATTAATTGTACTAGCTGTGCAAAACAATGTGTTGCCAATAAACGAACCGATTCATTCTGATCGGACATTCGTCCCAACATTGGTACAATCAACAGAACAATATATGGTACAATTTTCAATGAAAGACGATAAATTATAAAATAAATAGTTTCAACGGAACCTTGACGTTTCAATTCTGAATCTGATGCTTCTAGCATATCCAATACTTTGGTCAATACATAATCCATTGTTACATTCAGATTGATCGATGATAACATTCCAAAACATCTTGCAGCCATATGCCTGACTGTTATGTATGGATTCTGTAGACATTCACCAAGAAAATTAAAAGTAGCTTTCAATGAGGAATGTAATTGTTGATGTAGATATGGTCCAATAATTTCAAATACTTGTAATGATTGAATCAAATCTCGACACGATTTTAAACCATTTTCATCAAAAGCTGGTGGTGATTGTGATTCAAGAGAAATTTTCGCTATATATTCCCACAGTGATGGTAATTGTTCAGGCAGATATTGACCGAATGCACGACATGTTTCCGATAGAGCAATAGTAGCACCACGACGTTGAATTTCACCTTGTTTTTCTTGCTGTTGTTCATTCATAATTGTCGATGTTCCATTATTATTACCATTATTACTATCATCTAATGGTTGATTTTGATTATTACGGTTTTTCATATTCATCGAATTTGAACGTCGTAATGCTATGTTAAGTTCGGCAATTTTTTGCATATTATCCAATGCTAGGATACCGTATTGAGCATCGGAACGTTTTGTTTTATCATCACTATTATCATTATCGATGGATAATCGTACTTCAGGTGTGAAATTTCGATCTGAACAAAGATATGTAATTAAATTGTTTATAATTTTAGCCGTTGGTGTCGATTGTACTGAATTCAAATAGGTACGTTCACGGAAAATATTAAGTAGTTTAACAAGACTAGATGCTGATCCACGTTGTAATTGTTCATTATCTTCTTGTTTAATTGAATCCATTACAGGTTTTATAATTGGACTAAGACGATCAGGCAGGAAACGCCATTCAATTAATGCTGATGCTAATGATGATTTGACACCGATCGACAATGAATTTGTTAACTGATTCAATTCAGTGATTGTAAGACGTGTCAACGAAATCTTTTCTTCAAGACATTCAATTAATGATTTTAGTTTATCATTTGGTTTTCGAATTTCAATCAATTTTTGTCGCATTTCCATTAATGATCGATGTTGTATATTATCAATCACTGAATTGATCTGTGGAAATGTATACACAGTTTTACCGGCCAATTCTGTATCGTTGAATTGTACTTTATTCGTTCTTGTGGTAGCCAATAGATCACGAAAATTATATTGTACTCTACTAACATAGGCAGATATTTCATCGAAAAAAATTTGCTCTTCCAACGATTCATTACAACGATCAGCTAATCCTTTATGTAATTGGAGTGAATTTCGTTTTTGATCAACGCCATATTCTTCAACATCATTATCATCATTCTTCATGGTGATTATCCAAGGTGGTTGTTGTTCACCTTGTCGATTAACTTTTGCCGTTGCCCATTCTCTAATAATCCATGCACTACACATTCGTTGAATCGCTGATTTTGTATTCAAATGAATCAATAGAAGAGAGGCAAAACTATCCAGTGGATTCTGAATAATTGTCGATGATTCGACATTCGATTGTTCGGCGCCATTCAAAGAGGGTGTTCCATTCTCTTCGGTTAGATAGAAAGCTAATGCACCGATAAGACGTGCACATTGATAACGGGCACGTATAGCACAACGTTCACGTTCTTCACTTGTTTCGCCCAATGATTCTGAACCGCCAATAAAATAATTTTCAGCCGGTAATGATGACAAAAGCTGCTGCTGCTGTTGTGATGTAGATGGTCGAGAATTTTTCAAATGCTAAAGAAAAAACAAATTATATTACAATTAATTTTGACAACAAAAATAAAATAAAATTCAATCATACCGATGCTGATGATGATGGTAACGAATGTGTAATGTGTTTAATTTCCAACCAAACAGGTGTATTACAAACATCGATCGGCATTTTTTGTGGCTGCATCATCAAACATATCCAACTGGTTACATAATTTCTTGTTGATTCAATTAAACATTGATAATTAGCTTTCGATATTAGATTTAACCATACTTTATATAATAAATCCAATATTATTGTATGATTTTCAATTAATGATCTTTGATATAATAATCGTAATGCATCCGATAATAATGATGATTGATTTAGCCATTCATTTGAATTTTTTTCACTCAATATTAATAATGATTCCAACACTGAACGACGTACAGAACTTAATGAATGTGATAGAAATGGCCATAATCTTGGTATTAATATAGCCAATTGTTGATCATTATTGTCGGTTTTAAAATCGGTTGTAGTGAGACCTTTGAATGTTAATAATGATGATAATAACATTAATAAATCACCAGTTGATGATGATAGATCATCAAGTACAAGTAATGCTTCCCATAAAAATGCAATAACTAATGGTACTTTTTCTGGCATCAAACACATTAATTGATCTTTTATTGGTACTAAAGCGGCAGCTGCAACAGCTGATACATCATCTTCTGGATCTTTTAGGCCAGCAAATATTGGTTCAAAAACTTTTGGTAATAATTGTTCAATCATATCTTGTCGTATGGCTAATAGATATTTCAGACCAAGCATTCCACCATGGCGTGCTTCCCATTCATTACATTGTAATAATTGCAGTAATATAGCCAATACATTATGGACACCATTCGTTGATAAAAGTTTAATAATTAAACCAAGAACCTGTGCACAGGTTTCACGTACCGGCGCAACAACTTGATCGCTTAGGAAATCACCGAATCTATCCAATGCTAATACGGATAATAATCGTAAGGATAAATCTTCCAACCATTGTTGATTTAGTGCATCCTGTCGAGATAATGATGCCGTTCGTATACGACCACCACAACGGCCTTGTAGTTTGACAATTTCTCTCAATCCAATGGCTGCACCATGTCTAATTTCCCATTGGGCATTGAATAAATCGGACATTAATTCATCACTAAACCATGCTAAGGGCCATTCATCGCCATCAAATATGTTGTTATTATCAATTTGTTGTTGTTGTTGCCGCTGCTGCTGCTCATTTGAATTTTCATCATCGACAGATTCAAGCTTAATTTTCTTAGCCATCGAAGGATCATTTGAATTTTCAATTTTAATATCGGGTGATGTTTTACGTTTCACGATCGAAGAACTAGTTTTTACATTCGGTATGATTTGTTCAAGTTTTAAATTTTTTTCAACAATTGGTTTTGATTCAACATCAGCCGTTGCAATAAGATCAGCATTCGAAATGAAATCCATTTTCAGGCCAATTTTTTCAGCAAAACTTAATCCCAATTTTTGATTCAATGATTGTCGCATTTGAGCAATTTTTTCTCGTGAATCTAATGTAGCATCGGCTGCTACAACAACAGTGTTCGAAGAAGAAGAAGAATCGGCTGTTGGTGCATCAAAATCTTTTCCTTCAGATGCAAGTAAATTATGGCCACATTTAATAACAGTCATTATATCATAACGATCAAATCGCATACGACATTCATCATCATTAGCATCATTTTGTTCATCATTATCATCATTAGTGGATAATAATGATCCAATTGGAAACCAATTCGGTACATTTGAAATAATTGCCTCAACAGCTTGACTAGCCGCAATACGTGTTTCCCATGATGATGAATGTAAATATTGTCGTACTTTAACCAATAATGTATTCAATTCATGTGGATGTAATTTTTGTACTTCACCCAATTGTAATGCAGCCGCTTTTCTTGTTAAAGGTGTTGAACCATTATCAAGTAATAGAAATAATCGATCTAAACGGGATGCCATTGTTTTTGTTTTATTCGTTTGTTGGTTCACTATAAAGAATTTTTAAAAAAAAAAATTTAGACTTTTAAAATCTCGTTTTCTTTTTTTTGATTGAGTTACGTTTACTGTATCACAAAAATGAATATGAGAATTTCGTTCGTTTGAATTTTTCCGTATCACATTTATATCTAGATTTTCGGTGTATCAGCTAATTCGGGGATTTTATTTTTATTTTTTTTTTATTCCACCAAACAAAACAAAAAAAAATTATATTATCGATCTAAATCGGATATTTAAATGGTGGATGAATGACAACAATGACGACGACGACGACGACGAAAAAAAAATTCGAATTTTTTTTTTTATTATTATTATTGTTGTTACTGTTTGCAGATAGTTTGAATTTATCGTGTTGTTATGGTTTCTTCATAATTTTCACACAATCAATTTCTTCTTCATCAGAAGATTATCTTATCGAAATTCTTTTGCCATTATCATTTCAAATAAAGAATATATATATATATTGGCCGATTTATATGATTTGTTTTTTCTTTATATATATTTGGCTGTTTTCAATACAATATATTTGTCTTCTTCAAATATGTCAATGATGATGATGACCATCATCATCCATTCTATCATCATATGTTAAATATATATTGATTAATCAATCAATGTTTGTGGTAGAAATTTTTTTTTTCTTCTTTATCTTCATTTGTTGTTGTTTTTGTTTTTATTGTTGTCGTCGATAGCAGCCGACGCGTCGTCGTTGCACATATACACAGTATACAGTGAGAAGAGAAGAGTGCAGTGTGGAAATTTGTCTAAAATGAAAAAATGACGAATTTTCGCGAAAATATCAGTGAAAAAAAAAAAAATAAATATCCATTTAATTAAACTATAGTTTTTAACTTTTATCAAATTATTATAAACGATATATAAATAGATAAATACCTGAATATGGAATAGAAAAAATAATCAATGAAAAAAAAATGTAGTGAACAGAAACAGCAAGAAATAAAATACCGAAAACAAAACAAAAAAATATTCCAAATTCTCGCTATTTTTTTCGCTAAATTATTAAATTCTATACCTTTCATATACAACGTAACTTAATACTTTAAATTTTTAAAGTTTAAAAGAATCAAGTTATTTTTTGAATTTTTGTCATTAAAAAAATTATATTAATTTCTGAAAAATGTTTGCTCAAAAATCTTATTGTTTCGAACTTACGGCTAAACCTCATTATTGACCTAATCATCGTCTTTGACCCGAAGTACAAAAATTGTTGTCAACCTGTATGAATCTAAATTTGCAATATTGAAAAAAAAGGAAATTAAATAATCTCATCATTGCTATGATTATTGTATGTATGTATCCGGACAATAATGATTATGATTATGATGATGATGATGATTAACAAGAAGGATGAATGATGATGATGATGATGATGATCATAATTTGTTCAAAAATAATTCTACTTTTGAGAATGAAAAATTCATATTTAATGCTGACATATGTAATAATAATATAATGATCATACAAATGATGCGAATGCACGCACGCAATAGAATCGTCGCCTGAATTGTGATGGAGAAAGTAGACGAGGATGAAAAGTAGAAAATAATTTCATTTTCTCTCACTCTTGGTGAGGTTTTTTTTCTATTTGTTGATTATTATCCATCACCACAAATGCATCGTCATGGATTGTGATAAATGATTTGTCGTCATCATCATCGTCGTCGTACAAATTCATTCGTGCATTATCATTCATAATCATTTTCAAATCGGTTTGGGTTTTTTTCGGGTCGACAAAAATGTGTTGTTGTTGATTTTTTTTTTTTTTTTTTGAATCATCTGGGACCACTCTGTAAAATGACATTTATAGATTTTCTGTATGATAATAATGCTAATAATAATAAAACATCAGTTGAATTTTTTTTAAATCGAAAATAAAATTAAGAAATCAATCAGAAGAAAAAAAAATTTTAAATTGACTGATTCGAATGTTTGCCCATACAATCGAAAACAATCGATTGTTATTCTCGATCAAAACATTTTCCGGCAATGTTCGTGATTATTTTTTTTTTCGTTTCCATAAAGATTTTGATTCGATTTTCTTGTCATAGTCATTGTTGTTGTTTGAATTATAAAATTGTCGATGTTTTTTTTTCAATTTTAATCCTTTTTTTACGCAAAAAAAAATCATCTATCCATTAATCGAATTCTATTTATATCGATCGATTGTTGTTGATCGTTTCCCGTTTTCTGTTGTTGTTGTTGTTGTTGTTCGAATCAACCACACACACACACAAACCACGCACACGGACATAATATTGTTGAATTTTTCTCAATTTGACAATCATCGACTTTGACGATTACCGATAAATCGATTGATCGAATCACAATTACAATTTATCAATACAAAATAAATAAATAAATAAAAAATTCACCAAATTTCTTGAATTTCATTCATCTCGAAAAAAAAGAAATTTCTGGAAACATTTCCATTATTTCATTCAATGTGAGCAATTTTATTTTATTTTTCTTTCTTCCCATTATTAATTGTATTTGTCCACCTTCAGGTGTATACCACAAATGTCATTTCAGACAAAATGAATTACCGAGTAACCACAATATTGTTGTTGTTGTTGTTGTTTTTGTTGACCGTTCTAATTATTTGTGTTTGTGTTTGTTTTTGTTTTTTTTTTTGGCCAAGCAAAAGAAAAAACAAACAAAAAACTAACTACCAATCGACAATCGAATGGCAAATGTTTAATGATTGTGGAATCAAATTTCTATCCAACTACATTCATAATAATAATAATTATTATTATTATCCGAACCATGAATCATTGGTTAATGTGTGTTTGGTTTGCATGATAAAAAAAAAAGAAATTGTCTTATATATATAGCTCTGTATTCAATTCATGATTGTTCTTGTAATGACAATTATCCAGGTAGGTACCTGTATGTATAGAAAAAAAAAAAACAATCATGCCACTTTGAATGGTATATAAAACACAATGGACAGAAAACACAAAACAACGACGAAAAAGTAAATGCAAAATTTTTCCATTTTATGCATGTCATTGCTGTAATGCAATAATCATCATCATCATCATCTGATGAAACTTGAAGAAATCCCGTTAACGTCCTTTTACTTAGTTCCGTTAGTTTATCTTTAACATTCAATTGTTTTTTTTTCAGTATAATTATTGATGCTTTTTTTCTCTGATTTGATTGTTTCATCATACATCATAATCATCATAATTTATATTGAATGAAAATGAAAATTTTCAATTGCAATTCATCATCATCATCATCATCAGACAACATTCTATGATTCTATCCATTCTAATCCATCTTCATTTTATATATGTTTTATATATACGACTTATGACGGAAGTTGTTCAGGTACATTTATGGCTATCCATATGATTGACAACACACCAACCAACCAACCAAATGATATAGTATCAGGAAAAAAAATGCCAGAAATTAACCAGAAATCGAATGTTAATCCGGAAAATGTATGTATGAAAGTGTCGATGTGTTTTTGCCGATTCCAGACACATATACTGGAATCGATAATATCCAAAAAATACCAGAAAAAAATGTCATCATCATCATCATCATTGGCTTTTGGCTTCTGGTTTTCAATTTCACATCCTGACATCAAATAATCATCATCATCATCATAATTATGTGAGAAACAAGAACAAAAAAAAAATTCGATTTTCGATGTAATAATAATCATCAATCGAACGACAATGTAACATCATATCAAATTTCATTTCATGTCAAAAACATTAACCCGGCAACAACAACAACAACAACAACAACAACAAAGTGAAAAACATTCATACATACATCATACAGTCATTTTTTATGTGTGTGTGTGTGTGTGTGGTTTGAATATTCATTTCAAATTCGTCGACAATTATGAATGTATTGGTATTGGTATTGGTATGTTGTATATACTTTTTTTTCGCAATCGTCATCATTATTTATTACATATTAATCATTATTGATGTGTGTGTGGTCTAATGTTTATTTTGTTTTTACTGCTGCTGCTGCCGTTGCTGCTGGTTGTTGTTTTTTTTTTTGGTTCAATTCAATTTGTGACATTTATATCTCCAACGACGATGGTGATGAATTTAGAATTTTTTTTTTTTTTTTCGTTTTGTTTTCAATAGAATTCATTATTTGAAGAATATTATTGCTTAGTCATTGATGAAAATGCATTTTTTTTGCGGTATGTATGTATCTATGTGTGTATATGAGTAAAACTTGTGAAAATTGAAACTAAATCACTAATTTTTTATTGAATTTTAGCTTTTCAAATAAATGAATCAATCAATGTATATGATATTTTTGGATTCAGATTCTAAATAATCTACCACAAGTAAGTAAATTTTTTTTTTGTTGCAATATTTTCATTCACATTTCATATCATCATCATCATATATATTAATTTCGAATAGCAAAATCATCATGGTAAAGCCTGAATAATAAAATGAAAAAAAAGGCCAACAATAAACATCCAAAAACAACGAGAAAAGAGAAAGATTGATGATGATGATGATGATGATGATGAAGAAGTGGAAAATAAAATTGAGAGAAATCGACCGATGATCCGGGCTTACAAGCATATATACACACATCCCGAATTGTCATTTTCGCCATGTCATTTTCTTTCGTTCAAATTTCACATTCATGATGATGATGATGATGATGGATTCCATAACGAATCAAATCATAAAATGTTTTTTTTTCGAAAGAGTCATCATTTGGCCAAGCAATGAAAACAACAACCAAAACGATGACTATAAAAACTCGAACATTTTTGGCAATGATGAATAACAAGAATCATAGATCATGATCGTGGTGGTTGTTTGGTTTCAAATTTTTGTTTTCAAGATTTATCAAGTTCTCCGGTTCAATAATTGAAAATTCTTATCACCATCAAGATCCATCTGGGTATTGATTCTGTTTGGGTAAGTTTTTTTTTGGATCATATGTTTGTTTTTTGATTTTAACTTTTATTAGTCACACACACACCTGTATGATTTTTTTTCCGATCAATCAATCAATCAATCAATCATACAACCAATCAATCGATTAATCGATTGAACGCTTCATTTGTTTGAAAGCGGCAACTCTATTTATTTTCTTCTTGAATGATTTGACTATCCATTTCTTAAATTATAATTGTAACATGCAAAACAAAAATCTAGGTGATGATAGCCATTGTTATCGATTGTTTCAATCTAGAAATCATTCAGGTGTTACGACTATAGATAGTGATAATAATAATAATAATAATGATGATCATCATCATCATCATTGTTATTAACACTATTTTTTTTCCTATTCAACAACAATTTGAAATTCAATCTTGAAACATTTCTTTTTTTGTGATTGATGATTCAATGAATCAAATTTTGTTGATTACAGTGTGTGTGTGTGTGTGTAGTTAAACACAATTTTTTTTAATCGATTCTTTGTCCTGTGACATTTTATAAATATATTGACAAACATCAGGCCAAATGTCCATTCAATGTTTGTGCGCGAATTTTTAGCTAGAATTGCAATTTATTCAAAAAAAAAATACAACTACCGATATATCGAAATTGTCTTTTCGTACCGGCTTTCTATTCATAACATAAGTTTTTTCCTTTTCTTTGTGTTTTTTTGTCGTTGTTGTTGTTGTTGTTGACAAGTTCGACGCAGTAAAAAAAAATTTTTCTATTCACCCAAATCTCGGTACCATTCGGTAACTAGAAAAAAAGATTTTTTTTATCACCATATGATGATAAATTCTTTGAAAAATTTATTTGTCAATTGCCTAAAGATCTATATAACAACCATCAAATGAATCAATCGTTTTAATAGATGTAAACGAACAATTTCCGTAAAACTGGCATATTACAGGCTAAATGATTGAAACTCTTTATTATATATCAATAATGATTTAATTTGATTGTTTAACGAGATAATGATGATGATGATGTTATTGTTTTGTTTTGATGACTAAATCAATTAATCGATCAATCGATTGAATTGCTTATTTCGATTAAATTTTTCTTTTGTCATTGTGATTAGACACAATAAATAAGAATATATGAGAGTGAACAAATAAACAAACGACGATGACGACAAAAAAAACATTCAGTCTGACCCAATAATTGGCCCCTTTTGTTTTTGTTTTGCTTGTTATTTTTATGAATTTTTTTTCTCTCTCTCTCTCTCTCTCTCTTTGTTGCCAATTTATCATGTCTCTGGGTATTTGAATTTTTTTCTTTCTTGGTGTTTTTTTTTCGTATATCCGGTTTTTTTTGCCGTTCACCTGTATTTGTTGTGTGTTTGTGTGTTTTAAATCTCTTCACACACACACAATATTGCCCTGTTGTATGTAAGTTTTATGGGGCAAAATGATTGTTATTTTCATTTTCAGCCCCATAAATTTTAATTTTCTGGCCAAAGTGTTAACCTTTTTTTCGTTATTTTTCAGTGTATATAAATATTTCTATATATATGTTTGTTTGTTTATTTGACTACTTGTTTGATTGGGCGACACATTTATTTATCCTAGTAAGTAGTAGTTGGCCACTAAAGTTCATCAAGTAATTTACATGTGAAAATTTTTTTTTTTCACTGATTAAAATGGTCAGTCTCTTTTTCTCATCATCAAGCATTTTTTTTTTTTTTGGCTATAGTTGAATGTTTTTTTTTCGCATCACCGTTATACCCATGTGTCTAAAATTTTTTCGTACTTAATGTTGTTGATACAATTTACACAGTGTGTGTGTGTAATGAAATAATAATGAAATTAATTTTCATCTATAATCATCTAATCATCATCAATATTCATATATTCGATTCATTTGATTGATTGAATTCAGGTCGGTTTGATACGGAAAAAAGTGTTAGATTAAAATTATCAAAATAACCCCGTTGGTTTGTTAATGACTATGATCCATTTTGTTTTTTTTTTGCAACAAAAAGTTCATTGATTTATTTTCTAGATTTTTCTTTTGCTCGTCAGTTTTCAATAAATTCACTACGTACAGAACCATTTTGTTGTTGTTGTTGTTGTTGCTAGAATACATTTTTTTTCAATTTCAATCATATAATAACAATGTCATTCGTTATCTTGACGACTACCACAATACAATGATGATGATGACGATGATTAAGCTTAATAATAATAACACCTGTGTATTCTTGTCAATTTTTGTAAATAGAAACCTCATGTATTTATATGTTATTCATCATTGTATTAGGTCATAATTTCAATAATGTATGTGTGTGCGTTTTTTTTGTGTGTTGTATCCTGGTACCATGAGATTATGGCTAAAAAAAAAAATTTTTTTTTTCTCTCTCTTTCTCCTTGTATTTTTTTTTTATTTGCATTACTAATTGTCATTGTAATATGTTGAATGATGCTATATTGTTGAACACATATATATCAGGTATATATTATGGTTATAATTTTCTCTTCTCTAGATTATATTGCCTATTTTGTGTCTGTGTGTGTGTGTGTGTGTGGTATGGCAATCATCAAACAACGAAAGCTAAAAACTACGAAACGAAACAAGAATCAAGCTAAACAAAATGCCAACCAGCCATTCATTCATTGATGATTTTCCTTTAACGAAAAAAATTTGTTTTTTTCCAAGTTTTTTTTTTTTTGATTCATTTTTTTTTTACCAGCCAAAATGGTTTAATCAATCTACTTATTGTGGTATGTTGTCAATTTCCGGTTATTGAATTAATTTTTCTCATTTCTCATTGGTTTGTCTATACAATTCAAAGTAATAAATTTTCACTAAAAAAAATAGAAATTTTAAATTTTGTCACTACCCGTGTTTCGCCAATTGATGATGATGATTGCCTTGTATTATTATCATCATTCGAATGTCTCTTTTCTAACATTTTTGAAGGTAGAAAACAAAAATGATTATGATGATGGTTGATTCTTCTCTACTGCTACACACAGACATTATTGTTTGGTAGAGATTTTCTCTATTTTTTTTTCTCAAATGTTCATACAACAGTTCAAACAATTATTATGACGATGATGATGATTTTGCCGGCGTTTTTTTTCCTCATCATCCATAGTGTGTGTGTGTATGTCGATGTGTGGTGGTGTGGTGGTGGTGGTGGTTCATATACTGGAATCGCAGTGAATTTGAAACTTTAAAAATGATGATGATGATGATGATGATGACTTTAACATCAACAAACAACAATGTCTCTCTCTCTCTGTTTGGTTGTGTTTAATATTTGGGTAAATTAAAAATCAACATTTTTTTTCTACTCCAAAAAAAAAATTCATTTGTTTTCACACGACAAACCACTTGTTGCTTGTTCAACAGAATGTAGCAGCAGGTAGCAGGTTCTTTTTTTTTTTTGTTTATGATGGCTGGCCATTTCAAACACCTATTCAAATTAACAAGTTGATTATCCAATCAATCAATTAAGTTTATTTGGTCATGTTTTTTTTTCTTCTCACTCACCACCATCATTCCGAAAATAATATTGAAAACAGTCATTATAGAAAAAAATCGAACACTCACAGCTATTATCATCCATTTCCATTTATATGTTTTAATCTGTGTTTGATTATGATGATGATGATGATTATATTAATATCACCATCATGTGTGTGTGTGTGACGACAACAACGACGATATATGCTTATAACAAAAACAAAAATTATAAATATTAGATGTATATATGATCAAATAGAAATTTTCTTTTTTCATTTCACTTTTTTTTCTGATCATCATCATGTTTATTATGTGTGTGTGTGTGTGTGTGTGGTCGGTTGTGTATATTGGTTGTCGGATCGTGTTTGTTGATTATATGATTTTGTGTGTGTGTGTGTTTTTTTTTTTTTTGGATTTCCATTTTTGTCGTTGTAAATTTTTTTTTTTTGCTGCTTCTGCTTAGAATTGATCTTTTTTAGTTTCCATGTTTTTTTTGTCTCTTTCTCGCTATGTTGTGTGTGTGTGATTCTAAATCTTTTTTTTAGTGCGTAAGATTTTTCTCGTTATCAATTTTCTCGTTACCAATTTGTTTTTTTTCCTGTTGTTCGACTTTTTTTTTATCTTCTCTTAGCTACCAAGTAAATAAATCCCACCATGGTTACCACCATATAATAATTACCATTTCTATTTTATTATTATTCTGTTCACACACACACACACACACACACAATTTTTTTTGTTGTCTGGTCAAACGTATTTCATATTTAATAATTGGCCCCCCCACCACCGAAAAAAATCACCGTTGAAATCAAAGGATTTTTTTTTATATTCAAACATAAGGTAAGTCGATTTATTCATATATACGTTGTTGTATATTCACAATCAATTTGCGTTTTAATAATTGCAACAAGTTTTTTTGGTAGTTACCATTTGAGAATCGCAAAACATCATTCGGTCCAATAATTCATTTAGCCGTCTGTCTGTCTGGTTTCATTTTTAAAATAATAATAATATAAATCCAGTTCATTGAGTTCAATTTTTTTTTCTTTCATTCGCAACAATTTATTGATTCATATGATTATTATCAATTTTGATGAACGATATTGATAACCAAAAAAATCCATCAACTGTTGATGATGATTGAGAGTGGTAGCGTGAAAAAAAAATTTACAAGAAAAAATTTACCAGAAATTGGAATGAATAAAAAAGTAACAAACAAACAAACCAACCAACCAACCAACAATGATAAACCAGAACATCGTTCAACAGAAAAAAAACTGATTTCAAATGAATTTCTTGTCATCATCATCATCATCATCGTTATATTGTTCATGTTTGTGGTTTGTAATATGATTTTTTTTTCAGTCTGTCGTCAACACCAAGCAAAAATCCGATGAAATCAATATACATTTTGCTGCTGCTGCTGCTGATGTTGTTGTCTACGAAGACTTTGATATCAACAAGTGGAAAAGATGATGATTGTTGTTAAAGTAAGAAAATTGAATTTTTTTTTACTTTCCATGTTTAATATAACAACAACAACAACAACAACAACCAAATGTCCTGTCATTCTGAAATTAAATCGCATATAAATGGAAAAAATGTTATCTGGATCATGTTTGTGAACATCCGTTTCTACTCAGATATTGCCTACCACAACACACACAAATAACACCGGTTATAATAGTTTTTTTTGTTGCTCCATCATCATTCATCGTATGCAATGGCTATCGATTTCTATTGATCATGGTGATTCAAATCATTGGCTGTTTTTCTATCAAATTACTACATAAGATGATTTTTTTTTTTTTTTTCTTTACCAATACTATATAGGTACCAGATTTTTTTTTATGTTTCCGGTTTCCTTCCCAATCATCTATCGTTGAGGGATCAGTTTCTCTTTGGTTATCTAGCTGTATGAGTACCAGACTAAATTGTCTTTTTTTGATCTGTTTATTTTAAATGAATGAATATATGATCAATAAAGACTTTTTTGGCCAAATCTGGCTCAATCACATCATAAAGCTAGGTTACCAAAGTTAAACAAGATTCCAAATGAGCATCGTGTGTAACCCCACAACAACAACACAAAAATGGATTTTATGGAAAAATTTTTTTATTTTTTAAAATAAAATATTTGTATTTTGATTAAAATATTTTCTCTTTCAATTATTATTATTAAAATTTAATTTTATAATAATGAACTAAAGATTTTCAATTTTATTTATGACTGATGCCAATGCACCGCTATTATTACTATGATGATGACTGGTTCCTCCCATGACTATAGTGCCGGTTGTTGTTTCGGAATGATATTGACAAGCACAACGAACTTCATCCAAAAATGATTTTGAATTATGTACCATTGATCCACCTAATAGGATTTTCGTTCCTTGTAATTGTCGATTAAGATTATAAACAATCAACGATTCTTCATAGGTTATACCACCAATAATGAAAATAATTATCTCTTGTGGTCGTTCACGTTGTTGTACACTGCCTAAGAATGGATATACCGTTTCACGTAATCGACAACGATTTAAATCTTCAACTAGTTCTTTAATAACCGGTGTATGTTGTGTGTAGATATTTTCCACGCCTTTGAATCCTTTGATTACTTTCTTTGTAAACGCTCTCACATGTTCGGTGGTCAGAATTTCCTGGCTTGATGTTGCACCTTTAGTACCGAAACGTTGTTTTAATCCACAAAATTCCATTAATTGACTAATGATTTTGATGTCACCGGGATTCATATTACGACGTTCCAATAGCCTACATAAACTACGTATATCACAATTGGAATTATTCTGGAATGTTATTGCATACAACAATGCCAAACGAATAGCATCACAATTTCGTATCTTATCCGATGATATAAGCTGTGATATTCGCTGTAATAAAAATTATGTAAAATTTAGAAAGCAAACGAAAAAATCCTTTTTACCTTGACCGATTCAGAATGATTACCGGTAGAGATTAATTCTTGTTCAGCTTCAGAAACTTCCAACAATGAATATGCGTTGACTATACGTGAAATTTCATCAATCAATGTGACATGTTTTGTAACTGTACCGGACATTTTTCGAAATTGTGGATACGTTTCAATAAATGATTTCATATCGGCTATTGTTTCAATCTTTTTCTGTTGTTGCGTTTTTTGTTGAAAATCTTCCATCAAACATTTAATATTCGAACATATTTCACCATAGTTAAGAAATAAATTTTTCTGATAAAATTCATCTTGTTCCTGTGATAGAACAATCTCTTTCAATTCTTTTGCAACACCAGGAACATTAGCCAAACTGACTCGATTGTTTGTAATGGTCATCAATTCATGTAACATTGCCTGATAGGTCCATTGATTTAATAAAGGTGTGATTGGATCAAATTTACGATCCAATATCAATAGTATCGGTTGTGATTCAGTCGATGTATTCGAATCGAATAAAACATTTTCCTTGGCTATTGTTTGCCGTATCTGTTCGGCTAAACGTTTGGCCATATCAGATGATGATTGATAACGAATTAGTGGACAACGATTAAGTGATAAAAGTATGGAAATAATTCCTTGTGTGATACGATGAAATGAAATTGGATTCCAGTTGCGTATATTCTGATAACATGATTTAACATTCAACGAAAATGTATGTGAATTGATTGCCAGATAATCGGCATAAAATTCCTGCACATCTTTGACTACTTCAAATTCATCCACTTCAGCCAATGCTTTAATGTCGGTTTTACTGATAATATTATTAAAATCTAATTTTTTTTCAAATAAAATCAATCAATCAAATTTGTTCAAGTTTCTAAAATGAAAAACACATACTGATAAAATACTGTGAAAAACGTGGATGTTTAAGTTCACGAATTAGATAGGTGATATTCTTTTCGGTTGGTCGAACAAAAACAATACATTTAACAAATTTTAATGATTCTTGTCGTGGAACATAATTTTCAATAGCTTCGAAAAGATAAACCTCTTTCTGTAGCATATCCGATTGGGCATATACAATACTGATGATACTGATCTATATATGAATAATGATGATTATCATTAAAGTTTTTTTTTCTTAAAATAAACAATCAAACCAACCGTTTCTTTATCCATAAGCAATGCTTTGATGCCAGGACCAGCATCATCGACCATTTTATTGATATACAATTTCATTGCATATATGACGTCCATTTTCAAGATGAAAATATTTATTTCGACAATTATCAAAATCAACAATCAATCAATTAATTAATCGATGATTAAACCGTTTCCATATGTTTATTTTGGATAATAATCAATACACATCCAAAAGAATAAATGATGCAATGATGATTCGAGTTTACCGCCCGTTCATACAGTACGATACAAATGGATATATGTCAGATGTTCGATATCGATTTAATATTTTTTTTATGTAATAAATATTGAGCCTCATTTGAAGAGTTCCATTTAATACAAAAAAAAAAAACGCCTGCAGTATATATTTGTTGTTGTTGTTGTGAAATCGCCTGACATTTAGACGCAAACGCATTGTTAATTAATAATACAAACACGTTGATTGTGAAAAATTCTTTGTCACGTAAATGATGATGTCAGAAAATGTGACTAAATTATGGCTCAATTTTTTAATAATCGATTATTATTGTCATCTATATTGTTTTTATTGTATATAATTATCATTAGCACAATCATTCATCATGTTCATTCGAATAATACCGTCCAAGAGGCTAAGGTAATGTTGCCCATTTTGAAGATGATGTAATATTATATTTCATTTGTTTGTTATCGAATTAAAAAAACGCAGGATGTAGCCGTTCGTGATCACCTGCTTTTGATCACAACATTGGATGGTTCATTTCATGCCGTATCACAACGAAACGGTCTAATCAAATGGACCATTCCGAATTCACCAATTCTTCAGATGTCACCATTGATTAACATATCTGATGATAATAAACAACATCATTTTCTTTTACCGGATCCCAAAGATGGTACATTATATCTATTTAATGGTTTCAGTCATGATAAAAACAAGCACAATCGTCGTACAACATTGGAAAAATTACCATTCACCATTAGTGAATTAGTTGCCACATCACCATGTCGAAGCTCGGATGGTATGATTTATGCAAGTAAAAAAATTGATGAATGGATTATTGTCGATGTTGAAAGTGGTAACAAAATTGATTCAATCAATGTCGATTCACCGGTTTGTCCAACACCCGAACAACCAATTCCTGATCCATTATTACCTGCTACACACAATCTATTACATCTGTTCAAAAGTGAATATCAAATCTCTGTATTTAGTTCACAGAATCGAGAAAAGATATTTAATTTCACCTATATCGATTATTCACCATCAATGATCAGTTCAATATCACAAAGTTCATATGAATTTTTACATCTTACTTCTAGTACGAATGGTAAAATTGCCACAATGGATGTAACGAATGGCCACAATTCTTTCCTATGGTCATTCGAATTTGATTCACCCATTGTATCGATATATCGATTGTCAGAAACAGCCAATTTCCCAATCATACATCGTGTTCCATTCTTCACAATTGGTGGTTTTATCAATACAACAAATTTTTTCGGACCAAAACCGAAACTATTTCCATCCGTTTATGTAGGTGAATTAAGTGAATCAAAATCATTGTATGCATTAAGCGCTTTGGTTGAAACGAATCAAATTCGTAAAGATTCAGATTACCTCATTGAAGGTCCCCTACCACCAGGGAAATTTGATGATCGATTTGATCTATTGAAATATCTGCTTGGCTATTATGAATATCCGAAAGATTCGGAAATTAAATTTTCAGTCATACCACGAACACAGCTCATATCGAATGTAGCCTATTCAGATGGCCGAACACAGGTGATTGATGAACGATTGCAAATTCAAGACTATAGTTCGAATCGAAAAAGTTCTGCAAATAATGATGCAATTGAATATTATACATTCTGGATGTTTAATTTGATAATTCTGTTGGTATTGCTCGTCATAATGGCCATCTTGGTACCAATTTTGGCTATGTTCTATCTGGATAAACGTAATCATATTAATAACGATAAAAAGACAATAATATTATCAACATCAAATGATAGCCAAATTAGTATCGGTAAAATAACATTCAATCTAAGCGATATAATTGGTCGTGGCTGTGCCGGTACCTGTGTATACAAAGGACTATTCGAAGGTAAACAACAAATTGCTGTTAAACGTATCGTATCCGATTGTTTTCGATTGGCTAATCGAGAAATTGACCTATTGAGACAATTACAACATCCAAATCTAATTCGTTATTTTGCCACTGAATGTGATGATCAATTCACTTATATTGCAATCGAATTGGCCGAAATGACATTAGCCGATTATATTGATGAAATGAAAAAAGGCGCCGTTGATTCATCATCACAGCTGGATAAAATAGATGTATTGAAGCAAGCATGTTCAGGTCTTCATCATCTACATTCATTGGATATTGTACATCGTGATATTAAGCCGGCAAACATATTGATATCATCGATTCAATCTACCAAAAATGTTGTTCGACGAAGAAAAATAATGATCACTGATTTTGGTGTATCGAAAATTCTATCTTCAGAATCAATGTCTACGGCTGATAATCGTTCGGCCGGTACCGAAGGCTGGATTGCGCCGGAAATATTGATACGGAAAGTAAATGGAGAGTATGAAAAACCATCGAAACCAAACGATATCTTTTCGATGGGATGTTTAATCTACTATGTCCATACAGATGGTGATCATCCATTTGGCAATCTAATCAATCGACAGACAGCAATATTGAATGGTCAGGCTGATCTAAATCGACTAAATAGCGAAGATGATATATGTCTTCGATCATTGGTCGAACCAATGATTGATCAAAAGGTGGATAATCGTCCACCAATCGATGCTATTGTTAAACATCCATATTTTTGGAATGAACAACAATCATTGCAATTCATGCAAGATGTTTCTGATCGATTCGAATGTGAACAATCGGATTCAGAATTAATACGTACACTGGAACAAGGTTCATTAGATGTATGTCGTGGTGATTGGCGTCGTTGTATTACGATTGAATTACAAGAAGATCTACGAAAATTTCGTTCATATAAAGGACATTCCGTACGAGATCTATTACGAGCCATACGAAATAAACGTCATCATTATCATGAACTTGATGCCAGTGTACAACGATCACTTGGTTCGATACCGAATGAATTTTCACGCTATTTTACATGTCGTTTTCCAAGACTCATCATACATTCATACATAGCATTACAATCATGTTCAAATGAAGATGTATTTCGACATTATTATTATACAAACACACAGCATGATCAAATGAGTAATGTGCATTCATTTCGATTTAAGCCATTATCAAGAGCAACAATTCGTTGGAATGAACGATGGAAAGAAGAAAATGGTATGCATCCATTTGTTTTTAATCTAAGACAACGTAAAAAACAGTCACCATCATTATCAACAATTCCTTTTTCTCTTCCACAAAAACAACACGAACAACAACAGTCAATATCTACAACAGCAAAAACAACGATAGATTCAATAAATGAACCAATGGATTCAAATATTGAAACAATAACGACTGATTCCCATTTCTACAATGATGTATTCAAGATTTAATGTGATGTGATTATCAATTATTATATTGGCCTTACATATTAAGAATTTATTTAATTGATTAATTGTTATTATTATTATATTGACCATTTTTTTATACATTAAAAAATATATGATAATATATGATATAATTATTCCAATTTCAATCATATTAAATTTATTTAAAGGAAAAATTTTCTTCGATTTACACCCTGTTCATGACGTTGCAATTTCCATTCATATTCTCCGTGTTTAGAATCGAATGTTCCATGTTGTAGTGATTGTAATTTCATCGTGAATCTTGGACCAAGTTCACGAATGGCAACACGTTCACTCTGTTTGAATTCATATAAATGATGACGGAAAAAAATATAATCACGTTGATTATGAAATGTAACCACTTTACGGCCACGAAATTGTGGTTCAAAATGAAATAATGATGCTAACATTCGACCGATTGAATGGCCAAGACGTGTGGTCATATTGTTGACAATAATTTCCGGATGGCTATTGTTGTACGAGGCCCGATTTTTAATCTCTTTACAATAACGGATACTACTAAGTCTATAAAAAGCGGTAGGTCCATTCGGTAGATGTATATGTAGTAATCCATCTGAGTAATCCAACATAGAATCGTAATGTAAGTCAATTTCGATTTACTCAATCAAAGATATCAAAGTACTCACTTGGTTTGGACCAATCTTCATTGACGACCAAAATGTCAGTATAACCACGATCATTGGCACATTTAACAAGTTTCTTCATGGGACATTTTTTTCGCCACCTTAATTCAGATCCTGTGATCGTATCACGTAATTCACGACAAAATCGGATTGTTCGTCGATGTGAATTATGGCTAGATGTGATCAAAACTTTGGGTGGAATTTGTTTGCTAAAATATGTGGCCATTTCATCCAATGATTCATCCAGATGAATCTCTTCATCATCGGCATCAACTCGGTCATCATTCGGTGTTCGAGTGTTTTCAATTGTTCGTGGTATTTGTTTCGGTAATCCTAATTCCTATGTGAATGATTATTTTCAATTTTTATAGCAATAAATTACCATTAGTTTTAGTTTACCTTTTTACGTTTTCGTCGTAAGCGTTTTTCTTTGCCACGAATTTTTCGGCATTCTTCCCGATGTAATCGTTTAGATTTGGTCAATTTTTCTAGGTTTGTAATTAGTTTATTTTTTGGTGGATCGTTTGCCATTGACATTTCTTCACATTTATCATCGATACCAACAACATTAGCTTCATCATCATTATAATCATCGAATGAATGACCATCATCTTCTTCAAGATCATCGTAAAAATCTTCGTTATCCATGTTGCAAAAGTTTGGAATTTTTTATCGAAAAAAAATATATAGAAATTCCTGAATTTTCACGTGAGCAAACATGTGAAATATTAATAAACACCAGCACCATCTAGAATCAAAGATCAATTTATTCCATTCTATATTGAGCTCATCATCATTCTCCATTATTCTGTTTACAATTTTAGTGTTTATTCTGTATAATACTGAAATAATACTTAAATTTGTGGTGAAAATTTTCAATTTATCAATCAATCCGACATAATAATGATGTCGTCGGACGAAGAAGATAATGATGATTTGCCGAGATCATCTTCATCGGCAAGCCGAATAGCAAGCGCCATTTTGTTCGGTAACATTGATGAAAATGGTGAATTAACCGACGATATATTTGATGATGAATGTCGCCGTCATCTTGATTCATTGCAACCACATCTATCATCGATTATTCCCTTTGAAGATTTGATTGAAGATGATGATGATGATGATGATTCATCTCAGCAACGACAATCCGATAATGACAAACGTTTATCGGACGATGATGATGGTAAAGGTATGAATGTATGATGATGATTATTTCTAAACTTATAAATTGATTTATCCAATCTATACAAAGGATCTGATTTTGATTTAGATACCAAATCTGAAATTGCAGTCGATTATTCTGATATTAATGAATTCGTTGCCGATGAGGAACAATCATTTGTTGAAGATCTGCTGAACAACATCATTCAAACGAATAAAAATGATAATTACGACGATGATGATTACGATGATAAAAATCCGAATTTAGATTCACAATCTGATGGCAAACAGAAAGATAACCAGATAGAAATTCAAAAAGATAAAGATGGATTTGTTATACCACAACAACCGATTCGAAAGACTGATTCATTAACCGTTAAATCGAACAACATTCAAATCGAAGAACAACAACAGGATCATATAGATGGTGATAATGAAAAACTGTGTGAAGGTAGTGAACATCAATCTCAAACATGCAAAAAACGTCTAGATACACCATTGGCTGCAATGTTACCATCAAAATATGCCGATCTTGATGTTACCGAATTATTTCCAGAATTTCGTCATAATCAAGTTTTACGATTTTCGCGCCTATTTGGTCCAGGTAAATCATCGTCATTGCCACAGATTTGGAAATCAGTCCGTAATAAACGACGAAATCGTCATATATTTGAAAATAAATTATTCATTGTACAACAAACAAAGACACCACCAATTGATAAGAACAATAGAGATATTTGGGAATTTGATGCCTGTCCAGTGGAAGACATACCAGCCGATATGATTGAAATGGATGATGAAATTCGTTTGATGCAAAATGATTTTATCGATGATGAACACGGTAAAAATAGTGCCGGTGAGAATGAAGATCGTAATAAGATAGCTGAATGGCGTTATGGACCGGCAAGATTCTGGTATGATCGTATGAAAGTACCAGAAAATGGCGATGGCTTTGACTATGGATTTAAACTGAAAAATCAAGATTCATTCATTGACGGTGACGATGATAACGGTGATGAGAACGATGATAACAACAAAGATGATCATTGCTCATCTGCTACAAAGTCGAAACAATCACCATTAGATAATCAGCCATTATCAAACGATGATGATGATGCTTTTCATTTAGTCACACAATTAAATTGGGAAAACGAAGTAATCTGGAATGCTGATGAAGTAAGGCAGAAAATTCTGGCCAAATTAAATGACAAACATCTGGCATCTGGATGGTTACCATCAGGACATAACCGTACGGCTACAGCATTCACACAGCAAATGCGTGGCTCAGCAGCACCAAAATCGATACCAATACCATCGTCCTCATCATCATTTAAGAAAAATGATGGTAAAAAAAATACTGCTGATAGTTCTAAAAATGATGATCACGATGATCAATGGTTCTCGATTTTCCCGATTGAAAATGAAGATCTTGTTTATGGACTTTGGGAAGATTCAGTAATCTGGGATAGTGAAGCTATGGATCGTATACCAGAACCACCGCTTCTCGTATTGGATCGTAATGATGAAAATATTATATTGGAAGTGCCTAACGATGAAGATCCAAATGAAAGTAATAAAAATCAACCGACAAAAGAAAAGAAGGAAGGTATACGTAAATCTCGATTATTATTGGGTAAGGCTGGCGTTATAGCCGAACCAGAAATTCTACAGCCGCCATCACCACCTTCGGGTGAGAAAGATCCATATAACATATCAAATGATGAATATTATGCACAAAAAACAACCACCGATGCGACACTCAAATCCAATGTTGGCAGTAATCTAATACAGCATTCGATTCCAGCATTGGAATTGCGGCAACCATTTTTCCCAACATTCCTAAGCTATCAACGATTACGAGCATTTCATCGTCCTTCATTGAAACGATATTCACATGGAGCTATTGCCGATACATTACCGCATGGCGTTCAACCATTGGTCAAACATATCAAACGTAAAGCTAAACAACGTGAACAAGAACGACAAGCATCTGGTGGCGGTGAAATGTTTTTCATGCGCACACCTGAAGATCTTACCGGAAAAGATGGTGATCTTATATTGACTGAATATTCTGAAGAACATCCACCATTAATCATGCAAGTTGGTATGGCCACAAAAATTAAAAATTATTATCGAAGGGTATGTTTTATTGTCATTCTTGTAAATTATTTAAATAAATTAATTAATTGTATTGTTACAGAAACTGGGTAAAGATAGTGGAGCACCGAATTATAAATATGGTGAAACTGTCTATTGTCATACATCACCATTTTTGGGCAATCTGCAGCATGGTCAATCTCAACAAGCACTTGAAAATAATCTTTTTCGTGTACCGATATACGAACATCAATTACCGGAAACTGATTTTCTTGTCATTCGCACCAGAGATAATTATCATATTCGAGAAGTGGAAACTATCTATACTGTTGGGCAGGAATTACCACTGTACGAAGTTCCGGGGATGCAAATTCAAAGAAAGCGAATAATTTTATGCGTGATTTTCTACAAGTTTTCATTTTTCGATTATTCTGGAAAAACAATGATAATCCACGACGAATCAAAATGGAAGATATCAAAAAAGCTTTCCCATTGCATTCAGAAAGTTCAATTCGTAAACGATTAAAACAATGTGCTGATTTTAAACGAACTGGAATGGATTCAAATTGGTGGGTGCTGAAATCAGATTTTCGTTTACCATCCGAAGATGAAATTCGTGCTATGGTATCACCCGAAGCTTGTTGTGCATATTACTCGATGTTGGCAGCCGAACAACGTCTCAAAGATGCCGGTTATGGTGAGAAATCTATGTTTGCACCGGATGATGCTGAAGATGAAGATCTACAAGTCAAAATGGATGATGAAGTGAAAGCGGCTCCATGGAATACAAGCAGAGCATTTGTATCAGCCATGAAAGGCAAATGTTTATTACAATTGACTGGTGTTGCTGATCCAACTGGTTGTGGTGAAGGATTTTCCTATGTTCGCATACCAAATAAACCACAACAGTCAAAAGAAGAACAACAGAAAGAACCGTTGCCTAAAAAAACAGTAACCGGTACGGATGCCGATCTTCGTAGACTACCGTTGAATGCAGCAAAGCAATTGTTGCGAAAATTCGGTGTACCTGATGATGAGATTAAAAAATTGAGTCGTTGGGAAGTAATTGATGTGGTTCGTACGCTATCGACCAAACAGGTGAAACAACAAACCGGCGATAGTAATGGTGGACAGGGTGAAGATGATGCTATGAGTAAATTTGCCCGTGGTAATCGATTTTCAATTGCTGAACATCAAGAACGATATAAAGAAGAATGTCAACGTATATTTGATCTACAAAACAGAGTACTTGCCTCAACCGAAGATCTTTCCACCGATGAAGATGAAAGCGAAGAAGAGGAAGATTCGGAAATTGAAGAATTGGGCAAAAATATTGAATCAATGTTGGCTAATAAGAAAACGATCAATCAAATATCACGTGACAGAGAGGAAGAGGAACGAAGAGAATTGAAAAAATTAATGTTACGTGAAGAATCATCGAATCAAGGAATGAGTGGTGATTCGAAAAAACGTAAAAACGATTCGAATGCCGATGATAATGATAATAATGATGGAAATGCTCTGATGTCTTCATCATCATCAACTGGTCGAATCCTGAAAATATATCGAACGTTTACGGATTCGGAAGGAAAAGAATATGTTCGTATTGAAACGGTACGAAAACCGGCCGTCATCGATACCTATGTTCGTATTCGTACGACTAAAGATGATGCATTCATCAAACAATTTGCATCGGCAATGGATGAACAACAGAAAGAGGAGAAACGTAAAGAAAAACGCCGAATACAGGAACAGTTACGACGTATGAAACGTAATCAGGAACGTGAAAAATTAGCCAATTCTTTACGCAATAGTTTTGGTATTACGACAACGCTCAATTCAACGATGAATATTGGTTCGATTAGTGGTGCTATGCCATCACAACCACCACTCATTGCAACATCTACACCTGCTAGTTTGGCTTCACCATTTTTGTTTAATCCCAATCTGAATCCTATGGGTGTTGGTGGTACACCACTTGGTACGCCCACCACACCTATCGATTTAATATCTTCATCATCATCATCATCGAAAGTGACTAAAAGATCTAGCCGTAAAGATAAAGAGACGAATTTGAAATTAAAATGTGGTGCATGTGGTAGTGTTGGCCATATGCGTACAAATCGTGCATGTCCATTGTATGGAAATCCGGAAGCTGGTTCGATAACATTTGGCAATGGAAATGACTTATCTGCCGACGATAGTATTGGTGGTGGTGGCGGTGTAATTGGTACTAATCTTAACCAATCATCAACCATTTTGAATGAAGAGAATCTGGTCAAATTGGATGAAACGAAATTGGTTCTTTCGAAATCCGTTATGAAACAATTAGATTTAGAGCAACAAAAACAACAACAATTAGAACTAGAACGACAACAAAAGAAAGCGGCTTCAATCAAATTAAAGATACCGAAAGATGTACTGAAGAAACGGAAGAAACGTTCAGCTACACAGGATAATAATGATCGATTGGATTATCTACAGAAACCTGATTATAAATCAGCTAATCGTCGTCGTACCGATCCATTAGTCATTTTATCTGATATATTTGAAGAAATTTGGAATGAAATGCGTTCCATGCCCGATTCTGAACCATTTCATCAACCGGTCAATGTAAAAACAGTGCCCGATTATTATAATATAATCACTCGACCAATGGATCTACAATCGATAAGACAGAATATTCGTAATAAACGTTATAAAAATCGTGAAGAATTCTTGAATGATGTAAACATGATTGTGAAAAATTCAGAGATTTATAATGGGCCAAATCATGTTCTCAGTACAATCGCTCGACGATTAATGGAATTGTGTGTGTTGAAAATTCAACAAAAAGAAGAAGAACTTATCAAATTGGAAAAAGTCATCAATCCATTATTGGATGAAGATCAAACAGCCTTTTCCTACATACTCAAAACGATTGTGGCACAAAAATTGAAAACCATACCGGATACATGGTCATTCCATAAACCGGTGAATAAAAAAACGGTTAAAAATTATTATGATATTATTAAAAATCCAATGGATTTGGATACTCTCGAACAGAATGCCACGAATCATGTATACAAAACACGTGAAACATTTCTCGAACATGTTGGCCTTATCTATGAGAATAGTGTTCGATTTAATGGTCCAGACAGTGAATTTACACGTAAAGCAGCACAAATTGTTGAAGTGGCAAACATCGAATTAAAACAATATGAATCACAGTTAATCGTATTGGAAAAAGCTATTGGTGATCATAATATTACCGGATTAGATGATGATATGATTGATGATGAATCGAATATGGCCGAAGAATATGATGATGATCAACAACAACAATCAATGCAACCACCACCAGCTAAACAGGCTAGATTATTTCAAGATGTTGATATGGATGAAAATCAACAAGATACAACCGATATTGTTGCTGATGATTTACAGATTGAAAGTGGTGATGAAAGTGATGATGATGATGATGATGATGATGATGATCCTGAATCATTATCCGGTTGGCATGATGCTCATCATCATCAACAACAACAACAACATTCATTTATATCTGAACAGCAATCATCATCATATCATCAAAATGTTGATGATTTTGATGAAAATTATGATCCATCTGAATTTCTATTGAAAAGTTCATTTGCCCAACAATCAACATTGTATCATCAACAACAACAACAACAACAAAAGCAATCGTTTGAATCAAATCGACAAATGGCCATCGATGATGATAATATTGATGATGATGATGAAAATGATAATGATATGGACCATAATAATCAACCAGTTGTCGATGTATCACAGGATCTAGATGTATCCGATTCGGATGATGATGATAATGATGGTGATGTTGCTGAACCAAATGATGATGATGGTGAAGAAGACAATGATTTATGGTTCTAATAATTATTTGCATTAGTTGAGAGTTAGAACAGGCAAAAACACAAGCAGTAAACAATAGCATAAAAGTTAGTGTTTTATGAGCAAATTCTCGAGACTTAAATGACATTCGTAAACAAATCAAATTAACGAACACTACTACTCATTTTTTTTGTTTATGTATGTAATAGATTACGATGCTCCATAACATCGTCATAATAATCGATAATAAGTTCGCAGCTATGTTGTGAATGGACACTATTGAAACATTGTTGGATAAAATAAAGCTTTATTGATCAAGTATATGCAGATCATAGATCCCAGATACTCGATGGATAATGATAATTTGGGATGGGTTTAAATACTAGATTACAATCAATTAGAAACATTCATTAAGTCAAAGTCGAACATTTCATTTAAAATATTCAAAACATCACAACATTGATCATTAACATTCCAAAACAATCATGTTTTGGATTTCAAATGTTACATGTATGTCATATACGACCAGACTGGCCGTATAATTTGGACGAATTTGGTTAAGGCTGAGATGAATTGAAGACTACCACCGTGAGATTTTCGCAAAAACCGCATGTACAATAGCAAATCAGATAACTACAAAACACAATTGCAAAGAAAGATGTGATTTTATTTATTGACAACGAAAAGAAAACAAAACAACAAGACGACGACAATATTGATGATGATGATGAGTTTATGTTTGATCATTTGATTCTGATAGATGGATCCTTAACGTTGGTTGATCGTGATAGATAGATCGTTTCGTTGTTGGATCGTGATAGATAGATGAATGGATGCCCAGGATCCGTCATTGATTATGAATGATGATGAGTCCCCTACGGTCGAGTCTTTGCTGACTGTCCAGTCCTTTTGTCATGTCCTTCTCCGTCGCGTCCTGTCCGTCGTGTCCTCTCCTCTCGACTGGCTAGCTGTGCCTCGCTTTTATATTCTTGATGATCAGTTTCACTGATCATTTGTGCATCAGTGGTGAAGACTGCGTCTTCACAGATGAATTAGCTTAGCAACCAGTCATGGGAACATTCTTAGGAATTTTGCCAGTTGATTCAATCCATTAAGATTTTTGTGGCAATATCGGATGGTCGAAGTCGTTCCTTGACATATATGATATGATGATAGTATGATTACTGAATTTTCACGTGAGCAAACATGTGAAATATTAATAAACATCAGCACCATCTAGAATCAAGAGATCAATTTATTCCATTCTATATTGAACTCATCATTGTCGTGTTCTCCTTTATTCTGTTTACTATTTTAGTGTTTATTCTGTACAATATTCTGAAATAATCCTTGTGGTGAAAATTTTCAATTTATCAATCAATCCGACATAATAATGATGTCGTCGGGCGAAGAAGATAATGATGATTTGCCGAGATCATCATCGGCAAGCCGAATAACAAGCGTCATTTTGTTCGGTAACATTGATGAAAATGGTGAATTAACCGACGATATATTTGATGATGAATGTCGCCGTCATCTTGATTCATTGCAACCACATCTATCATCGATTATTCCCTTTGAAGATTTGATTGAAGATGATGATGATGATGATTCATCTCAGCAACGACAATCCGATAATGACAAACGTTTATCGGACGATGATGATGGTAAAGGTATGAATGTATGATGATTATTTCTAAACTTATAAATTGATTTATCCAATCTATACAAAGGATCTGATTCTGATTTAGATATCAAATCTGAAATTGCAGTCGATTATTCTGATATTAATGAATTCGTTGCCGATGAGGAACAATCATTTGTTGAAGATTTGCTAAACAACATCATTCAAACGAATAAAAATGATAATTGCGACGATGATGATTACGATGATGATAAAAATCAGAATTTAGGTTCACAATCTGATGGCAAACAGAAAGATAACCAGATAGAAATTCAAAAAGATAAAGATGGATTTGTTATACCACAACAACCGATTCGAAAGACTGATTCATTAACCGTTAAATCGAACAACATTCAAATCGAAGAACAACAACAGGATCATATAGATGGTGATAATGACAAACTGTGTGAAGGTAGTGAACAGCAATCTCAAACATGCAAAAAACGTCTAGATACACCATTGGCTGCAATGTTACCATCAAAATATGCCGATCTTGATGTTACGAAATTATTTCCAGAATTTCGTCATAATCAAGTTTTACGATTTTCACGCTTATTTGGTCCAGATAAATCATCGTCATTGCCACAGATTTGGAAATCAGTCCGTAATAGTATATTTGAAAATAAATTATTCATTGTACAACAAACAAAGATACCACCAATTGATAAGAACAATAGAGATATTTGGCAATTTGATGCCTGTCCAGTGGAAGACATACCAGCCGATATGATTGAAATGGATGATGAAATTCGTTTGATGCAAAATGATTTTATCGATGATGAACACGGTAAAAATGGTGCCGGTGAGAATGAAGATCGTAATAAGATAGCTGAATGGCGTTATGGACCGGCAAGATTCTGGTATGATCGTATGAAAGTACCAGAAAATGGTGATGGCTTTGATTATGGATTTAAGCTGAAAAATCAAGATTCATTCATCGACGGTGACGATGATAACAAAAAAGATGATCATTGCTCATCTGCTACAAAATCGAAACAATCACCATTAGATAATCAGCCATTATCAAACGATGATGATGATGCTTTTCATTTAGTCACACAATTCCATTGGGAAAACGAAGTAATCTGGAATGCTGATGAAGTAAGGCAGAAAATTCTGGCCAAATTAAATGACAAACATCTGGCATCTGGATGGTTACCATCAGGACATAACCGTACGGCTACAGCATTCACACAGCAAATGCGTGGCTCAGCAGCACCAAAATCGATACCAATACCATCGTCCTCATCATCATTTAAGAAAAATGATGGTAAAAAGAATGCTGCTGATAGTTCTAAAAATGATGATCACGATGATCAATGGTTCTCGATTTTTCCGATTGAAAATGACGATCTTGTTTATGGACTTTGGGAAGATTCAGTCATCTGGGATAGTGAAGCTATGGATCGTATACCCGAACCACCGCTTCTTGTATTGGATCGAAATGATGAAAATATTATATTGGAAGTGCCTAACGATGAAGATCCAAATGAAAGTAATAAAAATCAACCGACAAAAGAAAAGAAGGAAGGTATACGTAAATCACGATTATTATTGGGTAAGGCTGGTGTTATAGCCGAACCAGAAATTCTACAGCCGCCATCACCACCTTCGGGTGAGAAAGATCCATATAACATATCAAATGATGAATATTATGCACAAAAAACAACCACCGATGCGACACTCAAATCCAATGTTGGCAGTAATCTAATACAGCATTCGATTCCAGCATTGGAATTGCGGCAACCATTTTTCCCAACATTCCTAAGCTATCAACGATTACGAGCATTTCATCGTCCTTCATTGAAACGATATTCACATGGAGCTATTGCCGATACATTACCGCATGGCGTTCAACCATTGGTCAAACATATCAAACGTAAAGCTAAACAACGTGAACAAGAACGACAAGCATCTGGTGGCGGTGAAATGTTTTTCATGCGCACACCTGAAGATCTTACCGGAAAAGATGGTGATCTTATATTGACTGAATATTCTGAAGAACATCCACCATTAATCATGCAAGTTGGTATGGCTACAAAAATTAAAAATTATTATCGAAGGGTATGTTTTATTGTCATTCTTGTAGATTATTTAAATTATTAATTAATTGTATTTTAATTGCATTGGAAATGTTACAGAAACTGGGCAAAGATAGTGGAGCACCGAATTATAAATATGGTGAAACTGTCTATTGTCATACATCACCATTTTTGGGCAATCTGCAGCATGGTCAATCTCAACAAGCACTTGAAAATAATCTTTTTCGTGTACCGATATACGAACATCAATTACCGGAAACTGATTTTCTTGTCATTCGCACCAGAGATAATTATCATATTCGAGAAGTGGAAACTATCTATACTGTTGGGCAGGAATTACCACTGTACGAAGTTCCGGGGCCAAATTCAAAGAAAGCGAATAATTTTATGCGTGATTTTCTACAAGTTTTCATTTTTCGATTATTCTGGAAAAACAATGATAATCCACGACGAATCAAAATGGAAGATATCAAAAAAGCTTTCCCATTGCATTCAGAAAGTTCAATTCGTAAACGATTAAAACAATGTGCTGATTTTAAACGAACTGGAATGGATTCAAATTGGTGGGTGCTGAAATCAGATTTTCGTTTACCATCCGAAGATGAAATTCGTGCTATGGTATCACCCGAAGCTTGTTGTGCATATTACTCGATGTTGGCAGCCGAACAACGTCTCAAAGATGCCGGTTATGGTGAGAAATCTATGTTTGCACCGGATGATGCTGAAGATGAAGATCTACAAGTCAAAATGGATGATGAAGTGAAAGCGGCTCCATGGAATACAAGCAGAGCATTTGTATCAGCCATGAAAGGCAAATGTTTATTACAATTGACTGGTGTTGCTGATCCAACTGGTTGTGGTGAAGGATTTTCCTATGTTCGCATACCAAATAAACCACAACAATCAAAAGAAGAGCAGCAGAAAGAACCGTTGCCTAAAAAAACAGTAACCGGTACGGATGCCGATCTTCGTAGACTACCGTTGAATGCAGCAAAACAATTATTACGAAAATTCGGTGTACCCGATGATGAGATTAAAAAATTGAGTCGTTGGGAAGTAATTGATGTGGTTCGTACGCTATCGACCAAACAGGTGAAACAGCAAACAGGCGATAGTAATGGTGGACAGGGTGAAGATGATGCTATGAGTAAATTTGCCCGTGGTAATCGATTCTCAATTGCTGAACATCAAGAACGATATAAAGAAGAATGTCAACGTATATTTGATCTACAAAACAGAGTACTTGCCTCAACCGAAGATCTTTCCACCGATGAAGATGAAAGCGAAGAAGAGGAAGATTCGGAAATTGAAGAATTGGGCAAAAATATTGAATCAATGTTGGCCAATAAAAAAACGATCAATCAAATATCACGTGACAGAGAGGAAGAGGAACGAAGAGAATTGAAAAAATTAATGTTACGTGAAGAATCATCGAATCAAGGAATGAGCGGTGATTCGAAAAAACGTAAAAACGATTCGAATGCCGATGATAATGATAATAATGATGAAAATGCTCTGATGTTTTCATCATCATCAACTGGTCGAATCCTGAAAATATATCGAACGTTTACGGATTCGGAAGGAAAAGAATATGTTCGTATTGAAACGGTACGTAAACCGGCCGTCATCGATACCTATGTACATATTCGTACGACTAAAGATGATGCATTCATCAAACAATTTGTATCGGCTATGGATGAACAACAGAAAGAGGAAAAACGTAAAGAAAAACGCCGAATACAGGAACAGTTACGACGCATGAAACGTAATCAGGAACGTGAAAAATTAGCCAATTCTTTACGCAATAGTTTTGGTATTACGACAACGCCCAATTCAACGATGAATATTGGTTCGATTAGTGGTGCTATGCCATCACAACCACCACTCATTGCAACATCTACACCGGCTAGTTTGGCTTCACCATTTTTGTTTAATCCGAATCTGAATCCTATGGGTGTTGGTGGTACACCACTTGGTACGCCCACCACACCTATCGATGGAATATCATCATCATCATCATCGAAAGTGACTAAAAGATCTAGCCGTAAAGATAAAGAGACGAATTTGAAATTAAAATGTGGTGCATGTGGTAGTGTTGGCCATATGCGTACAAATCGTGCATGTCCATTGTATGGAAATCCGGAAGCTGGTTCGATAACATTTGGTAATGGAAATGACTTATCTGCCGACGATAGTATTGGTGGTGGTGGCGGTGTAATTGGTACTAATCTTAACCAATCATCAACCATTTTGAATGAAGAGAATCTTGTCAAATTGGATGAGACGAAATTGGTTCTTTCTAAATCCGTTATGAAACAATTATATTTAGAACAACAAAAACAACAACAATTAGAGCTAGAACGACAACAAAATAAAGCGGCATCAATCAAATTAAAGAAACCCAAAGATGTACTAAAGAAACGGAAGAAACGTTCAGCTACACAGGATAATAATGATCGATTGGATTATCTACAGAAACCTTATTATAAATCAGCTAATCGTCGTCGTACCGATCCATTAGTCATTTTATCTAAAATATTTGAAGAAATTTGGAATGAAATGCGTTCCGTGCCCGATTCCGAACCATTTCATCAACCGGTCAATGTAAAAACAGTGCCAGATTATTATAATATAATCACTCGACCAATGGATCTACAATCGATACGACAAAATATTCGTAATGAACGTTATAAAAATCGTGAAGAATTCCTGAATGATGTAAATATGATTGTGAAAAATTCACAGATTTATAATGGACCAAATCATGTTCTCAGTACAATCGCTCGACGATTAATGGAATTATGTGTATTGAAAATTCAACAAAAAGAAGAAGAATTTATTAAATTAGAAAAAGCTATTTGTGATCATAATATTACTGGATTAGATGATATGATTGATGATAAATCGAACATCGCCGAAGAATTTGATGATAATCAACAACAACAATCAATGAAACCACCACCAGCTAAACAGGCTAGATTATTCCAAGATGATATGGATGAAAATCATCAAGATACAACCGATATCGTTGCTGGTGATTTACAGATTGAAAGTGGTGATGAAAGTGATGATGATCCTGAATCATTATTCGGTTGGCATGATGTTCATCATCATCAACAACAACAACAACATTCGTTTATATCCGAACAACAATCATCATCATATCATCAAAATGTTGATGATTTTGATGAAAATTATGATCCATCTGAATTTCTATTGAAAAGTTCGTTTGCCCAACAATCATCATTGTATCATCAACAACAACAACAAAAGCAATCGTTTGAATCAAATCGACAAATGGCCATCGATGATGATAATATTGATGATGATGATGAAAATGATAATGATATGGACCATAATAATGAACCATTTGTCGATGTATCACAGGATCTAGATGTATCCGATTCGGATGATGATGATGATGGCGATGTTGCTGAATCAAATGCTAATGATGGTGAAGAAGATAATGATTTATGGTTCTAATAATTATTTACATTTTTTTTTTGTTTATGTATATGAAGTTTTTTTCTATTTTAATAATCAGAATAAATAAAAAATTCGTGATAACATAAACGATTCTCATTCAATTTATTGATTCGTCGAATGTTAAAGTTGAAATAGTTTGAATGATGATTAGATTTTTACAAGTGAGAACAACAGAACATTCGATTATTTTTGTGTAAAAATTTTTTTTTTCAATAAATGATACAAACATGGTGATTGGTACCATGTGATCCAAAAAAAAAAATGAGTTCAATCAATCAAACAATAGTGTAATGACGTAACATGACGTAACGTAATCAATATATATGTGTGTGTTTGTTTGTTTGTGTTTATATATTTACGACGGAGATTCTTTCTATTTTTTTTCAATTTATTAATGGCTATAATACCGCCACCAAATGGCTGCTGATGTATACAAATACAACAGCATGGCCATGGCCACACCACCACCACCACCACCACTAACACCACAACCACCAACACTCACACGTATATTATTTAGTGCTAAATAAAACTGGAATTTTTATTCGTTTCTGAAATTTTCTTTTCTTTTCTGTTTTGATCATATATGAATTTTTTTTGTAAACAAACCTAGAGATAGAGAAAGTATTCATTGATCCAAATGAAATCAAAATTAACTGATTGATTGAATTTCATCAACAAATAACTTTGAAAATTTTCTTTCATCCTGATTCGACGATCAATAAATAAATCATCAAGTTTTTCGTTGTTTGTTTGTTTTCATTGGAAAAAAAAAAAACATGAATTTAGAAATTTTCAACAAATTTTCCCGTATACAATCGGAAAATGCTTTACAGCAGAAAGAAGTTCTTGATTATTTTCAATCATTAAAATGTAATCCAATTGGTTGGAAAATATGTGCTGAAACATTATTGACTGATTCGATAAACGATGAAATGGGAATATTTTTCTGTTTTCAAGTAATCGAAGATTATATAAAATCACGTTATAATACCGATACTGATGATGAACGAATCATACTCAAACATTTTATAATTACAATGTTTGAAAAAAATTTACTCATTACAAATTATTTACAGAATAAATATGCTCATTTGGTCAACACATTATTCTTGATTGATTTTCCTCAACAAAAATGGCCAACATTTTTCAAAGATTATCTTGGCCGATGTGAAAGTCGTATAAAATGTGAATTATTTCTTCGTGTTTTGATTCAAATTAATCTTGATATAGCTGATCGTGAAATTCCAAAAACGACCAAAGTAAGCTAAGAAAAATTGATGAATAATTGATTTTCATAAATGCATTTTGTTTGTATTCATAGGAAATGCAACGAAATACGTTGATCAAAGATATGATGCGTGAATCATGTCTAATGGATTTGGCTCAATTCTGGTTCAATATTATTGTAATAATAGATATAAAATTATTGTTTTTGTTGACATTAATTGTTGGTTTTTTTTATTTCTAAAATAATATGCAGAATACATATCGTGACAATTGTCCACAGGTTGTTTGTCTTTGTCTCGACGTAATTGGTGCCTATATATCATGGATTGATATTAATCTCATAACAAACGATTCCATTATGCCCGTTTTATTCATGTTATTTTCAAATGTACAATATCGTTGTTCAGTTGTCGAATGTTTTGGTTGTATATTGAAAAAAGGAATGGATCCATTGGCTAAAACACAGTTGATTGAAGAATTTCTGAATTTTGAACTAATTAAAACAACATTGGTCGAAATATTTACCATTCATAATGATATTAATGTTGGTTTTGTCGAAAAATTTGCATCACTAATCAATACAATTGGTATTGAATTGATTGAAGCACAGAAAAAACTTCGTTCACGTATGACATCGGTCGATCCTCATGATCCTAATCATCGTACATCGGCAATAATGTCTGAAGCAATTGAATCAAAATTTCCATTACTTTGTCAATTTTTATCACATAAAATTCTTACTGTATGCATTCGAATACATAGTTTCACAAGAGATTATATTCAATGGCTAAAATCGAATGTTAAGGATTCAACTGAAACGGCTATTATGACTGCAATTGTTGAAGATCGAACACAAACATTAATATCAATCATTGTTGATCGTAATAAAATGTTAGCCGCTTCATATAAACCGGAAGATGAATTTTTTACCGAATTTCGTAAATCAAGTAAAGTTTTATTCGATAATCTAATCCTATTGAAACCGGTGGTAACGCTCAATTTTATTTGTGATAAACTTGTACTACCTACATTCATTAATTGGAAATCTGGTTCGCTAACATTTGCCGAAATTGAATGTGCACTGTATTATTTTCATGTGATTGGTGAAAATCTAAATATTGTGGATGATATTAAATGTTTGGAAAATCTTTTACAAGCATTGGTTACTTCATCGATTTCAATGTTTGAACATCCGATCACACAATCACTATATTTTGATCTTATTGTTCGTTATGAAAAATTTATCAATTCAAATCTAAATCAATTATTATCGCAGATTATTGTTTCATTTTTGGATAACCGTGGTCTTCGTAATACCAACATTAAAATTCGAAGTAAAGTTTGTAAACTTTTCAATAAATTCACTAAATCATACATAAGATCGAAACATAATTCACAAGAAAAACAGCAACATTTTATTGATGATATTCTGAAACGAATTCAGGATTTCCTCGAATTGGACATTGTTTTCGATTCACCGGAAGATCTTATTGAACAAGATTTAGAACATCTAGTTCATTCTAGCTATTTAATGCGTCGAGAACAGATTAAATTCGCATATCCACTATCAGCTTCTGATCATCTACAAATCTATGAAACGGTCGCCTTTTTAATCATATCCAATCATCATGATGCATTGCATAAACGAGAATCACTTAAAGAATTATTTCAGAAAATATGGAAAAAATATCAAGAATATCGGGATGAATCACAATCGATTGGATTATATTTAAATCAGAATGGTTTTACTGATTCGATGGCAGCACAAAAAACATCGCTTCTCGAGAAACGTTCAATCATTCATTATCATATGGCTCATTTAATTGATATAATATCGGCAACATCAAAATCATTTTCAACAGTAAATACGGTGAAAACGATCGGTGTACAGCAGCTATTTCTTTATTCATTTGAATTGTTTACTAAATCCGTTGGACAAAATCTGGCCACTGTTGATCCGGAAGCACAACATATTCTACAATCATCTATTCGACTATTTCTACACAGGTTAATTGTATGTTTGGGTGAAGATGAAATGATACCAATGTTACCAGATGCTATACAAACATTGTTTCTTTCATCATCGGAGATAAGTGCAAAATCCGTACAAGAATTGATACCATTATTTAATCAGATTATGCCGAAATATAAACATTCATGGCTATTTCAACGTGACATTCTACCATTTTTAGATCGAATTTTTTCACCGTTAATCAATCTATATTTTCGATTGATTATTGAAGCTAATATTGATAGTGAAAAGATTTCATTACAGAAATCATATTATTCATATTTACATTTGATCACTGTTCATGGTTTAATGCCAAATTTTTTCGATATTGGTATGTTGCTTTATATTGATTAATTGATTTATTCATTAATTAATTGATTAATTGCCATTTTTAATTATAAACAGAATCACAATTGATTGAAAAAATAATCACTTCTCTTATTGAAGGTATCGTACATTCACCCGATTCACAGATTCAACGTACCTGTTGCCAGGTGATGGCCAATCTGATCGATATCTATGGTTTGTGTATTTTTTATATTATTGTCATTGAAATAATGTTTGTTTAACGTTAATTTTTTTTCTATACACAAATAGTGAACGATATGACACAGGTGGATAAACAAAATCGATCTATTAATCAATACTTTATTCGCTTTATCTATGATCAGCTAATTCTTGCTTGCCTTCTTTGTACGGCGAAAAATTGTTCCGATGATTATGGTACTAGTCAAGATGCCATATCATTGTTGAGGAAATTAAAACCATTACTAGGTGACGAACAATTGGTAGCATTTTTTCGACAGGAAATTGTACCGAAATATTTTCCTTCCATCAATAATAATCCTGTTTTCAATAATAATAATACTAATAATCATCAATCGAATTGTAATGATGATATTATTGCAATGTTTTTAACATTGGACACGAAACAATATCGTAAAAAAATTCGTCACACATTTCAACAGTTTAAAAAATGATATGATATAAACGGGATGAATGGCCATTTCCGTTTTTATTTTTATTTTCTTTTTCTATATTATATACCCAAAACACTGTCAATACAATTCCCTGTGATATTATTATTGTTGTTAATTCTTTTTTTGGCAAGAGAAAAAAAAATTTTTAAACGGAAACGATAAAATGATCAAACCGGAAAAATGAAAAAAAATTTATTGATTTTATACAAAGAAAGTAATGGAATTCGCCCAAATAAAACTATCAATGTATAAACATTGATTATGATGCTGATGGATGCAATACTGATAGTAGCATTGACTATGGTAGATGGAAAAAATCATCGTCCACGAGGTAGTAGTATGAACGGAATGAATATTGCAGCAATTCGAACGTCATCAACATCAACATCAACAGCAGCATCATCATCATCATCAACAGCAACAGCATCAATTATTGTTAGAAAAAAAAATCTGATTAAAACCGGAAAATATTGAATAAATAAATTGCTGAATTTAATCGTCAAATATCGATCCATTAAAAATTACCAATACATTTCTATTCAACCCAAATAAATACCAAAAACAACAACAACAACAACAAAACATTCGAAAGTGGAACAAATTTTTTTTTGTGACAATCGGTTCGCTTCGTTGTTTATCATCCTTTAGCAGAGAGAGAGAGAGAGAGAGAAAAAAAAACGAATATTGCGCCGTTATAATCAACAACAACAACAAAAGTCAACAATTTAAATTTTTCTTTTATAAATCAGAATCATCAATGGTATGATTAATAAACGATAATGATGATGACTATAATCATTATTTGTTTGAATGAATTGTCAATTTTTTCAACATTTTTATGCTGCTTTTTCATCTCATCAAAACGAAAAAATCGATAAATCATTTCAACGACAACCAAAATCAACAATAAACGATAATCAATGAATGAACGATTATTTGAAGCAACAATTGAATTCATTTTGTTTGGGTTTTTTTTCGAAATTCCTTGAATCATCATCATTGGATTTTGATTAATTGTTAATATTACCTGTATATTATGTGTTGTTTTTTTATAACAACTTTTTTCGATTGATATTTGTATTACACCAACATCAACATCATCATCAATCAGTTAATCATTATCACCTTGGTTGTTTGTCATTTGGCTCTCTCTCTCTCTTTCTTTCTTCTCTGGAATCTTCTGGATTTTCAATTTCGGTGACACAAGCCAAACCAATGTGTATGTGTGTGCATCGTATATTATCTGTCTCGTCTTTCCGTCGTCGAAATTATTATTATTGCTCAAATTATTTTAGTTTTCTATCGATCATCATAAACACAAATACATACTCTCTCTCTCTCACACACACACATATATATTACATACTCTCAAATAAATAAATAACGAGATAACGACAAATTGTTGCATTCGTCTGCTTTTTTATCATAATAATTGGATATTATCATAAAAATAATATAATAATATATATATGAGAATTGCAATGGAAGTTACGTTATCGGAATTTATAGCCAAAACTTCATGCGATCCCGGTCTAGCACAAGATTTATTAAATCGTAAGTTAAAAATTGAAAATTTCATTTTTTTTCCGTTACTTATATTTATTTATTTATTATTGTTATAGATCATGGCTGGAATTTAGCAGCAGCATTGAAAAGCTATTATCCAATGAATGATATAATTACATCGACGTCTTTGACGGATCATAATGATGATGATGATGATGATAATGCTGTTAAAATGAATGGTTCGAATTCAAAAGAATCATTAGCAACAACCATACCGCCCCTAACAACATTGAATGAAATAAATGGTCATTGTTGTAATCATTTAATGACAAATGTTAAGGATACGTTTCTAATACCGAATAAATGTACATCCGAACCATCACTATCATCACAATCATCCGATGCATGTGATTCATCTGTGCTGTCAACACCGACTAAATTTACATCGTTCAAATATCATCGTAATGGAGATTCTTTTCCAGATAAAAAACTAAGCCGCGGTATATCACGAGCTTCGGATAATGAAAATCTCATTTCGAAAGCACGATTAGAAGTAGCCGAAGATTTCAAAACATCACATCGTGGTAGTCGCCTGTTGAATATTGATAAATTGATTGAAACACCAGAATTTACTTTTACATTACCCGATATACATAGACATGAAGATGAATTCTATGAATTTCTTCGTAAAGATTTGATTGAAAAATCTGCGAAAGCATCGTTGGAATCATCTAAAAGGCTGAATTGGTGGTCAGATATATGTCATCGTTTATATCCTCTAGTCACTACAGGTGATGGCAATTGTCTGTTGCATGCTGCTTCATTGGGTAAATAGCAAAATGTCAAACATTCACAATTATTCATGCATTTTTCTTTAAAAATAGGAATGTGGGGCTTTCATGATCGAGGTCTCATCCTACGAAAAGCGCTTCATCTTATGTTGGCCAACAGTTCATATACACAAGCATTTTATCGTCGTTGGCGTTGGCAAACACATTTTCAGAATTCCAAAGCCGGTCTATCATTATCCGAACATGAATGGGAAAAGGATTGGGATTCAATCGTACGTCTGGCGTCGACTGAACCAAGATCGAAAAATTATGATTCTAGTAATGAAATGACCGGTGCTGGTGGTAAAAAAGCACCACAGGATGAATATGAAGAGAAATCCTACATATATGAAAGTTTGGAAGAAATTCATATATTTGTATTGGCTCATGTATTACGAAGGCCAATCATTGTCATTGCTGATACGATGCTCAAAGACTCAAAGGGTGAAGCATTTTTCCCTATACTCTTGGGTGGAATCTATTTACCGCTTGAATGTCCTGATGATTGCCTGATGAAATCACCGCTCTGTTTGACATTTGGTAAGTATAATGATTTTAATTTCAAAAAATTTTAAGATATTCATTGAGTATCAATTTGCAGATGCGGCACATTTTTCAGCGCTAGTAGCAATGAACATTGAATCACCATTGATTAATTCGAAGGAATGTCTACCATGGGCAATACCATTAATGGATGTTGATCACAATGTTCTTCCATTACATTTCGCTATCGATCCGGGTAAAGAAGTTTTCATCGAAAATAATAAATCAAACATTGATACCACCCTCAATGATCTGGCCAAGACATTAGTGTTAACCGAACAGGATAAAATTGAATTATTGAAAAAATATTTCGACATTCTGACACTCGCACATAAGAAAGAAAATTGTATTGAAAAAGAAATACCCATCATTGTTACATCGGCTGCCTCTGATGTTGCAACTGATTCTTCAACTTCAATTCCTGCAAGTCTTCCAAAAACAAGCACAACAAAACAATTAACTGAAAAATCGCAAACACTTCCATCTAATTTTGGTCGTAAAAATGGTGAATTTTCCTCATTGATCAATGGAGGTGGTGGTGGTGGTGATGAGCGATATAAATCTCGAGCCAAACAATTATTACAGAAACCATTTCAAACATTTGGAAAAATGGGCAAGAAAATTAAACGCAATCTTGGCCATCTGGCACGACGGTCAACATCATTTCGATTGACAGGAAAATCCTCTATGGAAAATGGTCCAATCGAAGTGATTGAAGAAAATGAACATAATAATGACGAATCAAATACTGCCAATGATAATCAATCTACTATGAACAGTAACAACAAAATCAATCGAATCGAATCGATAATCAATACAGATAATTCAATTTTTTATTGCGATACAAATGTTTTAGCTGCCAAATTATATATGAACAAAAAATTATCCTATCATGATGAATTAATCAAGAATTATCTAACTACAGCACGTGTACGGTTTGAAAATGAACGTGAACAACGACGATTAAAAGAAGCGGAAAAAGCATCGACAGCAGCAGCTGAAAAACAAACAGCATCTAAATCATCGATTACATCAACAATAAGTTCAGCCTCTTCTTCCTCATCATCATCGTCATCTTCCGCTTCATCGCTTTCGGATGCTGAATCTATTTCAAAACTTGATCAAATCGATAACTCATCATCGAATTATTATTATAATTGTGTAAACAATGGCTGTGAATCTAAATCAACACCGGAAACAAATTATCTTTGTCGATCATGTTTTGATGAACAGAAAAAAGCTTTGCTCAGTAATGGTTTCGGTTCAAAGTCATCAGACATTATCGATGATAATGGAATAAAACAACCACAAGAAAAACATGTTAATGTTGAAAAACCACCGAAACTTGAAAAAATCAACAAAATAATGGAAGGTGATGATGATGATGATGATGATATTACAAGACAAAAATTATCGAATCAAATTTCAACAAAAACTACCGCTGCTGCTGTTGCTGCTGCTACCGCCACTACAAACGATCGTTGCATCACGAATGTGTGATATTTATCCAAATTCATCATTATAATCGAAAAATTTTTATTTTTTCAGGAACCGAAACACCCTCCTCCTCATTTGCTCGATAAACATAAACACAAGTACACAATTGATACAATCAATCAAAACAACAACAACAACAACAAAAACAAAAGATATTCACACCCTGTATTTTGTTCAACCAATTAATATACAAACATCCACTAATGAGGATCATTTCATATTATATAATTAATAATAATGACCATATACTATATATTATTTACAGAACAACAACCACATATATTTACAATTTTTTTTCTGTTTGTTATATTTTTTTTTTCATCAACATCACAAATTCATAATTTTCATTCATCATTTAATATATTTTCTTCATTATTATGCCTGTTTGTTATGAAAGACGACGACAACAACAACAACAACAACAAAAACAACAAAAAAGGATCATTTTTTATTATTATTATTTAATTCAACAACAAAAAAAAGGCACTCCATATATTCTATTCATTGTTGAAACTTCATTCATTCATTCATTAATTCAATGAATATTATTTTTTTTATTTTTTATTTCGTAAAATTTCAAAAAAAAAATAAAATAAAATTTTAATCAACTTTGTTTTCCGTCTCATAGATGGCATTATTGGTTATAAATGTACGCATCAATTCAATTTGTATATATTGAAAATGAATGAACGGACGAAAGAAAAGGAAAAATTCTGGTCCTCGATGGATTGGCTATTCGACGACGACGACGACGACGACGACGACAAGAATAATTCGATGTGACAATTTGTACTGAGCCGGCTCAGTTTGGTTTTTTGTATATCTGTGGTCTGTCTGTCTTGTATGTGTGTGTGTGTATGTAATATTCGGTTCCTTCGTTTGTTCGTTCGATTGTTCTCGTTGTTTTTTTGTTAATGATGATGATGATGGTGTATTATTGGTTAAATTCTGTTTGATCCATATTTTTTTTTTTTTTTATCTTGATTCTTGATCATATCTTCAGTTTTTTTTGGTTATTTATATTTCATGGAATTTATTACGAATATTGATTTATTAAATAAATGAATGATTTTTTTTTATTTGATTGCCGAATTCATCAGAAAAGTCCTTATTTTCCGTATACAATATGCTTTATTTTATCAAACAAATCGAATTGATCTCTTTACCATAATCGTAAAATCGTAATCGTAGAATTTTTTTTTCTTTGAATTTTGTCCATTGAAATAATGAATATAAATTCAGTTACGAAAACAGCAGCCGTACCAGTATTAAATATGGATATGATGGATGATCATCATCATAATCAACATGGACATCATCATCATCATCATCATCAACATGGTAATCATCATGGCCATCAATATGTACATAATCATCCATCGACAGCATCTTATTATCAATCGAATGCCGATCCATATATGGTATGAAAAATTTAAAATTTTTTCTCAATTTTTTTCACCCTTTTTAAACTCAAATAGACCGAATCACATTTACCATTACCAAGTCCACTACATTCATCAACAATAACAACTAGTCATCAATCTGCGATTAGCGATAATAATAATAAAATACAGCAACAAAAACAACAAAAATCACTTGGTTCACCATTATCAACACAACCACAACCATACTCATTGTCAATATCGATGTCACCAGCGATATCACCTGTTCTACATCATCATCATAATAATAACCATCTAACACCATCTCCCACAACATGTGCATCATCGGCAACTGTAAATGATTTGATTAGTTCTCAAAATAACAATAACAATAATAATAATCGACAACAACAACAACAGCCACAGATTCAATTTATCAATAACAATAATACAAGCAACACCAGTAGTGGTAATAGTAATCATCATTTTGAATCACCACCATTGACAACTACAACATATCTACCTGGAAATTCATTAGCCAGATCATCATCATCATCCGCAACCGATGTAGCTACCGGATCGATCATGTTGAATCATCATCATCAACCCACTTTTATCAATGAAAGTATATCAACATCATCGACGCACATATCGGAAACAACATCGGATGCAAATACTAATTATGCCATTACACCTCCTTTACCACAACAATCGACCAATCTAAACCATCAACATCATCATCAACCACATCTTGGTCACGGAAATCATCATTTATTGAAGAATTCCACACCACATAATTATCATGGTTCAATGGCCGGATGGAATCATCATAATCAACAACAACACCCAATTACCCCTGATTCACCACTGCCATCGTCAAATTTGAATGCTCGGCCTCAATCACGAATTAAATCATCATCATCATCAAATCAGGCATATTCATCACAACAACAGCATCAACAACAGTTAGAAAATGATTGTTACCCATATATGGAACTACAGAATTCGGATTCATATCTAACAACATCGATAAATCCGATTCACAACAATAATAAGAACGATGCATCATTCATGGTTAAAACGGCTATAATGAATCGAAAAATTCTGAACAATAGTACACAGATTCATAATCATCCAGAGCCGAAACAGCAGCAGCCCTTGAACTCTAATAATAATCAGATACAGCGATCAAAAATCGTAGACAAGCTAGCAAATGATGACAATGTGAATGAAACAAAAAATCGTCCATTTGAACGAAGAAATTTAATTATTTTCAAAATTATCGAACAGCTAGTCGATCCATTAACAAAAACGGTAGTGAAAGAAAGTGTTCAAAAAAATGAAGAATTCGCTATTGATATTGGTCTTACCTCATTCGATGATTGGAAAAGTAATCATAAAAACAATAATAATAATAATGATAATCTAAGTAATGTAAACAGTACAATGCTTAGCAATCGATCTCATGCCGGAAGCTCTGGTCTTTTAGCCGATGTTAGTTGTTTAACCGCAAATACAAAAAGTTCATGTTCAAATTCATTAATAGAATTATATGGTACAACTGATTCATCCATGGTCAATTCAACTTCATCAATTGATATGATTGATGAAGATATGAAACCAATGGTCAAAAAATTGGATCAAACAGTGAAACAATCTAAAGATTCGAAAAAATCATCAGATAAAATCAATGTTGATCAATTAGTGGATGAAAGTAAAGATAAGGAAGCAGCATCGGCATTATTATCATTACAAAAGACACCGATTAAAACACCTAAATCATCGACGATTAATCTTCATTCAACGACAAAAGGGAAAACAGTGGCTAATGATCAGTCAAAAACAATGGAAACAAAAAAATCAAATGATACTGATAATATTGTGATCGAACGACTTAAACCAGGTATGAAAATTATGGCCAAATGGAAGGATAAGAATTTTTATCCAGCCGAAACAGTAAAACAAAATGATACACATCGATGGATGGTACGTTTCGAAGATAATGCAACCAGGAGTCTTTTTGAAAATGAAATCATCCGAATCGAACATCTTGGTGAACCCAAACAAGAATTAATGGTAAAAATATCCGATGATTTATGTAAAGCATCAGTGGTGAAAAAGATGGTCAAATTTGATAATAAAAATTATCGTTTCGAACTTGAACATTCGGATGAAGATGATCGTACCAAAGTGATTAAACAATATCAATTAAAAGATGTATTCCTTTATGGTGAACAAGGAACCATACTGTTGAATCGTTTCTCTAAACCAGCGATGATGGCAGCCGTTTTTGCTGATGTTGATCTCGATAATATTGTTTCAGGTAAACGATCACGGAGTAAAAAACAAGAGGAAAAAAAGAAGCCATCGACGGATAAATCTGTCCCTTCCGATAGTTCGTCCGATAATATGGCCACAACAAATCAGACGAAAAAACGAAAAACCGCTAACAATATCAACAAGGAAGATCATGATCATCAATCTATAGTAACATCGAATAATTCGATAACATCAAACCGAACTTTAAAAAATCATAACCTTACCAATTCATTGAAAACGAATCGATTAACATCAACAGTAGGACATTATCATGAACGATCACTATCATTATCACCACCACCGATACGATCAGCCCGATCAATTGAATTGACAATACCGAAAAATGAATTGGAAAAAATTTTTGGCCCAATACCGAAACTCGGTTCACGGTTATTTCAAAATCTGGCATTCATTCTGACTTGTGGAAATAATATCAACAACAATATTAACAATGATAATAATAGTAATGGTATGCTTGATTCGAATGATTCGGATTCTAATCCTGAATGTTCCACGCCTTTCGACAAGACATATCTGATAAAACAGATTATCAATGGTAATGGCAAAGTTTATGAATCCTATGAAGAAATGAAGGTTTGTATCATATTAATTGTGTCGATATTTTTTTTAATTATTATTTTGAATTTGTTGTTACTGATTTTCAGAAATCATCATATGAATGTGTTTGTATAGCGGACACATATTCACGGTCGATTAAATTTATTCAATGTTTGGCCGGTGGTGTATCGATTGTTAGTCATCAATGGATTATTGAGTGCTGCCGTCAGAATCGAATTCTTGATCGTGAATCATATATATTACCAGCTGGTTATAGTATCATTACGAATGCATTATCATCGGATAAGTAAGTAAACAATTTTCACAGTCCACCTCATTTACATTAATTTGTTATTGATTTTTTTTCAAGGAGTACATTCAAAAGAAGTTCGGTTCTATTTAAAGGAACAAAATTTTATTTCGGTTCAGAAACGCCTGAGAAATTGCAACAACTATGGTCGCCAGTATTGTTGGCTGCACAGACAACCATTGTACCAAATGATCCAAATATTCATAAATCACTACAACGTAAGTACATTCGAACTATACATTCATTTATTTCAAAATCATATCATTTTGTCAAAAAAAAAAAACAGGTGGCCAAATCGAAATCGTGATTGGTGATGCTAGTTGCCCAGCCGCTTTGGTTTCAAAAATCAAACAGCTAAAAATACCAATCGTTGCCAGTGAATATATTGTACAATGTTTAATCAATGGCCGTAAATTACCATACGATGCATCGCCATTGTTTTCCTACTTACATAAATGACACACCCATCATCAACTACATACAAAATACGCTCGACGATTCCATTCAAACAACACACCACGATTCGAAGCAAAATAAATAAAAAAAAAATTTCCCTCTTTTATGTTTGCATCTAATACTCTCTCTCTCTCTCTCACCATTATATAAAAATAATCGATTAAAAATAATTAGGAATTTGCAAATAATTAAAAATTTGTAAAAAAAAATTTAATAAGCAAAACTTCATTCCACAATATATTCCACATCGATGAATATTGAACCCTATAGAAAAAAAAATCAAATTCATGACAATGATGTTGGGTTTTGTTTGAATCACGTGATGAATATCTAAATCATTAATTGGTATATCAGTTGATGGATCAGTATATGAAATAATCAAACAATCGAAAAAATCACAAATCAGTACGAGAAAAAGCAGCGTCGGAAGCTATTTATGAATAGGAAGCTTGAACACGACCACACACACACAACAACAACAACAACAACATCCAAAATGACGATGGTCATAGAAAAAGGTTTTGATGTGAGAAAAATATCTTCTTGGATAAAATAAACAACAATAATGAATGTGAATCTCAGATTCAGTCACATGGGTTGTGATGGTAGTGTGTTGTCCATGATTATTTGTGAAATCGAATTGCTATGTTTGTTTCGTTTTTATTGCTTGATGATGACTCGGTAAGATTTATATTAATTTCAAAGCTGATATTCCCATATGTCTTTATCATATCCTTCTTGAACATGGTCCAATAAAGCTCGTCGTCGTGATTCACAATATCTACAATCAAGGAATTATCGATAATCAAATTTTGAAATTATTATAGTGAAGCTATGCTTACCTATGTTTATCTTGTACTTTTTGTTTGATCACTGTTATATTATCGCCTGTGATTTCTCGTTCGAGATATTCGGATAATTTTTCGGTGGCACTTTCCAGATCTCTTTGATTATCTTCAAATATGATCGATTGATTATTTTTGATCAGATAATATGCAAATACATAAGTGTACATTAATGTTTGCCGACATTGACAAAGAACATCAACCGCTTTCTTTAGGAATTGTACTTCGATCCAGGACATGTTATGCTGTTGCATTTCCTCCATTTTCGCTTTGACCAATTCGTATAGTTTATGTTCAAATTTTAAACTTTGCATATGGTTCATATAACGATTACAATAAAACAGATATCGTTGTAATGCTGATCGAGATCTTTCCTGTGCATCACGAGCTGCTTTTGCTTCGTCTTCATCATATCGATTACAGTTATACCATGAAGATCCATGTGGTTCCCAGGGTCCAAGACAGACCCAACAAAAGTCGGCTCGACAAGATTGATTTTTGCATATCTAAATTAAAGGAGTTATTACTCAATCAATTAAATTAGAATAAAAGATTCCTGCCTACCATATGATTACATCCACCATCTTTTTCGATTGTAACCTGACATTTTGGACATTCTTTCGTATTGGCCGCTATCCAATTCGATGTTTCACTATCATCATCGCATTTCTTTTTCCATTTTTTTAATAGATCACATTTTATTGGCTCATGCCAATCTTCGCTGCATAAAACACTGAATGTTCACATAGATAATTAAGAATTAGCCATATCAATAGAATTGTGACTTTTTGTTTGGACTTACCAGAAAACTTTACCACAATAGCATTTAACTGGCCTAAATGCTACATATTCAACTTGAATGACACGAGAACATTCAGGTTTTGGACACCAACGAAGTAGCCTGTTACACTGTATGTTATCAATCATTATCATCATCATTATTATTTAAAATTCTAAATGACGAATAAAAAATGGCAACTTACTTCGACAAAGCTATTAGTTATGAGATGCTGATATCGCAATTTGACTTTGGGATCGTTAACCAGATTAAAAACAGTTTGATCATCGACCAAAATATCGCAATTATGTGCCGCACAACAAATTGATTGTCCTTGACCTTCTTCCATGATTTTCGTTGTCAGATAATTTGTCCAACATTCACGACAGAAACGATGTTCACATCCTAATCCAGTCATTAACTATTTAATCGTACAACAACAAAAAATTATAAGCAAATGACCAACGCAAGAGCAAACCAAAAATATCACATACCGATGATGGATATTCCACACAGCAGATAATGCAAAATTCATTTGCATGATATATTGGCTTCTGTTGTGAAAAATTTTAAATCAATTTAAAAATCAAAATCAATAACACACACACACAAATACCTTGATGGGACGATAATTAGGGTTGACAATATGAGCATCATGAAATAATTGCGTTTGATCACCATCATAATATTTTTCATATAATTTTTCTTTATCCCATTTGAAATGATTCAATAAAATTCGGGTGATCGTTTGAGGAAGCTAAACAAATATAATAAATCGATTAATTTAGAAAATTGAATTGATTAAAATATTTTATTACCTGAACAACAGTATTGACTTCTTTGATCGTATCGTTCATATATCTCATTATATCTTCTGTGGTTAATACTTTAAATGGATAATCATCATCCATATCCATACCATCCGGCCGTTGTCGAATGGAATTACCGACATTAGTATCTAATGCTAATAATACACTATCATCATCAAGATCTTCATCATCATCATCGTCATCATCATCATCATCATCGGTGGTTAATGGTGGTGATGATTCATTAATCGAATCATCATCATCACAATGTTCATAATCGGACATTATCATTGAAAAGAAGAAATAAAAAATTCACAGAAATAAATATTTATAAAAAAAAAAAACTAAGAGATTCCTTTTTCCACGTTGTGATAAGACAAACAAAATATAAAAAATAAGAACTCGAACACACACACACACACACAATGAGTAATGTTCCTATACTACACGATGAATTTGAAAATCAAAATCATCAAAGTAAAAATTGAATTGAATGAATTTATAATGATGATGAAAACGAAATGAATTTCTTTTTTTTCAAGGATCAATCAGCCGTTTTTTAATATTATTTTCAATGATAACCACCAGTGGCCATTCAAAAATCAACGAACACAGCTCAAAATGTGATTGATTTCTCGATGATAATAAAATCGAAATATATATATATATATGGCAGCAATTCGAATTTTGAATATAATATATGTGATTTGATGATAGAATATTCTTAACGATTTAATGCGATTCTATATTTGATAATGTCGTTGTTTGTTGTCGATGATTTTAAATTTTATAGTAGTAAATATAGTTTATTATTTATCTTTACTGGATGTGATTGAGGTTCTTGTTTTTTTCTTCGCGTTGTTAAGGCAAAAAAGGACTACGAACTTGTTTCATTCGTTTACTGGTTGCGAAGAAGAATGATTGGATGTTGCGGAGAGGAAAAAAAAACATCACCATCACCATCACCATCACCACAACAATGACAATAACAATTCTCAACTATTCAGTTGACTACTACACACAAACTATTAAGCGGCAATAGTATTTCTCAATGTTATTCATATATTGTTATATTCTGGCTCAACATACACACACACACACACACACAGACAGACAGAAGGAACATTTTTATTTGAATTCTGCTAGCAGTAATTTTTTTTTCAAAAGTTAAGATTTCATCCACTAGATGTAGCGTTAAACATTAATTTTTTTTAATATTTATAAAAACTATACTAATCTCATTTCATTTCATTTTTTTTCCCATTTTGAATGATTGAATTATTCATCGGTTTTATCAATAATCAATAATAATAACAATTTTAATTTCAATAGCTGAATTTTTTTTTTTGCTATAATGAATCGAAAATTGAAAATAATGCGTGTGAATATAAACAGTTAATTTTATTTGGGTTCCAGAAAATTTGTATACAAGAAAAAAAAACAATTCTGGAGAAGTGGTATACGTCATAGATGACGGAAGGAAATTGTTCCAACACTTTTTTTCTCTCTCTCTCACGCATACTTGAAAAAAAATATTGTTCGAACGTCGAACTTATTCTACATCACTATAGAACAATAACATTTGCGATTATTGATCCAGAAAAAAATTGACATCATGTGTTTTGTCATGTGAAATTCTTTATTTTTTTTTTTTTTTTACTTTGTTCATTAGCGAATTCTGTTGTTCATACAAACAATGTTTGTCAGAAAGAAAAAATTGTCAAAAGAAAAAATTTTCACCAAGAAAAATGCGGTGAGTTTTTCTTTATTCATATATATGTTCTAGGTTAATTTTAATTTTCTCATTATTATGACAGAAATGGATAAGATTATTTGAAAAGGTAAATTTTGTTCGTCAATTTGTTGCATAATTTTGACAGTTTTTTTTACACAGTTCGATCCGGAAGGAGCCGGACGAATATCTACAGAAGATTTTCTCATTGCAATTGATTCCAAAGATTTTCGTCAAGATCCTCGTGTGGCTCGTAAACGTGCTGCACTTAAATCCAAAGTTCTTGAATATGGAACCAGTTTCATTACCATTGAAGAATTTATCGAAGTGGTAAGTGATGCGTGTTTTAATCACTTTTAAGTGTTACATTAATCGTCGGTATGGCTACACAATCTTTTGTGATTGGCATATTGTTGACCAACATTTCTTGTAATGGATCAACGATCCTAAGGGCTTTGAATTGAAATTCTTGTCCATTGAATTTTATTCTATAATCCCTGAGATATGGTTTGAGTATTAGCAATGAATCACCCGGTCTTGGGCCTTTGTTTTTGACCAGATCATAAACAAACAATGTTATTGTATGGCCCCGGGAATCAATCGTAATGTAAATGGAAGAGAAAAATAAATTATGCGGATCTGCAATATACGATACAATTCGACAGACTAGTAGACAATCATTTGGTCCTTCACATAATTCGTCAATTAATTTCGTTTGACCATTGAAAAATTTTTTTTCATTTTGAAATTGACATTTCAATCTTGATTCTTCCGATTGTAGTTGTTCTTTAATACTGGCCAATTTTTTCGCTTTAATCACAGTCCTGTCCAATTTATTGCCCTGACAAATATCGGCAAATAGATTAAGTAGTTGTTGTTTTTTATTCGAAAGTTCTAGCCATTCTGGATCATATCGATATGCATCATGTAAACATTTGATGGCTTGTTCAAATTCTTCATCATATTGTAATACTGTACTATAGTTGAATAGAACATCCGATTTTGTGCGTACAATCGGATCATTTATTGCTTTTTGATAGGCTGATTTACAGCGGACCAATAAATCCGTTCTTGATCCAATAGATGACATGAAAAATAATGTTAGATAAGCATTGCCTAAAATTGCCCATGAATGATAATCATCCACATCATATTCAAGAGCTTTTTTAGCCAATTCAATACTTTTGACAATATTTTGATGTTTTTCTTCCATTGAATCACATCGATTTGATCGTAACATAATCGATAGATTGCGTAAGGCTCGTTTTTCCATCGGATTCATTTGTACAACTTTTTCAAAACAATTTCGTGCTAGATTGAGTTGACCTTTTTTAAAATAACATTCACCTAATTCAAGCCATGCTTGTTGATTATCTGGACGAAATTTTATCGATTTTGTCAATGTTTCAAATACGTTCGAATCATATTGATCACGTATGTTTAATAGCCATCCTTTTAGGAAATAATATTCTGCTTTATCCACATCATCCGAATGTTTTTCAAGTTCATCACAAATTACCTGTGTATAATTGTAGAAATCAATGTATTAATTGTCCAAAAAGATTCAGAAAAAAACATACCTTGATTTTTATTTCAATAGCTGCCTGTTTTTGTGGCCATTCATTTTCGTTAATTTTTAGAAAATATTCATCACGATACCGATATAGATCGGTAATTTTTTGACGTATTATTTCGAGGTCAGTTGACATTTTTATGTATTATTCTTTTCGTTTGAATTTTGACATGGAAAAAAATTCAATTATTCAGGATGGGTCATTTTTTCATTGGCCATTTGTTTCACATCTAGAATTGTGAGCTCACGTATAAGTGCCAATCATCTTCTCACTAGATGGTGCTATGTGTTTCATTTTGAAAAATTCATAATTCTATATCGATTGAAGAATTTGAATTCGGTCTTTGAACCCATATCATCATTATTTAAAGATCCTGGCAATTGATCATAATGTAACATATTTTAGTTGCTTATTTTTTCGAATTAATATTTACATAATATAATATAATCGAAAATTATTACACGCCAGAAGCTGCATAATTTTTTTAATTATTACGCATAAAAACAGCGATGAACTTTGAAACAAACAAAAACAAACAGAGAAATTCATTGTTTGTTGTTTTATTAGACCTAGCTTATTATTTTGCCGACCAAGAATGCCAAAAATGGCTTTTTATTCATTCATGTATTTGGATGATTTTCATTTGCCTGCATCATGAATTGTTGGTTTCCTGTGCGACCATAATCATCATTGATGATGACTTTTGTACGGTTTTTTTGTGTGTGTGTGTAGATGTGTGATATATGACTTTTTTTCTTGTTTGACATGAACATGACATGTAATGGTTCTATCTGTGTGTGTGTGTGTGTGTGTGTATGATATGACCATATTTGTATAGTTTGTAATCATTATTACAAATATGGTGAATTGGTGTTTCATTTAGAACCAAATGCTATTTTTGAGTAGTTTTTGTTGTAGCTAAATAATAATGAATTGGCTAAATTGATCATTTTGTTGGCTAAGAATAAAATGAGATCATCATCATTATTATCAATGGGAAGCCGAATTTTTCTAATTTTAATCGTTGATCACATCACGAATAATATATCAATGTTGTTGTTTTGTTATTTTCAAGATTTCTGACTGACAAACAAACAACTAATCATAATTCCATCCAGAAATGATTAATGATAAATGTTTTCGAATGAGAGACCATAAGCCACTTTTTTTTCTCGATATTTTATTCATCCATCCATATAAGTAGGATAATAAATGTTGCTGTTGGCACGTGTTTATCCTATGATGATGATGATTGAAACTTTTATGAATTTTTTTTCATATTTCTAATTTCAAAATTTATCATCATCCATATTTTTTTCAATATAAATAGCTTACTATTGAAATATTTTCAATATTCAGTTTATTGTTCAGACTACCCGCTGTGTGTGTGTGTGTGTGTGTGTGTGTGAATATGCATGAATGGCATACACATCCAGTTTCGAATGATTTTGAATTGTGAATTATCGTGTCAAATGAATAAGAGAAAATTTTAGGGTTAAATTGGCTACACTAGTTAACCATAAATATAACTAGCTATAGCTAATTTATATTATGAATGAATAGATCCATTTCAAACAAACAAAACATAAGCATAATCATTTTTTTTTGTAGCTCAACAAAACTATATATAGTCATCATCAATGACTGATACTAAAAAGGGTTCATTGTTTTTGTTGTTGAAAAATTTTCTTTTTTTTTCTTTACTAACTACCTGTTGATATATTCATTCTATGTTCATTGGTTGTCTGTTGTTGTTGTTGTTGTTGTTGGACCACACAGAATTTTTTTTCAATGAAAACAATATAAATAATCAGAACAACCCTTTTTTGTTTTCTATGGAGAAATAAATGAATTTTTAGAAAAAAACAAATGCCGCACAAAAAATGGCCCCTAGTTATTCTTTTTCTCTTATTATTCGATTTTTGTTTTCAGGTTGATTGGCTAAAGTTTATTTAGTTAGTCATATCTTTGATGGTTGTATGATGATAATAATAATGATGATGATGATGATGATGATGATATGACCTTACCTGTCAAAACTCAATCAAACTGCATGTGATTTTTTCCTTTTGCTTAAGCAAAAAAGTTTTTAAAAAAATTAATTTCACCTGACTTGTATTTTTTTTTTGTTTTGTTTTATGGATCTCTTTATTTATTTTTTCAAACAAATGAGTGTATGTTTTTGTGATCGATACTCCAAGTTTTCCTTTATTTTATTTTGCAATATGATCCAAGGTGTTCAGTATATCTATAGTGTGTTAACCCTTTTCAACAGAATGGTTTTGTCGACTTGTGTGGTTTATCTTTTTTTTGACATTATCATTAAAATCATTTTTTTTCTCAGTCTTTATTGTTTTGCTTGAACCAATTTTTTCCTTATTTGTTCATTATATATATTTTGAACAATAAGCATCTGTTGTTGTTTGTTTGTTTGTATGCCGACAAACAAGAGAAAAAGAAAAAAAAGGAAATTATCGAACAAAATTATTGAATGTCTGATCGAACAATCAGAAAAGAATCGAATCAAAATCGATAAGGCGTGTCTTGTATGTATGTTACATGTTATTTGCTGTCTAATACCATACATCATGTATTTCGATTATTTTGATTTGATTTCTGATCAATCATCACATTCTTTTTTACATTCACATTAAACAACAACATTTGTCTTCAGGTTGTTGATTTCCATATAATCTTCTCGTTGTGAGCGATAATTTGCCAAAAAAACAGAAATAATTCAAGACACACACATACACACAAAATACGAATGAATCAAACAACAAGGAACTACAAAACCATTATCTTTGTATAATAGTAGTAGTAGTAGTAGTAGTAGTATCTAGCCTATCTAAGTGTTTAGAATCATTTCGATCAATTCGTATTTGGCCGATAATCATCATCAAGGTGATGATCATAAAACGACCAAGAAGAAGAAGAAAAAAGATCCGCCAAAAGAATGAGGGAGAACTTAATTTTATTCGCTATATCTGATCTGATTTTTATTCTTTTTTTTTTGGCCAGAAAAAAACTGCACCTTGTTTTTTTTTCGTTGTTGTTGTTGCCTTAGTTACAAATTCATTCATTTCTTTACTACACACACACACACACACACACAAACATATATTGAGGCTGTCATGTATTACAGCATTCAAAATGATTTCAATCTTGTAATTGCAATTGGAATTTTTTCCTCCCCCACCACCACAATTAACTTAACCGAAAAAAAATCATCACCATAGATCGTGTTTTGGTTTTCTTTTTTTTTCTGAAGTTTTCATTTGGTCACTTCATTTGCAGATGCAGTAGTACAGAACCATCTGATCGAAGATGAATTGGATCATCAAATAAACCAGAAAAAAATATCTAAACTAATCGATTCATTTGTTTGATACATTTGGCTATAAACAATTTTTTTTCTGGTTTTGGTTTTTGTCCATTTGTTGTTTATGTGAACACATGGCCCATATGTACATGTCTATAGCCCTTGATGTTCGGTTGGTTGGATGGTTGATTTGATCGGTAATGATGGTGATGATGATGGTTTTTCAATGATGGTGATGATGATCGTGTGTGGTATACATCTGTATGTTTCAAATGACCAGAAGTCTGGCCATTCGTGTGTGTGTGTGTGTGTGTGTGTTTGAGTGTCTGGAAACATTTTTTTTTTTTTTTTTTGGACCTAACCAATCAACCAACAGAGCAACAACTGGTGTTTTTATTTTCGTTCCTATTTTGTTCAAGAATTGTGTATCGAGTAAAAGAGAGAAATAGAGAAAAAAAAGTTCAATTAACTGGCCTCTTGACCGTTTTTTTTATTTCAACTTTTGGTCGGTCTTTTTGTTTTGTTTAGAGTTCAAATATATGTGTATGTAAACATTTGTTTGCGCCTTTTAATTTTCATTGATCAAACTTTATTTTTATTTTTTATTTTATTTTTTTGATGTTTGCAAATTGGTAAAGAATTTTTTTTTCATTATTATAATGATTTTCAGGTCCAATCGATCGTATCGATAATGTTCCAACTATTTTCATGATAATAATGACCATAATTCAAAAATGGCCATGCCTGTTTTTTCTTCTTACCATAGGTAATTGTAGCCAATGATTGAAGATTATTGTACCGATGATGATAAAATTGGCATGCACACACACACACACACAAACACATCTGTTGTTATATGAACATCGATAACAAGGATGAATGAGAGTGTTGATAGGTTGATGATAGAATATATAGATAATAATGATAATAATAATAATGTTGTTGATGTCTATGAATGTTCATATTTTCTTTTCAAGAAATTATCGATATAAATAATAATGATGATGATAATTCTATTTCGTTAGTAGTTGAAAGAAATAAAACTAGCCGCCACTGTTGTATAATATATATATTGTTGTTTATGTTTATTATAATAATATATCGTGATCATTGATCCAATCGATCGATGAATTGATGATCAAATGAATTGGGTTTGTCTCAATCTAAATACAATATATGTTTGTTGTTTATTTGATACACACACACACACACAAATTGATTGAGACAAATCCAATATAATAATTGAGATTTCAACATGAAAAACAACACACACATGAAATGATTGTATGTGAAGGTATGTTTTTTCATTGTCTTATCTGATCAACCATTTTTCGGCTTTTTTGTTGTTCATGTTTCAATATTCAAAAAGCCGCATGATTTTTTTTTGTTGTTGTCTTTATATTCTCATCATAGATTATAATCCTTTGTCTCTTTCAATAGAATATTCATGATAAAATATTGTCATGTCCTTGATCAATTGACAATATTATTTTTTAAAATGATACAAAAATACATTATGTCATTGTTACATTTGTATGACGATTTTTTTTCTTGAGAAAATAAAATATTTGTTTCTCATGGGACAAAATTGATTGTATAATCACCTCAGAATGATCATCAATAAACCATAGATATATATTGGCCACCTGAGGGCAATAATATAATGACCATCACTTATTTGTCCGCTATATATTGTTTGATTGCCATTTCTATTGATTTTTTTTCTTGGTTTTTCAAAATTGTATAATGACAATAATAAACGAGAAAAAAGAATTTGTAAACATTCGTAAAATTTTGTCACAAAAAGAAAATGCTGTCGGCTTTTATTTGGAATAGCATGATGATGATCTAATAAATTTGAAATAACTATAGTTGTTGTTTATAATGCTGTATGAGCCAGGTACAAGGTTAAATTATTTGATTCAAAAATTATATTGTATTCAGTTGTTTAGCTCTGTTAAATGATAAGATATCAATTGATGGGATCATCGGCAAATAAAATTGGCTCCCAGAATCGACAATGATCTACATATTCATCGGTAATGATAAGATGATGTTCACTATTGATAACCATTTGTTTCCATACTATACTTTTACCAATTTTGTTGGTATTTTTTCCGGTTTCCGAATCAATTGACATGAATTTGGGCCATTCCTTTCCATCCATATATTGACCGGGTTCACCATTTTTTGCAAAATGAGTAATTGTTCTCATTGTTTTTTCGCTTAGTCTCTTATCTTCATTGGTGAAAAATAATGACAAATATCGAGGATGGACGGCCAAACCTAACATTATAGGAAGTTCCATTCCATGACAAGGACCCATCCAACTTAGACATGCTAAAAGATTCATATAAAATGAATGATGATCAAAACGATATGAAAATACTTGATTACGATTTGAAGAATTTCTAGCCAAAACACGGGCATATTTCTGTGTGAACAAATATGTTGGACATATTATACTACCATCAGATAACAGATTGATAATTGTACGACGAACTTCAGCTGTACTTGAATTTTCATTCATATCTTTTGTATAGAAATCTAATATTTTTTGTTTCAAATCTTCATATTTAGATATACCTTTTATGGAATCTATACTATTGTTGATCAATCGTTTGACATCTTTAATATTATAATTCTTGAAACCATTTATTAATTCCGGATTGATCAAAAGGCCTATGGTTCCATATTCTCCATAATTAAATCCACTGATCAGATCAACTGAATTATAAATGCCTTTTTTTAGCATTGTGCTTGGTCGTTCGGGTAATAATCCTTCTTTATCACCATACATCATTGGGAACATTTGTGCTTTCATGATGGCTGGAATATTTGCTGAAAATCGTAAGTTGGCCAATTCGCTGGCTGACTTATTTTGCATACAATCCACCATATGATTCAAATTATCGACTGGACATTCACATTTCTTGGCAACTTCTTTTGAATAATTCAGCAAATTTTCGGGTGAATAAGCATAAAATTCGTTGATAGCGCCGGAACTCATGATAGCCCGTTGAAATAATCCATTGGCTAATGGTGATATTATCATGGCCGATATGGCGATTGATCCTGATGATTCACCATACACAATGACATTGTTTGGATCACCACCGAATCTTTCGATGTTTTCTTTCACCCATCGAAGAGATAATAACATGTCATGTACACCTTGATTACCGGGTGCTCGTTCAGTACCCGTATACAGAAAACCAAATGCTCCCAAACGATACTGCACGCTGACAAAAACCAAATCACCAAAATCTATGAAATTACTTCCATCGATTAGTTGTGTGTAAAAATAATTGATATCACCAAATTCAAATCCGCCTCCATAAAAGTAGACAATGACAGGCTTAAGATGATGGCTTGAATTCACTGGTTGCCAAACATTAAGGTAGAGACAATCTTCGTTGTACGAAATAAAAGGTAAACTTTGTGGACATCCATTGCGATAATGTGTAGCATCATAGATATCATTCCATGGTTTTGCCATCTGTGGCAGGCCGAATCTTACTGGTACTTCACCATAGCGAATTGTTTTGAAAAAATACGTTGGTTTTTTTTCTGGACTGTTTTCATAAGTACCAAGAACACGTGCCCCATTTTTTAATGTTACAATCGGTAATTCTGATTCTGATCGATGCCTATTGTTTGTCGAAATATTTTCACTTTCATTGTATATTAATTGTGTTTGTGATGATAAAAATGAGCACATTAACGTGATCGTTAATATCGAAATTAAATGAATGATTGAAATCATTGATCGATTGTTGAACATTTTTCACATTCGAACGACAAATCTTACTTTTGTATAATTTCCATTCGATTACCTGGTCTTTTATAATTGATTTATCAAATCTCTATACGACTGTAACTATGATTTTTTTCTTTATTAATTGTAAAAAAGACGTCATTGTATTTTTTTTTAATTGAAATAAATCATTTGATAGAATCATCAGCAAATAAATTTGTTGTAGTGATTGATGCTTAGATTCTAAACAAATTATTCAGCATAATAATGTGCCACAACATTGTTATGCTGTCAAAACATGTATCTATGAAATCATTATTTCATCGATTCCAAAACTAAATACATCTTTTGTTTTGGTATTTAAACATGCCATTATAAATATCCAATTTATCACTGATTCGCGTGCATTCCGTTGTCTCTTGATCAAAGTTGACAATTTCCACTAATTGTCCATTTTGATACAAAATAATTGTGTATGTGGATTTTTTTTCTTTTTTTTTCGTTGGTTCGTTTTTGTTTGATTTTTTTTATATATTATTTACCTTTACCAAACCTTTAAAAAAAATTGAACTGAAACTATTTTGTTGTAGAAAATATTTTTCTTATTTTTTCAAACTCATCATCAAAGGTTAAGGCAATTGCCGACATACACATACGCACACACACACACACACAATATATGACCTAATGAATTGAATTGAATTTGAAAGAATTTTTGTCTTGGTTAAAAAAAAAATTACCGATCGATCGATCGATCGATATGAACAGTGAATTTTTTTTTTGCCACCACTACCACCATCAACTTCACAAACCAATCAATCGTATCGTAACAATTCAATTGTTATGGTTGAAAATTTCGTTTTTTTTCTCATTTATTGACAGGTCGATCCTAAACAAATAATATAGATTATTTATTTGAAATAAGACCTATCCCGCTATCAATTCATTCATCTATCCAATGTGTAACCCACTCGCACAACAAGGCTTGGCCAGGACGGTGTGTGGTTCGAATTTTTTTTTCTTTATTGTTGTTGAAACATTTTTCAAGTGTCATTTTTTTTTGAAAATTTTCAATTGAAAATAAATGTGTGTGTGTGTGTGTCTATGTGATTCAATTGTGAATTGCAATTTTAAACAGCAAATATAACAAACAACAACAACAACAACAACAGTGAAATTTTCAAAGAAAATTATTGCCCTTGAAAATTTAGAGATTCATTCAAGTTTTCTATTCTTAAAAAATATTTGTTCATTAGATGAAATGAGAATTTTTCTTGTATTGTTTGTTCGTTTTCATATTTGTTGTTGTTGTTGTTGTTGTTGTTGTTGTTGAATTACAATTTCAGTAGCAAGTTTTGTTCATTTTATTTTGTTATTTTTTTCTCGTTTCTTAATTAATTGACATGTTCATGAACCGAAACGAAATGTAAACGTTTTTTCTCTCTTTCGTAAATAAGTTCAGGTTATTAACTTTTTTTTGTTGTTGTAGCTGCTGTAGTTGGTTATCTCATCATCAATCTGTTGATGACACCCTATGATCACATTTGCATTTTTTCATCATCATCATCATTATCATACACGAGACGCACACGTGTTTCGTATGTTCTTTTTTTTTTGTTTTGACTCCGGAAACACTGTTCTTTCACAATCATTATTGGATATCACAGTAGACATACGCGTGCAGTAATCAGTTTAATTATTTTTCTGAAAAAAAAGTTTTAAATTTCAAATTGTCTAGAATCCGAAAATGAAATGTTCGTCTAAATTTAGATCAGTCAACCATAAGAAATGAGGATTATTTTGTAAGTAAAACAAAAAAAAATTTCATCTTCATTAGAATGTCAGGATGAAAATGATGAGTTTTTTTTTTGAGAATAAGAAAAAATGCCATGACATTTTGTCAATCTTAACGATCTTTTTTCATTCTCTCTCATTTTCATATCCTTCTCTTCATGTTATTCAATGACATTAAGAATTGTCAATGTTTCATACTTGAATTGAAACGTTGACACGTGCCACACTTACACACAACACACACACACACATCCGCTAGACTCGTGCTTATATTTGCACCAAAATAATCATCATCATTTGAACATACACACACCATATGTCGTTGTAAAATTGAAAATTGTCGTTTCTATATAGATTATTTATGATAATAATAATTTACAGGCAGGCAATCAGCAGCAGGTCTTTTTGGAAATTTAGATTTTTTTTTTCATCAGATATTGTTGTTGCTATTATTGATAATGATGATGGTTTCGGGTACTACTGAGACACGCAACGACAATCAGGCCAGGCTATTCAAGCCAAGTCACACACACACACAAACACCCGAATACAGTAGCCTAATCTATTAATAAAAAGCTCATTTTGGAGTCTGTTGAATGTCATTTGGTGTGTGTGTGTGTGTGTGCAGTCAATCATCCCATTTTGAATTTTTTTTCTTCAGGGGAAAATTGAAAAAAAAAATTTATCCATGGTTCATGTTTTTTTTTGTTATTGATGGTGACAATAATAAGCAACAAGTTGGCTAAATTTGAACCGTTTGGTTCGATTTTCCTTTTTTGGATTTAGATTGTGAGCAGATGTGTGGATGATGATGGTGTTGACCTGAAAGGCCTGATCGAAGGGTCGTCGTGCCACGAGCCAGCGTTTCTCTTTTTTTTATTGTTGTTGTTGTTGAATGAATGATAATACAATTTTCAATTGAATTTCTTTTTTTTTGTCGTTCAATCAGCACGTGCTTATTCAACAGACCTGTTGTCTACAATGATCAGCCAAACCTGGATGATCAGATTTCAGTGTCTCGAGGCCTCAATGTGTTTTTATGCTGTTGTTGGTTGGTTGAACGGCTTTATCCGATTTTCTATGGTTTCTGGTCTGGTTTGATTCCATTGCCAAATTTATAACGATGGTGACACACGACGACCTTTTTTTGTGAAAAAAAAAAAAACCTCTTTTTTTCAATATTTGTTGGGTAAATTCTGGTTTTCGATGTATTTTCTAGCCAGCCAACAGCAGCAGCTGTTTGATTGAAGTGTGCCATTTGTGTTTTGTTTGATTTTTTTTGTATGTTTTGGGCGAAAGTTCATTCGAATATTTTGTCACTATGTTTGTCCACGCGTCATTGAAATAAAGCAAACTTCCTTTGTCGTTGTGTTTCTATGTGTCACCCCAAATCCAATACACACAAGTGACAATTGACAGGTACGATAGACGGTCTCTATGTAGATTGCCGACATCATTGGTGATGCTTGTGCTTGCAATAATAATAATAATGATACACCCGAAGAACCGAAGTAAATCAAAAATCAACAAGCAAACACACATACATAGTGGTAAATATAATTTTTATTTCTTGGAAAGAAAATGAAATTTATATTAAATGTCATAGTGTTTATGGCCAAATGTGAATGATGATGATAATTGGTGACATGCAACAAGCTTCACAACATTATTCAGTAAACCGTGACCACTACGGATGTCCATGTTTTGTGACAAAAGCTTTCCAGCCATATTGACCAGATGGTCTATGTTTTGTGTGTGTGTGTGTGTGTTTGCAGTAGACTGAATGTCGTTTTGGTATGTTTGTTTGTTGTTTGTTATTATTGATGATCAATTGGCCCGTGTCGTCTGAAATGACATTTTTGTAGAAATTTGGTTTTTTTGTCATTAATTTTTTTTTCAATTAGCCATCACTATCATTTGATTTTTGAAATTCGAATTTTTTTGTTTCGTTTTTTTTTTGATAATTCTAATTATTTTCAAATCTGTTGTTGTCGAATTGTAAATCGGTGATAATGATTGATTTATCTTGAACAATTTTTTTTTTTGATATAAATTTGTTCGATACACAAACATCCTCATCATTATCATCATTGAATGATTAATAGGGGCGGTACTATTCATCAATCAATGATATTACCAGTAGGGGTGGGGCTTATTTGTTACCAACAAACCAAATATTGGTTAACGTAAATGAATGAATGAATGAATGAAAAAACGGTGGCAGAATACCTTTTGAATGGTTCGTTTTTTTAATGCTATTCATCAGGATTCAGCATACAGCGAAAAAGACTATGAGAGTTACAAGCACACAAACAATATGCAATACACAGACAAGGCAAATTTCTTCTCTCTCTCTCTCTTTTATCGCTATTTTAGCTGAAAATTTTTTTTTTTGTAGTCGATGAATGAAATGTTAGAGACATTATGATGGTCCATGCCATTCAGTTTTGATCATCTGTTCAGTGAATACCACAACCATCTGTGTGTTTGTGTTTGAAAAATAATAAACAATTTTTCAATTTTGAATTTGAATTTTTTTCTATACCATTATTTTTAAAAATCAATTCAGCCAAGCCTATCGTTATCATCATCATCATCATCATCGACAACATTCAATAGGTAAATGATGAATATCCGGTGATTTTGAAAAGTTTGTTTTTCCATTGTAAAACGGGGACAAATGACATTTCCGTTCGTTTGTTCCGGGTTTTTTTTTTTTTTTTTGATTCATTACTGATTGTCACATAGTCAGAATAGTTAAAGCTAACGCCCTTTTTTCTCTTGTCAAAAATGTTCCAATCATATTTTTTTTTTGTTTGTTTGTTTGTTTGCCCAATGTGACTGTTTTTCCGGTTTTTCAGCAATCAAAATTTAAAAAAAAAATTTATTACTCAAAAAAGACACCCACGTAGTTAATTTCATCGCTATTCATCATCAATTGTTGATCATCGTTAAAGTTTGATGACATTTCCATCAAAAAAAAAAAAAAAAAAAACACCCACTCTATCAACATATTCATTCATTCAGACGACATTTTATTTGTCATCACAATAACACATTCAACAGGTGAAACAGTGTTCAGTGATTGAATCAACCAGATCGTTTTGGTTATTGTCCAGTTATTCTTATCAATCATGATGATTGTCCAATTTTTTTGATACAAATGAATTTTTTGAATTATGACACCATATGTCGTGATGATCATTGCAATTTTTATTTTTGCATGTGTGAATATTACCTGTCTGTTTATGTATGTGTGTACTACATACCTGACATATGGACAATTAATTTTCCCATGTCACAGGTATGCACACACACACACACACCAGGGTCAACTAACAAAAAAATGATGATGATGATGATCTAGTCATTTTCTCAATTCTCATTTTAGAAAAAAAAATTATTTTTTACCTGACTAACGTTGTTGTTGTTGTTGTTGTATACAACAGTCATTGTCCCGTAGATGAGAAATTTATCTACCTACTTATTTCAGGATTTATATCTCATCATCATCATGGCCATGGCCAATGCCAACCACCTCCACATTTTGAATTTATTTTTTTTTCTAGTGTTGCAGTGAATAATAGTGTATCATAGGTTACAAATATTACATCCTGAATATCATATCTAGAAAAAAAAAATGCTGTAGGTTTGGGTTTGATTCGGTTGTCGTCATCAAATGATTATGAGGATATGTGATAGGTGTGTTTGTGTGTGTGTGTATGAACATATCATCACAATGACCCATCAAATATTTTGATGATAACTAATGAATGATGATGATGATGATTATCTGACAAAATGTATGTAACAATGTTTTCTATAGGGGAAAAAAAAAGGAAGAAAAATATTTTTGTCTCCAAGTTTTTTTCTCTGTCATCATCATCGTTTGTTTTTATTTGATGTAAATATTTGATTAAATTAAATTTTTGCAATCTAAAAATGATAACAATTTGTCATTTTTGTTGTTGTTGTTGTTGTATTTTTCAAATATTTGACATTATCGATTTCTTAACATCATTTAATCTCTATCGAGAATCGAATAAAAATCTGGAATTTCTTTTTTTTTTTTTGTTTTCGAAAAAATTTGATTTAAATTGTATGATGTAATGAATTTTCAAATTTTAGCCTCATTTAGCCTCTTTTGCTTTCTTTTTGGGTTGATTTTTTTTTTTTTTTGATAGGTTAGTTGTTTGTATGTGTACAATCATACGTTACTATATGGCTATATATGAAATAATCATAATCTACAACTACTACTATCTATCTAATATTATTATGACGATAATTGCTCTTCAGGAACAGGATCCGTTTGCTTTTTCTTTCTATTTTTTTGGTTGATCTAAAAACAAAAAAAAATCATTCACTTTAACTACCATATATACCTCAGTATATCTCAGTTCTTCTCAAACTGTGGTCCTTAAACAAAAAATACTGGTCCACGAGAAAAATTTAAATTTTTTTGTAGTAGTTTGAGAAACGCTGCCATATCTGAATGATGATTATGATTACGAACACATTTATAATCATCATTCTGTTTATAACGTTCATCCATTCATCCATAGTGGTGGTGGATAGAAAATTGATTTTTTTTTCTGTTTTTCATCTCTCTTACAAACAAACAAAACCGGATAGATAATAGTTTTTCAGTATAGGCATTATTATTATTATTATTATCCATTCTTGAACGTTTGTGTGTAGGGGTTGGATTGAAACAAATCAAAAAAAAAAAATAGAGCAATCATCAAAATCCTGGTCTAATATGTCGATGATGATAGTGGATTGCTCGAATGATTTAGATTCATAGAATTGGTAATTGTAAAATTGATCGATAAAACAATTGTAGAATTGAATTTAAAATTGAATTTCAATCGATCAAAAAAAAAAAAAAATCAATGATGATAATAATTGATGAAGTGTTGAATTCAAGTTTATCAAATTGTGCCACTTCTTTTTTTTTTTGGTATACAAGATTGAATCTTGTATCCCGAAGTTTATTCTTTGTTTTCCCGCACTTGCATTCATCTTATCTTTTTTTTTTTATTTCGATGATCATTATCATTGAATCGAAACGATCATCATCATCATCATCATCCATTAATTTTAAACGTCCACAAACTTTCAATCTATCCATCGTAATTCAAAAAAGCTACTAGACTGGCTGGTTTCACTTCATTTCAATTCTATTGTATTATTTAACTTGACAGTTCACACTTGGTGTTAATTATCAATTGTCTTTTACATTTTGTCCTATCTACTTGGAGAGTTGAAATTTTTTTTTCTCTTTTCAAATTAAAAAATAAAAATAAATAATGAATGAATAATGATTATTATGGCCATTGTTGTTGTTGTTGTTCATTAAGATTGGTGAATCAAGATAACATTTGAATAGTTTGGTCGGTTGGTTGGTTGATTGTCTGGTTGATTGTCTGGTTATAGTTAGTTTTCTATAGTCATCAACGAGTTTTATTTGGCCATGGACATTTTACATTATTATGTCAACCCATTTGCATGTTTTATTCCATTATTGTATATATCATTTTAAATATTTATAATATAATATATCTGTTTGAATCTAATCATTTCTTTCATTATTATTGTTATTTTTATAGCTAAATCAGAAACCAAATTTGAATGAAATATTTCGTATATTGCCTACATTTCGTTCAAATATGCCTAGTGCCTATCATAATTATCTTTATAATTTTTCTGGTGATCTTTATCGATCACATCACTATCATGAAGATGTTATTAGCCGACATCGACAGATAAATAATTGGACTAAACAACAACAACAACAACAACAGCAGCAGCAGCTGCAGCAGCAACAACAACAACAACAACAACGACAACAAATACAACACCCTTCTGTATCATCACCAATGATGGAAAATTCAAATTTTGATGTAGAAAAATCTCTAAATCCATCACAATTTGGCGATTTTAGCCTACCAAGTTATTCAGCTGTACCAGGTATTAGTCCAACACCAATTACAATGACAGCAACAACATCAAGTAGTCGTCTTGCTGAATCTCAAGATTTTCAGATTATGCCCAACACTACCAATACGGTTACAAGTCATTCACCACTTTGTCATTCGATTCATTTCCATCCGAGTGATCTACGTCATCATCATTATTCTTATCATAATAATGCAGATTTTGTTGAAAATCCCGTGCAATCGATGCAATTACCACCACCATCATTACTACCACAGACATCATCATCAATATCACATTCATCAAATAATTCATCAATGAGACGAATATTCAATAAAATGACACGCACGGTAGCCAAACATTTTCTTGAAGATGAACGTGATAGGAAATATTATGCCGATATGTATTCTTGTATGCCACCACCGTTTTTCATTTTGACCATCACTTTAGTTGAGCTTATTTTTTTCGCCTATTATGCTATCGTGAATCAAGTTGAAGTGACCACTTCGGGTCCAATACCCGCTGATTCGATATTCATATATCGTCCGGATAGAAAGAATGAAGTGTGGAGATTTTTTCTATACATGGTGCTACATGCTGGATGGCTACATTTGATTTTCAATTTACTCGTTCAATTATTGGTTGGTTTACCATTAGAAATGGTTCATGGATCCGTAAGAATCGGTGTCGTATATATGGCCGGTGTATTGGCTGGATCATTAGCTACTTCAGTGTTTGATCCGAATTGCTTTCTGGTTGGTGCTTCAGGAGGTGTTTACGCATTACTTGCTGCACATTTATCGAATGTATTGCTCAACTATAATCACTTGGAAATGGGATTATTACGTGTGATAGGCGTATTTCTAATTGCATCCGTTGATGTTAGCATTGCCATCTATCATCGTTATGCAACGCCTGATCTACAGCAAGGATCCATTTCTTATGTCGCACATTTAGCCGGCGCTCTAGCTGGACTTACGATCGGTTTGCTAGTGTTGAAGAATTTTGAACAAAAACTTCATGAACAGCTTCTATGGTGGATGGCATTGGGCGTCTATACAGCCTGTATCGTTCTGGCATTATTATTCAACATTTTGAATTGACACCTGTTCGCACCTGACATGTATGTTTTTTTCAACACTCAAAACTAGTCCATTTGTGATTGATAAAATGGTAAGTAATTTATCGTAAAATTAAATTTTATTATAATTTAAATAATTTTCATTTTTTTAAGAAATTTTTCAAAATACAGGCAATGGTGGACATTTTTGACCAGGACTTGGATTAGTCAAACATTCATGATAGCCATTTAATGGACCACTGATGCAGCATTCTTCTGGATTATTCTTATCGACATGTTTACAATCACCATGATCACCACAGAATCGATGCATCTCACCAAAAGCCATTGCGAGCACTGCAAATAATAGGAATAAAACTTGGAAGATTTTCATTTTGTTTTCAATGTGTCTTTGATTATAACAAAAATCTAATCATAAAAAAAGTGAAATTGGAAACATCCAATCAATAGCAAATATCGATGCTTTTATACCTGTGTGTATTTTATTATCATTAATCAAAAAAAAAAAAAAATGGTCACATGAGATTATTATTATGATCAAATCTAATCCAAATCCATATTATTGTTCCCATTGAAACCAGTGAATTTTTATATTAATCTTTAATAATATATTATTATTGCAAAGTCTTGAGATTATATATTATCACTAATAATCATTGTACCAGTGACAATATACATATATTATTTTTAAAACTCTATCTATTTCAAGGTTCAATTAAATATCATGAAACAATTGATAACTATTCAATCCAACTATTGATTATGATCTATGCAATTATTTTGATTTTGATTTTGATTTTGATTGATATATGGAAATACTACGAAAATTAATTTAAAAAAAATGTTGAAATTATCATTGATCAATACAACGGTTTTTTTTTTTTTTTTGAAAATTAAAAGATTAATCTAGTGCTGCCATCTCGGGCATATTAACTGATTAAAAATTAGTGAATTTGTAGCTATAATTCCAAAATTATCAAATTCGAAATTACTTATCCGGATCACCAAAAGATGGAGATAATGTCAAAATGTGGTTTTTTAAAATTTTACCAATTTTTTCTAATGCAGACGTCATCCTTTTGTGTGTGTGTGTGTGTGCGGCCTGTTTTTTTTTCACTTTCAATGAGTTTGGTCTGTGTGTGTGTGTGTGTGTGTTATGTGATTGATTGATGAGTTGGTTCATGCAATTAGATTCTGTTGTTGGTAGTGATCGATATAAATTTTTATTCATAACAACCAAATAAACAACAATCCATATCTATCTTCAATTAAACAAAACACGCCTGAATCTGCTAGTGAATTGTTCGCCTGACATTTTATCAAATTCTTCATTTATAATTTTATTTCTTTAAAAAATATCCATTAACATCGATTCTTGATGGTAAATGATAGTAAAGCCGGTTCATCGAAATCATCAACAATATCGAAAGAGATGATTTCGAATGAACAACAACATGCCGGCAAACCAAATGGTACAAAAAGTCGTTTATTATTATTACAAGTAACGGTATTGGGCCTTGCATGGTTAGCCGGTTTTTGTTCACGTTTATTCGCTGTGATACGTTTCGAAAGTATCATTCATGAATTCGATCCATGGTATGTGATTGTTTCATTCTTAATGTTTGTTTGATAATAATGTCATCACTTTATCTTTACATCATTTCCATGAAAAAAAAGGTTCAATTATCGTGCTACACATTATATGGTGAAGCATGGATTCTATAATTTCCTAAATTGGTTCGATGAACGAGCTTGGTATCCATTGGGTCGTATTGTCGGTGGTACAGTCTATCCTGGTCTAATGTTGACATCCGGTCTTATACATTATGTATTGGATACATTACACATTCCCATTCATATTCGCGATATTTGTGTATTTCTTGCACCGGTTTTTTCTGGTTTAACAGCTATTGCAACCTATTTACTTACAAAAGAACTTTGGAATGAATCGGCCGGTCTATTTGCAGCATGTTTTATTGCCATTGGTTTGTTATTTATTTTTTTTTTACAAGAATTTTTTCTCACTAATCAATTTTGTCAATAGTTCCCGGTTACATTTCACGTTCGGTTGCCGGTAGTTATGATAATGAAGGCATAGCTATATTTGCATTAATGTTCACATATTATCTATGGGTAAAAACGGTTAAAACTGGCTCGGTATTCTGGGCAACATTAACTGCATTATCATATTTATATATGGTTTCCGCATGGGGTGGATATGTATTCATTATCAATTTGATTCCATTACACGTGTTTTTTCTCCTATTAATGGGTCGATATTCCAATCGTATCTATGTTGGTATGTAGTCTATTGATAAATATACTCGAAAACTAAATATTTACATTTTTTTCAAAAATTATTCAGGTTACAGCGTATTTTTCATATTGGGTTTATTATTTTCAATGCAAATTCCGTTTGTTGGTTTTCAACCTGTCCGTACTAGCGAACATATGGCATCGGCCGGTGTATTTGCTTTGCTGCAAGCATATGCTTTTCTTAAATATCTTCAAGGATTTGTATCGAAATCACAATTGAAAACATTTTTCATTACCGCTATCATTGGTTTCGCTGGTCTTGTATTCTTAAGCGTTGTTGCTCTCACATATGCCGGTTATATTGCTCCTTGGAGTGGACGTTTCTATTCACTATGGGATACTGGTTATGCAAAGATTCATATACCAATTATTGCATCCGTTTCGGAACATCAACCAACTACTTGGTTTTCATTTTTTTTCGATCTACATGTACTTGTTACAGCATTTCCGGCCGGTCTTTGGTACTGTATTCGTGAAGTTAATGATGAACGTGTATTCAGTAAGTTTTTTTCCAATATTTTTTTCCATCTAAGCTTATCCTAAACTTTATATCCACAAAAAAACAAACAGTTACCTTATATGCGATCACTGCTTCTTATTTTGCTGGCGTTATGGTACGTTTGATGCTTACATTCACACCTGTTGTATGTGTTCTTAGCGCCATTGCATTTTCTGAATGTTTTTCTGGTTGTCTGATGGATAAAGATAAAGAAAAACCATCATCGACAAATAGTGGATCATCATCAACATCGTCCAAATCAAAACAACAAATTGATGATGATCAGAAAAATGGTCAGAAAAATCTTTATGATAAAGCTGGCAAAATTCGTAAAATACGTTCCGAACCAAAAGAAACCGATTCATTAAGTGCTAATCTACGAACAATTGCATCGGTTCTATTGATTATGTTATTAATGTTATTTGTTGTTCATTGTACTTGGGTTACTAGTAATGCCTATTCTAGTCCTAGTATTGTTCTAGCCAGCTATGGTGGCGATGGGTATGTGTTCTGTATAATATCGATTTTCATATTGATTAATCAAATTATTTAATTCAGATCTCGTGTTATATTGGATGATTTTCGTGAAGCATATTATTGGCTATCACAGAATACTGATGATGATGCACGTGTTATGTCTTGGTGGGATTATGGTTATCAGATTGCCGGTATGGCTAATCGTACAACATTGGTCGATAATAATACCTGGAATAATAGTCATATTGCATTGGTTGGAAAAGCGATGTCATCGAATGAAAGTGCTGCATATGAAATAATGAAAGCTTTGGATGTTGATTATGTTCTGGTAATATTCGGTGGTGTAATCGGCTATTCGGGTGATGATATTAATAAATTTTTATGGATGGTTCGTATCGCCGAAGGTGAACATCCAAATGATATACGTGAAAGTGATTATTTCACTGATCGTGGGGAATTTCGTGTCGATGCCGGTGGTTCGCCAACATTGCTCAATTGTTTAATGTATAAATTAAGTTATTATCGTTTTGGTGAGCTACAGGTATGATAATCATTTTCATTAATCGGTAATTGATTGAATGACTATCAAATTTTTTTTTATCATATAATAGACTGATTTCCGTACACCACATGGATATGATCGAACCAGACAGACTGAAATTGGTAATAAAAACATTAAACTTGAACATCTTGAAGAGGCATATACTACTGAACATTGGCTAGTACGGATTTATCGAGTGAAAAAACCATCAAATCGACAAAAATTACCATATTCACAGCGGAAAATTAAACCATCTGGATTTGTAACGAAAAAGGTAAGAATTAATTCATTGACTATCCCAGTGGATTAATAAACAAGGATATTATTGTGTTCATATATAGAATTCAAGAAGAAAGAAGGGTACGATTAAAACGAAACCACAGGTTAATCGTGGCAAACGAATGTCATTGTTTTCCAAATCTCAATAAATGAATGGACTGACCAAAAACAAACGCCATGAGAATTAGTAAAAATATCGGAACAATCATTATTTTTCAATGCTGCTCATTTTCTTCAAAACATCGATTGAAACATGTGCCTATAAAAGATAATGTTAATATTGATTTATAGAAAACAACAAAAAAACCATCTTCATCTCCATCAAACATATACCCAGATTTTTTCAAAAAAAATATTCAAAATCGTCCTTTTGGTGTATTGTTGTTGATCGATTCGTCATTCTTGCCATCATCATCATTTCAATTATATATGCTCATTTTTCGAACGATTACCATCATCTTGTCCGATCCGAATGGGTAGCTTTTTGTTGCAATAATAATTTTCCTGAATATGGTGTGTGTGTGTACAAAACAAAGAGAAAAAGAAATGATCCAGAATATTACTTGAACCAAGAATCGATTTTTTAATGAATTTTTTTTATTTCTGTTTAAATTGTCTTTGTTTTTGCTAGTGCGTTCATCTTTATAAGTTCATCTAAATTTTAAAAAAAAAATTTGATACGCGCTGAAATTTTTCATAATTTAATTTGTATCAATATATATTGATAATGATTTAAATCTATACATTCTATATGAACGATCATTTTTGGATCATGTGTCGCCGTCTGATGAACAGTGAGGAAAACTTTCATCAATTGATCCTCATCATCGATGTGTTTATATAAGCACAGAACGAACAACTTACACGTGTTAATATTTTTACTCATTACAAATAGCTTTTATCTTTAAGAAAAAAATTGATTACAATATCATCATTATCAATTACCATAATCGGTCATGTATGCTATAACACCCGTATATAAATCAATACATCATTTCGATTCGAATGTGATACAAACATCAATGTATTCAATGAAACCATATTATTCGGGTATAATGGAAAACGATCAACAACAGTTATCGTCGTCATCGATTGATTTACCATCCGGACCGTTACCAATTCCTACCGATTTAGATCTGGAAAAAGATCATGATGCACGTATGGCATTGGAAGATTTACTTTCAAGACAAATGTTATTATTATGTCGATTAAATGATCTGGAACGTAAATTGATCGATGTTAATGACATTCAAATTAAACAAGAAAAATTTGTATCAAAATTATTAAAACCATTGACCGAAAATTATGAAGATATTGTCATCCATTTTGATCTGGATCATCCGCCAACAACATTGTTGACAGTATTGAGTTTTATGATTAAAGATTCACCGGAATTATTTCTAATCAATTATCATGTTCATTCATCATTGCATGGTTGTTCATCAATTATCGTTAAACAATTTCAAATGAAACAACAAGATCTTAATGCTAAACTTGAACAAATTAATTTTCGTTTCAATACTTTGCAAGATAATAGTGATCGATTGAAACGAAAGATTATTATAAAATTTATAGCCAAAAAATTTTATGATGATAATAATCAAATGGAAGCTATATTTAAATCCAATCAACCATCAATCAAAGGTGAATTGAATATTATTCAACATTTATGCTTGATGATTTCGGCTAATGATTCGAATGAATGTGATGAACTATGGAAACTATTACAACCACCAAATGATATACAATCCGATCGATATTGTATTGAAAAATTGGGCCGATATTTTATGGGTCTTGGTGAACGACGATTTTTTTTCAATCATCCGCAACCACAATTGATTGATATTATTATCTGGAGTTTAGCTAATCGATCACGTGCATTACGTTCATTAATGGATGCTAAATGGTACAAGGTGATCGAATCAATGTTAATGTCTGTTTAATATTCAGGAAAAAAATGTTTTGATTTTAAATTTAAAAGAAACCCAAATAAAATAGAAAAATGTTAAATTTAATCTTTTTCTCTGAAAAAAAGAAAATTTTTGAAATGTGAAAAAAAAATTTTGCTTATAATTATCATTACAAAACAGTTTCAATTACAATTAAATGAACATTTAATGAAATGGAGGGGGTAAGAATTTTCATTATACACCAAACACAGATTTATATCGTAGTCGTATATATATAGCAATCATTCATCATTGATTCGAAGGACCATCAAGACGATCATATTCAATAAGCATTTCTTTCTGATTTTTGGACCATGTATTTAAATCGAAATAGATGTATGAACCACGTTCAAAATTCGAACTCTGTTCCAATGGTTGGCTACCTTGTTTTCTTGTAATCCAGATGCCTTCATCTTTATGAAACCTCCATTCACGTGAATATCTGAAATTTTTCGAAAGAAAAAAAATTTGATTTAAAATTGATGATAAAAGAAAAAAATTTCAATCACACATACAACTCAGCACCAACTTCCGCTTGCATATGTTCACCAGATAAACAATAGAATAGGTAAAATAATAAATCTTCACAATAACTGGTCAGTTTAATCTGAGCCAATTTATCACGAATTGAATTGAATATAAGATATTCCGGTGGTACAGAATAATCTATCGGAATTAATCAATAAATTATTATTATTATCAACATATAGATTTTATTTTCAATTTTTACCAATTTCATGTGGTTTCAATGGTTTATCATTCCAAGGACCGGGAAACGTATGATATAACCGGCTGTGAAATGAATAAAAATAATTTGATGAATTTTAAAATTTCGAAAAATATACAAATAATCATTGCTTACTCTTTAGTGCCGAGATTCATATTGAGAGCTGTAACATCATAACCTATGGTCAATGCAAACAGATTTGGATTCGAATTTGCTTGATGTAACATTGCCATAAGTCCTGCAATACCATATTGATCAGTTAACATCCCTGGTGGTATATTGGTAACCATTCCATCTTTGGATACATTAATGGCCGGTATTTGACTGTTTGATGATGATGTTTTGGCTCCATTATTATTATTATTTGCAGAATTTGTTGATTGATGCGATGATAGTGATGAAAATAATGATGATGTTAATGATGATGCTGACATTGCGGCTACAGCAGCTGCTGTTTGTTGTGTTGTCCCAACCAATGTTGGTGGTGTTGTAACCGAACGATTATTTTCCTGATGATGATGATGTTGTAAATGTTGATGATCTTGTTGTTGTTGCTGACCACCAGAATTATTACCATCTAAATTCTGTTGTTGCTGCTGTTGCTGTTGAAATTGGTTAAATGCTGCAGCAACAGCTGCTGCTGATGTTGCTGTTCCACCTGGTGAAGCACCAGGTAATGCAGGAAAATCTTCACTTTGAATATTAAATTCATTAGATCCGGATTGATTTGTAACATTATCTTTCATTATTCCAACATATGCAGGACGACCAATCGCTGATGATTGTTGAGAAAACTAGTTGGTTGAAAAAAAAGAAATGAAATTCAAATTAGACTTGAATTTTGAATGAAAATAAAAAAAATAAATTTTGAATGAATAAAAAAAATTGTCATCTTTCATGATTAATGTTCAAAAAAAAGACAGCAAACTTTTGCATTTGAGTTTTTTATTTCGTTCACCTACAGTATTGATTGATACAGCCTGGCCGGTTAATGATGGAAATTCATTCAAATCAAGCGTTGGAGGCCCACTAATACCACCACCTCCAATATGACCACTTCCAATATTTCCGAATGCATTATGCATCAATAAATTCGTGGCTGATGATGATATTGATCCGGATGAACCTGGTGATTGTCCTGTTAATGAAGTGGATGATTGACGAAATATTGATGACGCCGTTGTCGATGATTGAGAATTGGATGATGATGAAGAATTTATCCCCGAAATTGATGTGGCTGCTGATGGTGATGTAGCCGCTGTTACTGTCGATGAATAATCAATCATTTTGTTTTTTGTTTGATTCAATAAGATTTGTTTCAACAATTTTGGTTGTGATGTTGAATAGCCAAAGAAATTTCAATCTGACTATTTTAACTCACATGCACACAAAAAAATTTTTGCAATTGCAATCACAATTTTAATGTTTAACAAGGTGGTTGAAAATTTTCCAAACACAATGATTCGGGCAATGCCGAATTTAATTTAGCAAATGTTGTCAATAATTGTTCAATATCGTTTTCACAACGATCAAGTAGTGATCGTATATCATCGAATTTTCCAAAGTTTTCAACCGCTTTATTAAAACGTCGCTGTTTATCTTGAGAATATTGTTGTGATAATTTCACCGATTGTTGTTCAAATAAACGGATACGATCGATAATTTTTTGTTGCTCCGTGGCAACCGTTTCGGCTGCTTGTTTTAGATTCTGATCAAATGATTTACCAAGCTCAACAAATGGCAATACTGATAATCGTGGTTGATCAAGAGTAACGATAAAATTTGATGATAATTGTCCCAATGGTATCAATGGTTTTAATAATGGTTCCGATGGTAATTTTGAATAAATATCTTGGCTATTTGTATCTTTGTTTGGTCCACGATTCACTATGACAATATTCTTTGGAATTGATCGTTGTTGTTGTCGTTCGATTCGAATTATAGACGATTGTTGTTGCTGTTGTTGGGCAGTATGAATTGGACTCGAACGTAAAGATTGATAATTCGATGAGGATTGTTGTTGTTGTCGATGATGAAATTGATGATGATGATGATGATGATGATGATGATGATCCAGTTTTGGTCAATTGACTTCCCATTAAAAAAAATCGAAATGAAAAAAAATCAAATTATTGGCAGGTCGATAGAAATGGCCAGAATTTATTAATAATCCAAATAAATGACCATTAATGATTTAGAATTCTTTTTGTGTTATCGTTTGTTTTTGTTTTGCATAAAAATATCAACAAAAGACAGTTGAGTAATATGAGTGTTTGTGTGTGTATTTGTGAAAATGGGTAAAAAAGCGAGAAATTTCCTCGTATATACATGAGATAGAAAGAAAGAAGAGAGAGAGAGAGAGAGAGGGTCAAGCACATGTATGAATGAGCAACAAAAGAATTTTCTTGGAAACTTTTTTTTTCTCTTTATTTCATTTCATTCATTCATTCCTGTCCGATGGATGGCGTTGATGTTTGGTTGATTATTATTACTTTCATTGTTATTTTTATAAAAAATTTTTTTATTTTATTTTTTCAAATTCAAGAACAAAAAAAATTTACACACAATTCAATTGATACACTTCCCAAATGAATGAGATTAATTGTAAAAATTTACAAATCAACCACCAGATTATTAGATGAAATGTAAGAAGGCCACCAATGTAACCAATATATTGAATCGATGTAATCCATGGCAATTGAATTAATAATTTATCTGGCCTTATAGCACGTTTTATTATGATCATTGTTTCACCACGATCTTCATATTCAGATTCTTCTACATTGAATTCAACATCTGTTTCTCGACAATCTTCTGGACATTGGCCATTACAATCGATGGCTATTTTTTCAATCATATCATTTTCATTATTATGGCAACGATTATGTCCATAATCATATTCTTCATTCACAGCATTTGAACAGAATCTATCCTGTACATGGATTAAATCTTTACGTAATGAAACAGATGTTGGAAAACAGTGGCCACATAAACGACGCCATTCATCCATACAACAACGATTATAGCATTCTTGTCGTGATATCATTTGTCCAAGATTTAATGATGATGATGATGATAATGATTTTGTTCTAGATGATGACCATCGATTTGATGAAACACTTAATGATTGATATTGGCTACTATAATTACGACAATCAAAAAATTCCGTATTCGCTACAAATGTTTTACGAAGATTGAAATTTAAATTATAATTACGACCCATAGATATGGTGAGTGATTCTTTCATTAAATCTATTGGTATCTGATCGATTTGATGTAGATATAACATTATGGAATTACTGCTTCTACTTTCCTGAAATTGGAAATGATGACCAAATGGATTTGATTGAATTAATATCTGTACATAGAAATCATTATAATCAATAATCGGTACCATAAATGGATCTTGATTCGAACGAAATAATGTTATTTCACTTAGATATGTATAACAGCGATGATTTTGATAATAATTTTCAATTATTGGTGAAATATTGGCACAATATATCATCGATGGTGATCGATTGGATTTTATCTTACATTGATGACCAAATGTTGACATTGATTGATTGAATATGGTTATAAGTGGTATATGTAAACAGTCCTTATTACGACGATGATTATCATCATCACCATTATTATCATCAGTATGATTATCATTATTAACGGAAATTGAATCATCAAAACATCGATTATTAAATGGTATTATAATCGGTATGCATATGGTCAATGCGGGGAATTCAATTTGTTCAGGTAGCTCATAGGAAACGGATGTTTGTTTATATTCTCTGTTTGAATAAAGATTTTTTTTTGTTTTATTGACAATTTCAATATAAAATTTAAATATGATAAAAATTTGATTTACTTTTTATATATTCGATATAGCCGAAAACATTGCCAAAAACATTGAAACATAAGCAATATGAATGTAATGAATTGTAACCATTGTTTAATGGTTATCTGCTGCAGCAACCATCGTAGCATATCCATTCGATTTCTTGGATACATTATTGATTCTTTTTTCGTTTTGTTTTGTGAATTTTTATTTTCATCACCCGGATGTTTAGAATATTTAACCTGATAGGCAATTGTAGCTGGACCAAATTGTACTTTACGATTCGTTTGACCATTAACAATCGTCGATGCTGGTGCTGGTGCTGGTGATGATGATGATAATGTTTGATTCTTTTTATTATTGTTGTTGATGAAATTATTCAATTTTGGTTGAACGCGAGACATTATTCACAACAACAATGATATTCAAAATTTCAATTCATTCATTTGATCATCAGACATTTGATCATTGAATCATTGTGGAATTTTTTTTCCTTTATTTCGGGCAATGTTCATATACACCATCAGCACACATTAATCACTATGGATTCGGATATGTAATAAAAAAAAATTCGGCTATTTTTACCGTCGATTATGATGAAAAAAACAACAACAACAACAAGAAGATTGTGGCTTGTGTTTCATTAACATTCGAAAGAACAGAGAAAAAAAAAAAAATCGTTTTGTTTATGAACAATTTGTAATTTAGCTAAGCATTAATTATTATGACCATATGATAGTTAATTTGTGTGCGTATACCACCATTTTGTAATGACTGACGTAATTTATGTAATTTTTTTTTCTTTACTGGGAATATTCCACTTTTCTACTATCAACAACAAAAACGAAATCCATATCATTGTTGATGTTGTCTGGTATTGTATTGTATCTATCTAAAACAACGATTTATCATTCTCGAATGTATTTTGAGAATGAAAGTTTTTTCATTTACACACCACCATTTACCAAACATACAGAATCATGTACACACATAATTGAAACCGGATAAAATCGTATTAAGCATACAATGAAACATATATCATGTTTAGGAATTGTCCGAAAATCGAAATTTTTCTGTAACAATTTTTTTTTGTGGTCAAATAATCGTTGATAAAGCTAGAAAGATAGGTTGGTAGGTGTGGTGTGTGTGTGTGTGTGTGTTTTTTGGTTATATGTAATGATTTGTATTCATGAGACGTGTTACACTATGGTGCTATGATGTTGGATTGTCAAAAAGTTCTAAATTTATCCATTCTCTGATGATCATTTTGTTGATGATGATGACTATATATCTATGGATAGATAGTAAAGGTGGAGGTGGAGGTGGAAATTATGAATGCTTCATTAATTAACTCTTCTCCGTTGTTTTTTTTTTTTTTTTTTTTGTTGTTTTGATCATAGAATCATTGGACTAATGTAATTTTTTTTCCAGTTTCGTCTCGATTATTCTGTGTATGTAGAACGTTGATCTTTTTTTTCTGTTTTGTTTTCGAATTGGTTCGATTCTTTCCGGAATTTGTTTTATATTTGCTTATCAATTGCACTGGTAAATGAATATTTGATGATTTACGATGTAGTATGAGAATGTGAATGTGAGTAAATCGAATCGTTGATCATTATTATTAAATGATGATAATAAATTTGGATAAAGATCGTTGTTGCTGGAATCGTTATGACCTCAATTTTTTTTTGTATTTCGTTTCAAACATTAACAAAATATATGTAATAGTGGAAAGTGAAATGAAATGTCAACTCATGTGAAATTGTGTATAAATCAATCAAACATGGAAATGCTTTTCATATATATCGTAATGATAATCAAACAATGACAACAACGACAAAACTCGATGACAACCATTTGTAATGGATTGATTTGATTCAAGATAAGATAAAAAAAAAAAAAAAATTTTATTATTCCGGTATATTATTCATATGGGATACTATGTAATAATGATTCTGAGGAAAAAAAACTCGATATTATATAATGAATGCGTGTGTAGGTTGAAATGTATATTTACAAAATAAAAAATCATGAATGGAAATTTGAAATTAATCAGGTAATACACACACACAAAATTGATAAATTGAAACATACAATGAATTTTTTTCTGGACAAATTAATTTAAAAAAAAATTTTTTCATTTCAAACAGATGATTATGATGCTGATGATGATCTGGGGTATCGTTGCGTGTTATACATTTTTAATATGGCAAGAAAAAAAACTTTCGATAATTCAATTCATTAAGAATTGTTGTGAATAATAGTTGTGTGCGTGTCATTAATCAATCAAGAGAGAAAGCGAGAGAAAAAATTGATTTCGAATGATGAGTATCTGCTATTTACAATTACGAATCGATTCTGTATTGGACGAAAAAAAAATCATCACTAAATTAGCCAATGTTTGTGGCGGTTTGGTATTGGTGGGTTGTATGATGAATATTGTGCGATATTAGGGACCACACCTTGGACGAAAAAAAACAAGGGTTGTCCATTTTTTTCCAGAATGAATTTTTTTTTTCTAAATTGCGAAATTCAACCGACCACCGCCCGTATCAAAAACAGAGAAAATTCGTGACGAATTACTGTGTGGGAATAATTTGTTTAAAAAAAAATTACTTTTATAATTTATGAATCATGTGTGTTTGTGTGTGTGTGTGGATTATAAAAAAAATCAAATAATAATTGAGAATACCTGCAGTGTGAATTTAAAATTTAAATTAAAATTCAATTCAAAAAACAAAGTACATGTGGTAGGTGGTTGATTTTTTTGTTGTGTTGAATATTTTGATGATGATGATGATGATGAAAAAAAAATTTTCATTTCATTTGCTGATTGTTTTTTTTTCATTTTCATTCAATTACAACGATGTTCAATCATTCTTGTACGACATTGATCGCATTTAACCTGACAACACCAGACAAATTTACAATTACATTTTGTATCAACATCACGTTCAATGGTACGGTAACCACGGCCACAGCAAAGATATCGACATCCATCTAGACCATAACTGGTTGCATTACATATACGATCCGTTGTTCCAAATGATCCATGTCTATGATATTTTTATTTTTTTTTTTTTTTGTTTTGTTTTGGTCAAATTAATTTCAATGAACAATAAAGAATATTAATAGAAATAATACATACGATGCATTATGGAAACAGAAATCAGGTGAATCTTCCAAATAAACTAGATCACGTTTTGATGGTCTTTTAACATTTTTCTGTGCCGGTTTCAAACGGCTACGTTTTTTTCTACTTTGAACTATTTTTACATGTGTAGCACCATCAAATTTTTGTGCCAATTCCTGTCCAACTTCACGAAATGGTTTCAAACGACGCCAACAAACTTTTGCTGTACATGAACCGGATACCCCGTGACATTTGCATACTAATTCCATTTTAGATTTGATAACCTTTGTTTTTTTTGTATGAATGTCGATTTTTTATATTCATTTTGATTTATGATGACATGACACACACACATACACAGTCGTAAAACAGATCAGAAAAAAATTATAATCAAAATTCAAGGCCAACAAACAAACGATAAACTTACCCGCCGTCCAACTTCATTATTATGTAAATTCATAACACCTTCGGATGTGTTTGGATCTTCAATCGAATCAATAAAACGTCGTGTAAATTCTGCACCATAATAGATATCATCCGAACAACCGCCCCAATCCCATTTGCCTTGTACATCTTGACTTTTAACCTTATCATCACAACCACATTGGCTTAATTCACCTTTGGTACAGGCACGTGTTACACTATAAACAACACCAGCCGTTGATATTGCATGGATGAATGCTTTTTCTCGGCTATCTATCATTTCAAAATTCGTATGATAAAACAAGCGAGAGAAAAAAATGTAAAAAAAATTATTATAATACACAAGAGATTTCAAATGAAAAAAAAATATTCCAAAAAAACAAAAAAAAACTTACTGATATCAATGATTGGACCAAATACAGAATCGGCATCCATAGCCGAACAATTCCAGCGATTCATTTTGAATTGGAATTGACATTCTTCAATACCGAAACGTGCACCACGACTAACAGTATGTAATACATTCGGATGTAATGAACATAATTCCTGTTGTAATGGCGATAGAAAATCAATGTGCGGACAACGTTGTTTGAATGTTGTTGCATTTAAATGTAGATAATGTTTGGCATAATTTTTTCTTGTACCTAGACGCCTTTAAAAATAACAACAAAAAAAATGAACTTAAAATCACAGTACGATGGCTCAAAAATGGATAAATTTTTTTTAGCTGAATTCTCGACACAAAAAAAACTGAAATTCGAAAAATTCCTGATGAATCACAAAATCAACTCACACACACACACACACACACACACGCCAATAATAACAGTAATGGATCCATTTGGATCATAATGGCCATGATGATGATTATAAATAACTGTCATCATCATAATGTTGATGATATTTTTTTTTTGATTCTACCATTATAATATGGCGAATAACAATAACAATAATTTATAGTTATCATTAAAAATTATTATATAACCATCACTATTATTATTGTTTATCGTTTTTTATGGCAATAATCATAAATTTTATTTCAAAAAAAAAAAAAAAAATAATATTTTTCGAAGCAAAGATCCCATTCATTTAATTCATTCATTCAGTATTCGAAACGAATGTATGGAAACGTATGTTATTTATATGTATCTTATACATGTCTTATGTCTTATTGCTTACCACCAATTATATTTAGGTTTTTTCATCGTTATTGTATGATGATCTTCTTCATTATGGCTTGATGGTTGATGATGTGAATGATCATTATTTAAATTAGAATTTAAAATTTGATTATCCATTGTGAATAATGAATTTTCCAATGTTGATCCAGTTGGAAATATTGATCCTGATGATTGCTGTGTGGATGTTGTTAATGATAATGACGATAATGATGATGATGATGATGATGTTGCTGTTATCGGTATGAATGATTTACCACATGAGATCATTGGACAATAAATCGATAATATAATTATCAATGATTTAATCATTATGATCGAATTCATCAGATCAAATGATGATGATGATGATGATCCACTATTTAAAAATGGTTTTAATCGATATTTCATCATTTTATACACATTAAAAAATTCATTGATAATCGATAAAAAAAAATTCAACATGCAATCATCAAAACAAAAACATCATCCAATCTGATCAGTGTCTAAATCTCAAATGACGTTCGAAAATCGAATCAAATAATGGTTGGGTTCTGAAGAAAAAAGACGAACGAAAAAAAAGTCGAATTGCGTGAGTTCTGATGCTTGTGATCTGTATATGGTTGTATTTTTTCTACCCCAAACAAAACAAAAAAAAACACCATAAACTTCAATGCAAACTTATGTCAGTTTTGTTTGAAAATATTATATTTTGGGAAGGGCAAACTCTTATTTTTTTTCCTATCATTCTTTTTTTTTGTTGTTGTTAGTCGTTTCCAGTTTATCGTTTCATAGTTTTTCAACATACACACACACACACACACATCGTACCATTGTCATGTTTATATACGATTATGTATTGCCATAATCGTATAGTACGACGTCGTCGATTCCGTTTTCAGTTTCAAACAATAATAATGATGATAATAATAAAAAATTTTCCTCACCCAATACATAAGGAATTCTTTGGATCATTCTGGATCACAAACACACACACATACGAATCTGTAGACTATAACTATAATAACAATAATAATAAGAATTATTATTATTGGTCATTTAGTTATTATATGGTTGAATTGATGCTGTAACGATTCGCGCGAGACATGTGTGTGTGTGTGTGTCGTTTTTATATTATATCAATTTAGCTAGTGTAAGAATAATAATGAATGTCTATAATAGTAGTCTACACGTTCTATTTATTTGTGTCCGTGTGTATGTGTGTGTTCCAGAAACAAAACAACAACAAAAAAGTGAAACTAGAAAATTTTTTTTATTATTATTCGAAACAACAAATGTGATTGTACGATTGGGAATCACAGATATATTGAAATGAATTGTTTTTTTTTCCTGAATAATATGGTCATGTCTATCTTTGTGTGTGTGTGTGTGTTTCAACAATTTAGATTCAAACCAATAAAAAAAATAGAATTTTCATTTTACTGATATCAATTTCAATGATGATGATGATGATGATATGACAAATTACATCGTCCATGGATAAAACAAAATCTGAAATCGAATTTTTTTTTTTTTTTTTAAATCAATTTCAATCAAATGTAGTGTAAAAACAAAACAAAACGAAAAAAAAACAAGGGCACTAGGGAACAATTTTTATGACCATCATCATCCATAATAATAATAATAATAATAAACAATAAAGCAGATGTTTTGTTTAGTCGAGTCAAAAAATTTATGACCCAAGAACCTAATTTGTAACTTATGGTGGTGGTGGTGGTGGTGGTTGGTCATTCAATGAATTTTGTTTTTGTATTTTTCCACAGTAAATTTTTTCATCATCATCATCATCATATAGTCTAGAAATAAATTTTTTTTGTTTTACTGCTGTTGTTCTATTTTGTTCTTTTTTTTGCAATGCAAAGAATTTGAAATTCATGTTTTCTGCTTCATTAAAAAAAGTGAATCCAAGTGGCCAATATGACAATATATACACATTGCAACATATGGACATTCGATTAGGTTAATTGATTTGCCAAATGTCCAATCATCCGATTGACAAGCAGCTTAATTTTGGATGATATGGTTTATTCTGATAACAAATAATGAGCCACATGAACACGCAAATTCATATCCATGATGATTCACCCAATTTTAGCGAATTTTATTTTATTTTTTTGAATTTTTTTTCTTTTGAATTTTATACAAAAGATGGCATTAACAACAAGCAGTTATTGTATCGATGAATGGTTCAATGTTATTGGATTGTAAAAATCAATGTCAATTGTCTCGTGGAAAAAATTTATTTGTTATTATTGGCTTTAATTTTGTTTATTAGAATAAAAAAATTTCACAATTATCTCTGCCATAATGACCGGATCAAATTTAATTCGTTATGGTTTGAATGCAGCAAAATTGTTCCGTATAAAACAACGACAAACACAATTTATTGCCGTTCGATCATGTAAGTCGACTGTTTTTGATTTATTTTGTCAAATTTTTCTTTAAAAATCAAATAATTCCAGGTGGTTGGATACGTGATTATAAACCTGGTCCATATCCAAAAACACCAGAAGAACGTGAAGCAGCAGCACGTAAATATAATCTAATACCTGAAGATTATGATTGCTATGAAGAGGGATCGGGTTATGGTGATTATCCAAAATTACCTGTCGTTTCACAAGATGCAATGGATCCATATGAAGAATATGATAACTATTATCGTCGACGTAATTTTGGACAAACGGTTTGTTCTATTCTCACAAATTTTTGGATATTTATCATAATGAATTTATTTGTAATATTATATTTATATTTATAGTTACATCGTGATTATGATATTTTAACTTCGGAAAAAACAAATCCAAATTTGGTTTTTCGTTTTTCACCGTAAGTTTCAATAGCCAATTTTAAACACTGAAGATTTCAAAGAAAATATTTTTTTTTTTTTTGATATATTTTAGTTTGGTCATGTTTTCCGTTTTTATTGCACCATTTTTCATTTTTTCTTTCATTGCATGGATTGATTACTATTTTGATCTACATTCATGTAATCCAATGAAACCGAAACAATTTCCTGGTGATGGTCGAATTCATTATACATTTGAACCAGTCGATTAAAATATACATTAATTAATTAATTGAAATTATTATTGAAAATTGATAGTAAAAAATTTTGGTTTGGTTTATTTTTATGTAAAAATGAGTGAAAATTAAAAAAAAAATGTTTCAAAATTGTAATAATTGCCAATTTTAAAAATGTTTTTGAATTAAGGATGTCCATTACTTTCAACCATACTATTTGATTGATTAGCGGTTGTTTTTTCCGTTTCAATTTGATTCATTTTTGAACCGATTGGATGATGTTTATAATACCAATCAAGGAATCCTTGCCGACTGGTATATGCTAACATACCGGTATGTTTATCAATGGCAATATATTCATCATCGGAAATCAATCGATAATCAAAACGTTTGTAATTAGATATGTCCATCTTGCGAACAGAATATAAATCACGATGTAAATTAATAATAACTTTTAGCAATGGTTTTGTTTGTGATTCTTTGGCCAATTTATCCACATATTTTTCCATCATTTCCACTTCTAATGTGTGACGATCTTTTGGTCGTAAACCACGTGCCAAACGTTGACGATAATCTTCCTCGGTGTCGAGTATCATTGCCTTTTTTGTGGGCAGCTTGTATTCACCCAACAATATTTTCATTAAATACAATAGCTATATGAAAACAGATTAATGAACTACATTTTTTTTCGAATACAAATATTACCTGTTGATGATACAATGGTAATGGTAAAACACGATTACTAACGGCAAATAAAGCCATTGATGGTTGTTCAATGTTAATAAGATGACGATATAAGCCATCTATGGTACCATCTGGATTCGCTTTGATTCCAACATTCGGATCAACAAATTTCAAATTATAAACATAACCAGTGGCCATGATAATTGTATCCACTTGATATTCAATACGATTGCCATCATTATCACGAGCAATTATAGAATTCTCGGTGAATTCTTCAACTTTCACATCAACTTGTTGAACATTCGGAAACATATTCTGAAATCGCATCTTTCCATTGTTAACAAATATAACTTCTTTACAGTGATGAGAACATTCCTGTGAGATATCTACACCTGAAAGACCGCCACCAATGACAGCTATGCGTTGGCCAATATAATCTTCTGGTTGACGATAATCATGACTGTGAAGCAGTTTTCCTTTGAATTTTTTCATCGTATCATATTTAGGCCAATGTGGTACGGAATAACGACCAGTACAAATCAATATGACATCGAAACTTTGTGTAAATTCATAACGTTTCTTAATATCTTTGGCTGTCACTAACCATTCATCATTCTCACGACAGATGAACATGATACGATGATTAAACTAATGGGTTATGGATTTTTTATATTAGATTTGAATGAATTTTTTTTCTATTCAAAAAACTTACATGAATAAAACGATGAAGATTGAATGTTTCAGCATATTTATGTAGATAATTCAATACGACACTATGATGAACATATGAATGATTTGTTTCAAGTGGAAAATCAGGAAAGCCCATAATTTCCATTGGAAGATTAGTGCTGATAAATGAGAATTTTTTTTTTGAGTAAAAATTTAAATTCTTTATCCATTTAATCAATTAAACTTACTGTAGATTCTTGTACATTGAACTATGAACCGGAAGCCCATCCGGTGTCATGCCAACATGTTCAGTAAATTTCCATGTACCACCAATATTATCATCTTGTTCGAATGCAGTCAATTCAAAACAATCGGATCGCATATTTAAATGTCGTAATGCACAAAGTCCAGCTGCTCCAACGCCAACAATACAAACACGTTGACGTTGGCCATTATTATTGTTAATCGATCTATTGTTCAATGAAGCGTCGATTTCTATCAAAAACAAATAATCAATCAATCAATCAATCAATCAAATAAATCCAAAAATTAAATCCAAACGAATAATAGTACCAATATGATTATTATTAATTTCATCGGAAACCATTATGATTGTTGAATTAATAAAGTTTTCGTTTCTTCGATCTGGATGTCGAAATAATCTTAAATGATCTGAGTATTTTCTTAAAAAACCTTCCGATTTTTATAACGAAAATCAAAAAAAAAAAAATTCGATGAATGTTGTTTGTACAAAGGTTTCTATGCGTGGTAATTGAATGCAATGAAAATGAAAAAAAAAATTTCCAGCAATAATAATAACATTAAATTGTGTTGCATTTGTGTTGAAATTCGATTCAAATTATCAATGATCATCATCTTAACGCCCGGACCAACATTCGACAACAACATTTAACAACAAGATTCAAAATCAATTAGAATGGCCAAAGCCATATGAACGAACGATAAAAAAAAGAAAAAAAAAAAAAAATAAAAATCATAAATATCGAATGATTATGAGATGGCGTTGACGTTATCAATTCAAATAAACACACTGATTTAAATCATGATGATGATGGTGTATGTGTGGTTGCCGATTCCAATGGTATAAAGAGAGAGAGAGAGAAAACCTTAATAATAATCATTATCGATTCAAATATTTGTCATTTGAAACTAAGTATAGCATGATAGCATCTTACGTAAAGGCAATAAAAAAAAATTTCTCTTCTGTTTAAATTATGATGATGATGATGATGATGTGTACACATTTTATGATCGTGATTATGATATCGTTTGTGGAATGTAGTTATTTTTTGCTTTTCTATTGCGAACTTTCAAACCATTGGATTGGATGGATGCCACACACACACACACACATCCATGGATGGATCCATATCGATGCTACTGCTATTTTATTTTATCATCATTCATTTTCATCATTATCGATTCTGAAATGAATTTCGATTTTTTTTCAACGTCAATGCTATTTTAGTTTTTATTTTTATAATATGAAAGAAATTCTTTAAGTAAATTTCTATATGAAAAGTAAAAAAAAAGAGAAAAAAAATTAGTTTGTTTGATAAACAAAACAAAAAAATAACATCATCCAATCATTTACCGTAAAATCAATTGATTAGCACCCAATGATATTCTTGCGAAATAATCCATTTGATTATTAATTTCTAGACAAAATTCATGAAATAATCTAGGACATTGACTATTTGCTTTTGGTGGTAGAAGAAATTTGATTACTTCAAACAATTTTGCTGGCCGTGTTTGTGCATTTGCCTTGATGAACGGACTAATTACTTGTTCAATGAAAATTTTAACTTCTTCCGGATCTTCACCATCTCCAATATTGCGATGTGATTTTTTCATACTTTGTATCAAACATGATATGATTGTCTGAAACAACGCAATACGATAATCGGATTGTTGACCAATATTGAATTCGCTAATGTTTGTACGAAATATGATTTCTGATAACCGTAATAGATCCTTATATGACAGTTCATCCAATCGGCAAAATTGATTTAAATATTCATATAAATCTTTTGTAATCGATGGTTCACGTTGCACAAGAAATATCGATTTCAATAAAGAAACTATTTGCACATGCCAATTTTCATATACTCTGATACTACGATTAGATATCAATGTCTTTTTGATTGAGAAAAAAAGTTCATCATTATATGGTGATCAAGATAATAGTTGCAAAAAAAAAAATTCAAGCTAATTAAAACTTACTTTGATTGCAGTATAGTTAAGATATTGGCTCATTACAGGCAAATACATTAAAATTAATTGACGAATTTTTCGATTAAGATATGGATCATTTGGATCTAATTCAATAAGACCTTCAAAAATCATTGGAAATGATTCACGAAACAAAGATGGCCATAATGATTTGATTTGAAGAATAAATTGACTATTCGATGGTAGAATGATCAAGTTCTCCAATATGATGATAAGAAGACAATCTGATTTGCCCACAATATATGATTGACGAGATAATCTTGAAATAAGCTCAGCTATTATTCGATACATTCGTGTCATTAATCGAACATCTTTCATAGGAAGATTGATAAAAACATTTTTCGTCATTGCACTATATCGTCGGCTTATAGTGGCTAGAATTTGTTGTGATTTTATAATCATTGGTCTAAAATAACGATCCACACGATTCATATGTATGATTCGTTCCAAATTTGGTGTCGAGTCAAAACGATCACATAGAATGGTTAGAAATTTTTCGTAAATTATTCGTATATCTAGCATAACAATAGAATCAGATTCAGATCGTGAAATATACCAACGAAAAATATGACGAGAAATGACTAGTAATTTTTCATATTTTTCTGTATCCGCTTCACAATCATTATTAACATCATCATCATCATCGATAGTGATCAAAAGTTTGGACCATGTGGCCACAAATTTTTGTGCTAAATCATTATCACTATTGATTGATTTTAATATCTCTACCATAAAATTATCATTGAACAAAAGATGAAGATAATGCAAATGAAATACATCGACATTGTTGTTGTAACATTTTCCAATATTATTTGAAGAATTATATGATGATGATGATGTGAATCTTGACCTTGAAATGATAATAATAAATCGATAATGTTTAAATTTTTACATCCAATTTGTTGTTGTTGCTGTCTGCTGTTATTTTGGAAAAATCGAGAAAAAAAAATTTTAAAATAATTTACATTTTTGGGATATATCTTTCCTTTCGATGACGCATGCAAAAATAATGAAAATATTTTTCATTTTATTTATATGCACTTACATTATTATTATGTTTATTATAGTAATTTTCCAAGCAATACAGGCAACAATTTCATCCGGTTCATTTTCATGATTTTGGCTGGCAATAATCATTTCCAATTTAATCATTTCAATCATTGATTCTATTAATGATTGCATTATATTATCAAATAATGATGAATGATAATGATTATCAATGTTTATGATGATATTATGATCAGATGATGATGATGTTGATGGCGATGGATGTTCAGTTTGTTTATAGTAAACAATAATTTTTTCATAAAAAACATTAAGTAATTTTTTGAAAAATTCCATTACAATTAAACGATCTGATTGATGTGTTTCGTATGATAAAAAACGTTTATACATTTGTATTAATTCAATTTTTGTCACTAGATCATCATAAAAATATAATAATTGGTCAGATGATTTCGTTAACATTATGGTTAATTCATTGAAATAATTATTAATAATTTGAATAAAATGTTTTCTTGGATTGATTAATGTCATATTTTCCAATAGAATACTGTTAATAAATCGATTCAAAATTATTGCAATTTTTCGATTTTCTTCACCAACAATTGGTTTCATGTGAAATATGGCGAAAAAAAATTTTAGTAAAATTTCTTGAAAATCTAATGTTCGTTTTTCTTTCAGTAGTTCTTTGATTGGATTCAACAATCGATCACTATGTTCGTGCCATCGTTCCGTTGGTAGAGCATCGATTAATGTTAAATATAATTGTCCAATTCGATAGAATCCATTTGATTGAATGGATCGTAGAAAATTCGGTTGCAATGTGACGACTATTTTGCTAACAATTTTCTGATAACTCATCATCATTGTTCGTTCGATTTGTTGTAATTGATTTTTCATACGATTCGTTTCTGAATTCATTTGTTGAATTTTTTTCATCTGTTGATGAAAATAGAATAGAAATATTTTATAACTATCATTATTTTGATAAATATCATCATGTAATTCGATTATTTCGTGAATTTTATCGGTCCATTGTTGACCATCTTTGATGGTCATAATCATTTCATTATCCAAAAGATTTACATTGGATTGTAGAGAGAATTTATAGTTGAATCTTTTTAGAAAGAAATCCATAAATAAAATGACCAAATCGATTGATGGATCCGAAATGAAACGACTGTATCGTATAGCACAAACAATTAAAGTCGGAATCAAACGACACTTGCCTATTAGGTTGGACGTTTTAATCGATGGATATCGGCAATCAATTTCACGTAAAATTGTTCGATAAATTTTCACAATATTAGTTGGTATCTCATTTCGAATGTTATTGTGATTATATGTAACTGCTTGATATTCATTCAGATCAATGGTTAATAATGGAACAAGATTCGACCAAAGCCAAATACTATATTGATCAAATTCTTTTACGAAATATTTCTCAATTGTAATCGATTTAAAATGTTCGATTTGTACTTCTTCACGAGCCGTCATTGTCATTTTATCCATATTTTTCGAATCAAAATAAGCCATAATATCGAACAATATTGATTGGAATTGATTATCATTATCACTAGAATTCATCATAAACTTTAACATTAAAAACACTTGTTGAAAACATGTACATATAAAAGGAGTAAATGTTGAATTTGGTTGTATATAACAAGAAAAATCTTCATCATCTTGAATGTTTTGATTAAATCTTTCAATACTAAAACATAAGATATCGTATAGAAATAGACGTGAACATTGTAAAAACAAATCATTATTGGCCGTATCATTCATTAATAATAGATTACATTCAGAAAAGATTCGATGATGAAATTTGGTCGATTTACATTTCAAAACAAATAACATTTCTAAATATGTTGACCATATCTGTAATGTAAGATGAAAATGATGATAAAAACAGCTATCAGAATCGGACTTACGATGAAAACTAAATTCTTGAAATTTTGTTTCAAATTGTGATAGTCGACCGACAAACAATAACAGTTGTCGCATTTCTTTCAGTATGAAAACACATTTAGTACTTTCAGGATTAACATTCGAATCTTGCATTTCATCATGGATGATCATCATAAAAAATCGTTTAAGAAAATGTAGAGATTCCAAAATTGGATGACAATATTGTTGAACAAAATCGACATTGACATTGAATTCAATATTACAATCCTCTAAAGTGGCAGCACGTATTAGATTGAAATTTTTTTTAATAAAAAGAAAAATTGGTTGTAAATGTCGATCATTATTCACTTGTTCAATGTAAGGAATTCGTATAAATTTAAAAAACACATGGGTTCGTTTTTGTTTTTTCAAAGAATCACAATATTCTTGATCATTTTGTTGTACCACTAATCGTCGAAAATATTCAGAACGAACATAATGAAATGTGTTCAACAATTGTTCGATAAATGTTTCCAATGATTTTGATGAACATTGTTCCATCAGACGAAACATGGAACAAAATTTTGGATTAATTTGTGGATCACAATGTAAATAATTTTCCATGATTAATTAAAAACAATTTTCAGACAAAAACAAAAAATCTAGCTCTAAAATCAAAACGCGCCAAACTCAAACCAGATGGGAAACTATTTTGATTTAAAAAACCTAAATATCTGTGTGAAAATAGATCCATGCAACTTCAAATGTCAGTTTGGATTATTTTTTATATGCAATTTATTCCAATTAGAACTTTTTGAGTTATAAATAAATTTTATTTTACAATTTTTTTCTTGTATATTAAAAAAAAAAAAAAAATAGATAATTATCGAATCCACCAATCAATCGGTCCTAATAAATCCTGTTTAAATGTAGCCATTGTTATCATAGGTTCAATAACTCGTTGTTGATTGAGCAGATTGAATCGATTAAATCGTGTTTTTAACACTTTAAACCGTGCATCTTCTTTGACATTGATACTGAAATAATGTTCATCAATGCCAATCTTTTTGATCCATACCCATCGGCGGCCATTATGTTCAAATTTTGATGGATTAGGCAAATAATTCGAATCGATGGCTAATGATTTATAAAAATTCAGATTTAATGTAACACCTTGTGGTGTACATTCCTGAATTTTAGCCACCATTGTTTCACCTTCAATTAGATTGAATATTAAACATTGGAAACGACAATTGACGAATAAATCGGATTTGTTCATAATCGCCGAAAGTATTTCATAGCCTTCCACTGAGGTAACAATGATGAATAGGCCAGCATTATAGATAACTTTGTTGTACATACATCGATTCAGCAATAATAACAACAGTTCGTGCATATCAACATTTCGACTGAAATATCGACATGGAATACATATCCGTTTAGTTAATTCGATTATCTGGAACATTATTATGAAAATCGATTTAATTATTTGACAAACAAACACACACACACACACACACACTAAGCATCTCATGTGGTCATCACCATTTCCACACAAATGGATAGTAAACATGCATTGAAATAGGCAAAGTAAAAAATTTTAAATTTCGAAAAAATCAATTTATTTTCATTTCATGGATTATACCAATCCAAAAATAAAACGACAAAAGCAAGTGTTGTGATAAAAAATAGTATCCAAACACGAAATCCGGCATTCTTACGCATTGCTTCGCGTAGCTGTTCATTACCTTCACGTATCGATTCATTCGATGTGATGGTCGATTGATTTAAATTATTTAGATCACATTCTTGTTTGAGAACATTTTCTGAAAACAATTCTTGTAATTTAGATATTTCCGTTAATTTTTTGTTATGTTCATCACTTCTTCATTCATCGAATTCATTTGATCATAAATTTGTTTACTTTCTAGCTGAAATTGTTTTTGTTCTTCGGGTGCTAATCGTGAATTAATTTGTTCTTTATTCGAAGACGATTCATTATGGTATTCATTATTATAGAATGATTTTACATTCAAATTTGAATTGTTAACCTGTTTCTGGCCATCGATACGTTTATTGGATGGTTTCATGTCTTTCTTGATCTTAATAATTTTGCCCGTGACCTGATCATCGGATGAAGATGATCCATCAATACCATCGATTTTATTATTGCTGTTGGTGAATGATTTATTAAGGCGAAAAAATTTTTGTGTATAAAGATTTCTTCGTAATCGCAAAGCTTTATTCTTATTGTGCATATCGTTGATGGATCGTAGATACATTTCGACCAGATTGATTGCATTCAATTCATGTTCAAATTGTTGATTGGTGGTCCTTGATTTCACTGAAATTAATGAATAACAAATGTACATTCGACTTTATCATCAATTTAACACTATATCTTACTTACATTCAACACGTAATATTTTGATTACATCATTTCCCAATTTGACAAAATCTTGAACATCTTTATCGATTTGATCACGTTCCTCATCGGTCATTGCCGAGGATAAATATAGAATTGAATTGCTTGAATAATAATATTAAATTGGCTAGTGGAAATATAGAAAAAACTTGGAATAGACTTACTATATGTTGACATAATCTTTTTTATTGGCTAGTAGATAATCTCTCATACAGGTGATTGATGCGACTAGCTCACGAAGTTTCCATGAAAGTTGTCTACTTTTACCATCGTTTCTCAATCCATTGGATCCATCGACATTTCGATGATTGTTGTTTGTATGAATAATTTGTAAAAAACATTTTGTTTGATCCATTTGTTGATAAATAAAATTACAAAAAATTTATATATAAAAAAAATCGACAAAAACAATCATCAATCTCAAAACGAATACGTACACATTGTTGTGATGAGAAATTTTTCTCGGAAAAATTGTTTTGTCGAAAAATTTCCGAGCAATTTTGACATGAATGAAAGAGAACTATAATTCTAATAAAATGATTTATTCAAAACAAATTATTTTCGTTTATTAATTATTTGTTGGTAAGTTTAGCTCTTTTTATTACATGATTTTTAAGTGAATGTCTTTTCATTTCTTTTCGAAATAAATGAGTAAACAGTGCAACATAGATGATATACATGACAAGACCAGATTCAACCGTATAACCACCATTTGAACAATTGCTATCCGTTATCATCCATTTCTCATAAAAAGCTAATGAATTAATGGTCAAACCGATAAACATCTGTGATGTCTGCAGATGGTTACAGTAATGGCCACGGAACCAGGTAAACGAATCTGACAGCTTTGAAGATAATAATATCCATACATTAATGAATGTATGGCCGTATTCATCGTACTCATCCATCGTCCAATTGCCGGCAGATAGACAGCAATATACCATGAATAAATCATTGTTAATACATGATGGAACCAATGTATGAATCGAATACGTTTTTGACGTGCCAACAAGAATATTGTATCACCCATTTCGAATAATTTAGAGCTTACAAACAGGAAATACCAATAATAAACACGGCGATCATGATGATAATCCCGATCACAATAGGATGCCCTCAATCCACGTTGATAAATTTTCTCCACAAAATTCATACCCAAACGATAAGTGGCCATCACCGAAAAGATCATCAATGTGAAATTCCATATTCGCAGATATTCCAAACATTTAATTGGCTTTCGTATCCAATTCGGCAACGAAACAATCAAAGCAACATAAACTATGGCAATCGGTATCGAAATAGTCCAATATGATTGAAACCATTCGGTCTCTAGAAATGGAATTCCATCATCAAAATGAATCATCAAAGCAAAAATAATAATGACAAACACATATACTTTGATCATGGTTGCTTCTCAATCTTTCAGATGATTTTATTCATTGATGACAAACAAAAATATAGAACGATTCATGAAAAATAATATGAAAGACTTCAACCACATTTGATCGATAAACCTTGTTCATTTGATTCAGGTCTTAGATTTAATTTAGAATGGCATTCATTTTATACATCGATAAAATAATCAGCCAAAAATGATAAAATATAGATTTGGTTTCCAATCGATCGTTACCCAAATATTGCCCTGATACTGGCTTTGCCATGAAAGTTTATATGACCAACCATAGTAATCCATATGTGTGCTAAGAAAATTTGGACACTTGTCTGACCGATTTATAATCTGAATCATAGATGAAAAATATAACCATAGTAATTATCATATGATCAGAAGTGATAAGATATATTTCCATAGGCAAAAATTTATTTTGATAATTTTTATGAAAAAACGTGAACAAATACAAACGAAAAAACAATGGATTCTCTTCGAAAGAATTTGAACCAAGTCAATTCTTATTGTGAATAATTTACACATTTGGCCAGGTACAAAAAAAAATATAATTAACGATCAATAACTATGTTGATTTAGTAAATCCGACCACTTTTTGTGCAGCATCATCAAGGTTTTTTGCCGATATAATATCCGGTACAGTGTTGATCAGATTAATAGCCTGTTCTGCGTTTGTTCCTTCTAATCGTACAACCAATGGTACGGTTAATTGATTTTTAGCAGCAATCAATCCTTTAGCGATCGTTTCACAATTCACAATACCGCCGAAAATGTTGACCAGAACTGCCTTCACTTTTTTATCAGTCATAATCAATTTGAATGCACTTTCAACACCAGCCTGATTTACCGAACCACCAACATCGAGAAAATTGGCTGGACTACCACCATAACGATGTATAATGTCCATTGTGGCCATAGCTAATCCGGCTCCATTAACTAAACATGCAATATTACCATCCATTGGAACGAAATTTAGATTGTATTCTCGGGCCAATCGATCTCTAGGATCTTCTTCGCCTGAATTTTCCTCGAGAATTTGGTTCATCCAATCCTGACGGAACATTGCATTCTCATCGAAATTCATTTTAGCATCGAAACAAATCACTTGATTCTGTGTGGTGATACCCAATGGATTGATTTCCATTTGTAGCGCATCTAATTTCAAAAACATTCGATATAAACTTGATATTTCGGTTGCCGCATCCTCTTTAAGTTGACCATTCAATCCAAGTCCTTCGCCGGCCACTCGTAATGCCAATTGTCGTTCCAAATCTTTGGAATTTTCACTGATTGAAATTGGGAATTTATGAACAGCTTCAGGACTTTTTTCGGCTACCTTTTCAATATCCATACCACCTTCTGGTGATGCAACAATAATGGGTCCACCGCTAGCTCGATCCAAAAGGATTGCCAGATAAAGTTCTTTTTGTATATCAATAGCTTCAGCAATCATCACCTTTTTGACCAGAATACCTTCTTTGGTCGTTTGTGCAGTGATAAGATAATCGCCAAGCATTGCTTTAACAATCGGTTCGATTTCAGCTTTATTATTGGTCAATTTAACACCACCTTTAAAGCCGGAATTTTTGAAATATCCTTTACCACGACCACCGGCCAATACTTGTGCTTTAATAACATATTCATTTGCTTTCAAAGCTTCATCGGCAACAATATTTTTTACCTGACTTAAATCGGATACTATACGGAATTTCTGTATCTGCAGTCCATTCTTTTCCATCAATTGTTTACTTTGATATTCTTGAAGATTTATATGACGTTTAGAAATGAAATAAGCCGTAGCTGGTGATAATGTATCACGTAATGAATTACGCATGAATGATGGCAACAAACCACCATTTATATTTGTCAAGGCTTTACGAAACAACATTTTTTTCACATTGAAAATTCGAAGATTCTGTCTCGGATTTTGTTGTTGTTGTTGTTATTGTTATTTTTGTTGATTATTATGAGTATACTAAACTCATGGAATTGATTCGATTCGAAATCTATAGATGTTTTTGTGTGTGTGTGAACAAGGTTATCACCAGCAATCGATCAATCAATCAATCGATACGTGATGATTAAAATTGGGATAATGTTTATGCGTGTTTATAAACACAATCCACACACACACACAACAGTTGGACCTAAAAAGAAATAATCACATTTGGCGACAAGTTTTTCATGTATTGAACACTAGATGGTGACAATTGAAATTCATTGAAATTCCTCCTTTTTTTTATCCTCCTCATGGCATGATTCAATTCATAATTGAATCGAACTGAATATCAATGCATGCAGTATGATTGTTACTTGCATAATTTTGCAGTGACTTTGATAAATCTTAACGCTATTTGCTTTCTCATCATTTCAGCATTATTTGTTTTTTGTTGTTGTTGTTTCTCTTTCGATTTAGATGCTGATGAGCACATCTCTATAATTTTTTTTTTTTTTTTTTTTTGATGAATTCATTCCGTATATATATCGCTTAGAACATTTATTGAATTTTGTCTCAAACAATGTTGGCATCATCATCATCATCCTTATTATTCATTAACCCTACTGTTAAGCTGGCAACAATTCCTTTTTCAATCATGTATACCTTTGCTATTGCTTAACGACAGCTTTATTTTTATTTTCTAAAAAAATTCAAAGTCATTTTGACGAATCAAAATAATTGTAAACAATTTCCATCACTACCATCGTTGGAATCGCTCCATTTGGCCGTTGTTTCGATTCAATTATTGGTCCACAAGTGAACATTTTCATCATACTAGAATTGGTTTGTCTACAATGAATCCTATCATTACTGAATCAAAATTACCTTTGCTTCGATTCGGTGTTGTTGCTGATGTTCAATATGCTGATAATGATGATAAACAAGCCTGGTATAATCCAACTAAAACACGATTCTATCGAAATTCATTGAAACAAGTGACAAAAGCATTCGAATATTGGGAATCTATTGGCAGATCGGATGGCGATTGTCCTATTGGATTCATCCTTCAATTGGGCGATATTATCGATGCATTAAGCAAATCAATCTGTAGCCGTTCAGCTATTGATCGTACGCTAGGTTGTTTTTTAAACAATGCTAAAATGCCTACTTTTCATACGGTTGGAAATCACGAACTTTATAATTTTAACCGATCTGAACTTTGTCATTTGTTCGATGAATATCTTTTCCATCATGGTGTACATGAAAGTTTGAATGTTTCTCATCCGAATGTGAATGGAATTGATACGAAAACATTGTATTATCGATTCAAACCTCGACCTGGTATTAAATTCATATCATTAGATACTTATGACATAAGCGTATTGGGATATGATCAAAATCATCCAAAATATCAGCTAGCATCAAACGTATTACGATCATATCATCATTGTGATGATTGGAATGTATGGGACAGTGATAAGGATTTAAACGATGCTGATAAACGATTTCAATCATCGAATGGAGCATTAAGCCCAGAACAATTACAATGGTTGGATGCTGAACTAACTGAATCGGATCTTATGAACGAAATGGTCATCGTATTCGGTCATGTTGGCCTACATCCAGAATCCTGTGGCTGGGATTCAATACTTTGGAATTATGATCAAGTTATCGATTGTTTTAATCGTCATGAATCAGTGGTAGCTTATTTTAATGGCCATGCACATAATTGTGGCTATGCATATGATGGTAATGTTCATTATATTGTTCTGCATGGCATTATAGAAACACCACCAGATATTGAAGCATTCACTACGGTTACTATTCATGATGATCATATGCTTATTGATGGTATGGGTGTTGAACGAAAAATTCTCGCCAGTTATCATAAAACATTTGCCTTCGATCCTATTGTTCCAGATTATAATGTTCAAAATCATTTGATTAGAATGCCTATTACAGTTGGCCTTGATGAATATCATACGGAGATGGATATTCCTAATACAATCAAAATCAAAGTCTAGTTTTTATTCTTAACCAATTTTAATGATTGTTACTATTATTTTTTTTTGATTAATATAGATTATTTTAATTTTATAATAATAATAAGATAAGAATTGTCAATGTCATTTAATATATTGCTTTTCTTGTTGCGTTGTTAGCCAATTCAAATAAAATGGTATTCGTGAGATTTTTTTCTTTATTCGTTTTGTTTTTCTGTTAGAACGTTGTTGTCGATGACGTCTTGGTCTAGTTTGCATTCTTTGCCAATAGTTACGATCATATTTTTTCGACGACATAAGTGATCGATATTCGAGGCCTGAATGACCAAAATCTGGTGATGAACCATAGCCGCCACCACTATATGAAAAATGTTGTTTGATTAGATTAATTTATTAATATTTGATTCACTTACTAAATCGGTGATGGAGCAGGTGGTGGTAACGGTGGGGGTGGTGGAGGTGATCTTGAACCAGCTTTTTGATTGCCATATTCACTACCGATGAGGAAACCGACAAGAAAACCTTCAAGAAATTTCTTTTTTCTTACCAATTTAAACACAGAACATTCGATTTGATGATGATGAATGTATAGAATCGATAGTAATAATACAATGATTAGCCATTGGCTATCCGATCGGATTAAATTCGATGCCAACATTGTCACCATATATGGATGGATGGATGAGTAATGAATGTATTATGAATACGAAGTAAACAAAAAACTTGTCCGTTCGTTTGTCGTCGATCATGACGTTTTCATATGGATCATTCGATCGATCAATAATGTTTGAATTACTAGATCGATATTCGAATCGGTTGAATGGACGGCACACATTTCATCATTCAAACAAGTTCGGTGATCATTCGGAGCCATTGAATAGATATTAATTATTACGAACGTTTCATTAGATCAATTGAGTGTCTATAAATAGAACCAGCCATGTATTGTTTGTAGCTCAAAACCAATGATTATTTCATTGACAATCTCATTATTTTCTGTTTCATCTATGAACTATAATTTTTTACTATTACATTCTTCCAGATTGATTAATTGACATTTTCATCCGAAAGATTTTCTGAACTCGAATCACATAGGACGTCCATTTTAAGAAAAAGATCCGGATAGATGAACATATCTTCCAATAGATGATTCGATTCACTTGAATTGGATCGTACACTTACCATACTCAACCATTTACTATTGTGAGCATTGAATTTTTCTGAACATATCCGGTCGGCTAAGCTATGAGCTTGTTGAGTATCACAATCAGCCAATAAATCCAATGTAAAATTACATAAAGTTTTGATTCGATAATTTTTATCATACATTAATTCGATTAAATAATCGGTAAGTTCTGTGTAAGAAAAAAAAATTATTGGATTTGATTGAAAAAAAATTTATAAAAACTTCTGTTTTAACTTACTATTATTTTGACATAAATCATTTCGTCTTTGATCATCTGATTGTTTGGCCAATACATATAGGCAATAAACTGCATTCGAAACTATTTGATCACTTTCTTGATTCACTTGAATTGTTAACAGAAAATTTGTTACTTTAATTTAATTTAATTTTAGCAAAAAAAATACTTACAATTTATCAGATTGAGTAGATAATCGACCATTTGATTATCGATAAGATAATCAGCCAATTCTCTGTCATTCGATAATGCTTTGGCCATCATATTCAACAGATAGCTTAATGCTTCAGAATGATTTGTTTTCTTATCCGTTATACGATAATTGTGTATGAAATCGATGAATGAATATTTTTCAAACAGACGAACCCAATGATCCAGGATGGTGGGGGCAAGATTAGCCAGAATAGAGGCACATTCTATTTGCATTTCTGGTGAAGCATTTGTTTGTTTAATTGATTCGAATAAACTGTTCACAGTGGTCGAATTAAATGTTGAATCATCATTCGAATGGCAGGTAATATTTCGACATAATCGTAATAGATGAACATTGTTATCAACAATGGCTGAACCAATCAGTTCATGTAGACGATTTCCGTTCTTATTGATCATCATGGCTGCCATATCTTCATTTATGGCCAGATTTGTTAGCAATCGAATAACGATCGGTTTATAATCAACATTAGTGAATATTTTCTCTACCAACGAATCAATCATTTGTTCATTCGTTTTGAATATGGGCACAAATTTTTGTTCACAACTAATCAGATAGAATATGGAAACGATAACAGAAGTATAACGGTCTTTAAGGAAAAAAGAAATCAATTTCGGTACAATACCGGCACGAAACAAATATACACGAATATCTCTATCAATCATCAGATTGTATAATAATTTAAGTGTATTAACAATGAGCAACTCATTATCCAGATAGAGTAATGGCGTTAGACTTTTGTAAATACATAATTCTTTCATCTGATTTTTATCTTCAACAAAAACCGATAGCTTTTTCAAAAACAATACGACAATCAAAAGTAGTTCTTGATTATTACGTTCCAATAATTTGCCCAAAATTGATACGATTCCTTTATGATGAATTTTATATTCCAATTTTAAATCTTCACTGATATTCAATAAAATGTACAATGAATAACGGAAAAATATGTTTTGCTTATTGATCAATGCTTGATGTGAATAGGAAAGAAGTTCATATTCGCTACGGTCATCATTATTATTATCACCATCATCATTATGATTGTCTAAATTTTCACGTGCCTTTATCAATTCTTTTAGCCATGATTCTTGCCGTAACATTTCATAGTAAATTAATTCCAAACATGTGGAGCCAACTTTGTACTGGCAGAAAAATAATAATAATAATAATTAATGATTTGAAATTTGACTGATTCAACTTACATTTGTGATGGCAAAATGGAAATCTGAATATTTGCTAAAATGGCCAAATATACAAGCAATGCAAATGGAAAGTTCAAGTGATTTTTTACCATCTTCACGAAACACTCGACTCAATGCACAGAGTAATGTATCATTTTGACTAAGATTTTCAATAAGACAATCGACCTGTGACAATGATTTGAGTATGAGATAGGCACCTTTAATCTTATCATCGAGTTCTTCATATAAAAGTTCGATATAGCTATCCAGATCTTTGATTGATATGGCCGATGCTGGAATTGTTGATTCCAAATTTTCAATAACATCAGAACGGAGATTAAAACTAAGAAAATTATAAGTTGATAATGGATGTGAATCATATGGAACAGGTGATATCGAACATTTTCTATCCAATTCGATTAGTTGACCAACTAATTCATAGTAATGAAGTTGTGGTATCACATGACTTTTTCGTATTATTTTTCGTGCAATTTTTTCAATGTTTAGATTTTTATTAGCCGGTTTGTTGATTTTAATACTAAACATTGCGAAACAAAACAATGATAATGATGTGATCATAAATTTCAAATTTGAAAATCTCTTACATTTGTTTACAATTTTGATTCGAAACAATTTGTTTTTGTTCCGAAATCGAATCATAATAGACAATCAGACATTTATTTTTACAATCGGCATGTATTCGTTTAAAGATAGCATTCTATAATGATATATACAAAAAAAAAGTTATATCAACATAATAATTTGTCATTTTTAAAACAAAAACTTTACCTTATGTTGAAAGGAGTTCATGATCCAGGATCAATAATCATAATAATAATAACAAAAACTTTGAAAGCTCGAATGTCCGATTCGGTATTCGGTCGTTACCAGTGGATACGGTCGAAGATACCGTGTGAGTTGTTTTGATTTGTTATTATTTTTTTTCTGGTTGTGATCCAATGAAAATGGAACAGTAAAAAAAAAGCCGCTATATAATTCGAAACTGTAGTTCAATACTATAGTGACATCTATGATTCAATGATTGAAGGAATTAGAATCACATGAATTTCGAGCAAGTTGTTAAAACAGCATTTTTACCGCCAATTGAATTGTTTGTTTGTTTTTTTTCTGGTTAGGATTCATTAACAATGGACAACGATTCATCTAAAGATTCACAATCAACTCCTGTTAATAAATTCAAAACATGGGTGGAAAAATATCGGCCATCACGATTGGATGATATTGTATATCAAAATGAAATTGTTAATTCTTTAAAAAGTATTATTGCATCAAATGCTTGTAATCTACCAAATTTTTTATTCTATGGTCCACCGGGTACCGGCAAAACATCAACCATTATTGCATTGTCTAAACAATTGTTCGGTGTTGAACATTATAAAAATCGTGTACTCGAATTGAATGCATCAGATGAACGTGGTATTCAAGTGATCCGAGATAAAGTAAAATCATTTGCCCAGCGAACAATATCCAATAACAATCAGGTGGCTGCTATTAAAATCATTGTACTGGATGAATGTGATTCGATGACCAAAGATGCACAATCAGCTTTACGACGAATTATGGAAAAATATTCTGCCACTACACGTTTCTGTTTGATATGTAATTATGTATCAAAAATAATCGATCCAATCATATCACGTTGTACTGTTTATCGATTCAAGCCACTCAAAACTGATCTTGTGAAAGCAACATTGTTGAAAGTTGGTCATCAAGAAGGATTCAAAGTTAGTGATAAAACATTGGACATATTGATAGAAATATCCGAAGGTGATCTTCGTAAAGCGATCACTTTGATACAAACATTATCATTGATCAATGATGGTGGTGATGATGATGAGATCAGTTCGGATGATATTTGTGAAATTGCCGGTCAAGTACCGATTAAACGTATCGAACATTTTTTCAACATATGTCGTAACAGCAAATCATATTCACAATTGTTAACCGAAATTAAACAGATTATCCATGCAGGCTATTCTGCCACACAATTCCTTTGTCAATTACAAGAATGGCTAGCCATGTCCGATGAATGTTTGTTGAATGATGGACAAAAATCCAGAATTTGTTGGCAAATTGGCATAGCAGATAAACGGCTACTGGATGGTTGTGATGAATTTCTACAATTGTTACAAGTCGGTTCATGTATCATGCAGACTGTTGGTTAAGCTGGTTTTAGATGTCATCAATCCAGGCATAGCTCTTTGAACAATAACAACAAAAATCAATTTTTTTAAATTTATGAATAAAATTCATTTTACTTACAAATTTACTTTCATAATCTGATTTTATAAGTAACAGATCTTCATTAGAAAGTTGTAATGGTAAACAGGCTGAATGTTCGAGTGATTCTGATGAAAGCGAATCCATATGTTTTGGTGGTGTATCTTGTTTCTGAATCGAATCGATTAAAACATATATGAAATCCTTATGACAATAAATATCGTTTAATTGTATCGAATGTTCTGGTGAAGTTTTCGTTTTGTAAACATTAATGATTGATTGTGCAAACAATATAAGATGACGATGACAATCAATATGTACAAGATCACTGGCTGTTCGAACGATTATTTTTGGTTTCGATATTTTAATTATCGGATAATCTGGTCCATAGGTTTTGATTATGTCCATCACTGATTCATTACAATTGGCAATGATAAAATCATCACCATTTTCAAATGAATTAGGTGTTGATTGTGATTCCGTTGATCGTAAATTACGAACACCGATAAAATAGAGTGAATTATCCGTTAGAATTGCAGTGAAAAATCGTCCAACTTTGATTGTCTTTTGATTGGTTGATTAAACAAATTTGAATGGTGAATTATAACCACAATTAATAATAATTGTTTACCTTGAATTTTTGTTTTGGTTTTAACGGAGAAACTCGTATCGGTCTCCCGATTGGATTGCAATGGCGAAGACCTAGCTGTCCATAGGAATTATCACCAGCAGCTATAATGGTATCATCATGAAGTATGAAAAATGAATGCGTCTCACCTAAGCATACATCTTTAACTCGACCTTTGATGGCTTGACATTGAATTGGTCTTGTAGCCATCATAATCTGTTTGTTCCACAAACAATGACCAAATTGATAATCGTCCAGTGCTAATTTATTGTATTGATTATCACCACAAAGCCAAATAGAACCGTAATAATCAATGAATGCTGTTGCATTGGGACCACAAATTACATTTTTGATTCGACAATCTAACCGGATACAAGTGGGAATGACAATCACCTGTTGTTGATTGGCAAGACCAAGTTTTCCATTTAGATTAGAGCCCCAACCATAAACATGACCATCAGAACTGACAACGACAACATGATCTTCACTGCAGTCAACATCAATAACATTGATTTCCAATAATTCATTTACAATAGTCGGTCGAAATCTATCGGTTCTTTCATCGTTACCTAAACAATAGCTACGATGACTACCACAAGTAAGAACCATACCATTACGATCGACAAAAACACTGAATCCACGACCACAGCCAATTTTTATGATTGAATAATGGCTCAACAAGTGTATTAGTTTTGCATTTTTCAATGAAATTGTCTCTGGACCATGGCCAAGTTCCCCATTTGAGCCTTCACCCCATGAATATACACGATTATCGTTCGATAAAGCAATATAGTGATTATCACTTTTGACTATTTGTCTAAAGGACGAATGATGTGAACATGTTATTTTCATTAATGCAACATCCATATCCGATCGAGAAAGATCTAATTGACAAACATACGAACAATGATTGATAAAATTCTGTCTGAAAAAAAGTTGATAAAACCAATATGTAGATAACGAAAAAGATTCGAACATACCTTTGATCATGATGCAAATATTTTCGATTCGATGAATCCATAACAATATTTGGAATCGAACAACAACTTATATTTTCTAGATTTCTGGCCGACAAATGATTCATCATGAATGCTACCTGTTGTTCAATATATACAGCTGTTGGTCGTTTATTCGGATTACGTTGTAATAGGCTATAGATTAATTTTTTAAACGATTTAGAATATTGTCCATTCAATGGTAGATGATAATGGTGACCCTATGAAATAATAATATGATCATAGAGGGATTGGTTTTTTTTCGAAAATTAATTACTTTGATAATCTTCGGCATTAACCGAGCAATGACACTGTCCTCAAATATACTTTTATTCGATGTAAGTGACATTTCAAAAAGGACACATCCTAATGACCAGATATCCACCGGTTTATTATAGGCTTTTCCCGCATACTATTGATTTGATTGATTGATTAGATCAATCAATGATACCGTATTTACATGAAAACTTACAATCTCTGGACACAGATAGAGTGGTGTACCGACAAACGATCTAGCATCTTTATTTGGATCCAAAATTTTCGATATACCAAAATCACCTAATTTAATAAAGCCTTGTTTATTTAAGAAAATATTCTTCGTTTTAATATCACGATGAATAACATTATTACGATGTAGATATCGTACGGCTGTTACTAGCTGTAGAAATAGTGCAAGAATTTCGTATTCACGTAATGGACAATTTAATGAATCAAGAAATGAATTCAATGTTCCGGCATCAGCATATTCCATTTCAATATAGAATTTATCTCGCCACAAAAAACTTCCATTATATTTTATGATATTTTCATGATTCAATATGGATAGTATTCTTATCTCATTGATGGTCAAATCAATTTGATCAGCTTCAAGTGAATTTGCATCAAGCGTTTTCAATGCAACATATTGACATTCGGTTTCACTTTGTTTACGACATAGAAAAACATAACCAAATGATCCTTGATCGATTCAAATGATTTTCATTTTGTTACAAAAAAAAGTTCATCTTACCTTGGCCTAAAATTTGAACCTTTTCATAGGTTTTACCATCATGACGAAATAGGATCCGATTGGAAGGTCCAACATTTGGATCTAGCGTTTCCATTGCTTATATATTTTTTTTTAAGAATCTCAAAAATATATTAAGATTAACTCCCTATGAAATGAGTGATGATAACAACTAAACAAACAGATACACATTTACAGATATTATTGATAACCGATTCCTATGGTAATTATCGACAAATTAAAATCAAAACAATTAATGATTGACAATTCCGAGAATTCGAATCGATGATTCGTAATCATCATTATCATCAATAATCAATTTGGTTTTATTTATTTATTCATTGTTTATTATTCATCAATCATATATCCTAAAATCATCATCATCATTTAATTCATTATAATTACATCATTTTTTCATTCAGATTTATTTATTCTTCTTTTTTAAATTTATAATTTAATACCGGAACATTGATGAGTACATCTTTCCAATCACAAAAGAATGTAATGGCTAAAAAACTGGCGGCACCAAATGTGGCTCCAGATCGAACCCTATAAAAATCATCAGAATGAAATTTTAAATCCAAAAATAATAAAAAAAAAAAAAAAAACAAAACAAATTACCATCTACGAGTCAGTCCCATCATATATGGTATGGTAACACCAGGTAAAACTCCTTTTATTTGTGTCATGATGAATGAAATGAAAAATAAATCGTTTCGTGATATATTGATATCGGATTGACCTGAAACAAAATGAAATTGATTTTTGTGTCGTTGGTAAAGAAACTATCAAATTTTTTTCAATATTCAATGTGTGTGTGTGTTTGTGTGTTTATTTGTGTGACCTGTTCGCTCTTGGTTTCAACAACAATATCGACGTCAAACATAAATAACGTATATGATCGTTTGTATACAAACTCATTCTATTCTGAAGGGGTTTTTTGATTTTCTTCATTTCACCATACTTTTCAATCAAAATTATTGATTATTTTGACCATTTAGAATAGTCATGGCTTTTCGACAATTAATTGGATCAACATGGCAAAAATTGCAATCACATGAATCTAGGTATGAACGTGTTTTATGTTTTATTTAGTTTATTAATATTGATATTTGATCAATGTTTCTGTACCTCTATTTATTATTAGATTATTATCAGCATCATTACAACGATACAAATCATCATCATCTAGAGGTGGATTTTTAAACGGTGATTGTGAAGATAATTCTATAGTTCTTTCCGATCCGGAAAAAGTTTCCCGAGTCGAAAGTCTTAAGAATTCGTATGTAACCGTAGAGGAACCGAATACATTGTCTAATATATCGGGTATACCGGCTGAACATGTCCATAATCGACGGGTTCGAATTTATAAACCAGCAAAAAATTCTATGCAATCCGGTACGTTTGATACACAAAATTGGAAATTAGATTTTGAAAATCGTGCACGATGGGAAAATCCATTGATGGGATGGACATCAACGTAAGTGTATCGCCTTTTCTTTGAACTATCAATAAAACCGAAATTTTTTTTTTTCCAATAATTAGTGGTGATCCTAAATCAAATCTACATCTATGGTTTTCAACCAAAGATGATGCTATAGCCTATTGTGAACGTAATGGATTCCATTATGAAGTGGATGAAACACATGAACGTCGTAAATTGAAAAAAACTTATGCAGAAAATTTCTCATGGAACAAACGAACACGTGTCGGTTCTAAATAAGAATCATGGATGCAAAAAAAAAATTTTAGTGTATTTTAGTGTATCGAAATATAATAATAATAAACTCATTTATTGTTGATGTTTAGATGTTGATAAAAATGTCAATATTTTCTTTTAAAAAAAATTTCAATATTGCTCTAAATAAGATGTATAAATTATTATATATTCATCAATATTATAAATTATTGCTTTCTTCATTAGAAGTAAAAAAATCATTCAATGATAATAAGAAGAAAAAAAATGAGATATTCGAAAGAAAAGCAATGATCATCATATGTCTGTGTGTGTGTGTGTGTGTATGAGGGCAAGGGTGAAAGGCACATTTGATTTCAATCATCAATGTAAGGTCAGTCAATGGTCAATGGTAAATCAATTTTTTTTTTGTTTTGTTTTGGATATATAATGAACACATAATGAATGATAAATAATGTCCAAATATGAATATGATGATGATGTTGATGATGAAGGATGGAAAATATTTCATAAAAAAGGAAATAAAATGAAAATCAAATATGGACAAATCAAATAAATCAATCAATAAGTCATCATCATCATCATCATCATCATGGCTATACAAAGACAATTTAAATCCTTGATGATGATGATGAAATCAATAGTAAAAAAAAATCAATCAATAATTATAAGTAGATATGGATGACGAAGAAAAAAAATGTTTGAATCGAACGATTTTTTTGGTTAGGATGGATGTGTTTATGTTGATGATGAAGCGGAATCGTTCGATTCGATTTGATTGATTGGCTTGGTCAATCCATCAATCCAATCCGAATCGAAATAATGAGCAAAAATTTTTTTCTTTTTGGTCTTTTCGAAATAAATCAATTATTGAGTATATAACGTTGTGTGTGTGTGTGTGTGTGTGGATGGAGTCATTTATTTGTTGCCACTGTTGTTTCTATTATTAGTATTGTTGGTTTGAGCAAATAATATACCATGATAAAGAATGCCATTTATCTCCATACTAACAGTCAATTGGCCATCCAAAGTTCGACCATCTAAATTGTAATAATGACAAAATGTGATAATTAATTGTAATGTTGTAATAATGAATGAATAAAAAAAATTGGATATATCATACCTTTACTTGATATTTTAAGATGTGTGCTTGGAAAGTTACATGCATTTAGTAGAAAATTCTGTAATGGAAATAATGGAATAATGAATATTTTGTATTTTACAGAAAATGGGTTTCATACCTCATCGCTATGGAATCGTTTATTGGGCGTAACGCCAAATAAATCTTCGTAATTCGTTTTCCTATCTAATGAACCAAGTTTGGCTGATGTTGAACTTGTGGTCATTGTTGTTTCATTATAATTACCACTACCAGCCATATTGGTTGCAGATGAATTCCGGGGAGTTATCTCCAGATTGAGCGCTTCATTGGGATTAAGGCGATTATGTTGATGATGATGATGATGACTACTTCCGCTACCGGGTAGCGAATGTGAATATGGTGTATGATTGGATGATACGCTTGCATTATCTTCTTCTCCTATATAATGGAAATTATTATTATTATTATAATCATCAGAATCAAAATTCTATACATACCGGAAGAATGACCTTGTGATGATGATCGATGATGATGATTATGATGATGACCATTGAGAATATGTCTAGAGACTAGACTTAATGGTGAAGATGAATGGCCATTATTATTGGTTGATCCACTATTTACAAACAATGAATTACGATTTAGATATTGTTGTGCAGATGTTGGTGGTTGCAATGATGATGATGATGATGATTGTAATGGTTGTGGTGGTGGTGAATTAGTTAAATCAGGATATTGGCCATAACTTGAACGTCTTCCTTCACGACGATTACCATCAATGGCCATTTGTAGCTCTTCCGGTTGGCTAAGTTTTTCTTTTTCACATTCATATGGATATAGATATTTCATATATCTATTACACATATAAATGGATTAATTAATTTCAATTCAAATTTTTTAGAGAAAAAAATTTCTATACTCACTGTGTACGAAGAGTAAATGCAGCGCTTGTTATCGACGATGGTAAACTTAAACCTTTGGTTATTTCACGCCATATTTTTTTATTGATCACTTCAACAAGACCACCACGTGCAACTACTAATTGATATAATTCGTATAGATCAAGTACCTGTTTAGCCATTATTGGAATGCGATTGATTGGTGTGCCTATAAACAATTTATCAAATAAATTATTGATTCATTGATCAATAGATTAGATATAATAAAATGAATAAAAAGTGGTGTGTGTGGGGGGGTTAATTCAAATTCATCATAATGTTAAGGGATAGCAATTAACCTCTATATACCAATAGCAAATGGATAGATGAAAAACAAAACAAAAAAAAATTTCATCATAATTTTTCAATGGCCTAAAGGCCTGATTGAATCGCGTTCGGACTAATCAAAAAAAAAAAAAGGTTCCAGTCAAACTGGTGCCAAATTTTGAATCATATAATTTATACAAAGATATAGATTTTTTTTCTATTTTCTATCATTGATGATCGATAAACACACACGAACACATGTATAATACAGATTGATTTGATTGGCAAAAAAAAAAAAAAAATATTCGGGGCCTACTTAATGTACAATGTATTTGTGTGTGTTTGAATAAATAATGAAAAGCCAAGTCAAGGCCATAGCAATTATATGGCCAGCTAGCCAGCCAGCCAGCCAGCCAGTCAGCATAGATAGCCAACAAGTCGGCCAAGACCCCTTGATACCCGAAATGATAATCAAACACACACACACACACAACCGAAAAAAAAAATCATTCGAAATGAAATTCTTGAGAAAAAAAAAAAAAATAAATGAAGAAGGGCCATATTATAAAGTGAATGAGATCTATTCTATCTAATAATTTTGTTTGACTTTAAAAACAGAGAAAGAGAAATGAAATTCAAATTTTTTTTTTTTGTTACCTGTAAACAGAAAAAAAAAAAAAGAAGAAAAATAAAACAAAAATCAAAAAAACAGGTAAGAAATTCAAATTCAAACACACTTATAATAATAATAATGGGTTTAAGCGGTCCTTTTTTTTCTCTCGCAAACGCTAAAATGTGTGTGTGTGTGTGTGTGGCTATTAATTAAAACCAAACCAAACCAACCAGCCATAGCCATTTGATTTGACTGCTTGCTGTGATATTCCAAGGTCCAATGATTAAAATGGAAAAAAAATGAAAAAAAAATGATCGAATCAACAAACGAAATTATAGAAATATATAATGGGATGATATCGAAAAATGAATTGATCGATCCGATTGATTGGTTGAAACAATAGAAATAGAAAAGAGAGAGACTAACAACATTTGGTCATTTATATTTGATTGTTTTGTGTGTGTGTGTGTATGTGTGTGATTATCAAATTGCCATCAACAACAACAACAACAAACAAACAAAAAAGCTAATATAATGTAATGTAATGTTTTTTTTTTCGTTTGTTTCGTGTATTACCATTTTTTTCTTTCTATTGCTGCCTCTTGACCATATGGTTATTATCAGTTAACCATTTTTTTTCTCAAATGCCATTTCTTCAAATCAAAAAAAAAAAAATAAAAATAAAATTCGTATATGGAATCTTTCGTTTGATCATCTTGAAATGAATGAAAAAAAAAAAATGAATAGATAGATATATGCCGCGATCATTTGAATAAGCTACATAGTGATGGTGGTGGTGGTAATATGATCTATTCTGATGAAAAAAAAAGAAAGAAAGAAAAAAAAACTAAAGTAAAGCCATGATGATGATGATGATCATCATCAATGAATTTATAAACGAAACAAAGTGACTATAAAATATGACCCTGGGTAAATTCAATGATCACTGATGATGATGATGATGATGATGATGGTCTTGATCAATTGTGTGTACGTTTGTTGTGTGAGTGTGCGAAGTCACAAATCGAATGTTTTTTTTTGTATGTTCGAATTTACGAGGATCACACACAAACACACTTAACACTCGGGACAATATGTGTGTGTGTGTGTATGGAGTTCATGGTAGATTTGGTGATGATGATGATGATGATGATCATAAATATAAAACGTCCACGAAAAATTCATTCGAAATATCATCTTGGCAATAACAAAATTCGCAAGCAATTCAACTATGAATCTTCGTCAAAATAAAAAGCGAAAAAAAGAAATCTTTTTTTTAAACGGAATTATTCCGGGAAAAAAAGGCTCAACTCAATCAAGTCAAATGATTTTGTCCGACAAAATCATCATCATCAAATGATCATAAATATTGTTCATTTTTTTTGTTGTTGTTGTTGTCTATGTTGAAACAATGAGGCCTTTTTCGATCATCATCATCATCATCATGTGGTCAGATAAAAAAAAATCGAATCAACATATACACGCAAACCATATGTATACATACAGTTATTATATAAATTTTAAATATAAAAAAAAACTCAAAAAATACGTACCTCGTTTTTGCATAAAACTAAATAAATCGTCCAGGAATGCTTTACGTTTTGGTTCATCACTTAGTTCATATAGCTAGGTTAAAATAGAAAAGAGCCAAAAAAAAAAAAATCCGGTCATTAACATTCGAAACAACAACAACAAAAAAAAGGGTATTCATTCGTAAACGACATATTCATAATATCGATGAATGATGATGATGATGGTGATCATCATCATCATCATTATCTTCATTATATCATAATCATAATCATCATAATAATTATAATAATCATCAGATATTATATGATTGCCATATCAAAATTGACATCGATTTGTTTTGAATTATTATCATGATTATCTGGTGTATATGTGCATATATATTGAAGAATCATGAACCGTGACATCATCAATGATCATTGATGATGACTATGATCAAAAAGAAAAAAAAATGCTAAACAAGAAATTTTTTTTGTGAAATAATTAATTCCAATCTTTTGTTTTTATATTTTGACAACAAACAAAAACAAATCATCATCAAATATCATCAAAATGACAACAGATGGTAGATAATTATGAAAAAAAAATGATAACTTGTCATACAACTTCTTCTTTTCTTCTTCAGTATTTTTTGCCATTTTTCTCCCTCCCCCCACTGATATATATCGGGCACGTGTCATCAATTTCATGAAAAAATTACTACCGAACCAAAAAAGTGGGATACAGGGGTAAATGTGTTTGATGAATTTACATATATATATATAAAGAGATGATGATTATGTAAGACAGCGAAAAAAAATTGATCGAATTAATAATAATATTTTTTTCCATTGTTTTCCATGTCTATAATTAGCCATTTTTTTGCTAACTTGGATCCTTATGCTTTATCCAAGTGTGTGTGTGTGTGTGTGTGGCTATAATTAGTGGCCGATGAATATGTGTTCACAGCAACAAAAACTAAATCAAACCCGAAAATTTTTCATATCAACATCGATATATGAACAAGAAAAGTACAGCAAAAAAAAAAAAATTTTTGCCCGATTTATCGAGTGGAACATTATGAATAAAATGTTGCCTCTTCCTCCCCTCCTTCTCCTTCTCCTCATCATCATCCTCTTCCTCTTTTTTTATCCTTATTGCATTGTGCTCAATTGATTTTTTTTTCTAGATATAGACATGGTGGTGGTGGTGGGGGAGTATCACTTATAATAAGTTGATCATAAATTTTACGCATTATTAATCTACCGAATCCAAATCAACAATTACAACAACAACAACAACAACAAAAAAACAACGATGACGACAAGACTTTTTTGTTTCTCTCATTGTTTTTTTTATGATTATTATTATCATCATCATCATCGAAAAACTAAAAACAAAACGAACGAAAACAAAAATCATCATCAAAGACAACCTATTCAAAGGCAGGACATTATTATTCAGATATCGAATGTATGCAAGGGGGAGACGATCAGGTAAGGGAAATTGGCAAATTGATCATTGATCAATCGATCGAATCGAATCTTTTTTTTCTCTGTTGTAGTATGTATGTATGCTTGAATTACGTAAATGTAAGAAAAAATTGAATCCTATAAAACAGAAAAAAAATGAATTGACGAAAAAAAAATATTTATTATTATTGTATGTATGGCATGCACATAAACAACGATGATGATGATGATGATGATTGGATCAATCTTCATTCAAATTCAACAATCAACATTTTTGACTAATTAATTCTTTTTCTTCATTTCATTCCATTCAGCCAATCAATTATGAGCCAGCCATGCGATGAGCTTTTCTGTCTTTCACCATCATCATCATCATCATTATTTCCTGCATTTTCATAACAAATAAGAGAGAGAGAGAGAGAGAGAGAGAATTTTTGATATATTGATAGCCAACTAGAAAGAAAACAAATGTAAATATTAAAAAAAAACACCAGTTTTGAGTTGGCTATTATTTTTATTAATTGAACACATACCAACTTCAAAAACGTCTTGAACAACAATGATCAAGATGAGAGAAAAAAAACGTTGATAGTTAATTATGATGATGATGGTTCTGATAATCAAAATATAAAAAAAAACTAAAAAAAAAATTCGAATGTCTAAATGTCTGTCTGTCTGTCTGTCATTGTCGTGGATTTTCCAGTGAAAAGAATATATTGATGATAAATCTTTTGTTTTAATCATAATCATCATCATCATGATGATATTGTAATGATTAATCGATTTTTTTTCTACTTGAAAATTCTAGCAAAAAAAAATATTTGAATATAAATTAAACATTCGAATCTTTTTTCTTTTTCTTTTTGTTGATCTTATCGAATGGTGACTTTATATATTGACCTGATTGAATTCAAATGTTTCGAATAGGAATAGTAAATCTAACACCCCCACTCTATCAACACACAATACCCCTCAAAGAAAAAAATTGACCACTTTTGTTTAATTGCTGCTTTTATTTTCTCAGATTTTTTTTATAGCCTGAGAAAAAAATTTTTGTTGGCCATTCTGAGAGAACGAAAGAATAAAAAGGCCAGACAATCATCATCATCGATGATGGTGGTAAAGGTCGAGAATTTCTTATATTATATATATGAACAACAAAACAAGGCTACTTATTGGTTGTCGGCAGGTTTGTACACATCATAATCATTGGAAAAAAATAGCCACCTGTGTGAACAATATTGATCAATGATGATAATAATAATAATTTGATTGTCGATTAATGTTATATATGTGTATTTGTGTGTGTGTGTTTTAAAATGTGTAGTAATTGAATTTTTCTTTTTACCAAAGGATGTAATATGTGTAATAATATTGGGGACACCCATTAGGTAAATAATAAATCAATGGCCACCTTTTCATTATTTGTTTTTTACGCTGTTTTTTTTCTGTTCTTTGACTCTCAGGATCATCATATTTTCTTGTTGTTGTTGTTGTTTCTGTGTGTTTTTTCTTTGAACGGAAATTCAAAATTTTTTTTTTGCTTGATCTAAGAAACCTCATATATACATACCTGTTTAAATTGTTCTTCATAAGTATAGCCTTTTCCTGGTTCAATGCTTTGGATATGCATAGAAGCTGATGCTGATGGTGATGTTGTTGAATGATTCGATGAACCTGATGTTTGACTTGGGGATGCGGATGAATGATGATTATGATGCGGATGATGGTGATGATTATTCATAAATGCTGCATTCAATTGATGACCAAATGAATTGGTATTGAAACCACCGGATGATGCAGCTAGATTACCAACCGATGCGGCAAGATTAGCAAAATGTGCGGCAGTAGGTAAACCGGCAGCTGCTGCAGCAGCAGCCATTTGTGCCGCTTGCCGTTGCATTGCTACCAACATTAATTCTCGTTGATGATGTTCAGATTTAAAACTATTCATATCAATATCATCCATTAATGTTGAAGTATCATCTGTTTCACGTTGTGATGATGGTTTTTCATCATCATCATCATCATCATCATCATCACCATCATTATTATCATCATTATCTGAATTTAAATGTTGTTGTTGTTGTTGTTGTCGATTTCGTTGCTGTTGCTGTTGTTTAAAATGTCTTGATAATAATTCTGTAGCTTGTTCAGCAACATTTAAATCATCAGATTTTGATAATCGATTCATTGCATTCAATATTGTTGTTGCTGCAACAGTGGCTGTCGTATTATCCGTTACTATACCGTTATCACTAATTGATGAATTATTATTATTATTGTGACCATTACGGCTATTATGATGACTATTGTGATCATCATCATTATCATCATCATCATCACTTCTATTATCAGCATCATCATTATCGGATAATTCTTCTTCACGTAATACATCATCATCATTATTTTTATTATTATTATGATGAATATCATTCTAAAAAAAAAGAGAAAAAGAAAAACAAAAAAAAAACAATGAAAAAAATGAATGATCAATGATTTTCAAAAATATTAATTAATTATTTTTTTCCCAACGACAATCAGAAAGGAAAAAATTTTTTTTTTTTTTGTTTTGTTTCATTAATCCATTGTCAGTGATGATATCAAAATGATGATCATGAAGAAGAAATTCATAATTAGCATGACCATCATCATCATCATGCTGTGTGTGTGTGTGTATGTTGTATGTGTACCTGGAATTCAATTGAAATTTCATTCACATTTATTTGGGTAATAATATTTCATTTTTGTTTGTTTGTTTGTTTGTCTGTTGATCAACAAGTAACAAACAAAACAAAACAAAACAAATAATTTGACCTGATGACATGAACAATTTATATAAATATAAATCCAGGGTAAAATATAAGTAACATATCAACATTTCATTGTCCAGTTTGTTATTATATGTAAAAACCTAACCTAAGAGAGAGAGAGAGACATATCATAGGAAAAAATGAAAGAAAACACACACACACACACACAATTGGCAATAATCGTGTTCATCTCATTCATTTATTCATAGTTCCAGGGGTCAGCAGTCATATTTTTTTTTTTGTAAAAACAATGATGATGATGATGATGATGATGTTGGGTAAATGAATGGAATTGATATTAATCATCATTGGATTTGTACCTATGTGATGACTGTATATTTATATATATAAAAAAGGAGGATTATTAATTATAAATCATCACCAAATAGGCAGCTAGCAAGAAGCAGCAGCAGCAGCAAAAAAACATGGACAATGAAATGAATTCCCGTAGAAGGAAAAGAAAATGTCCATAGAAAAAATGAATTTACAAGAAGAAGAAAAAGAAAAACGGGCAAGACATACATATATATTTCGATTATATTGATTGAAATATTATAAATATAAAAATATAAATGAAATAAATAAACAAAAATCACGATTCCAATCATAATCATCATCATCATCATACAAAATGGATACATTGATCATAATCGAATCGATTATTGGTCAAAAACTAAAGAGAGAGAGAAAGAAAAAAAAACGACGAAGACCAGAAATAATAATCAAACAAATAAGCCAAAAAAAAAAAAAAAAACAAAACTTGACATGATGATGTGAGCGCCCAAATATCTGGTTTGCTCTCTGTTTTATGTTTTGTGTATTTAGCATGATTAATTCATTTGTTTCTTTTTTTTCTTCTTTTTTTTGATATTTTCAGACTTAATTCTACACATATCTTTCTCTCAATGATAATAATCAATGGTTCATCATCATCATCATGGCTTACAATTACTAGTAGCTACTTGTTGTTCAAAATTGATTAATTTAAATGAATTTTTCATCATCATCATCATCATCAATTGGCCAAACCATTTATTCATAGTGGCAACCCAAATGATGATGATAACTTAAATCGGATATATATACATACATAAAATGGATGAATGTTTTTTTCTTGCAATGGCAAAGACAATAGGAACTACATTTTATCGATATAGTAAATAAGAAAAAAAAACATTCATCACTTGTCAATTTGGGCAGCGAACAAAAAACAAATAGAAATTGGCAAAATCAAAATGAATTTTTTATTCATTTTTTTTTTGTTTTGTTTTGTTTCTCTATTCAATGATGATGATCATCATCATCATTATTGATTATCTCATCAACTTTTTCATCGATCGATGAATAATCGTACCTCAACAATAACAACAACAACAGGGTATCAACAAATCAAAATCTGAATGACCACCAAAAATTAACAATTATCAAATGACCAAACTTGAACTTTGAATTTCATCAACAAAAAAAAAAAAAAAAAATTCAACAAGTTTTTTTTTTCTCTGCAATCGACCGGTTATATCAATTGAATGTAATAATAATAATAATCATCATAATAATGGTAATGGCCATCCTTTTTTCCTAGCCTCCCCCTCCACACACACACACACACATTATCTTTTCCTTTTTTCCACGAAAAAAAAAATCGAAACGAAACGAAATTATTTGTTGTTTACATTTCATCCTCCAATTCACACACACACACACACACATGGTGTGACTATTCAATCAATAATCGAATCGAATCGAATCTCAATTGATCGAATGATGATGATGATGATGATGATTGCCACCTTTTAAATCGAAATCATTTAACAAATGTGGGGCTATTTATTCGACACTCGACAAAATTTTTTTTTTTTTGGGGTGACAAGCCAGCAAAAAAAAATGAAATAGAAAAAAAACGTGAAAAAAAGAGATGTCAAATAAATAGTGTTATTATTATCATTATTATAATGGGCCGCAAACATCATCATCATCTTTAAAACCGACAATCTCCACACACACACACACACATACATTCATGATATACATAACTAGTTCTCATCATCATCATCACCATCACATCAATTGCCATCTTAATTATACTTGGCTCAATTCAATTCACAATTCAATGATGGCAATGATGGCGATGATGATGATGGTGATGAGCCATAATTCATTTGGGTAATTATTATTATTTTTTTTTTGTATTTTTATCTCACCAATACCAATGGTTTAGTATTTGATGTGTAAATAGGCAAGAATTTTTTTCAAATGAAAAAACAAAAATATGAAAATATAGACATTTATAGGGTCTATATTTAATGATGATGATGATGAAGTATTTTTTCAATGATTTGATTTTGATCGATTGGCCATCATCATCATCATCAACAAAAAAAAATCATCATCATCATCATCATTAAAAAGGAGGTGTCTGATTCATTATAATGTTTATATGTCTTGATTATGATTGGTTCATCTTGCATTTTTGTGTGTGTGGCTTAATCATGATTTGATGATGATGATAATAATAATGACATGTACACACACTATATATAATCACACACACACACACAGAGCCAAAGAAAAATATGACATTGAATTAATGAAACAAAAATGGTGACAATTTTTGTTCTCACTTGACCATCAATATCCATCCATATATTTAATATATTCAAAAAAAAGTGATATATTAAAATAGTAGCAGTAGGGTAGTATCGAATTGCAATTTTTCAATTTTTTTTTTTTTTTTTTTCATTTCATTTCACATTTGAATTCAATTGAATGTTTTTTTTTTTTTTCTTTCTCGGACACCAATGTGTTTACCACATGTCTGTCAAAAGTGTCGCCGTCATAAATCATCATCATCATACATCCGTTCATTTTTTTTTTTCGAACAAACAAACATAAAAGACAGACAGTAACAAAAAAAAGGTCATGATGATATCACCACTACTACCACCAACACCACCACCACCGCCACCACTATTATCATATAAACATTCATGAATGATCAAAATTCGATCGAGTTATATTATTATTATTATTGATGATGATGATGATCATCATATAATCTTTAAATTCTTTGGAATCCATAAATAGTAATGCACCAGAACAACAACGAAAAAAAAAACTAAAGAAAGATTCAACATTTATGATAGTGAGAATGAGAGTGAAAGAAAGTGTGAGGCGAATCTTATATTATCATCATCATCATTCAATATCATTGACTATTGAATTTTACAAAAAAAAAACGAAATTTTCTTGATTTTACCCAGCAAAATATAATAAATTGATCGAATATGTTTGTGTGTGTGTAATTGAAGAGGGCCAGAAGAAAAAAAAAGTTTTGCCAAATGTGTGCCATATGTTGTTGTTGTTGTTGTTTTATATTTTATATATTTATTTGCATTAAATGAAGAACATTTATATATTTTTTTCTGAATTTGAATAAATTTTCAAATTGAAAATTTGTTGACAGCCCAAATTTTTTGTTCTTTTTTTTTCTTTACTTGACAACCAACCAACCAACCAGCCAACTGAAAAACAACCATCGAAAGATTATGAATAACCAATACATTAGGGACAGAGAAATAAAATATTTGCATGTCTCTCTCTCTATTGCTCTCTTTCGGGTGAGCACGTTATTAATTTTTTTTTTGTTCATTTTGGTCAAAATGATATTTGGTATAAATAATTGCGCGCGCGAGAGCGATTGAATATGAGAGGAATAAAAATATTTCTCAATTCCCAATACCATAATCATAATCATCATCGAATAATGAAACATTCCATTTTTTTCTCTCTTTATTTCTTGATTGCCTCTAGGCACACACACATACACATACAAAGACTTGATATGGTCAAAAATGATCAAAGTGACCATCATCATCTTCTGTGATTGTATCGATAAGTGTGTATGTATGTGTGTCCACACCATCATAATACTATTAAACTATATAATCTACAGTAAAAGTAAAAAAAAGCTTGTTATTATTTGGTCTAGGAATTCGTGCCATGTATACACATACATGGTATGATTTACCCATTATCGTTTATCGATCAATTTTTAATCATGTAGATATATCCCTTTTTTTCTGTTGTTTTCAATTGACCACATGTTCACTACTGTCATGCTGGTTTTTTTCTGATGGCCATGGTATAACAATAACGTGCATGTATGCATGGTATCCATGCCGATTAATCTGACGAATTTTAATGATGATGATGGAAAAATTCTGGTCTGAATCAACTATGAACCGTTATAATAATTTTGAAAAATGATGCCCACACAAACATTTAATGAAGCATAGTACATTTAATCTTGGAAAATGAAAAATATAGAGAAAGAGAGAGAGAGTGTTAATATTGCCATATTGCAATCAACAAATAATTGCCTGTTGCTTCTGCTATTTTCTGGCTGTCACTTGTGTAATGGCTAAAATGAGAGTAATGAATCGAAATGAAATGAAAAATTTTTCGTTTTAAATCATAGGCCACCACTATTAACCATCAGCTATCATTCGTCGAATTTTAGCTATAAATATTTGAATTATTCGAAGCTTTGGCTTTATTTCAAACCAACAAAAAAAAACGAAAACGAAAATTCATGAATTCATCATCATCTCTAGACAGACTTTATTCAAAAGAGAGAGAGAGACAGAGAATTTATTCCAAATGTTCATTCAAAAGTCGAATGTAATTAATTTTATCATCATCATTTTTTCTGCAATTTATATATTTGCCATTGCCATCACCATCATCATCATCATCATCAGCAACAACAACAACAACAACACTATGATGATTCGAAATTTAAAGAAAATTTTTTTTTTTTTTTTTTTACTATTCACAGAATATTTATTTTTTGCCCAATTTTTGTTTTCTAATTTTCGTCGCTTTCATATGTTTTAATTTTCATCGAAATATATGAATCAGATCATCATTATGATTAACTGATGACTGGGTTGACTTAATGAAAACAAAATGAATAAATAATAGGAATATATAAAAGAAGGACGGATTTGATTGCCAGAATTTTTTTTTTTTTGAATTTCATAGCAACGCATCAATAAATGAATTTGTGATCAATTAATATATATAGAATAATAATAAGTTTGTTGTTGTTGTTGTTAATCGTTACGTTCATGATGAACATCAATATATGTACATGTTTAAAACACCACCACCACCACCACCTACACTTATTTTGTTTGACAATTTTTTTTTATTTTTTATAAAAAAAAAATTGCCGCCATTGATGGCAATATCAGAATCAAATATAAAGGGGCTGGTGGTTGGAGCCATGCATCATTGGGTGGAAATAGTTTTTTAAAGAATGCGAAAAAAATTTCGAATACTTACAATTGTTGTATCCATATCGCTTCCGTCACCACCACCACCACCACCATCATCTATTGTTTGGTTATCCATAGCTGATGATGGATATGATGGAATCGGTATACGATTTTTGACACGAATTTTGAATGATTTTTATGATCACAGGTTGTGATACCGTTGATAACAAACAAATATGATAACAACAACAACAACAACAACAACACACACACACACACACTCACAGAATCAACAAACACATCCACTTGATTGATGATCAACACACACACACACACCCACCGACCAATAATAATTAAACAATAGCACAAAATAAGAAACAACAAAAATCCAGTTGTGAATAACTTATGATGATTTGATGCAATTATATTTATCAAAAAATAAATTGAAAAAAAAACAAAATAAAAACAATATAATTAATTTCAATTCAATTTCTCATCATGCGGCAATGTATGAATGAAACGCTTTAGCATTCAAATGACGACTGACGTGAATAATACAAAAATCATCATCATCATCATCAATCGTGTACAATTTTTGCCTCTCTCTCTCTCTCTCTATCGCGATTTCGGTTTGGGTATGGCTGTATGTCAGCTGCTGTTGTTGTTTTTTATATATTGATATATGTGTATGTTCGGTGGTTGGAGCTTTCAATGTATTCACATATTACAAACACAGTGTTTGTTTATTTGTTTGTGTGTGTGTATGTGGACATTTAACCCTGCCCTCGAAATGTATGGTGGAGCCAATTCATCGTCAATTCTTATTGGATAAAATTATCCAATGGCGTCGATGGATCATCATCATCATCATCAGCATTATCGTTTTTATTATTAAAATCACACACACACACATTTATGATAATAAAAATAAAATAAAAAAATCTGAAAAAAATATCAAAAACACGTCATTTTGTTAACAATTATTGTTTTCAGTGATCAATTTTGTTTTTTTTTTTATATATATTTTGGTTGTTGTTGTTAATTTTTAATATAAACCTAAAGTTTAAATCAATTTAAAAAATAAAATAAAATAAAATAAAATACCGTCAAGTGCTTCCATCTGTTAATTGAAAATAAGTGTAATCTATCTATTTTGTTTTGAAATGATGAAAAAAAAAAAAAATTATTGAACTAAGTTCGATGATCGATGATTACATGTGTGTGTGTGTGTGTGTGTGTGATGATGATGAGTGAGTTAATTTTTTTTAAAAAAGAGAATATGTATCCAAAAATGTAAATATGGTGATAAAAAAAATGATAATGGAATCACATGGACATAATAATGTCTACAAATCATTATCAAATGAAAAAATGACAAAACGAGATTTTTTTTTTTTTTACATTAATGTGGGTGGTGGTAGTTGATTAATTGAAAAGAAAGCTGACAAGATATTCGACTAGGAAATGATATCCTGTGAATGGGCACCATCAGCTTCTTCACCTTCAGCATCATCCGTAATAATCAATGTTTCGGTATTATTACTGCATAATCCATTGAATACATTGTTATAGATTGCCATGCCAATAAGCAATACGAAAAATCCACCCAATTTATACAGGGAAAAATATTCCTCACCAATTGCCAGACTAAATACCCAAATGATAATCGTTCGAACTGAATCCAATACAGTACGAGTAGTAGCCGATAATTGTTTAGTGACTGATATGCCAGCAAAATTAAAGAATGCTATGCTCATGATCGTTCCTGTTTGTTTTAATGTGTGTATCAAATAATAATAAAAAAAATAGTTATCAATAGCCAGTCAAAATGTCAAAATAAACTAAACGAACCCGAAATGCCACTTGCAACTTCCCAGCTATTGAAAATCTGATAGAAACCATCAATAGCATCCTCAATTTGACCATTTGGATTTGTTTCGAACATTTTGCCACCAACTTTGATGAAATACATCGGCACTAATAGCAGAGATAATGTAATGAAACCGAATATACCTTCCCAACCAACGGCCTGTAATGGTGATACATTCGAACCAGAAACATACTTTTCCTCAACAATCATTTGTGTTGCAACGACAATCTGTGCCAACATAATAAGTACATCACCGATTATCGAATTTGATTCACCAGATTCACCAGTCTTTTTGGCCAACATATCGCTCAAACCTATACACATAAGGAAAATTAACATTTTTTTTTATTGCTATGACAATAGCTAATTTATCTATAATTGTAATTTACCGACAATAACTAAACCACCGGTAACCAAAAACATTCCGACCCAATGATATAATCGAAGACGTCGTTTTAAGAATATTATGGAAAACAATCCGGTAAATATGATGAGTGCACCACGTAACATTTGAAAACTGGATGAACTTGTCATATTTAAACCAATATACATGACAGATGTGGCCGTCATATCACATAATGCTGGTATCATAAATATGAATGGATTAAATTTTCGATTGCCTTTAATTGAATAAGGTAATTTTTCTTCATCATTTTCATTACGTCGCATATAATAATGAAACATTAGTTTATAGGCCAAAAAACAAAGAAATTCACCAAAAAACATGGACACTGCTTGTAGAAATGGATGATTAAATTTTTTTACTTTACCATCACGACCTTTTGATTCACTATCATCAGCCCACCTGTTGATCAATGAATTTGAAACAATATTTTGAGAATCAAAAATAAATAAATCAAACCGTTGATAACTTACTTGGTAGCTAATGTATTAATCGATCCAGTAATGATCATTAATCCTGCCAGAAATATTTGATATTTAGTCCAGGCCATCTTTTTTTAAAAATTTTGATTTAGAATCTATCAAAAGAATGAACAATGAACAAATGATCGATGATGATGGTGATGATGATGATGATGATGAGACCAAATGGATGCTATGAATATGATAAAATATTTGATTTTGAAATGTGGATGAAAAACGCCTAGCTTATTGTGATATCGATTGATCGATTAACTTGATATTTGTTGGATAGCAAATATTTGGTATGATGATTGATCTTTGGTTACAAATACGGTGCTATTCATTCAATGATGAACGATAATCGATGTATAATAGAAGATGATCACATCAAAACATTTGAATGGCAAACATCATTTTTGATGATTGGCTATAAAACGTCAATATCCAATAAAAATCCAAATCCCAAATCCTAACCTTTGTTCGATAGACGATTGTTAATGATTAAAAAAAAAATCAAATAGGCAACGACTTGATCAAATCCAAATTGGTAACCAATATATTTATGATTTTTGTTTTTGTGATATGAGCTGTCCATTCAATCCAACAAGTATAAAACAAAGACAAAAAATATAGCCAAAACGACAAGCCACTGTATATAAAGAGTGTGTGTTTTGGGTACCATCCATAAATATACTGCATGCATAATAATAATCATATATTATCATCAATATAGCTATATGTTGTCGTCATAACAACAACAAATAAACCACTTAAATAGTGGCATATAAAGTTAATTAGATTAGATATTAGATATTAGATGAGATTTTAAAATCAAGTGTTTCCGTCTTGCGATGATTCAAATTCCGATAATTGATTATCCTGATGATTATCGATGTAATGATAGAATGGTATTTCAATCATGATCAATATTTATTGCTTCTCAATGTTGATTCGTATTACACATTTGAAAGGATTTAATATCGTCAGGCATACCGATACCGATTTTTTATAATAAAAAAAAAATTTTAATTCAAAGATTAAGCTTTATAGACATTGAATAGGGCACGAAATTCTTGTACAGTTAAATAGGTAAATTCACCATTTGTAAAATTTGAACGATAATACTGCATAATAATCATAATCATCATCAATAGCTATTTGTTGTCGTCATAAATCCGCAATCAAGGATTATCCCCATTTATTTTCTCTTCTTCTTCTCAAACAAAACACTTAAATAGTGGTAGTCAAGTATTTATTTAGATTAGATATTAGATGAGATTTTAAAACCAAGTGTTTCCGTCTTGCGAGGATTCAAATTCCGATAATTGATTATCCTAATGATTATCGATGTAAAATAGAATGGTATGGTATTTCAATCACGATCATTATTAATTGCTTCTCAATGTCGATCCGTATTACACACTTGAAAAGATTTAATATCGTGAGACATACCGATACACACTTATAAAAACTTAATTTAGAGATTAAGCTTTATAGACATTGAATAGAGCACAAAATTCCCGTACAGTTAAATCGGTAAATTCACCATTTGTAAAATTTGAACGATAATTACAATCTTTGTTATAATTTTCAATCAATTCTTCAATACTGTCTTTGATGATAAATTTATGAACATAGGTTTGCCTGTATTGATAGATACATAAGATTAGACTGGTTACATCGATCTATTACAATTACAAAAGCTTACCTAGTTTGTCCAATTCGATTGACACGGCCAATTGCTTGTAGTTCATCCCGTTTGTTCAGTATTGGATTGACAAACATTACCCGAGATGCTTCGGTAAGATTAAGACCTTTGCATGCGAATCGAGTAGGCAACAATAATACACGACATGAATCAGATTGTCGAAATTGATCAATTTTGGCAGCAAATTTATCATCACCAGAACCAGAAATCAGTATAGATTCAACATGATTCTTTTGTAGGGCTTTTTCCATCAATTGAAGCATTCTTAACCATGTAGAGAATATGAGTATCTTTTCATCATTCGATTCTTGATGAATCCGTTTCACGCAACGAATAATGGCCACTATTTTCGATGACCAATTTCCTTCAACTATCCATTTAATGACATTTTAATTATTAATTCATTATTTAATTCAAGATTAATTGGTCAAACACTTACCCATCACTGATGATTTATTGACTAATAAGTTTGAGTCGACAAAACATATCTTTGAATGATCAAATGGTGATCGGCAAACTGGACATCGGGATAAAATTTCAGAATGTTTACTTATATTTCGCATACATTCAATACATAACAAGTGTCCACATGTCAACACAGAATATCGGATCAAATCAGACCAACATACTGAGCATACTTTACTATCGATACTATCCTTATCTTTTAGCGTGTTTTTCAAATTGTTCAGATATTTCAGTCGTTGTTGATTACTACAAAGTTTCTCTTCGGCCATTTCTTTGGCTGATGAATCACGATGAAACAATGACAATGAATCGACACCATGTTCATAACGAGTTTGTGCTTGATTCAATTCATCTATTCGTAACACAAGTTCGGATGCTTCTCGCCAACATTTTCGATGTGCTTTATACTCTTTTTTACATTCATCAATGTACTGACTAAAATTGTCAATATCGGCCACTGTTACGCCATAGTCACGTGCTGATCCAACAGTTCGACTCTTGAACCAAATGCCAACTTTACGTATGGCCACTAGACATAGATTTTCGTTCCAATTATCTGCTTCATTTTCATCTTCCCCTTCCGTATTGATCGATATGGATTGGTTGAATTGAAAGATGATTTTCTCGAAATTTTTTATCACACTTTCTGTTTTGCATAGATTACATCGTTCCTGTCTATCTGGTTTCGATTGTACGGGTGGTGGTCTAATGTGACAATCAATATATCGATCAGGATTACCGCTCAATGATTCATGGTCCAATCTTGTGAATGCATCACGAATTTGTTGACGAACTTCTTCGAATGAATTCAGATATTCACACAATTGCCATCGAATGGATTCGATGGATCTTGGTCCAATCGGATCGATCAGCTGACGGCGATCAGATAGAATCTCTAATAATGATACTATCATTTCGTTTACGTTCATCACTTGACTTAGTTCTTGTAAAGCATAAACCAGCCACCAGCCTTTCAAAGTAAATTTCTGTTTAAGTTGATCACATTTGTTGATTAATTCACGTCGATATCGATCAGCTGTCAACAAGGAAAGTTGAGCTGAATTCAGATAGTTCTGATACAATTGTTTAGCTTTTAATCGAAGATACCGATCATCTGGTTCTAATGACAATTCGTCGCTTGATGGCAAACATGGTTTTGAATCCCCTGGAGCCAAAATAGCTTGCTAAGTGCATAAACAATCAGTTGCCTAATTTAAGATCTGATTCAACCGAAAAAACTTACCGATCCATTGAATGGGTCCATTGGCTGTTCGTTTGAATCGATTTGTGTGCAACCGACAAACTCAAGTATTTGAGATAGATTGTAGTAGATATGATATGTTTGTGTTTTATCCGTACGAATATCATCACCAACATTGTTGATAGATGCAAGAGCTTCCTTGTACATATTGATAGCCGTCTTGAAATCGTTCTGCAAAAATGTTAAGATGTTCATCATGTTAAACAAATTTTTTTTCGATCATCCATACCTGTAGTAGATAACATGCAGCCATTCCATTAATCGATGCTATTTTTTCTCGGTGGTTTTTCTCACAATCATATTTGGCATCATCAATCATTTTAACCAGAACGTCCTGTATTGAACAATAATCACCAAGTTTCACTTTCAAACACATTTGTGGATGGCAACAGATTTGTCGTAGACGTAATGCCAAATTAAATATGACAGATTGTACTGTACTGCCGAGATGTGATATTTTCATTTCACTAGATGTTTTGGCCAATTTGGCCATCATTGATTGCTGACAATTCGAGGCCTCTTGCAGGTAAAAATCACGTTCAATCTGTGATAGATTACATGGCTCCATTACGATAATCGGTTTTGATATGCGAATCTCATCAAACACTGATGCTTTCGAAGTACGCCAAAAACATCTTGCCATCACATTTATCAAAGTATCACGTTCATCTGTATGTAAATTCTTTACATTAGTCAACTTCATAAATCCAAAATGATCGGATCATACCATGACAGAAAGGATTGTAGAGGTCATTCTTCCAAACGACTTCCTCATTGTACGGTCGTTCACCGATGAAATTTATTAGGCCAAATAGATCTTCAATGTTACGTTGGATCGGTGTACCGGTCACTGTCCATCGATGTACGGAATGTAATGATTTGGCCATACGAAATGTTCGTGTTGTACGACCTTCCACCAGCTGTGCTTCATCAAACACCAAACGCCACCAACGTATTGAACATAATGGCGATACCGGCGTATAATAACGACGGCTATTACGTAGATGGCTATAGTCATGAGGAGCGACAAAATCCAATTCCGATTTAAGAATCTCATAGGTAGTGATGACAATATCGTTATTGGCCAATTCAGGTGGAAATTTATAATCTATGTTACAAATAATTAAATGTGTGACGAACAATTATCAGTTATTTTAGAAATAATTACCTTTACATTTGACACCGTTATATTTTAATATCTTTACATCTGGTTTATTAATATGTATACTTAGTTCTTTGATCCATTGACTTAGAATCGATGTCGGACAGACTATTAATGTAGCGGGTGAATCGATCGGATCGATATGTGGCCAACAATGGCTACAAACATAACCGAATTGTTGCGATTGTTCGATAGGATAACAACTACATTCAAGATGTTGATAATTGCCACACATTAGACATTGGATTAGATTGTCAATAAGATGATATTGTTGTCGAAGACATTGGTCACGTAATTGTTCCAAGTTGATGGCTTCCATTTGAACAGATGAGTTACGATTGAGTATACCACAATGGCAACGAACTTCACCAGTTAATGGATTTTTCGATCGTTGAAAAAGATTCTGTTCGGTCAATAGAAAATTCATATTATCCGTGTTCGATGTTGGCTTCGGATTATTCAGTATCAATCCTATTACATCGACCGTTTTGCCCAGGCCCATTTCATCGGCCAATATACCACCTTTGGTTGGTGATTGTTTCAAATGATTAAGATATTCATGGTACACTTTTTCAGTGAGAAAATGACCCATTGTTGAATGAAAGTACAAATTCTCACCACTTTTGACATTGAATATTTTTTCAAATCGAATGTCCAAATCAAAGTTGACATTTTCTTTCGACGTTTCACGCATCAACATCCATTTTAGGGCCATTTGTTGATGTCGCCATAGTTTGGGTCTTAAATTTTTACTATCAATCACAAATGTTTCGAATTCATAACAAGGATCACTTTTTTGCCTATGAGCAATGGTCTGATAGAAATTTTCAATCTCTGTATTGTTACCAAATTCATGGCGCGAATTTGACTCGAATAACTGATTGCCACGTGTGAATGCCATCAATGCAATTGTCAAGTCATTCTTGCTTGTTGCCATTGCAACCTCCAACGTGGCCATTTCGGTGAATACAATTTTCAATGATAGGTACCAATTAATCACAAAACTCGTATTTGAATGGCGGATTGCTTTTACCCGGCAAAATTGACGACTTTTAGCCATGTGATGGGTGAAATATCGATGGAAATCATCTGGAACATTCAACTCTTGGCTATTGATCAATCGATGAAGGATTTGTTTCGAACCATTTGATTCAAGTAGATAACATTGTTTATTAGCAGTTAATATAAGATGGTTATACTTGTTATCATGATCATAATCGGATGATTCTTCCCAACTATCTTGTACATCGAAGCACATCGATGCAAATGCAAACATGTTGTCGTTTGAATCTTCAGATTCTTCATTCTCGAATAATTCAATTTCAAAATAACCATATTTCAATGGATCCTCAAGATCAAAATCCAATTCTTCGACACTATTGCAAAATAAATTTAAAAATTAGATATAAATTTGGCTGATAATCTACGTCGTTTAGTTGGCATTTCAATGAATTTTGGTATTGTTGAAATTCGAATGTTTCGAATTCAGCATGGATTCTTTCCTATACTATATTGAAGACCCCAATTGTTTTTTAAATATTTGTTTTCTCGATCCAGCTGGATATAATTATTTTTGAAATGAACAAAACGACCGTGGCATTCTTTTTCGCATTCGGAATTATAAGCGGTTATTATATTTGGAAACCGACAATTCAAAAGCATCGACATGACACGATTACAACCACCAAACATGAACAACAAACCAAGGATATATCATCGAATAAATCATAGTTTAATCAAAGAGTATTTATTGTATTGATGATAATCAGATCAAAAATTGTCAAAATCAAAGAACAAATAATAATAATAGATCCCCTTTCTAAGATATAACACACGCATCATTATTGTTACCATTCAACTGATTTGTAGATGGCTGTTTTTTATCATTATCATTATTAATATGGCCCATGGTAAGAAATTGTTGAAAATCTAAATCAAATCGATCATCGCCATCGTCATCACTTGAAGAGGTTGTGGATGATGTTGATAATGAACATGTTGAACATGATGAACATGAATCATACGGGTCATCATCACAATTATTCTTTGATAATGATGATGATCGATAACTGTGAATATGACGTTTTGTTTTTTTCATTCGGATTCCTTGATTACTTTGTTTATCCTCAATATTCGGATCAAATGATACCGATTTGTTTGACTTGACGGCCGTCAGATTAGCCGTTTTCGTTGGTCGGGGTTGGTCTTGTGCTTGTCTCTCATTTTTGTTGTCGATGGTGATTGTAAAGAAATACTATTGTCGGTTTCCTGAGAACTCTTGGAATTCGAATCTAGTGATACATTTTCTGGAATTGAATCGATCCGTGTATATAGTTTCCGTGTTATATTGATCAATGATGAACAATTGGATGAATTGTCACTATTGACGAGTAGATTACAATATTCTGGTGGTGGTGATGTTTGCCAATTGGATTGATCATTGCTCATCGATGATCGAATATTAGTTGAATTCGATGGCCAAGGTGGAATGAAATGGCCAGATGATTTTAACATTTGTTGGTTAATATTATCAAAATGACCGTTGGTTAATCGTTGTAAATTTTCGTTTTGATCTTCACTAATTTCGGTTGTCGTCGTTGTTTGTGATGATACATCATTCACACTAGAATGTTCGACAACATCAACAAATTCCTGTTCTTTAGACCAATCATATTTCGATGTGAAACATTGATTATTCTTTTTGATGAATTCAACATAATCGACCATTTGACTACGACGAAATTGCATTAATGATGATGATGATGTTGAAGATGGCCCAGGTGATTGGTTTTCAATGTGATTATCAGAAATTGGTGGAGGTGTAGTTTGATGTTGTTCCGAACGCTGTTGCTGTTGTCGTTGTTTAAGACGTTTTTTACGGTGTGCTTGCATCGCTTGTGAACATGAAATGGAACAATAGATACGACCATCCATAGCAGGTAAAAATGGCTGTCCAAGTAGATTTTTCATACACAATGAACAGCGAAAACATCGATGATCAGCATGCCATGATCGACCATCGTGTACGATGGCACCGGTTTCACAACCAATTAATTCACCACATTCTTCACAAAGATCACCGAATAGTATATCGAAACAGGTGAGACAATATGGTTTTTTCGGTTCACCTGTTGATGAGGATGATGATTTTCGGCGGTCAATATTTGAATGCGCCATAATATATTGTTGTCCGCCCAATGATCGTTGACATTCAGTACAGCAAAAGTGACCAATATGCCAGGCTTTACCTTCCGCTTCCGTACATTCATCATCGAATATAAGTCGTTGACATTGTGGACAACGTGGTTTAAATAGTTCAACAAAATGACGGCCACAATAAAGTTTATATGATGAGGAGGATCCATGATTATCGTTTTCCGGATGAACAAATCCTTTTAAATCGACCAAAACTTGATTACATTCACAGCAGGTAAAACAATCAATATGATAATATCGATATAATCGATGTGATCGTCGTTGATTTGACGATGAAGATTCGTTACTTGGTATGATTGCCTTGACACAATGTATTTGGCTGTCAATTTCGGTTTTACACTAATAAATTGAAAAGGATGTTAAATTTGATGAACCATTTTATCATTATAACATTATACCTTATAACATGGTTGTGATTGTTGCTGTTGTTGAAGTTGACATAGTTCAGTTCTTATCGATGCTTTACGACGTTTATGTCGTAAGAATTTAAATTCAGCTGAATATTGTTGTTGTTGTTGTTTTTGATGATGATGATTTGATTGATTATTAAATAATTGTTCATCATCATGATCAGGCATTTGATATTGGAGTTGTTTTTCACGCCAAGCTGATCCTGTGAAAGAAAATTGTATGAATAAAAATGTTCGTTTGACAAATCGTGGTTCATATAAATAATTCAATGATAATACCTTTATATTGAGCCATAAATTGGCTAATTCGTTGATGATTATGATTATTATTATTGATGAGTATCGTTGCAGTCGATTCCTGCAAGCTTTTCATACGATTCTTCCAGGAAGCAACAAATGGCTGTGCAATTCGATTTGCGGCAATCAAATGATTCATATAGAATGGATTCGATTGTTGTTGTTGTTGTTGTCGTTGTACATTGTTGTTATATGGTAATGAATGTACGACTATTTCTTTACCATTTACAGATACATCGACAACAGATGTTGGATTTCGTCGATTTCTTGGTAATGTAAACAATGCTGTTGCTGCTGCTGTTGTTGTTGTTTTTTCCATATTCAAATTATTTGTATCAACAACAACCAATGGCAATGTGGTCATTGACTTGCTTGATTTTTTGTTTGTCAATTGATCATTCATCATCATCATCATCTTATTGTTATTAATGATTAAATGATTATTATGATGATGATCATCAACCAGATGATGTATTTGATTTGAATTTTTCATCTGTGATTTGGATTCATTTGTTTGGTAATGTATGATTTTGCCATTAGGATGATGATGATCTCGAGCCATCGAAGACTGTGGTGGCGGTGTCACAACACTATGATGATCATTCACATTGTCATCATTATTTTTGACTGTTGTTGGTGTGGATGATTCGAATATGTTCTTGTTGTTGTTATTCGTTCCATTTGAATGAATTTGTTCAGCGCTATGAAATTTTTTTTTTTTTTTGCAGAAAAAGAGTGTTAGTGAGTGAGAGTGATAGTATATAGGCATTAAGTCATTAACTAAAGAACGGATGTCGTTATTTTAAGGGGATAGACTCACACACACTTATACACACTGATATCACCTGGCCACACTATCTTAAATAGGCATCTGGTTTTCATTTGGACTACCAGTGTTTATTATTATAAGCTTACCATTTTTTATTAATATTCTGCATCTGTGATGTTGTCGATTGTCGTAGTAGTCGTCGATTTGGTAATGTAAAATATTTACGATTTTGTTTTAATGAATTTATAATTGAACCATGTTGATGTTGTTGTTGTTGTTGTTGATCATAGAACCAACATACTTTCCACCAATGATTCGAATTTGTATGATGATTAAGAGCAATAATTTTATTCTTTGTATCAGATTTATTGCTATCATTATTGATATCGTTACGATTATTGTTTTGATTTGTCATATTCATTCATTTAGAGGGTGGGTTATATAATTAATTAACTATGGAAGAGACAACAAAAATTACGAATGTAGTTCAGAATGACAAACATAATAAGAATATAAATAATAAGGGCTACTACCTATACTACCACCACCATCATTATCAATTGTTTTTTTTTATTTTCAATGATTTCTTGACTTTTGACTCGTTGTCGTTATTTTCTCTTGTTTCATTGAACGTTGTAATTATCTATAGAAATACCACTCACATGAACTCTCACAAAAAATGTTTTGCGTGTATACATCCACAAGTAAAGTTAATTCATTCGATCGAAAGAATGAATGAATGAATGAAGAGGCCACTGCTCTATACTCGACAAGACATTCAATGGCCATACAGGAGCAACAAGTGTGTGTGTGTGTGGCCAGTCGACATAAGACGACGATGAATAGGGCAATAATCGTAGCAGCATCCAGCATCCAATGCATGATAATCTTGTATGATGATGTTGGTCAATATAATCCATAGATTTGAAAATCGAATAAATTTCGATTGATCAATCAATCAATCAATCAATCTCAATCGATAGATTATCTTCGTTTCGTCTTGTTTCGTTTTACTGTTAGTGGCAAGATCATCTGATAAGGTTATTATTATATTTTGATTTAAATTGTAACCAGTTTTTCTCTGTTTCACGTCGTCGTTTCGCTACAATCAAATCAAATCGACAAACAGTAACATCAAAACGATGATGATGATGATCTAAATATAGAATATAATGTATGTATTATTATTATTCATCATCAAATTATTTTGCATGCAATGGTGGACCCATATTTAAACGAAAAAAAAAAATTTCATTGTATTATAAGATAACCATTGTTAACTATCACTGTATGATGTCTAATAGATAATTTGAATGATGAATCGAATAGAATTGATTAAAACAGTCGAATAATTGTTACTCCAGCATCCTGCGTGTCCAACACACACACACACATTTATTTTTCACACAACTAATATTTCATTCGCATTTTTTTTTTTTTGTCGTTGTTGTCAATCGATCAATCAATCATTCTGTTTTGCAATTAATTAAAATGATGGATTCATTATGTATTGAGAAATAAAAATAAAAATAAAAAATAAATTTTCATCATAGTTGATAAATCAATCAATTTTTTTTTTTTCTTCTGTCCGGCCAATTTTCGGAAATTAGAAAAAAAATCAATTTTATTGTTCATAAATGACATGTCGTTGGATATTTTTTTTTCTGTTTGTGATCTCAGCTGTGTGTGTGTGTGTGTGTGTGTTTTGGGGAGTTCGTATGGTGCTATTTTTTGTGGATGTATTGATGATAATGAGAAAAATGCGTTTTTACAAACTTTTCACAAATAATTTTATTCTCAAAATCAATCAATTTTTAAATTTAATCTGTGATTATTTTTTATTTTATAATTTTAAAATTTTTTTTTTCTTCACTGTTAAATTCTTTGGCTGCTAATAATTTTTGTTTGGTTGTTTGAAAAAAAAGTTTGTAATTTTTTGATTTTGATTTTGAAAAAAAAAATATATTTCCAAACGACTCACAATTAATTGATTGATCAGTATGACAGAGAAATTAATATTCTATGGATCATTGGCATACAATGTTGTTATGAATAAATTCAATATCCGTAAATGGTATGATCGTATTGATCAACATGTATTATTAGGTGCATTACCATTACGTGGACAATTTCCTAAAATGGTTTGTAGTGTTTTTTTTTTTTTGTCGTTTTTGCAATTCTAATTTTTCATATCTATCTCTATTTTTTTTTTTTTTGTAGCTAGTACGACAAGAAAATGTACGAGCCGTTATATCGTTGAATCAGGATTTTGAATTAAATTATGTATCATTATCAAATGAAGAATGGCATAATTTAGGTGTTGAATTTTTACAATTACCCACCAAAGATTTTGTTGAAGTACCAAGTTTAGATAATCTTCATAAAGGTGTACATATGATGATGCGTATCGTTGATCAGGCTAGTCGTCAACAGCAACAACAACAACAACAGCCAATATCAAATAATGATCCAACAACAACGACATTGTCACCTAAACCAAGTATCTATGTACATTGTAAAGCTGGCCGTACACGTAGTGCAACATTGGTCGCTTGTTATCTAATAATGGCATATAATCTATCGCCAGAAAGTGCCGTGAATTTTATTCGTGATAAACGACCACATATTTATCTTTCAACAAAACATTTAGAAATGATACAATTATTTCAACGTTCATTGAATCGTAATTAATATACAATATAGACTTTTTAATTCATTATTATATTATATTCTACACTGATTTATAATAATTCATTATATAATGATCAATTGTGTAAATATTATATTGCTATACTCGACCACACGATTATTTGATTATTGTAATTTTTTTTCTATTATTATTATTGATTAATAATAACAATAACAATCATTCTCTTTTGCATAAAATTAATATACTTGAAAATTCTTGTTCTTTTTATTCGTGACAAACAAAAAATGAACACGATAAATGAAATCACTAAAAACGGAACGGATGTAAAACGAATTCATGAACCAATTCTTTTGGTCATGACAATCATAATGTTTATCATATTTTTAACATTATTATTCATCTGTATCCATCAAATTGATCGTAAACGTGAAACAAATTATCGTCGTTTTATTGAACAATCGAATCGTTTCTATAAGATGAATGAATCGATTGTATCGAAAAATTGTCATGAATATCCACCAATATTACGGAAACAACAATTAAATCAGCTACGTACGAATAATTGTCTTTTTCAATAATTAAAAAAAAAATTTTTCATTTTATTTAATAATTTTTTTTTCGTTTTCAATCAAAAAGAGAATTGATCTCAGTTTTTTCCCCCACGTATTTTAATGATAAGCAAAATGCCATTTGAATATTTTTTTCTGTTTTGTTTTGTTTCAAGTGTAAAATATTTGTATTTTAAATTTTTTCTTTTTGATCAAAATTTATTATTATTCATCTTTTATTGATTCTTCAGTCGGTGCAGCAGCCTGTTGATCGGCACGTTTTTCATTTTCCAATGTTTCACGTTTTTTCGAACCAGATACAATATCATCGATTCGTAACAATAAAATTGCCGTCTATAAAAATTTATGAAAAATAAAATTTGACATGACAATGACAAAAGAAATTTTTTTTTGTTCTACACTTACCTCAATAGCCGTTTTATAAGCTTGTGCTTTAACAACCAATGGTTCCCAAACACCTAATTGTGTCATATCGGCCAGTACACCTTTTTCGCCATCAATACCCCAGGTTTTATTATCTCCACTTGCATGTTTAGCACGTAATTGTGTTAACGTACGAATTGTATCACCACCACAATTTTGAATCAATGTTCGTGGTATTACTTCCAATGCTTTAGCCACAACACGATATGGCCATTGATGAACGCTTTTGATTGATTTAGCTTTTTCATTAAGTAATTTTCCAACGGCCATTTCAACGGCACCACCGCCTGGCAAAATGTATGAATCCAATAGAATATTTCTTGCAACATACATAGCATCTTGAAGATTACGTTCAATTTCATTGAGCATATCTTTACTTGCACCACGTAACAAAATGGTACATGCTTTTGGATCTTTACATTTGATCAAATAGGAAAAATATTCATCACCAATTTTTCGTACTTCAAATAGGCCACAACCGGTACCAATATCTTCTTCACGAATTTCTTCCGTTCGAAATACGACCGTAGCTCCTGTTGCTCGTGCAATTCGATTGTTATCCTGTTTTTTTACACGACGTAATACAGTAATATTTGCTTTGGTCATGTAATGAATTGCCAAATCGGATACACCTTTTTCTGTGATTACTAAATCCGGTTTAAAACGGATAATATCATCACAAATCTTTTTAATATATTCTTCTTCGATTTGTAATAAACGGGCAAAATCCTCTTCTTTGGTAATCTCAATCTCTGTTTGACTTTCACCTTTTTTATATTCAAGACCACAATCCAACAATAGAATTCGAGGATTTTCAATCTCTCGTCGCATGTTCGGATGAAGTACATCTTTATTCAAAAGTATACCATCTAGAACACAACTTTCTTCGATAGAAGCGCCAGGTATTTTTTCGATTCGTGCATATTTCTTCACATCAATTTCTTTACGACCATTCTTTTCAACGAATACGGTTCGTACGGCATCCAATGCAAGTTTGCAAGCAAAATCACCAAGTTTACCAAGAATTTTCGTACCAATACAACTTTGAATCAATTCCAATACTTTGGCATCATTTTTCACATCAATTGCAATGGCAATTTTTTCCTTTAAAATAACGAGAACATCATCCAATGCTTGACGATAGGCCGAAACAATAACAGTTGGATGTATGTTCTGCTCAAGGAATGGTTGAGCCAAAGCTAAAAATTCACCGGCCAATACGATGACCGAAGTGGTACCATCACCAACTTCTTCATCTTGTGTACGACTAATTTCGATCATTGTTTTGGCCGCCGGATGTTTGACAGTAATCTCACGAAGTATAGCATTACCATCATTGGTCATCACAATCGAACCCATTGGATTCATCAACATTTTTAACATGGCACGTGGACCCAAACTAGTACGAATAACATCGGCAATAGCTTTGGCTGCTTTAACATTTTCCAGCTGTACTTTACGGCCACTTTCACGTTGTACGGTATCCTCTACAGAAAAAAAAATCAAGTAACAATATGAATTTTGAATTCAATTCGGAAAAAATTCAATGACTTACTCAATACAAGAATCTGTGGTGCATACATGATGATGTGAATTTATTACTTAGAAAATTTGTAAAAAAAAGAAACAAATAAACAATCTAATGACAATAATCGATTCAATGATTTTTTTCTAATGAAATGAAATGTGCAATGGTAAAAATTATGTTTGTGAGAAAGGCGGCGACACACACACACACACACATCCATGCGGCGTGGTTTTGTTGCATTGTTCGAATCATCATGACAATCATAATGATTATCAACCGATAGATGGCCTGTGCTTCGATTCATTCGGTTTTCAACCATCAAAAATGTTTTGATTTTTTTTAAATTAAAAAAAAAATTTATTCAATTTTTTCGAGAAATATTTAAAAGAAATTGATCTAAATCATTACAAACTTGTTGATAAATATGTTCCATTGACATTGATCCATCAATATATTCTAAATGGATTACAAAAAATGAAATCAATCACTATTCTGTTGTATGTATGAAATAAAACTTACTAATATCTTTTTGATTACTAATTTTTTCTAAATTTTTCAGATACATTGGCCACACATATTGATCAAAATAACCAGCTGGATCTGGTGGTATATAATCTCGTTTTAGACGACGTTTATGAATCATTAATTTATCATATGTTCGTATGAAATATTTTCGATCGAATACATTAGCTAATGGCCTTTGGAATAGATTCGTTGAGAGCATAAAAAATGATTTTTTTTCACAATCAATACTTACTGATAATTGAAAATGATATGACCATCGATTAGTAATAAACTTGGTCGAACGATTGCAGGTTTAGAAATGATGTCATAGATTGCCATACACATATCGTTCCAATTGATACATTCGAGAAGTTCCCAATTTTGGTGTTTTCGTGATTCACATAACGGTACCCAAACATGATTCGGATCATCTTCTTCCTATAAAATAAAAGGCGTAACAATGGATTATATTGCCGGATTTTTTTTCCTCAAAAATAAAATTAATCAATACTAACCCGAAAATAAGTATCCTGATTGATGATAGCCGATGATGATGGATATCTATTACATAATTTCTCACATAACGTTGTTTTACCGCAATTTGTACACCTATAATTTTAATAATTTCAATAATGGTAATCGATCAAAATCAAATCATTATTATCAAATACAAATGATACTCACATACCCTGAAATACCAATCAATAACCAACCATTTTGCTGTGCTAATTTGGCATAGTTTTTCATTTCGTTTGATGCCATCAACGTTTTCGAGAATCGGCAAATATTTCAGATGTTTAATCGATGAAAAATACTGATTTTGAATTTGATTAAAAAATCCTAATCGTATACGTAATCAATATCGAAAATGTTGATTGATGATAGCCGATGATGATGGATATCTATTGAATGTTTTACCGCAATTTGTACACCTATGATCAATAATGGTTTGATCAAAAATTATTATCAAATACAAATGATACTCACATACCCTGAAATACCAATCAAACCAACCATTTTGCTGTGCTAATTTGGCATATCATGCCATCAACTTTTTATCGGCAAATATTTCAGATGTTTAATCGAATATCTTATAAAAATCCCTAATCGTATACGTGTATAGGTTATGATAATGTTTTGAAAATTTTCAATTTCAAATCATCATCGTATCCTTGAGAATATCTTATCCACTTAGGTACAAAAAATGTTGATGAAAATGAAAGAAAAACCATTCATTTCAATGATTAAAGTACAAATTACAAGTGCAAGATACATAAACATGAATGAATGAAATGAAGTATGATATGATAAACATAATCAGAATGAAGTTTGATTAATCAATTGATTTATCCTAACCAACAATGTATATAAAAAAATAGACGTTATAATTTTTCGAATACCGATTTTGAATTCAATTTTTTTTTCATCGAATCGTAATAATTTTTGAACATTTTTAATTTGCAAAAAATGGCTAATCAACATCTGAAGATATTCTTTATGGCCGTCGATGGTGTTGGACATATTAATGCCTGCATAGGATTGGCACAACCATTGATAAAACGTGGACATGAAGTAATATTTTTGACCAATGAATTTTTCTCTGGAACATATGAAAAATTTGGTTTCAAAGAGATTGTATTGAAAAGTGCTAAAGTAAAACAAATAATGAACAAAGAAGGTAATCAAAAAGCTGAAGAACATCCAACCAAAGCAATGGCATCTGTTTTGAAAAAATTTCGTGATGATGGTACGTTATCTGGTAAGCCATCGATAGAAAAATTACAAGATTTTAAACCAGGCGGTGATAATGAATTCGCAAATTTAATGTATGAAAGTGTCAAAGAACAAAATCCACAGCTTATTACTTTAATCGATGAAGAGAAACCAGATTTAATTATTATGGATCAGTTCATTTTACCACCATGTGTTGCTTATGGAAAAATACCATGGGCATTTTTATGCAGTGCTTGCCCACGATTTTTATATGATTCAGACGATATTCCACCAATGTGTTCAGGTATTTCTGAATGATGTGTTCAATAAGATTAATTTGTGTTTGTTTTTTGTCTTGAAAAAATAGGTTATCCATCTAATGATCGTACCGGTTGGGATGAATTTAAGGCAAAAATGGAGAAAACTAATATAGAAGGAATGCGTTATAGTCAGAATTTAATTAATAAAGAATTTGGCTATCCTGAAGTATCTGAAAAACATTTTATATTCAAATCACCGTATATGAATATTTATGGTTATCCCAAAGAATTGGACTATGCAGATATCGTACCATTGCCGGATAATCATATTCGAGTGGATGCATTTTGTCGTGAAATCAAAGAAACGTTTGAATTACCCGAAGAATTCAAAACGAAAATTAAACCTAATGATAAATTAATTTATTTATCAATGGGATCAATCGGTAGTATCGATGTAGATCTAATGAAAAAACTTGTCAATGAATTATCAAAATCATCACATAAATTTATCATTTCAATGGGACCATTAAATGATCAATATCAATTGGCAGATAATATGTGGGGACAGGCATTTGTGCCGCAAACAAATGTAATACCATTAGTAGATTTGGTAATTACACATGGTGGTAATAATACTGTTACGGAAACATTTTCATTCGGTAAACCAATGATTGTAATGCCATTATTTGGTGATCAATATGATAATGCTCAACGTATCCTTGAGAAAGGTTTTGGTAGTCGTATTGATCCATATAATTTTAATGATGGTGAATTAAACAAAATGATTGATCAAATATTCGCTAATGAACAAATACAAAAACGTTGTCAACAAGCAGCCGAACGTATTGCCAAAGCAAATTCAAAAGAAAAAGCATGTGAAAAAATTGAATCCATTATGGCTAAATTAAAATTGAATGTCAATTAAATATGATATAATTTTAATTTCAATAAATAAATAGTCCATTATTTTATTCAAACAAAAAAAAATTTGATCAAAAATCGATTGATTTTTCATTTTGATGTTCATCATAATGTTTGTATGTGCGTGTCATATATAATTCCAAAAAAAGACAATAAGAATAAAGATGATCAAAAAATTAAAAAAAAAAAAAAAATTTCATATCCAAAATTCAAATAAAAAGTTTCAAAAAAAAAAGATTCCACAAATGCAATATTGAGTGTATATAATAGCTGTAAAATTGACCATGAACATGGAAATTAATAACATTCGAATTGAAAGATTTGCTAAAAATTATTTCTCTACATTTTATAATATTTATGGCCACCAGTTTCGGCCGTCATTTTATATGGATTATTTGGACCGGATGGATTTACAACATCCAATGCCGGACAATAAAGACTTCGATCACCAAATTCAGTTTTATATATGGTATTTTCATTAATTTTTGAATTCCGTCGTTGTTGTTGTTGTTGCTGTTCATTTTGTTTATTTTGTTTATTTTCAGCCGTATCTGGTCGGGCAAAAATTGAATCACTTGATTGTCTAAATAGATTTCTACGACGTCCAGATCGTTGTGATCGTCTTCCAGCTGTACGTTTACGTTCCAGTGGTTGTTGTTGTTGTTGTTGCTGCTGCTGCTGATGTTGACGTCGTTGTGCCGATCCTTGACGACCATTTCGATATGTAGATTTAGTCGTTGTTAAAAATTCCATATCACCATCAAACATTTGAATTGAACTTTCATTCTTATGTCGTTGTATACGTTGTGGTAATATGAATGGTTTACGTGTACTGGCCATTACTGCATGTCCATTAATAATCATTGATGATTTATTGTGATCATTACGTGATGGTTGACTTTTCGTTTTTGATGGTTTATTCAATGTGGCTATAGTACCACCATTTATACGGTGACCACCGGTTAATATATGAAAATCATCCGATGTTTCATGTAATCTTCGAACATGTGATCGATAATTTTGTCCATCTATTCGACGATTAATATCATTATTATTATCATCTAAATTATCATCACCATCTAATTGTGATTTCATTTCCAATAATCCAAGATCTTTTATATGATCCACTTGATATGCATCGTATGGACGGTATTTCATTGTCGTTGTCGATTGTTGTTGTTGTTGTTGTTCTTGTTTTATTGGATCACCTTCACGTTCGATTTGATCATTAATTCTTTCATCATCTACATTATTATCATCATGATTGTCATTATCGTCAATTTTCTTGGATTTTGAATGTCGATCACTTCCACCACCACCACCACAACGAACTTTTCGAACAAGTTTTTCGGCCATCATTTCACCTTGACCATCTGATGTTTGTATGTAGGATTTTTTTTCAAATTTTCTTATCTCTTCACCATCGACCATACGTAACGGTTTTGTTGTTTTTGTTGTAGTATCATCCATGATATCATATTTGCAACGATTTTTCTCCTCATTCGTCATCATTGTCGTACGGGCTACAACTTTGGGCAATTTAATTTTATTATTACCATCTACAACGGTTTTTGCTTCGCCATTAATGATAATAAAATTTTTATATGCATCACGATTATTAGTTGACCAATATCCATGTCCACCGGTTCTCAAACTAGTTTTTGGTCTATTTCGAATTGTTTTACGTTTAGTTGCCGAACGTAATAATGGTGTACTACCGGAATGTCTACCACGTCTTGTATTACAATACAATTGTTGACTATTTTGACTTGTCGAACGTTTTGATTTATCACTACCTGATTGTCGTCCATATGTGGATCGAAATGTTGTCTCTAATTCCATAGGTCCTTCCAATTTAAGATTATCTCGTGGCCGTGATCGTTTTGGCCGCACAACAATCCAATTATCAGCATCATCCATATTGATAAAATTTATACCATTCTCCAAAGGATGTTGTCGATGTTGACGATCATAATCATCATTTTCGATCATTAATGGTGGTTGCTGTTGTTGATGTTGATGTTCTTCAAGATGTGTTTTTTTCAATGTTTCACAAATACAATGTATTTTATCACAGTCATCACTTGAACAAACAATACTACTAAATGATGAATCTGTATCACTAAAACCAGTAATCGGTGGTAAAAATCCAGCAGTTACCGTTGTTGGATCGTTTGTTGGAACATTAGTCGTTGTTATTGGATCATCTTCGGTCATTGTATTGACGATACGTGTTGTCGATACAACACGTACTGGCATCATATATTGTGGTTGTTTATGATTGATAATGTTTATTTTTGAATGTGATGGTTTCGATTTTGTTTCTTTATTATTATTTTTTTTTTCGTTGCCGTTTTTGTTTTCGATTTTTGATATGTTGTTGTTGTTGTCTGATTTCCATGTTCATCATTACGCATTCTTGATAATGATCGTGTTAATTCTTCCACTTGTTCTGGTGATGTTTTCCATGTTTGCCTCTGGTTACGATTACGTTGGCCATGGTGGTTATCAATAATCAAACATTCACTACATGATCTCTCATTCAAATCATTTTCTTGAGCTTTTTTGTTGTTGTTGTTGTTGTTGTTGTTGTTGTTGTTCATCGTTTGTAGATTTCATTTCGTTATCTGTTTCATCAATAATAATAGGAACTAAAATTTGATCACTATTTGTATGATTCGATCGTTTATGACGAATTAATTTCGTTCTTTTGGTCGTTGTTGTTTTTTCAATCAGATTTTTATCCAATGAATCATTGAAACGATTTAAAAGACTTGTTCCCAATGCTAATACAGATGGTGATGAAACATTCTCTTGATTTGATTCAATTATAATTGGCAATTCAATCGTGGCATTATTATCATCATCATCATCATCATCGATTGATTGATGAGAATTTTTTACTTTACCACCAGAATCAAGTATCAATGGATTTCTTTGAAAATCAGCACAATTATGGCGTCTAGAGAAAAATAAAAGACAGAAAAAAAATTTGAAATAATTTTTTGAAACAGAGACAAATGAAATAAACTTGTTAATAAATGTTGCAAAATGAATGGAAACGAAAAAAAAACAATAACAACATAACAATCGAACAAACAATGGTAAACTATTTTGGTTTAACTTTTAATTATTTGGATGAACATTGAATGGACAAATAACAACAACAACAACAACAATAACCAGAAATAAAAAGATTATCTCCAGGTAACCGAAAAATGGGTGTATGGTCAGACACACGCAAACACCACAGTTCCACGATTACAAGCAACAACAGAAAAAAATGGAATCCTATTTATAAATGGAAAGCAAAAAAAACTGGACACAATCATGGATAAGACAAGGGAAAAAAAATTGGGCTGACCAAAGCCTATATAGAAATTGTAAAAAAAAGCTTGGTCATTGCGCGTATAAATGGAAATAACTAACTAGATTGGTTCGTTTATAATAACAACCAAATATTGTTCAGGTCAAATCATCATCATTTGATTGGGCAACATTATTATTATTGTAACCAGGTACAATGATAAATGTCCCTTGATGATTCAAGCTATAGAAAGGAGACAAAAAAAATTTCTTCTTGTCAAATTCTCGAGGATTTCAGATGATGGTGAAAAAAAAATTTTTTTTTTTTTTTTGGTTTTGGTTTTCTCATTCTCTACATTGTTCATCATAATCATGTGAAATAGGTTCACTGACACTACCGAATCAAAACAAAACAATTTTTGACAAGCTATGAAACTTTTTTTCCCCCCTTCGATGATGATGATCCAAATGAATTATTCAACACTTTTATTTCTATTCCGTTTGCATACAAAGTTGTAGTCATTTCGAAAAAAAAAATGATCAGATAATTTCGCCTAGAATTATCATTATCATTATTATTCACTCAGATTCTACATGACTGAATCAAAGAACAAAAAAAAATGATAACAAATGAAAATTAAACAAACATTGCATAAAAGAAAATGCAAATGATGATAATAATTATTGAAATACAAAATAACCGGATGAAAAGAAAAATAAAACAAGAAATTTTTTTTTATTATTTCATTGTTTACAAAGGTAATAATATTTTCGTGGATTAACACCCACACCCACCCACACACACACACACACACAAGCAAATGGACAATAATAAAAAAAAGAACAATCGGTAGAAAAAAAAAAAAAAAATCTAGGTCATCTGATTATGAAAGGATCAAATAGTGACCAATTGACTGTGTGAGATTAGCATTAGATTCAGGAAATAATGTATGTCCATGTTTTACTGCAGTCATTCAGACTGTGTGTGTATGATTATCATTATCATTATTATGAAATACTTATGAAATGATATCCATCAATGTTATCATTTCAATAGTGATTTGTAATTAATTAATCTTTTCTTTCTTTTTTTTTTGGTCATGGTGATGGTGGTCATCTTTCTTTCTTGAATTGCTACCGTCTATTGAAATTTTTTTTTTTTTTGCTAAATAATAGTAAGCATAAAAAATAGGTAAAATGTGCGTGATGTGCGTATCTAAATACGGTAGCAATTGTGTGTGTGTGTGTGTGTACCCCTTGCGACCTAGATATAATGGCTATAATAGCGTCATGTCAAACCATCAAAGCAAGCAGGACAAAAAAAAGAATTCTTTGCTTTTTTATGCAAAATAAAAATGAAACACAACAACAACAACAACAACAAGCGGATAACATTTACAATTTAATGACCAGAACCCATGGAACGATATGAAACAATTTTATGCAATAAAGCAATATATGAAAATGATCAGAATTTGTTGATTATCATTATTATTATCATCATCATCAGTCTATGGATTCTTTTTTTTTTTTTTTTTTTTTTTTGATAATGATGACCTCGTTTTGTTGGATTCTATTTTTTTTTTTTTTTTTTTGTCATGTTCAGCTTGGTTTGAAACCAAGGTGAATTGGATCAAAATGATGATTAATTATGTTGGATTTATTATTGGTGTTGTCATTGTTTATCTGGTTTTGTTGTTTTCATCTGAATGTTAAATTTATGTAGATTGTAACAATGATTAAAAAACTAAATAAAAAAAAAGTTAAATAACAACTTAACCAGTTTAAATATCAGTTTAGCTATTTTTTAATTAGCGACTAAAATAATGTATATTTTATTATATGAGGAAACTAATATTTTCACTTAAATGTTCTCAAAATGTCGGGCACTTAGAGTGTTAAGGAGGATGTAGAAAAAGAATATATAGTCATTTACAATGAAAAATATATTCGAATGAAATGGAAAACAAATGAAGATGAAAAATACTTACCCACATACACAAATTTGACAGATACATTTATCTTTGGCTACAGGCATTTTATTTTATTCTTGAAAACACACAGCATAAATCATTGAAAATGATTTCAATTCAATTGGTCATTTTGCCATCGAATGTAAGAATGAATGAAAATTCATAAATCATTGTTTTGCAATTTTGGTCAATACATATTGAACATAAACACACACACACACACAAAAAAAATTTTGGTGATTCAATCACACTATTATTATTATTATTAGTGATTATCGGATCGATATCATTATTATCAATCGATTATTTCGATACAAAACAAACAAACAAATGAATGGCAATCAATCGATTCATGAATAAAATCAACACAGACATATGAATCAGAAAAATTCGAATTGAAAATATTGTTGAAAATCAAAGATCAATTTTCTTTTCTTTTATTTTTCCACATACGATACATTTAGACGTTACAAGCTAAATGGTGGTAAATGATGAAAATGTTGAACGAAAAAATTTATTCTTTGATGATATGGCCCTTTGAACACAGTCATTTTGTCGGTGGGTGGGTGGATTTTTTTTTCGTATGGTCCCTGAAAAAAAACATGAAAATTATAGGAAAGAATATCTCGACAATGGAGTGGTTTGACATAGATTGTTTTTTTTCCACTAAAATTTAGGACAATAAAAACAAAAAACCAAACGTTTGGAACAATGAAATGAATGATGATTTGACCTGGTTTGTATTTTTTTTTTTTCCTGAATAAGCGCATGTAATGACCACTATCAACAACAATAGCAAGAGCTAGATTTGATCCAATACATTTTATCATGAAAATTATATATGGGTAAATGAATGATCAGAAATTTTTTTATTTTCCTTTAATTACAGTATTATAAAACATATATATAATAGTAGTAAGGGTGAGGATTAAACAAAGTATAAAGCAAACAGAAGAAAAAGTTTTGGAGAATCGAATTAAATTCTTTAAATGAAAGAAATATCACTTGTTTCTTGTTGTTCATCACAATCAATTTGATGAATAAATTTACATGGCCCATGTAATTCAATAAATTCCAACAATTTTGCCGATATTTTTAAACGTTCACTATATTTATCGATCAATTTCCATACTTCTTTAGCTCTATATGGTTTTATTTGATGTTTATGTGGATATATTTCCATTGTATTTGGTAACGATTTATTGATACTTGGATGTAATGGAAGATTTCTAAATTTTTCATGCAATTTTTCTTGGGGATCATAATATCCATCCATTCTATTGAGAATCGATTCAATTTTCTCATATAAATTTGTAAAAACATTTTTACAGTTCTTACAGCGTAGATAGATTCGATGTGATACACGTGCAGCTAAACATTTCAATGGAAACAGATTTAGATTTGGTTGTTTGTAACAAAACAGTAAATTTGGATAAATATGAAATGCCGTTTGATTATAGATATTGACAGCATCCAAATGAACAGATTGTAGACCAGCATAATCAAAATGATGTAATGAATTATGGACATATTTTCCATAATAAATATGGTCAACTAATTCATTGAAATATGGTACCAATTTACGTATGGACATTCCACGTTCACGACCATTATATGATAGATAATGTAATGGTGTATTATATAAATCATCATACACATTGGTATTAGCACCACATTTCAATAATAATTTTATTTGATTTATATGAGGAAAACCAAAACTGAAATCAAAACCGAAATCAAAACAAAAATGAAAACTATATTCAAATTGTAGAATGCAAAAAAAAAAAATCTTTCAGTTAAATAAAATCAATCAATCAATCAAACTTACCGCCAATGGTCAGGATAAAATATTATCTGTATCATATGACGATGATAATACACATTTGTAAAGTTTAATTTAAGGAATTTTCGTATTATTTTTTCAATCACGTTTTGTTTAACATCACCTAGACGATTATAGTGCTTGAAAATTTTGAATATTAAAAATAAATAAATAAATAAATATTATCAATTAAAAATGACTTACTTTGGAAAAATAACATATGAAAGAATAAATAGCATTTATTACACGATTAATATCCCATAATTCATCCATTTTATCGTGTGATTTTTCAATGTCGAATGGGATAGAATTTTTTATTTTAACATCGTTTCTGGTAAAATATTCGATCTGACAAAGTTCATGTATATCCAATTGGAACGACATTGCCTGTAGACCATCCGGTAATGGAAATGATTCAAGATATTGAATTGCCAATTCAAATAATGTTTGCCAATATTGAAATTGTCGCCATTCATATGTTTTATAAATCAGATGCATAAAACATCGCTCATAAACACCAGCAACAAATACTTTCAATTTGATTTTTATTTGTATAGCACGTATCCATAATTTTAATGCCGTATCATTTTCATCAAATTCGTTTACAAAATGATCGCCCATTTTTTCCAAACAATTAGCCAATTTAAAACAATCATTGGTGAAAAAACGTTCAATTGCGAATAAACATTCATAATGAAGACGTACATCATCATCATCATCATTTCTTATAGTTTCAAATTCATCTAATGTTTGTGTTTCTTGTGCAAAATCATATGTATAACGTGCTTGATGAATATTTTTTGGACGTATCGGTAAGGCTTTTGGATCAACACATTTAGAAGTTGAAATATTGTCAAAACTGCCATTATAATCCAATGGAAAATATCGTAAAAGATATGCATTACGAAGAAAACGAGATATTTTAGAATCGTTTGTCTCATTCATTTCTTCATCATCAGAAACATAATCATCATCATCAAATTTTATACAACAGCCAACAGCCATTAATTCATATACAATAATACGATCTTCAATAGTTAATTGATTTGATTTTTCCATCCATGACTGCAATATATCGATAATATCTGTCCTATTCATAAAAGCAGCCAAAAATAATGGTGTAAAACCACTAATATCCGGTTGTAATGTTGCACCATGTTGTAAAAGCATTTCGATTACAGTGATATGGCCACATTCGACAGCAAAATGAAGTGGAGTACCGCCACAATAAGCAGCCAAATTAGGATCGGCACCATTATCCAAAAGAATTCGTACAATCTTTTCGATGCCATTATAACTCGCTAACATTAGTGGTGTATTTCGGAATTTATTCGGCTTATTTACATCGGCCTTATGTTTCAATAATAATTCTAACTGTTCAATTAATTTATCCTCAGTATTTTTGTGAGAAATTTCACAACATAATCGTATTGGCGTGGAACCAGTTGAATTGATCGTATTAGGATCGGCACCATATTCTAATAATAAACTCATCTGTTTTGTCATGCCTAACAATGTGGCGATCCATAATGGAGTGACATCGGACAATAAATCATCAGATAATGGGCAAAAGATGTTGGCTTTTTGATCGATATTTATATGAGAAAATCGTTTGAGAAAAAATTGTAAAAATTTATCACCAGCTTTGAACAAAACAAAAAAGTGTATCGGTGTAAAACTGTATTTGGAGTCACCTTGCAATAGATTTTCCATAATTTTGCTATTGGCTGATAGTTGAATCAGACAATAGCTATTTAAAATTTCTGCAATAAATTCTGGATCGTCATCGGTGAGCATCGAAACAAAGTTGGTCGGATCTTTATTTTCGCCACGAATTTTATAATGATAAATACATTTCTTAAAGAAATTATGAAACAAAAATTCCTGATGAGCAGAATATTTATTAACTGCATGAGATAAAATAGAAATTAGAATTTTCAGAAAAAATTTAAGAAAAATAGTTGAAAAAATATACTTACTATCATCACGACGTTTCGGATCATCCATGATTTATTCGCATTCGAACATAAATTGTTTTATAACCAAAAAAAAACGAGAAAAAAGTAGAAAATTCCGATGATGCAATTCGAAGAACAAATCTCAATCATTTAAAATCGAAATAATCAACAACATACGTCCTATTTGAACGGAAACTAGGGATTTTTTTTATCACACACACACACACATTGACAATGCTACTACTACGTTATGGATTAAAGAAACACAAAATCAAAAAATTGATGTCTTTTGTGTATGTGTGCGTGTTGTGTTTATTATATTCCTTTAGTATATGTTGTGTTGTGTTGTGCATGCAGACTTTCTATTTTATTTTTCATTTTTTTTTATGTGTTTGTGTGTGTTTGCGAATCAAATGAATGAAAATGAAAATTTGAACCAGACTTTATTGCTGCTTCTTCTTGTTTGTATATGTTGTGTTGTATGCGTGCGTTTTTTTTTGTTTTCTTGTTTGCGCTTTTACAATTTATTCGTTTGTTCCATTTGTTTTTTTTACATGTATGTTTTGTGTGTGTGTGTGTGCTCATCAAGAACGAATCTCATTGGAAAAAATAATAATAAAATTCATTAAAAGTGTTTTTTTTGTTTTGTTTTGATTTGAAATTTCAATGTTAAAACCTAACAAACAACACACACACACACACACACACCCATTATCATCATATTTGAATATTTTTTTTTATAAGTGTTTTAATTTTTTTTTTTCTTCTGGATCAAAATTTTGGTTTAAAAAATTGAAGCTGATTTTTTTTTTTTTTTTTTTTCTTTGATTTGTTGTGTTGATGGTGGTTGTGATTGGAGGTCGTTGTGGTCCAGAATTATATTCATTTTGAATTGTAAATCGGGTAAGATTTACCAGTTATTATTTTTCTTGTTTGATGATCGAAAAAAAATTTTTGTATTGAAAAAATCATAATGTAGTTATTCCAAAAATAAATTAAAGAGCTAACAAGTCGTAAAGATTTTCTATAATTTATAGTTGTCCCACCCTAATAATGATAATTTTTTTATATTTTCAATTTTATTATCAAAATTGATTCTAATTTTTTTTCGGCTGGTTGGTAATCTTACCGTTGAAAAAAAAACGAAGAAGAAAAAAATTTAAAACGCCATTTCATAATAATAATGATTAAAGATTCGAATCGTGAAATAAACGAAAAAAAAATTCGAATGTCAACTACAGCTGTAGCTGTTGTATTCAGATGATGATATTGATCAGTAATGAAAACAAAAATTCTATAATGACATCTAGGTTTTTTTTGTTGATTATTATCAAACTATTTGGATATTGTCGTCGTTTTTTTTTCTTTGCCAATGTTTCGTTGACATTGTAAATCATGAATGGATGTATGTATGAATGTGTGTGTGAGCAAGAGAAAATGATCTCCAAATTGATTGAAATCCATTCATCTCATCCATCCATAATATGATTGATTGCCACTTTGGGATTCAAACGACAAAAAAATTTTTTTGTTGTTTTTGTTTTTGATCTCAATTATAACATTAGGATTTTTTTTTTTTTTTGGATAGTTGTAGTCGTCGTCATCATCAACATCATGATTTTTACTTATTTATTGATTGATTGATTATATTGATATCATCAATGAAATTGAATGCGTTTTTTGTTTTTCACTGTTCTCTGGGGTTCGATTTGATTTCGACTTAATTTTTCTTTCTCAATTTCGAATGTGTTTAGTTTAAAAGGGAATTTTTTTCCCATGAACACACACAGTAAATCATCAGTTTTTTTCTGATTGAAGAAGGGGTGCCCGTGTATATGAAAATCATAATCAAACAAAACAAAAACGATGTTTATTTGTTGACGTTTAATAATTCTTATTTTAGACAAAAACGTTTAATTTTTTTTCTCTCTCTCTCTCTCTTACTCTTAATTCAGGAATATTGTTTTTTTCAAGGAAAAGAAAATATGGCCTGTTTGGCTAGATTAAAATCGGATGTAAAAGCATTGAGTGAATTATTTCCTCGTACACATCCATTGTTTCGTGTTACATTGGCCACTGTAGATGAAATTTCCTGTATGTTTATTGTTCGTAATAATGATCAATCAGCAACAACAACAACAACATCGACATCGACATCATCGTCTGAAAAGAAATTCATAATCAATGCCAATATAACTGAAACTTATCCACATGATCCACCGGTTTGGTTTTCCGATTCGGATGATATTTCTCCAACATTACAAACGTTAACATCAACAAATGATAATAATAATTTTGTAAGTTATAAAATTTGATTTGATTTTTTTTTTTTTCGTTAAAATTATTGATTTTCTATATTGATAGATATTACGCCAGGTGGCTATCCTATTGGAACATCTGTGCAATCATTTTTCCATTCCGAAACCAATGGATGAATTGAACACATTGAATCATCTTTGGATGAATCCAAATATTACGACAAATATATTGAATCAACGCCTTTATCAACAAAATAGTAATAATAATAATAATAATAATTCTAGTGTGAAAACATCATCATCATCATCAATGATTGATTCATCATCAACAGCGACAACATTAACAATGCCATATTCATCAATCACATCATCAAGTAATGGTGCTATTGATCAATCCTTGAATAATTCTGTATTGATGATGGATAAATCATCATCAAGAGAAACATCATCATCATCGATATTATCGAATCATGTATCATCAAGTTCATCAACATCATCATCCATTACATCATTGAATTCATTATCGAAAATGATTACGACAAAATTGAATTCAACAACACATACACAAGAATTATTAATGTCCAATGGTATCATTTCAGCCAATAATAATCACCAAAATTCGATCTCTTCCACAAGTGGTAATGAAATGGTTGCTAGTTCAAATGGTACCGTTAATCATAATGATGATGAGGAATTGAAATCAAATGGTGGTGGTGATAATAATGATGATGAAGCTGATATTGATGCCGATGATGATGAGGATGATGATGAAACGGATATGCATATAGAAATGGAAGATGAAACACAAAATGAACAGAATAACTCCGATGGTATTAGTTCAGATAATTGGGCACGTTTAGAACGTATACGACAGAGTCATCATCAATTTTTTCAAAACGGAAACTATAGTTTCTCCGTACAAGCTACTGATCGTTTGATGAAAGAATTACGTGATATATATCGTTGCGATAGTTTTAAACGTAAAGTATTCGAAGTACATCTGGTTAATGATAATCTTTATGAATGGAATGTACATCTGAAAAAAGTGGATCCCGATTCACAGCTACATAGTGATCTACAAGCATTAAAAGATAAAGAAGGTCATGATTACATTACATTGAATGCAACATTTAAGGAAAATTATCCATTTGAGCCACCATTTATTCGAGTAGCATCACCATTTATATCTGGTGGTTATGTATTAGGTGGTGGTGCATTATGTATGGAATTGCTTACTAAACAGGTTCGTATTAAGGATCGATGCAAAGTTTTTCTAATAATTGTTTTTCCGGTTCACGTCATATAGGGATGGAGTAGCGCCTATTCCATGGAAGCGATTATCCTACAGATCTCAGCAACATTAGTGAAAGGAAAAGCAAGAATTACTTTTAATGGACATAGGGTAAGAGAATATGAATGTGTTTTCTTGACATTTTTGTTAAATTAATCCGATTTCTTTTTTTGTTTGTTTGTTTCGGGATGGTTAAAATTATTTAGGGCCAATATAGCCTTTCAAGAGCACAACAGTCTTTCCGTTCTTTAGTTTCTATACATGAAAAAAGTGGTATGTAATTTGGATTGAAAATATTTCTTAAATAAATAAATCGTCAATTTTTCTCATAAAATTAAATGATAGGATGGTATACGCCACCACAAGAAGATGGTTAACTATGATGTACATGCCCTCAATCCTTGGTTATTGGATCGATTTTGAAAATCACACATATACACATGAAAAAAATTTTATAATTTCTAGCGTACACACACACCCCATACATACAGACCATTCACCATTATCAATCTTTTATGGTTGATTGTTAACCATTTTTTTCTATCACCTCATTATTATCATCGAATCCACAACAACAACTTCATTCAATCATCATATTGATTCCAGATCTGATCTTGTTTTTTTTCCCATTCTGTTCTTCGTTATCAATCTTTTCTGTATATCTCGTTATTATTATTATTATTATTATTTTTTCATTTTCATCAGCCAACACATTTAAGTTTACTGTTTCTGATAATATTCATAACAACAAAAAAAAACAACAGCAACAATAACAATTGTTATTTTGATTTATGTTTACCTCATTACATATACATCCATTTACTTACCCCCAAATACATCATATTTGCGATTGACAATTGTCCTACTTTATTTCACACCCACACACATACACACCCACATTAGCTGTCGATTAATGATTGATTCATTGAAAATATTTCATTGATTTTTTTAAATACACACACACACACACAAAATACTTTTCACTGTAACATTGAATAAAAGTTAGATGATATAATTGATAATCTAATGGTAGCTAGGTATTGAATGAAATTTACAATAGTACAAAAAAAATTCATCCCCCACACACACACACTACATCGGAAACACACACACACTTACAAATTGATGATTTATATTTGTGTAATGTAAAATTGGTGTTTAAACCACCACAAACTAACAATTTTTGTTCCAACATCACGGCACTAAATTCTTTATTAATTTGTTGATTTGTTGTAAATAATTTCAATTACAATTAACAAATTTGTTTTTTTTAAGAAAAAAAAACAAGATTACAAAAAAAATCATTCTCTTACTGCAAACAAATTTCAATATATAATGATGATTTTAAATAAACAAAATTTTTTTTTCTTTTTATCAAATAAAAATTGATTCTAATTATTATTTACATAAAATATAGAAATTATATATTAGAATGGTAATCGTTTTGGTAGTACACTTTCGATTTCAATTTTCTCTTCATTATTGTCACCATCATCTGATTCGTGTTCATTTTCACCTGTTTGTTGTTGTTGTTGTTGAATCTTTTTAAACATTTGATCACGTTCTTGTTTTGCTTTGATGTATACATGTGGTGGTACAGGTGTCCATCCAGCTAAACCTGGAAAACATTAAATATTTTGTTATTATATTGAATAATTGTTACAGTGAAAATTTCAAAGCATTGATGATAATTATTTATATTTACCAAGTAATGTTTGCATTCCAACACTAAGACGTGCTCCACGTCCCATCCAATACGATAGACGACTCAGATCGACAGCGGCAACAATTTCATTACGTTCATTTGGTACCGGATCCAATGAACCGATTACTTCGTCCGGTAATAGCCCGGTACGTCGTCGAGATGGCATTGCACCGATTTGATAATATGGACGATTTTTACAGCCCATACGTACCAGTTTAATACCAAAACCACTTTTATGCGGCCAAACCATTATTTAGATTCGAAATCGCGATTTCAATATGACAAATTTTCCAATATCACCAAAAAAATTGAATCTTTCATATGGCTTCACGTTTTTCTCAACTATCGATAGTATCGATATGATTTTTTTTTTGTTTTATCATTTTGGCATTGGATTCTGTTAAAATCCATTCAATGATATGTTTAGCACCAGATTATGATGTGATCACTTGTCAAGGAATATAATTAGTATCTTGATTTTAATAAATTTCCTGGAAACCATTTCTGAATCCAGATAAAAATATTGATAATTAAACCATTTTCTCATTCATTTTGTATGACATTGTTTTTTGTTATGAAAGATTTTTTTCATTAATAAAACCCAAATAAATCTAGATAAATCTCAAACATATAGATCATGAATAGATACGATATTGATTTCACAACAAAAATTGGTGAAAAAATTCCAATATTTGTGAAATAACAATGTGAAAATAAAAATGAATAATTTTTTCAAGCCTAAAAAAATCAATTACGGCACGTCATGGTGTCTATGAATGAGTCTGAAAATGAGGAGAAGAGTGTACGCCGATCACCCTCGTTATATTTATTTTCAACCATACCATAATTTATAACTCAATCTTCTCAACATTTAAAATTGAAAATTTGAAAATCTAAACACCATCTCCTTATCTATATTGTTCATGTTTTATTTGATTTGATTTGTTTATCTTAAAATAATAAATTTCTTTTTCTGCATTCAACGATCCATCTTTTTTTTCATGATTTTTTGTTTGTTAATCATATATTTTTTTTTTGCATACACGCACACACTCACACACACACACATTGAATAACATTTTCAGATTAAAATAATCAATTCATGTTAATTTTTTCGAACCATTTTTTTCTGTTTATTATTTTTGATTTATTGATTGAATATTAAGAAAAAATTTTTTCAAAGAATATCCATAAAAAATGCCTATTAAAAAGAAAGGTAGAAAACAAATATTACAATTCGATGTAATTAAAAAAGTGACAGCTATGAATTTGGAAGAAAAACGTGCGACTATCGAAAATATTCAAGAAGAATTAAGTAAAAAGATAACTTTTGCCAAAATAATCAAACAACGGCCAACAGTTGTCCGGGATCTATTATCCATTGCTATTGCTGAGGGTAAGATTTATTCATTGAAACTAGAAAATGATGATGTGATTGAGTATCGTACGCCACGTATGATACGTGATGAACATCTTCAATCGATCATTATGTATGATGGCCAAATACCTGGAACATCTTATTTTAATATTCTACGACATTGTTTTACATTTGAAAGAGATAATAATCGTTTACATCCGAATCGAAGTGATGGTTTTACCATTATTGAAGCACATGAACATAGTAAAATGGTTAGAAAACATTATCTCAACTATAGTTTGCAAATATTCAAGGATCAATTAATACCAGCCGCTATAAAGAATGGTAAGATTTTTCGATTTTAAATTTTCTCTCTCTCTCTCCTTTATTTCAAACAAAATGATTATGAAAAGTATAGAAAATATTTGGCTATTTTAACTTAATCCGTTTAAATTATTTCATAATTTTTTCCTTAATTAGGTCATATTGAACGTATAAAATCATCAACGAATGGTCAGATAAAATATTGTACAACACATTCTTTTCGTGATACATATGATTTATATCGTCGTAATCGAAAACAAGCATTATCATCTATTGGTGAAAAGGATAATGATGATGATAGTCAAGATGCTGATGGTGATGATGTTGATGATTCAATTGATGAACGTAATGAAGATGAAAGTTTCGATATAACATTTAACGAATCAAATGATAATGTTACAAATGATAGTGGTAATAAATCGGAATTATTTCATATTAAAAAAGAACCAAAACAATCATCAACATCATTGAAGATGAAAATATCAAGAAATACTATAAATAGATCACCGGAAATAAAATCGAAGTCAGTATCAGATATTCAACCACAACGTGTAAGTCAAAGGAAAAAAATTAAGAAAACACTTGGACCAGATTTTTTGGATTCATTTGCCGATGTATCGATGAACCATCAGAAACCATTGTCACGATTATCAGCTTCAAAATTAGCATCTTTGACACAAGAACAACAACCATCATCATCAACAACAACAATTGAACATAATAATGATGGATCACAACCATTACAAACTTCATCACAATCACAGAAAAAGAAGCGACCATTGGTATTTTGTCTTGTTTGTAGTAAAGAATATAAAAAACAAACAAAACAAACTCGTATCATTTGTTCGGAATGCAAAGGTGTGGCGCATGGAAAATGTTTTCGATCATATATTAATACCAAGAATGGTACCATCCGCATGATTTGTTCTATTTGTCGCCCGGAATGCATTTGTTTTATGTGTAATAAACATGAAAGAGATGTACGTAGTCATCATTGTTTATTATCGTCAATAATTCTTATCTATTCTTTTTTTTATTTTGTTAAACAGCCGGAAATGTATGTTCAATGCGTTACTTGTTCAACTACTTATCATGCCCATTGTTATCGAGAAAAAGGTAAGGATTCTAAACTAAGGTTGACAAAAGGTGATGGTAATTTTTTTTAACTTTTGTTTAATTTTAAACAGCCCATTTATTATGTAAAAAATGTAGGGACCAATTAATAAAAGTAAACATATCACAAACATTATCACCAACAACTGATTCACAAGTAGACAATGAATCGGAAACAACTGCAGCAATCACAAATGATTCATCACCGGCTTTATCACCAAACATCATTGGTGATGGTCATTCAGATTCCAAATCACAGGCGACAACAGTTCGAACATCACCAAAAGTAACCATAGCGTCAATCAAATCAAGATCATTGGTACAATCAACAAAAAGTGCACCAGTAATTAATGGTAACAATGGCAATGGTAGCGGTGGTAAAAGTTTGATCAGCAAACCTCTAATTTTATTGGTAAGTTTAGATTCTTTGCGATGTATTAGAATTTGTTAAAATTTCGATTAAAAACTTTCAGGACAAGACAAAACCAGTGTTGGCTTCGAAATCATCGGCCACAGCGATGACACCGTTGGCATCAAATGACACTGTTGCAAATGGCCATGTAATATCTGCAGCTACTGTTGTTAAGGATTCAAAAAAAATCAAAGAGGAACCAATGGATATTGATCAGATAACAATTTCTTCAGTCTCAACATCTGCCTCAACATTGGATAAAAATTCATCATCCATCAATATTGGATCAAAGATTTCATCACCATCAACAATTTCGACGATGACAACCGAAACAAATATAATGACAACAACAACAACTTCATTGGCTAAATCATCGGATGGAATATCAAATAAACTGACCACAGCTACAACATCAAGAAAACGTAAACAGAAGGATATATCATCATTTGAAATTTGGAATAAAAAACCATCGCAAAGTATTTGTTATAATTTTCAAACATGGTTGGATACTGAATTACGTTACAATTGGTAATTTGAAAAAAAATTTCAATTTCCATGTATTTAATTATGATTTTATTTATATAGTAAACGTTTTGGACCAGATGTTGATCTTGGACCATTAACATCATTGCCGAATATAATCACTGAATGGACATCCGAAAATGTTCATCGTTTTTTGGCAACACTTGGTTTTAACGATGAAGCTGATATGTTTCTTATGAAAGATATTAATGGTCTTTCATTAATGTTACTGACAAGACATGATTTCCTAAATGCATTATCAATCAAAACTGGACCGGCCATACGTTTATTGGGCATTGTTAATCGTTTGCATGAAGAACTTTAAAACGATAATAGAAAAATGAATTGAACTTTTTCAAAATTTTTGATGAATTATTCCTTTATTTTTTATGGATTTTTTTTAGTGGAGAATTGATAGTGTGAAACAAGAACAAGGAAATTATAGAAACATTACTTTTCTTTTTTTTTCTGAAATAAAAAGACAATGATAATTTGGAACATGGTCGGCTAAATTATGATCATATGATTAGTCATAATTATCCGGATTAATTTAGTGGTGGTTGTATCCAGGAGATAACCGGGATAATTATTAGGTTCATCAATGGCAATGGCATCGATTTCTTTTTTCTTTCTTTAGGTCATCATCAAATCCGGGTAACCAATCAAAGGTGGCAATTGTTTGAATGATAATCTTTGAAAAGAAAAGAAAAAAAGATTCTTACATTTTTTCTAGATGATGATGATGATGGTGATGACTGACTGACTATTATAAAAATGGTGAACAATTTTCTTGATCCGGCCAGATCAATTAAAGAAATTTTGTTTTCTTAAAAAAAATCATTTTATTTTTCAATATGATGCAATTTTCCGTTTTGACTTTGATTATAATGATCACATTACTTGCATTTCAACTTGGCCATTGTGATCGATTAGATGATTTGATGAAAAAACATTGGCAATATTGTGGACAAAGTTTACATCGACGTACAACATTAATGCCAAACAAAACAACAACAACAACAACAACGACGACGTCGACGTCGACGGTGGCAAAAATAACCGGTGATAATAATCAATTCTCAAATGAAAATAATCAAACATTTTTTGAAGCACGATTCGATTTTATACTCAAATCTCAACGCGTCTGTTCATTTGATTTCGATAATGACGATGAAAGTGAAAGCAATGAATTATCTGCACGAATTGTTGGTGGTCAAAATGCTGAACGACATGAATTTCCATGGCAAATTTCATTACGACGTTATAGTAAAACATTAAATAAATGGTATCATTCATGTGGTGGTGTTATAATCGATTCCCGTTGGATTCTTACCGCTGCACATTGTGTTCTCGGTGCCAAAGATCCTGACCATTTTCGTGTTCGTGTTGGTGAATATGATTACAGTATGGATGAAAATTATGAAATGGATTTCAATGTTAGCCATATATTTGCTCATCGTAGTTTTAATTTTCAAACTGTTGAATCGGATATTTGTCTGTTGAAATTAAAGGAAGAAATCGATTTCGGTCCTGATTCGAATATTCGTCCAATATGTTTTCCACAGATTCGAGCCAAACAAGCAAAAACAGATGCCGATGTTGTTAAACCTTCAACGTGTATATCAACAGGATGGGGAAAAACTGTTTTTCGTGAGTTTGAACAAGGTGTTTTTTTTTGTGTGTGTATTAGAAAAAAAATAATTCATGTTTGCTTAATTTACAAATTTATTCTGATTCTTTCATTTTCTTTATTGTAAGACGGAGAATTTCCAAAAATTTTACAAAAAGTTTGTGTAGATATTGTCGATCATCAAGATTGTCGTCGACGTTATGCTGAAATTATCAATGTTACCGAAACAATGATTTGTCTTGGTGAAGGTGGTAGTGGAACATGTGAAGGTGATTCTGGTGGACCATTTCAATGTATAAATAATATTACAATGATTACGAATGATACGGTTGAACCACGATGGTCACTATATGGATTAACATCATGGGCAGTTGGATGTGCTGAAGATCAATATCCATCGGTAGCGACCAATATTGCCGTATTACGTGATTGGATTTATGAACAAATATCACAGCTCGATCTATCACCATCATCATCATCATCATCATCACCACACCACCACCACCAATAATGAATTCAACTAAATTAATTTAAAATTTTTCAAATCAAAAAAATTCTATTATCAAAGGTATTAAGTTCCAATATAATGTTTATTTTAGAAAAAAATAATAATAGAAAACATGGTTTCTTTAATGAACTGAGGAAAAAAAATGAAATTGATTTTTTGAGCATTTAAATTTTGTTTGAAATTTTTTTTTTTTCAATCAGAATTTGTCGATGATAACGAATCGATTGTTTGATGATACGAATCTTTTCCATTATCCTCCATCATCATCATCATTATCGATAATGGCGATGATGATGATGATGATTGTAATGTTGAAAACAATGATGGATGTCGTTCCTGAAGCATTTGTAATACTGTTTCATAAGAAGGGGGTATTATGCCCGTTGCTTTTTCATATGATGGTGGTGGTTTCAATGATGCCGCTATTGTATTCAATATTTCTCGTTGTGTTAATAGTTCTTCTACTGGTACACCATTTATTGGCGATTCTCTTAGATTATTTTCAATATCTTGAGCTTTTGATTGTAAACGTTTTGCACATAGAACACCAACAATTGTGATTGCCATGAATGGTATGGTCAATAATATCCAAACAAAATATGGTACCTCATCCAATTCATTCTGTATTGTATCATCAGATGATTTTTTTGTCGTTATCACCGAAAAAGATGTTAATGTTGTCGGTGTTGAATCCTGGTTATCATCATCAGTATTCATCCATGAAGAAGATGAAATTGAATTAAAATTAGTTGCAGTTGTTCCATTATTATTAATATTTTGGCTACCATCATCGGTGACGAAACCAATGATACAGATTTTAAGATCTGAATCACAAATAACTTTCATATCCAAATGATAACCAACAATGATGGCATCATGAAGACAATCATCATCTGTTTCACATTTGATTCGTTCATTTGTTTCATCGTTTGGATCGATTGTTGTTGTTGTTAATACAGTATCAGAATAAAAAGATGATGTTACATCCGAAATTGGTTGACCATTCGAAATAGTGGCCATCAAACAGTTGAATAGAATAAATTTCCAACCAATTGATGATCGAATCATAGCGTTGATTGATGATTTAACGGTATTCCTATTCATCGATGATGATTTTCGATAATAATAGATTCCTATAAAAAAAATACAAAAATAGAAAAAAACAAAAAGATGCACTTTATACTGCTACTACAAGGTTTGTTTGTTGATTCAATTGCCAATCTCGATTGATTTATATCGATCGAACCAGAAAACAAAACATGACAATAGTTATTTGAGGGAAATTTTTTTTTTGTAGAACACAAGTAAAATATAAATGACAAAAAAAAGTAATAAATCAAAAATCAAATGAATTCCATCAAAATGATGATGACAATCGATTCATCGTGAAAGTCGTCGAATCGAATCAAATTAAAAAACTTACAAATCACAAAAATTGTATGTTATGTTAGAAAAATTATCCGCAAATTTGATTATCTTAATGCAAGCAATATATAGCTTCCGACATATGAAATTGAGAATTTAGAAAAATTTTTCCAATTCTTAAATCAATTCTGAATTCAGATTTCCTTCTATTCAGTTTTTCTTTACGATATTCAATATTATCAATATGGTCAAGTAATTGTTGACATTTTCATTCGTGTCGATAATGATGAGGATGATGATGACCACAACAGGCACAATACAACAACAGACATTAAATGATTTGATGATAATAATCGATTTCCAATGAAAATAATATATCTAGCCAACATTTATATGAACACCAGTTTGATGAGTTTTTTTTTATTTTCGTTTTTACAATCTTCTTCTTCACATACGTCGCTCGGATTCGGCAACAAATTTGTTATGAAAGTATATAATGGAATCATTGAAGGGAAATCCTCGACGTTTTAAATATTGATGATGATCACTATGACTATGGGATGGAAATATAATAATAATAATAATAATAAAAATAAAACGGAGAAAAAATCCACATTCAACAAAAAAAAATAGCAAAAATATTAGATTAATTGCCCACATTTATCGCTATGGAGAGTGCAGGAGATTAATCTGGTCCAAGGCGTACGTCATTTGTCATCAAATCGTAGTCGTTGTTGTAGCAATCGAATCAAATTAAATGATGTGCACGTATGGCTAAAAATTACTGATAATGATGGCGATGCATGTTACATTTTTTTTATGTCAAACGACGACAACCGTTGGTCGGGATCATTGATGATGATGATGATGAACCTGATGATCAATGATATATGATGAATTTCGAAGCTAAAAAAAGAAATCATAAAATAATAATTATAAAAAACAAGACAAAACATACAAAATAGGCTGGATTTCATTTCTGATGGCCCATTCTCAATACATTTATGACATGAATCACAAACGAAATCTGGTCCAAAGTCTTTATGTATAATTGAATTCGATTAAATTTTATTTTTATTTTCAACTCAAATTGTCCTTAAAAATATTGAAAATGATGATTATAACAATTTGATTTCGTTGTCGTTTAAAAATTTTATTGTTTTATATGAATTTTCAGAATTTCAAATTATTAATCTGATGTCATCAAAGATTGTTTCCACATTTTTTTACACATAGCCAATTTTCAAGGATGACAATTGATTTTCGTTCTGCTGTGTATGTTTTAAAATTTGATATTAGAAAACAAATTATTACGAAAGATTTTTTGTTTTGTTTATTTTGTTTTATTTTTGATTTTCCAATGGAAAATTTTTTTGGAAAAAAAATCAATTTTCACACATTCGAATTTTTTTTTCGATGCTCATTTGGTGATGAACGAATCATCGAATTACGAAATTGAATTCTTCAGTCATCATCATCATCATCATCGTTATATCATATGTGATAATGATGATGGTGATGTTTATAATTAATAGATGAAAATTTTCAATTAATTACAATCCAAAGGTTTGATGTATTATAATTATGGACAATGATGTTGTTATCTGATTTTTTTGTTGTTGTTTTTTTGACAGTCAATATGCAATATGGCTTATATATAGCTTATAATGCAGTACAATTTATAAAGAATAAGAAGCCTTGATCTTTAACAAAACACAAAAACAGCAACAACAACAAATTAAGAAAAAAAAATTAGAACTGAAATCTTTATATCAATAACTGGTAAAAATAAAAACAATTACATTGTAATAATCACAATTTATGATGACAAATAGATCATCCATTCATTCATATATCCATTATTATTTGACACATATCTTGGTCAGTTGCAGATAGTTATTGGATCTTATCACATTTGAACTTTATCTCCAATTAACTACAATAGTGTTAATTTTTTCATACAAAATTTTGTTCTGATCTAATCTGTTAAACTGCAAATGTTCAAGTTTAAGAGAAATGAGTTTAAACACTTTTACTACTACTTGGGGATAAAGTTCATATGATACCATTTTTTTCAATTTTTACCACGAATTTATTCATGAACAAAAAAAAAGACAACAATAAAATTTTTTTTCGATGAGAAATGAAAATTTGTTTGTTTGTTTTGTTTGTTTGTTGTTGTTGTTGTTCCAAAATATATTGACCTTGAATTTTTGATACATAATTTTCGATAAAACGATCATCATCATCATCACTCTTGTCAATGGATGGATTGTTATTATTATCAACAACATTGTAAATGAATGAATGAATGAATGAAAAATCACTTTATTGGAATAATCATTATTCGATATATCAATTCGATGGATGGCCCTTATCCATTCATTCATTCGATATATGTATCGGGTATTTTACAACAATAACACTCATCATCATTGAATTACATAATTTGTTTCTTCCAAACAAATAAATTTGAAATTGGATGTTGTTCGTTTGTTGTTGTTGTTGTTCGATTGTTGTTTTTGTCTCGGTGACGATATAAAAACTCCCACGATGATGATAATCATGCACCGGGTTCTTCATCGCCAATAATCATCATCATCATCATCATCATCCACATCAAAATTTTTTCTGAATTTGGAATGGTCAAATTTCAACAAGTTTGACAGATCATGGCCAAATCGATTCAGAGAAGAAATTTTTATTTTTTTATTTTTTTGATTATTTGATGATGGCGATGATTATTATTATGATTGAAATTCGACACAAAAACATACACACATAAAGAGGATATATAATAATAATAATTCTATTGTGTAACTCTGAAAATTTTGTTCTGGGGAATTCAAATTCAAAATTTTTTTTTTCATTTCATTTCATTTTTTTTTATTGTAACAAATTATTATTATTTTACATTAATTTTCGAGACAACAAAAATATGAATTTTTGTGGTTGAACCAAAAATGACCATTTTGAAATCAAATTTCAACAAAATAAAAAATAATTTTATGATGGAATTTCTATTATCACATCGAATTGTTTTGTTTTCTATTAATTAATTAATTTCGTTACGATTATTTTTTTCTTCAATCATTTTTATTGTTTTGTTTTGTTGTTTAAACAACCTTGTCGAAGAATTATCACAAATTTTATCTTTAATTTTATTATGTTTTAATGAGTTTTTTGTTTTATTTTGTTTTGTTTTGTTGATGTTTTGATATATTACGAAAAAAAAACAGGAATTATCTTTGTTTACGATTTTTAGAATGATTTTTTTTTGTTTTGAATTTTTATGGCGGCTATTTCAACAAATCATTATAATGATATGTTGAAATATCTTTTTGAATTCCGAATTATTTTCATACAATACAATACAATACAACGTTTATTGATGATGATTTTGACCCAAAAGATGTTGATGATTGTGTGTTTATTCTTAGTCTATTCCACTAAAAAAAGTATGACGATTGATTGATTGATTGATTGATTGAATGATTTTTTTGGTGGGAATTTTAAATTTGATAATGATGAACACCTTATTCGATTCAAAAAAAAAAAATATTTCTTTTGAATCCTTTTTTCTATAAAAGAAATTCATTAGAGTTACATAAGAAATTTTTTTTTTTGATTTTCTCTCATTCTTGATGATCTTGTCTTTTTTTTCATTGTGAATTTTGTTCCAGAAACACAAAAGAGACAATTCAAACTGTCCACACACACACAAACAGACACACTGACAATGAAAGAGTGACCGATACATCATCGATTCAATTAAATCCTAAACATCAACAAATGTGCTGAATTTTCAAGCCTTTTGTCTGTCTGTTCAGTTCTGAAGTATATAAACAACGTTTGAACAACAGATAATTCTAGGAAAATCATTTATTTTTTCTTCTTTTCAGAATTGAATAAACAAAATTCCCGAGATGTTAATATTCAAAGTAAGTTTTTGTTTCTATTTTTGATTTGGAATGAAATGAATTTTTTTTTTTTCACCAGGTTTTAACATTGTCCACTATGTGTGTGGCAACCGTTTTCGGTTATCAATCATACGGAGGTGGTGGAGGAAGCAGTGGTGGTGGTGGTGGCTCTGGTGGTAGTTATGGTAATGGAACTAAATTAAAAATTAAACAAGTTGAAATATTTGATCATTTTAATTTAACAGGTGGTTCCAGTGGCGGTGGTGGTGGCGGCAGTGGTGATAGTGGATTTAGTAGTAGCGATGGTCAATTCAAAATGGGTGGTGGTGGTGGTGAACGTCTTAGTGCAGCCGTATTTACCAAACATACATTTGAAACAAAAACCGTCGATGTTCCGTTCGAAGATCAAGAACCACAAATTATTGAAATAGATGGCGGAAGCCTTCCGCTAGAGATTCATTTCAAATCTGCTTCTGGTCGTATTAAAGTGAAACAAAGTCATGAACTTGGTCAAAGTGGCCAAACTGAACATTCACAAGCGGAAGAAGAACCGATGCGTTTGGTTCATGAAGTTCGAAAACCAATTATCCAGGTAAGATGATGGTAGTGGTATGACTTTGTCACATGAAATTAATTCATTCAATTTGATTATGTTGCAAATCATAGGAAGTACGCGAAATCATTACACCATATCGAAAAGTATATCAAGAAATACAACCGGTTATGGAAGAAATTCACACCGTCGTTGCTAAAGGTGAACAACGACGACAAGGTCATAGCGGAAGCAATAAAGGTGGCGGCGGCGGTGGTTCTTCTGGTGGTGGTGGTTTTGGTGGTGGCGGATCTTCTGGTGGCTACGGAGGTGGCTCATCAGGTGGTGGTGGATCTTCTGGTGGCTACGGAGGTGGCTCATCAGGTGGTGGTGGATCTTCTGGTGGCTACGGAGGTGGCTCATCCAGTGGTGGTGGGTTTGGCGGCAGTTCCTCAGGTGGCAGTAGTGGTGGTGGATATGGTAGTTCATCCGGAGGAGGAAGTTCTGGTGGTGGTGGTGGATTCAACTTTGGTGCTTCATCCGGAAACACAAAAACTCCATACTAATTGGCTGTTTATCGTTTCAAATCTTACTAGCCATTTTTCATTAACAGGAATTGATATGTTGGCATCGTGTATAATTTATTTGTTTATTTGTTTTAATCGAATAATTCTGTAAATGAAAAAGAATTAATTTAAATTAAATTTAAAAAAATTATTTGAGATTTATAGCCAAAATCCATGATTTGGATAAATCCGTAACGACGACGACGACGACGATTGAAAACAAATTGTACAAGTGAAAATCATTCATATCGCTTGTGAATATATGGTGGATGACGTGATGAACGAAAATTTCATTTTGATTATTATGTTCGTCGTTTATATTATAAATCAATTGGTTTGTTATTTCATTCTACATCGAATTCAATCGGCTCATTTTCAACAATTAATCACATTGTTATTATCCGGTACAATACAATTATATGCCGGTTTTTATCTATTCAAAGCAAATCGTTTAGAATCATTTCAAAATATGAAAGGTGTCATTGCACTTGTACCAATGTTAATGGATATGAAAGGTAATATTGAAATAACGATGGCATCACGAATGTCAACATTGGCACAATTACAATCACATCGTATGAATAATTGGCATGGACTTTGGCAAACGGTACGACAGAATATTGCATTGATTCATTGCCAGGTAACAATCATATCATTTGCAGCCGTATTATTGACAACATTATATTTGGATTTTGAAAAATCTACTTTCGATTTCAATTCCATCGTATTGCTATATGCAATTGCATTGACAACCGGTGCCATTTCATGTTCATTAATCGATAGTATTGTTACGTTTGTTATTGGTTTTATTTCGATTTCTGGTTCCGATTCGGATGATGTTGCCACTTCATTGGCTGCTTCTGTTGGTGATCTTATAACCGTTATGTTGGTCGTACAATTTGCAAATGAATTTTATCGTTTTGAACAAACAAATAAATGTTGGATATATTGGTTGATTATCATATCATTATTATCATTATTTCCATATCTAATGTATTTGGTTGCAAAGAATATTGAAACACGACGTGCATTTATTCGTACATGGAAACCATTATTCATTGCTACAATCATATCGATTATTAGCGGTTTTATATTCGAATCATCGAATGAAAAATTTAAACAAATTACATTATTATTACCAATGTTGGCCGGATTCACTGGTAATTCCTGTTCAATGATAATTAATTTAATATCAACAAATTTTGAACGAATATCACAACGACAACATACAATGTGTACTATTGATGGCGAAATTCCAGATCAAAAACAATCAATCAAATGGTTATTGAGTCCAAAAGATGTTTTCTGGGATTATGGTAAATATTTTTTTTTTTTATATCCGGGATTATTTAAGATTTTTCAAAAATTATTTTCATTTTCAATACAGAATATAGTGAAAAAATATCGAAAACAAATCGATCACATGTCATACATGGTGTAGTGCCATGTTTATTTTTCTATCTGATTATGGTGGCCATATTTCAGGATCATCAATATATTTATATTACGATTAAATTCATCATATTTTATCTATTATTCGGCATTATACTTGTCACCACAATGTTATATATCACCTGTAATGTTGTACATATAATATTTAAATTGAATATGAATCCAAGTGATACAACGATACCATTTTTAACATCGATTGTCGATCTAAGCGCATCATTAACATTATTAACTTTTTTCCACATTCTTTCATTTTATTCTGATCCAAATATCAATGTTAAACCATAGCGGGGGTAGGGGGGAACATCTAAAAATAATAAAGAGACAGAGAATATATAAAATGTGAAAATTGTAACATTTTTTTTTTTTTTTTTTGAATGATCATTACCGTTTTTGAGTGAAAAAAAAAAAAAATGTTTTTCGCTTTTGTATTGGCCAATATAAATATTGACATTGCATCAAAAAAAAAAAAAAAAAAAATCACCACAATCGACAATGACAATGGATTAGTTTTTTTTTGTTTACTTGTTATGAAATTTTTTTTTTTTTTTTCTTCATTCAAATTTATTTTTTATCATTGAGAAATAACTCGTAAATTTTGTTGCTTTTCTCTTGATCATCATCATCTTTGATTTTTTCAAATCGATTGATTGATGAATGTGTCTATAAAATCGATCACTTCATCACATATAAAAGCTGATCGAAAAATGATAGATCAATTTTTTTTAAAAATCAGATCGACAACAAAATAGTGATTGGTAATTTGTTTTTTTTTTTTTTTTTTGACCAAAGACAAAAAATCAAAACCCAAGATGTTCATCTTAAAGGTTTTGGTATGGTCGATAATGATTTATATGATGAATGGTCAATTTATCGCTAATGCTCATATCACATCACCATCGAATCGTATTCGTGAAAAGATAAATAAATCAAATAATAATAATCAGCCTTTATCATCGAGAAAACCATCATCATCATCATCTGCTGCGCGGATGGATTTTGCCATCAAATCGGCTCATGGTTCACGAAATGGTATCGGTATTGGTGGCGGTGGCCTTATCCAATCAGTTTATAATGAATTTCAAAATTCGGATGGTGGTGGTATAAAATCTTTTGGTATTTCATCGAAAAAAGTAACGGGAAATTCGAGAAAAAATGATTTTCATGGTGATCGAAAAATTGATCAAAAAACATTGAATAAAATCAAAGAAATTATCAATGCCGCTGTGAAAACACGATTCTCAATGGAAACAAAAGAAGCTGATTTTGATGAAGATGATTATGATCAAACACCACAAGTGATTGAAATTGGTGGTATGTATTTACGATTATTTTTTTTTTATTTGTTTCAATTGATTCGATAAAAATTCGTTCGTTCTAAAGGTTCGGAACTACCGTTGGAAATTCATTTTAAATCGTCATCAAGCAGAATAAATATTAAACAGAGTCATGAAACTGATGAAGGCCAGACTATTGGACCGATGAAAACAAATTCCAAACCAATGAGAATCATACATGAGAATTATAAACCAGTTATTGCTGAAATTCGTGAAATAATTACACCGTATCGAAAAGTATTTCAAGAAATACAGCCTGTTATGGAAGAAATTCATACAGTAGTTACGCAAGGTAAAAAACGAAAAAAAATAAAACCTGGACATAGAATCAATGATGGTGGTGGAACGAAAGGAGGCAGCGGATCATCATCAAACGCTGGTGGTGGACTAAAAGGTGGAAGTGGTGGTAGACAAAAACAACAAAGACCATCATCATCATCATTGGAAGAGAATATTCGACAAGTTTTAGAACGAATGAATGAACGATCAATTCAAAAAGAACAATTCGAACAACAAACGGTGGAAGATAATTTGGAACAACAACAACAACAACAACAGCTGGAGCAAAACGATGAATTTGAACAGCAGCAACAAGTGGAAAATGATAGGTTTTCCGAATCGCCAGAATCGCAGCAGCAGCAACAACAACAACAACAACAGGTTGAAATAGATGACAATGATGATGAAGATTCGATTTATAAAGTTCGTCAACAATCATCTTCAAGAAATAATGCTGTAGGTAGCCGTAAAGGTTATGATCGACGAAAGAAACGATTAGTTTAACGAATTTAATTGATTGAAAAATTATCATCATTTTATTAATTTATTTAAAACATTCAATTATTCATTGTATTTATGATCATCATTATTGTTTTATAATAATTATATAAATCATCAAAATTCAATAAATTTTCAAACACAAGTTTTGTAATGTATTCATCAAATATAGGATTCTTATTTTTTTGTTTTTGTTGTTATTTTATTTCACAAGTTCGATAACAAAATGGATTGGAAATTGATCACGAAATGTTTTTTTTTTGTTGTTGTATTTGGAACGAAAAATGCGATACGATACAATTATTTGCCAACTGGATGATGGATGTATAATGATCAACAAAATGTTTTGGTGAAATTTCTTTTTTTTCAAAAAAAATGGACAAAAAACGACAACGACGATTGTTATTTGATTGCGCCAAACTGTTGATGATCTTAATAGACTGAATATGTGTGTGCATTATGTAATATTTTGTCAAACAAAATGAAAACATTTAACAAGAGGATGGAAAAAGTATCATCATAATAACATATCAAACAAATTCAGAACAATTGGATGATCTTCTTGGCGACAACGAAAACAGAAGTAATTTAAAAGAGATTGTTCCAGAAGTTAGAAATAGCATCATTATAGTAAGAACCGTTTGTCACTATAAATACTTGATGGTGACATTCATTGATCGTCAAATGACAAATTGAAACGAATTGAACAACAACAACAACAACAACAGAAATGATGTGCAAAATTATCGTTTTAACAACGTTTTTATTATCGATATTTGATTTAACCGTTGCTGGTGGTGGTAATGCTGGAAATACCCGTGGTTTTAGCGGTTTTAGTGGTGGTGGTGGTGGTGGTCAATATGGCCGTATGATGGGTGGTTTTCATTCTTCTGGCTTAGGTATGGGTAACGTATTTCATCATCAACAAATCGGTGGAGGTGTTATGACCATTGATCAACTTGGTGCTGGACGCCAAGAATCATTCAACGGTTTGGGACCGGAATTAGCTCATTTGGGCACTGGTATTAGTTCCGCTATTAGTGGCGGTATTGGTGCCTTTATGGGCTTACAAGGTGGTGCGCGACAAGCTTTTTTCTTGATATTTTGATTTAATTTTTCTTGTTAATGAATTTTGGAAAAAAAATTAATCTGAATTTTATTCAATTTACACAGGTCGATCTAGCGGTGGTGGCGGCGGATACAATGCTGGTGGTGGTGGTGGTGGGAACAGTGGTTACAGTGGATCATCAAGAGGCGGAGGCCGTATAAATGCAGCTGTATTCTCTAAACAAACATTCGAAACCAAACCCGTTCAATCACAATTTGGACCAATTGAACCACAAATAATCGAAATTGAAGGTAGTGATTTACCAGTGGAAATTGTTTTCAAATCAGCATCCGGCCGTATCAAAGTACGACAAGAACATCGAATGCAAGGAGCAGGTGAAACTGAATATAATCAATTTGAAGAAGAACCACATCGTTTGGTTACGGAAGTTCGAAAACCAATCATACAGGAAGTTAGAGAAATTATTTCACCACAAAGAAAAGTATATCAAGAGATTGAACCTGTTATTGAAGAAATTCATACAATCGTTGCCGAAGGACAAGGTGGGCGTGGTAGTGGTGGTAATTATGGTGGATCAAACGGTGGTGGAAATTATGGAAATAGTGGTGGATTTATGACACAACAACGTACAACTGAATATGCAGCAGCTAAAGCTAAAGCTAAGGCTTAGATTTTTTTTTTCTTTTAAGCTTTTAATTTACACCACAAGTGATCAATCAATCAATAGCTAATCGATAATACGGAATTTTTTTTTTTGTCTCAAATTTTTATTTATTTATTTATTTAAAGAAAAAAAAGTTCATTTTTTTAGAATAAAAATAATTTTTTTTTTTTTTTTTTGACAATTGGAAAAAAACTTCATAAAATAATTTTACAGCGAAAAAAAAAATTGTTCATGTCTGGTGTTTAGTTGGCTTTTTCGAAATGGGAGAATAAATATATATCATATACCCCATCATATCATTTAGATGATATTGAAAATTTTCTTCAATTCAATCATCAATTGCCAATCACTTTTTTCAAGATCATCACGAAAATGTTCTTTCATTATATCAATTGATTCACGTGTAACACGTGAATAGAGCATATCATTTGAATCAAAATGACGTCCAAATAATTTCGGCGCATCCGATGTACAATGTTCAATTTTAATACAAACTTCATCACCACGTTTAGCTTGTTCAACGGTTTTATGATCATGTTCAACGGTTGTTACACGACCAATTAGATCTAATTCTTTTGATGGTACAGCTAATGGTGTTCCCGATACAATTGTACCATCATCAACATGTACACCAAGAACGATTGGATCACGTTTATTAAATATACAATTAGGTAATATTCGTAGTTTACATGGAAATACGGCTAAATGACGATTTTGTTCTTTACGTTGTTTACGAAGATTTTCTTTATATGCTGTAAATTGATCAAATAAATGATAGATTATATCGGCTGTGAAAATTTTCACACCTAATTGATCGGCTAATTCTTGTGCATCACGATCAATTTTTACATCAAATGCCAAAATAACAGCATTATCTGGTGAATTTTCCAACATGATTGATGCTTTCATAACATCACGTTTAGCTACAGGTCCAATACGTACACCTGAATATGGGATTTTTGAATCTTTTAAAAATTCCAATAATGCTTCCAATGCACCCAATGTTGATGCCTGAACATAGACACCTTTATCTGAACATTTTATTGCTTTCATTGCCGAACCAAATTGATTCCAACACATTGTTTTCAATCGTTCCAATTCGGTTTCGTTTTGGGTGACATATAAATTCAAACCGGCAACAGCTTTTTCTAGATCATGTGCAGCAATTTTAACACCCACCGATCCATATACGACACGCAACTCTTCATATGGTGATTTAACACGTAATTCTTTCAATGGTTGTGGCACAAGTAATGCACGAATCTGTGTAATAATCGGACCATCATGACCGGCCAATACGATTTTATCACCTTCACGTAGTTTACCATTTACTAATACAACATCAATAGTTGTACCGAGGCCAGGTATGGCTTTCACTTCCAATACAGTTGCATCCAATGAATCCAATTGATAATGGATACGTTTGGCCATTAATGTTTGTGTGAAATGTGTTATCAAATTGATTAGATTACCCATACCATCACCCGTATGTGCTGATGTTGGCACCAATGATATATAGGTACGTGGATCAGGATTCTCATAAAATAATGCCGCATTAATTGATTGTTCGGCCAATTGTACGATAACTTTTTGTTTCAATGTATTAAATTCATGTTTCGTATTCGATTGTTGTGAATTGATTAGATCTTCAACATCTTTACGGACATTTGAGCGCCATTCATAAAGACGATCAATTTTATTCAACGCCACTATGAATGGTGTTTTACGTGATTTCAATAGATTCAATGATTCGATCGTTTGTTTTTCTAAACCATGCATAATATCAATAACTAATATGGCAATATCACAAAGTGATGAACCACGTGAACGTAGATTAGAAAAAGATTCATGTCCAGGTGTATCGATTATTAATAAACCTGGTATTTTTAGCTCGGTTTTTGTTTTCACATTTTTACATTGTTCATGTATGGCCGTTGGTGGTACAAATGTGGCACCAATTTGTTGTGTAATACCACCGGCTTCATTATCCTGGATATGTGTTTTACGGATATAGTCCAATAATTTTGTTTTACCAGTATCAACATGACCAAGTACACAAATGATTGGCGAACGAAATTTTTCCGGTGGTCTACTTGCCGGATTTGATGTTGCAAACAATAAATCCGGATCAATCGATTTTGATCCTGTAGGTGTTAGAGCCGTATCATTATTATTATGATTCATTGATTTATTAGATGACTTTTTGTTTTCTACAGATTTTTTTGTTGTTGCTGTTTCTTTTTCTTTTCTTCAATCACAATATCTTCCCAATCATCGGGAAATTCTTCTTCTTCTTCCTGTTCATCATCATCAACCATTTCAATATCTTCATCTAATGGTTCAGTATTATCATCATCTTCTTTAGGTTCAGATAAATTATTATCCGATTTTGATTCATCTTCCTGTGAATCTTGTTTATCTAATCGTCCTTCTTTACGTGATTTACCAATCACTGCTTGACCAGATTCTTTTAACAATTGTAAACTCATTTTAGCTCGTTGAAGATCAGCTTTCTGTTTGGCGGTCAATAATTTTCCCTCTTTTTTCAAACGTAATTTTCGTTCTTTTTCCTTTTGCTTTTTCTTCTCTTTTCGTTCTTTTTCAAGTCGTTCCTTTTCCAATCGTTGCCGTTCACGTTCCTCTTCCTGTCGAATCTTTTCCTCTTCTTCACGTTGTTGTCGTTCTTCCTCTTCTTTTTGTTTCTTTAGAATTTCTTGCATCATTGCTAATTGCTTTTTACTTGGACCTTTACCGGCTGCTTTTGTACTTGTTGCTGTTGATTGTTGTTCTTCTTGTTTCTTTTTTTTTGCTTCTTTACGTTTCTTTTTCTTATCTTTATTCTTACTGTTTACGGTAGTACCATCATCATCATTCTCATCATCTTCATCACTTTTACCGACATTATTATCAATATCAGCTGTTTTATCACCATTATTGTTATTGGATTCATTTTGGCTGGTTTTTTGTTGTTGAACATTTGATGGTTTTGATTCTTGTACAGATTGATTCGTTGCTTTTTTATTATCTTTTTTTTTCTTATTTTTTTTATTTTTTGCTTGTGATTTATCATCATCGTCATCATCACCATTATTTTGATTGGTTGATTTATCATGACTATTATTATTAGTAGCATTATCGACATGATTATTGTTTGATGATTTTGTTGCCATATCCGGTTGTTTATTAATATTTGATTCTATGGATTTCGATTGCGGTGGTGGTTTTTTACCTTCAACCATTTCCATATGTAATTCGGCTAACATTGCATCCAAATCTTCATCATCGTCATCATCTTTTTTCTTACGGCGATCTTTTTTACTTTTCTTTCCGCCTGTCTGTTTTTTAACATCACTATACATTGTAAATCGAATAAGAATGAATTGGAATTATCATTTTTTTCGATAAAAAAATAAACATTCAACTTACTTGATCTGATTGATTTCTTGATCATCCATGATTATAATGAACAATATCTTTATGAAATTTTAACAAAAGCGGATAATTTATGAGCAGAATTTCTTTTTTCAAAAAACCACATATAAAGTTAGTATGATCTATTGGTGGCAAGAAAAAAAAATTTACAGACAACGTGTCAATCGTTGAAATGAAAATTAGATTAGAACAAAAAATAAACGGCATAAAAACAAACCTTGTGTGTGTGTGTGTATGTTTGTTTTAACAAATACAAAAATGAGACAAAGAGAAACTTGTTCCAGAAACAATCAACGAAAAAAAAATTTGGCCAAAAAAAATAATTTTCAAATATGAAAATTGATTAAATAAAAACAAAATTCCTTTATGATTGATAATAAAAAAAAGAAAAAAAAAGATTAATCGGACGTTTTTTTTCGAAAAAAAAAGAAAATTCTGCAAATATTAAGAGCAGATTATAAATGTAAAAAATACATACCAAACAAAACGAATAATAAATTCTGAATGCCAACACACATACAACATACAACATACACACAACACGCATGCATGCATGTATTGAAGACATGTGGCAGCAGCTGATGATGATATTGCATCAGCATATGCCACTTCCATAATTTTTTTTTTGATCCTGTTCATAAATGACAGTACCAAAGGATTAATAAATAAAACAGTGTATAAAATAACAAAACAAAAACAACCATGTGAACAAACACTGTCAATGTATAAACATTAAATGATGAGCTTATTAAAGAATTTTTCCAAGTCAGATTCTTGATTTTGACGATAATTTATTTTTGTGATTTTTTTTTCGTCTTTTTTTTTGTTTCAATCGTTATTATCATTATGTAATTTCTATTCCAAAGTATTCATGATTCAATCGATTTGACTTTCCATTTCATCAATTATTATTATCAAGAATGTTAAATTCACAACAACAACAATCGACACAATCATCGGTAACAACAACAGCAACAACAATGGGTACGATAAATAATCCATCCGGTCAACCGGGTACTATTGGCCAAGCAGCTCAAGCTCAATTAATGAATCAAATACCGATTGCTCAAGCAACACCTGCATACAGGTAAGTTATGACCGTAGAAATTCTAAAGATTTTTTTTTTAAAGTCGATCACTGATCATTGTTGTTTGAGAAACAAATGGAAAAAATTTAATTTTTTTTTCAATTCGTCTTTCAATTTTTGTCAACAAAAAATCCATAAAGATTGGACAGATTTTTTTCCCCTCGTAATCCAAACAACAATAATTGTCATCGATCTTAGCCTATAGAAAAAAAAATCGAATATTCTGCAACACAATTGTGTGCTTGTTCGTTCGTTGGTTTCGAACATTTATTTTTTTATCATCTAATGTTTGTCCGTAGTTTAATTATTATTTTTTATGATGATGATGATATGATTGACAAACAAAAGAAATAAACCAAACGAATAGCCCGAAAGTGAAGCAGAATTGTAGAAAAAATATCCTTTTATTATTATGTTGCTAAAAATATATCATTACAATTGTGTTGTTTTAACAGCCAAAACATCGTTTTGTTTTACTTATTACCGGTTACCACGATAAGATAATGAATGAATTTCTTGGCTTTACTTGGATTTTCGTGAACATCATATATAGATCCACATCATAATCGCCGTTTTTTTATTGTTGTTGTTGTTTTTATTATCATAATTATGATGATGATGATGATGATTGTTAGTAATTGGATTGAATTTTTTTTCGAAAAATAAACTTAACACATTTTCTGATTAAAATTTTTTTTTCTTTCATTTTTATTCACCAGTTATTATCAACAAACAGCAGCAATGTATCCATCACCATATAGTTATATGACAACAGCCGTAGCAGCAACATCGGCTACATCCGTATATCCAACAACCGTTATTCATCAACAACAGCAACAACAACAACAACAAACAATTCCTGTTTCCGTTGCACCAACAACTGTCACCGATCCATATGCAGTATATGCTGCACAATTAGCTCAATATCAAGCATATGTAAGTTTTATTAACACAAAAAAAAATGATTTAAAATTGTCAATTTTAACAATTAGCAACAACAAATGCAACAATATGCAGCTGTTGTTGCGGCAACATCGGCCACACCTACCGTAACGCCAACAATCGTTGCGGCTAATCCAATGATTCCATTTCAACAACCAACAATGGCATTTCAACCAACTTTAATGCCTCCAGGTTGGTTAATTAATAATTATCTGATGATGATTTCAAAGATATTGATGTAAACATTACTATTCAGGTCATTCATTTTATCCACAACCTGCTGCCGTTACGGCTACAACACCTATTGGTATGATGCCAACCGCTGTTCACACCACCACCCTACAACCTCAAATATTACCGGCAACGACTTGCGTTGTCGCTACGACGCCCACTGTAACTCCAAATGTGGTATCGAGCAACAATAGCACTACCATCATGACAGCCGATATGAATGCCATTGTGAATAGTCAAAAATTATCAAAAAAACCGGAAACCGGTCTCGATATTGTTAAAAAATCCAACTATTTTTGTGAAACATGTAAATTAGTTTGTTCAAGTGCCGAATCTATGATGAGACATGTGACTGGATTTAAACATAAAAAACGTCTTGAATATCTACAAGGTAATGGAATAAAAAAATTAGTGGCCAACGATCCGAATGTTTCTGAGTCGTCCGATAGCAAAAAATCGAACCCTCGTGGACCAACAATGATGAGTATCATATTAAAATGTCGTATTTGTGATGTTCCATGTGTTAGTGTTGATTCATATTCAAGTCATATACAAGGACAACGTCATAATCGTTCGATTGCATATAGAAAGAAAATGGGCGAACCAGTCTATGATAATGCACCGGAAATATTATCGAAAAATGTTCCAATAGAATTAGAGATGAAAATTAAAAAATTGTTTGCTGATAATAGTTCACGACAAGGTGAACAGAATAAAGTTGATAGAATGAAATCGGGACAAAAATTTGGTGAACCATCCGGTATGGATCGAATGATGATGGTGGAAAAATCTTCATCATCGTCAACACCAACACCACCACCACCACAGCCATCGAATATGAAAAATGAAATCAAAGATTTTTTCGATTGTAAACCAATTGGACAGGATTTTATTGAAGAAGTTTTAAATCAAAATGGAAAAATAGTCTGTTATACTTGTACACTATGTGAATGTCGTTTTAATGATGCAAATGCTAAAAATTTACATCTAAAAGGACGACGACATCGGCTTCAATATAAGAAAAAAGTTGATCCAAGTCTAATTGTTGAATTTATTAAAAGTGATATGATAAAAATTGAAAATGAACAACTGGAAAAGCTAAGACAAAAAGAACGTTCAATGAAGAAAATATTGCATACAAAACCATATCTTACTGAAGATCTTGATCCATTTCAATCGGTGGACAAATCCAAAGAATTTGCTTCCCTTTTCAAATATAATCAAAATAATGCACATACAACATCGATACATTCAACATATAAAGGAAATGAATATACACGATCATTCAGTGATTATTTACTTGAATATAGACATCATCTTATTCAACCATCAAAATTAGAATTAGAATACATCTATCAGACGGCCTATTTAGTGGAGAAAGCTATCCGTAGTGTTGGACGTTTTATTGAGCTAAATTTTCTACTCCCTATTCCGGTACCAAAATTTATATCCATCCATAAAACATTATTGCCAATGGATACGATTAATGATATGTTGGAAAATGGTGAAAATCGTCTAATACAAACAGATTCAAGACTTGTTGAATTTATTCGTGTTTTACGTCCAGGACCACTTGGTAAAGGTTTATTACTTACTGGTGAAAGATATTTTAAGCTAATAATCTTATCATCAGTATTACCAACCGAATCGTTGCTTACATTATTTCAACGATTAGTACCGAAAGAAATTGAACGATTATCAAAAAATCCAAATGATTATCCGGGTGAATATCATGTTCAATCGGAAATGATGAAGGATAAAACAAAATTTCGTATAACTTTATATACATTTGCATTACATAGTGCTAGCGGTAGTAGTAATACTAATGAACCAATGATATTGGATGATTCAAAAAAAATATTACGATTTGATTGTTATCTAACCTGTCCATATATTCGTGATGAAAATGAAGAAGAACTTCGAGAGAATGTACCGGATTTATTGAATCAAGAAAAATGTCTTCGTTCATTGAATGATATACGACGTTATCGTTGGTTCAAAGATATGGGAATTAAACATAATTTTTTCACATTTACATTACGAATTCTTCGTGAACTGACCAAACGCATTAAAATTTGGTCTCATGTATCACTTTGGGTATGTTTTTTTTTTGTTTTTTAGATTGCTAAATTCTTAATTTTTTTTTTTGTTTTATTTCGATTAGACATTCGAAGTGATATTGGAACGAATATTGATCTCAGCGAATTGTTGTCTAGGGCCGGCATCATTATTTCGACATTTTTTTGAATTTCTTGCTCATGGCATTTTGATGACACGTGGGCAAGGTTTAGCCGATCCATGTGAAGCACGTTTAGTGAATATATTCAATTATCTTAGCCGTCAAGATAGAGAAGATATTATGTGTTCAGCACAACATTTAGTTCGATTAGTTGCATTGCGACAATTGGATAAAGTATTGAATGTTGATTCGAAAATTGTCTATCAGATACGAATGAATGAAATGAAACAACTTTCAAATATTCAATCACGACAATCATCTAATTTATCGTCACATCAATCAACATCGACTTTTCATGAGAATCCATATCGTTATAAAACAAAACCAAATTTTGATAGACAAAAATCATCAACAACAACAATCGGCGATATTAAAAATACACAACAACAACAGTTACAGCAACAACAACAATTAGAACAACAACAACAACTTTTACAAAAACAACAACAATTGCTAGAACAACAACAGCAACAGCTACAACAATTACAACAACAACAACAGCAACAAAAACAACAATCAAAATCAGATGATAAAATTGAAAGAAATGTATCATTAAAACGTAAACTTTCAACAGATGATACATTTGAAGAACCTGATCTTGAATGAAATTTTTTTTTGCTTCTGTATAAACAAATTTATTATTAATTTTGATGTAATTGAAATTTTTTTTTTTTTGATAAATATTATTACTTAAAATTACTTGTAATAAAAATTAATGCCACAATTTGATCATTTTATTCTTCTTCGATGATTTTTGGTTCATATGTTGTTGTCGGAAAAAAATTTGAGTTTTACAATACAATCTTATGATGCATATGAAGTTCACGATAATTTAACCAATTCGGAAATACATGATTCCAATTGATACGTTCACAATAATTACCTTGTTCCATGACCGGTTCTGCAGTTGTTTTATCCAATCGTTTTAATGTATTACGTAATTTACGTTCAGCCATAATACGACGTTCAAAATCCATTTGATTAATTTTACGTCCTAAATTGAATAGATTTTTACGACCACGACGCCAACGGCCACAGGTACGAAAACCATCGGCTTCACGTTCATACCAACGATCTTCATATGGTGCAAATGCTGAATCTTCCGGTACAGTGATGTGCATTGTTTTTTTTGGATAATTTTACTCAATCAAACAAAAGACACAGAACACAGAATACAAAGATCGAATATTTTTTTTGTATTTCGTTCGAAATGAATGTCGAATATGGAATAAAGAAAATGATGATTTCAACGTACAAGTAATTGTAAGTGAGAAATTCTGATTTTACAAACACAAACAGTAAAATTTTTTTTTTTTTTTTGGCAGGAATTTCGTTATTTTATTTAAATGAAAATTTTTTTTCTCATCCATTGCCAACGGAAAAAAATTTAAACAACAAAAACAAACGACAATCATTAACGATGACAAACGACTAAATACTACATGGATTTTCATTACGTCAAACAATTTTTCATTCTCCCTTCAAATGTTGATGACATTGAATGTATAAAAACCAATGTTAACCATTGGAATATTCTATGATTGCAATCATCATCATTGCCGCCATTATAATGTAGAATGTTCATCAGTATTATTATTGCATGTAATGCCAATTTTAAAAAAAAAATGCTGTAGAGGAATATTTTTCAATGTTTTTACGATAATCTTGTTCAATGTTGGCCAATTTTTCAATATACAATTACACATACATACACAAAATGAATGAATGAATGAAATCAATGCCTACGATAAATGAAAAAGAATTACGAAATTTTTGGATATTTTTAAACCTTTTTTTGTTTGTTTCTTTATTTTTTTGAAGAAGAAGAAACAATAACAAAATTTTAAATTAATCTAAACATCAACCGAATCACGAGAGCAAAAAAAACAAGAATTTAAATGAAACACATAATGAATTCATTCATATCGTTACGATCAATTGATTTGATTTACAAATTTTCGATTTGAACCCATAGAATTTTATATTTTTTGAATTCATTGGATTTCATTTGTTTTGAAAATTTTTTTTTTCGTTGTTGCCATCATCATCATCATCATCTTCATCATCAGCATCAACATCATCGAGGCCAAAGAGATTTTATGATTGAAACCATGAAAACATTCAATCTCTATGCTTGGTAACAAAAAAAATTTGGTCACGGCCACATACACACATACATACAAACAATTATGATTCAATCAATCCATTTTGATTTTGTTCATGTTTAGTTTTTGATTTCATTTTTTTTTCTCTCTATATCTAACTCTCTCCTGCTTACTTGATGTTTAATGGATGGACATTGATAATGATGATGATAACAGTGGTGGTGGTGGTGGTCTTGTCCATATACAAACACTTTTGAATTCAAGTTTTGTCTCTCGTTTATGCGAAAATATCTTCACTTTCACTTTTTTTTTTATTTCATTTCTTATACAATGATGATTATCAGCTATTTCTCAATTCGAAAGAAGTAGAAAACATTTTTTTCAACTTGAAATTTTGAAATTTTCTTGTCCTCGAACTGTCGTTGTGAGTTGTTCGAGCTGATTTCAGATCGCCATCATCATCATTATCATCATCGCCGAATGGACAAACAACGAAAGAAAGAGAAAAAAAAACATTCCATCAACAGTTGATTGAGTAACCAATTGAGCAAATTTCACTCTATGTTTGAAAAAAAATTACCTTTTACCATTCGAATTGATATTTGTTTTTCTCTCTCTCTCTCTCTCTCTCGCTATGGATTCGATTCAATCGTCTCTTTTTTTGTTGTCAATTTGATCCATGATCCAATCAAACGTCAACAATTATAATTATCGATGGTCACAATAACGGCTCCACCTTTGAAAATTGTTTATTCCATTGTTTGTTTACGATTTGATGAATGAAAATTCTTTGTATTGAAAAATACCAAAGACCAACAATACCATCAATCGATTTCCCGATTATTTTCTTATAACATAATTGGCATTTTTATTGGAAAAATCAATCAATCAATCAAATTGAGTGTGTGTGTGTGTGTGTGTTTCGCTGGTTTTTCCAACATCAAGATATAATATATCAAATATAAATATATAACAGAAAAAAATGCATCAATGTTGGTCATGTAAGTTTTGAAAAATTGTAACAAATTCAAATAATAATAGTTAATAATGGTAGTAGTGGTGGTGGTAATTGATCATCACTACAATTAAATTTAATTGTATATATGGACATTGAAGATGATGTTGGAAGATTTTAATAATTCAATTATTATTATTATATATGTGAATATATTGATGTCACGTAGCTATTACTACTACCACCAATAAATTAAACAATCAAATCTTCAATCATTGTCATTTTTTATTATTCATTTCATACATTTTGGTCATCGAAAATAAAACAACAACAACAACAACAACAACAACAACAAAACTAGTAGCTCGATATATTCGTTGTTTTTTTTGTTTATAAAAAGAAACTTTTAGATACTTCAAGGTTATTCATCATCATCATCATCATTACCATTATTGATGATATGAATAGTGTAGTGGTTGCTGGTAGAAGATATTGGGTTAACTTGCGCGACAAGTTTTTTTTTCTTCAGTTTTGTTTTTAGCTCACTTTCTTCATTTCTCATTCATTCTGAAAAAAATCATAATAATTCTACCAAACTATAGCGGTGGTATATATATATATATTATAGTAATCGTCACACCCGTAACATTTATTTTCAGTACATAAATAAATACAGAAATTCATTCGATTTTTTTTTTTTTTTTTTGATGATATCGATGATCAATGCTCAAAATTACATCGTAGCTGAGCAATAATTATATTTTGAGAATATTTTAAAATAATCTTATCAGTGTTGAATCATCCATTCATTGATTCAGTGTGTGATTTTTGATTTGAAAAAAAAATTTTTGTTTTGTGAATTTGTTGTTGTTGTTGTCCACGAATATAATCCATTTGTTTTTTTTTTTTTTGCTTCTTTTTTTTCGTGTCTACGTTTTCGGTCAACAGTTCTTTACATTGCCATCAAGATGACATTATTAAGTCTAATAGGCATCTATCTTTTATTGGTATTAAAACCATTATTTTTTGTACAAATATCTGCACATCGTATGACGATTGATTTAAGCTATAAAATGGATGCAAAAATAATGAAATGGATTACAGCACGACCATATGAATTACGAATATTAAGTCGTGATAAAAAAATTGGTAATCAAACCATTCGGTAAGTGTTTTTGTTGTTGTTGTTGTTTTTTTCTTGTCACATTCATTTATTCATTCTTATTGTTGATAAAATCAATCCATTTTCTTTCTGTATGAATGATTTGTGTGAAAATCGATCTAGAAATTTATGAAGTGTAAAGTGATCGAATAATGATGAAAAAAAATGTTTACGACTTATTTATCATAATGAATATATGAATCCAATTCCTAAAAAAAACAAGTTTCCAAATTACAAATCAAATCAAATGTGATCATTATAATAATAATAAATTCCATATAATTCTTCATTTCATGAATCAATAAAATTCATTTATGACAGAATTCAATCGGATGAAACATTCATGTCAACACATACTGGTACACATCTGGATGCACCGATACATTTTGGTGGCCAAGATAAATGGTCAGTGGCTGATATCCCGTTAAAGAATCTAATCAATCGGCCATTAGCTGTCATCGATGTTGTTGATAAAGCATCACATCAATTAGATTATTTGGCCACTGTTCGTGATTTAGAAGAATGGGAAAAAATTAATGGCAAAATATTAATAGATTCAGTCATCATTATACGTACTGGTTGGTCACAAAGATGGCCAAATAAATTGGAATATTTTGGTACCGAAACAAATGATCCAAAACAGGCACATTTTCCTGGCTTACATCCAAAAGCTGCCAAATGGCTAGTAGAACAACGACAAATTGTCGGTATTGGTATTGATGGTCCATCTATTGATTGTGGCCAATGTAATGGAAAAGGCTCACATATCATATTAAATAGTAATAATATCTATATATTGGAAAATATTGAAAAATCAATATTCACATTGAAATCAACTGGAGCAACGATAACAATATTACCATTGAAATTAGCTGATGCAAGTGGCTGTCCAGTACGTCCTATTGCCGAATATAATGATAATCATGATGAATCATAAAAATAGTTGATGATGATGATAATGAAAAACAAGACAAAACTTTTTTCTTTTGCCGTTTGAATGTATATGATGAATTGTATATATTACTATTATATATGTTTTGTTTCATTTCTTGATTTTCTTGAATATTTACAATGATGATGATGATTATTATATTTTACTAGAAGAAATTGATTGAAGATAATAATAATAATTAAATCAGACACACTTGGTTTCATTCGATTCGATTCAATTTTTTTTTTTCTTACTTTTGGGATGAAATCTATAGATTTTTTTTCTTCTTTTTTTTGGCAAGAATTTTGAACTCGATTCTGATGCAAGTGTGGATGATGATGATGATGATGATATATGCGACAATGAACAACAATAACAACAAGCAACAAACAGAATTATATGGGAAAGAAAATGGTGAAAAAAAAACTGGAACAAACAAGATCCGGTCGCATAACGAAAATAGATTTTGAAAAAGTGAGAACGACAACGAATGATGCTCAGGAAAAAAAAGGAATGAATTTCAAGATAACAATAGAAAAGAAAAAGACAAGTGTTGGGCGAACATTTTTCCAATCATTAATCTTGTTTCGTATGATTCATTTTTTTTCTTCATCATCATCATCATCATCATCATCAACATCAACATCGTCTTCGTCCATTAACAAGTGAATGTAAAAAAAAAAAAATAAAATTCAACCATAGAAGAATAACCAGAATCATGTATAAGGATAGATAGATAGTGTTACAAAACAAGCAAGCATTCGTAAAGTTAAAGAATTGCAAAATGATTTTGACTGTGTCTGTGTGTCTGTGTGTGTTGTTATCTTATATATTCGAACGAGAAAATTTTGTTTTTTCTTCTTCATCATATATGAATCGAAAATCTATTCACAAAATCACAAGTTTACAAACAACAAAACAGGAAATTCATTCATCTAGCAGTAAAAAAAAAATGTATACATTCGACAATGTGAAGAATGGAAATGAGAAAAAAACATTTTCATTCATCGTCACTGTTTTTGTCGTTGTTGTTGTCGATGATAATAATGATGATGATGATGATGGCCTATTTATATATTATGAACTTTGATTATCATTATCATTATCATTGGCAATTGATGATTATAATAATTGTCAAATGCAATCATAAATGCTGGTCATTTGATTTATATTCGTTGATGATAATCATCATTGGTATTTATCATTTCAATTCTATTTTTGCTGCTTTTTTTGACCAATTCTTAATAATAATGTGTTTATTTTGATTATAATTCATAATCAAATAATGATGATGATGATGATGATGAGAAAACAATAGAAAAATGAGTAGTAATGATCTAGTTCCAGTGAAAAAAAGATAAATTTTTTTTTTATAGAAAGGATGGATAGTTGGAACTTACCCTTAGGCGTTTGTGATCTAAAATGAATTTAGAATTTGAATTCAAAAACATGTCAACATTTCGCCAATAGTTTTTTCTTTCTTTTTTTCTGTTGCCATCATTAATATTAATTTCATTTTTCTTTTTTTTGTTTGTTTGTTCAATGATATTTAGAATTCAATCGGATGAAATATTCATGGCTACTCATACGGGTACTCATATGGATGCACCGAATCATTTCGGTGGAAAAGATAAATGGTCTATTGCCGATATACCATTAGAGAATCTTATTGAACGTCCATTGGTCATTGTTGATGTTGTTGGTCAATCACAAAGTCAACGTGATTATCAAACGACTGTTGATGATCTTATGGAATGGGAACAGAAAAATGGTCCAATCGAATCCGGTTCAGTTGTTATTATACGTACGGGTTGGTCAAGATTTTGGCCAAATAAACTGGATTATTTTGGTACTGATACAACCGATGATAAATTGGCACATTTTCCCGGATTACATCCATTAGCTGCTCGTTGGTTAGTTGGAAAAGAAATAGTTGGTGTCGGTATTGATGGTCCTTCAATTGATTGTGGCCAATGTAATGATTATATGTCACATGTTATTCTAAATGAAAATAATATTTACATTTTGGAAAATTTGGATCAATCTATATTCGATATAAATCCAGTCGGTGCAACATTAACTGTATTACCAATGAGATTATCAGATTCAAGTGGATGTCCAGTAAGACCAATAGCACAATTTTCACATGATCATCATTCAATGAATGATGGTCATATAATAAAATCATCATCATCAATCATCATGATGATCATATTAATTATCTCAACATTATTTTTATAATTTGTCCATCAGATGGCGAAACTTGTCATCATCGAACAATTCCATATAAAAATCTTTTTCTTTTTGAAAACTTCATTTTTGTATAGATATTTTTAAAAAAAAAAATTTTTTTTTTTATTAAAAGAATTTGATTTCATAAAAAAAATTGTCATTGCAATTACAATTGTATCTATTCTAATTAGATCAATGATTAGAGAAAAAAAATGTGAGCAAAAAGAGAATGTTCAAAGAGAAAAAAAAATGATTGACAAGATTTGTTTACACCTATATTTGTGTGTTGCCAGAAATTTTTTGTATATTTGTATTTTGTGTAATCGCGATTCCATGATGAGCAAAATATTTTTTTGAAAACTATTTACAATGGATCAAATCAATTGATTGATGGCAATAAAAAATTGAAATAAATATATCGATTTGAAAATATGAAAAGAATAGAAATTGAAATTTTTTTTTGTTTGTTTGTTTGTTAAAATACCCAATGATTATTCTGTAATAATGGTGGTAATGATGATGATTATAGATGTTTTGTTAATGAAATTTTTTGTTTTTTTTTCCTATTTACAGGTAAACTTATCGATGCCATTCAGCTAGACAACAGTTTGATGGATTTTGTTGTTGTTGTTGTTGTTAAAGTTTCATGGATCAAGATCTGGACATACAAAATGGTAATCAGATTATAGACATTTTTTTTCGATTGAAACAAAGAATTAAAGAGATCCAAATATTTTTCAGATGGCCCATTACATATACATGCTAACAATACACCAAACAACAATTATCAGCCATGTTCAGCAATCATATTCAGCTATATATATCAACCATCACCATCCCAATCACCACCACCACCACCACCATTACCAAACAATCAATGGTCATTTAAATAAAAGTATAGTTATATCACCAGAATATTTAGATTATCATGATGATTATCAAAAAAGTACAATCAAGATAAATGAGCAGACAGAAAATTTGTTACATTATATCGAATTAAATTAAATTCAATCATCATAATAAAAAAAAATGTTACAATTCCCATTCCCCATAATCATCAAATCATCGTAATAACCACAATGAAAATATGGTAATCATTATTGTTGTTGTTGTTAATAACTTACAATTTTCCATTGTCATATTTACTGAATTTGATGAATCAGATTTTATATGATCATTGAAAATTTCATCCGTTTCAGGTATACCATGCATACGCCATTCACTTTCATTCATCGATAATTCTGAATTGGTTAGTGCACTTGCAATCGGTTTTGTATTACCAATACCGAAAAATGAACGAAGATTTTCCGTAAATGAACTTAGATTACTACTACGTTTTTTTGTTGGACGACGTTTCAATTTTCGACTTAATGATTGACAATCAAACCACCATTGTGATGTTTGTCTTGGGAATGGTGGTTTTGCACGTGTATCGATCTATACAAAATATGAATTGTAGTAAATATATCAATCAATTAAATGAATTTATAAAAAACTATTGTAAATTACCTCAAAATCAATATCATTGAATCGATAATACAATGGTCCTTTGAAAAAATATGTCATACCATTCTCCCAACGGAATGCAGCATCCACACGTGTTGGTATACCATTCCAATTTTTGATCGATTTTGGATATTGTTTCGATACGGGTGGTTCATTTTTCGAATCAAATCGCCAATATTCATTTCCTTTGAAAAAATATGTCTTTCCATTTCCTCCCCATACGAATGCAGCATCAACATTGTCTGGTATACCAGCGAATCCAGTGTTAATCAATTTCGGATATCCTTTATCCATTCTCATGTTTTTGAATCGCCAATATTTATTTCCCTATTTTGTGATATATTATCAATTTTTTCCATTGAAATATGTAAATTGAACGAAACGAAACAAATTCATTGAATTTAATGATTATTATTAATGGAAAAATAAAATATAGGATACAAACCTTGAAAAAGAATGTTTTTCCATCGGCCCATGTTAATGCTGCATTAAGATTACCGGCTAAACCATCCCAATCAGCTGATATACGACGTGGATAACCATCGGCAATACCCGATGATTCAATACGCCAATAATATTCTCCTTTAAATACGTATGTTGAACCATCAGCTATACGCGTAACAGCATCAATACCACTATCTTGACAAAGATCTGGTCCATCACCGGATGGATCTGGTTCTGATGGTCGACGCGAAGATGTTTCTGTTGATGATTCATCTTCATTATCATCTTTATAACCATATAATGCTTGTATGGCTAGAACATCATCTTGATGTAATTTAAATTTCGGTTTATATTTCTGATAAAATGGTGCCATTAATGAATCACGAACACTACTATGTCCAAGACCTAATGAATGGCCCAATTCATGTGCGGCAACTTGAAATATGTTTGTACCTATTGATATAAAATTCAAAACAAAAATAAAACTGTTAATATTTTTTCCATAAGAAAAACAATCCAACAAACCAGAATATGATGAAACAGTCCAATGTTCTTCATTATCAAAATGTGCATCACCACCATATTGTGGAAAATATGCATGTGCAAGTGTATTACCGGGGCCATCAAATGGATCACCATCCCCATGTTCACCGGAAACAAATCTAATATCAATATGAACACGACCTTCTTTTTTTACTTGAAAATTTAATGGTGTAACTTCAGCCCAAACATGAAATGCACGAGCAATTTCACGATCAATATCACTTCTTTTCAGATTCATTTTTGATGGATATTGTGATATACGATATGTTAGATCGGTTCGTCGCCATTTTGAACCTTTTTTTATGTGAAATTATTTTGTAGTTTTTGACATGACAATGAATATAGTTGATAATTATCCATTATAAAGATGATGATAAACAACAACAACAATAATGATTATCATTAATCTGAGATGAGAAATATGATAATGATGATAACCTTACCTTGTAATGCATAACGTTTACGACGACGTCTAGCTTCTTCACCATGGCCAACAAGATCTTTATTGCCGCATCTTGGAGCATTCATCATTTGAATTGTTTCCTCATCAAGGATGCCTAAAAATGATGAAAAATTTTTCAGTGAAAAATAAAAATTCCAGAAAGAAAAAAAAACAATCATATTTGTCAATGAAACAAATGATTGATCAATCATACCCGATTCATTTATGCCGGCAAAACGTTGAAATTCCATCACAGCATGTGAATAAATATTTTCCGAAATAAGATGTGATGATGCTGAATCTTCACTTTCATTCATATAACCAAATCGTTGTAAGTAGCTCTAAATGATAAAAGTAGAAAATAATTATCACATCATCATGTGTAAAATCAATGTTTTTAAAATCATCAAAAATTCATAAAAAACAAAATATTTGATAAAAAAAATTTCATTGTCATTTATTTTGATAGTTAATTTATGCATTTTCGGAAACGAGAAAAAAAACAATGAAAATTTCCACTTAAAATGGATTTAACCTTGATTTGTTTCGAAAAAAAACAGCCACCATCCTTCCAGTCATCATCATCATCATTGAGGATGTGACATTAACCTTTTTTTTGTGAGAAAATTTTTTTTTTTTTTGTTCATTATTTTAAAATGATGAGTGGTCACATTATAACTTTTGTGTGTGTGAATGTGGTCGATTGATTGATGTGATGATTCATATTTTTTTTTTTTTTTTTTTTTTTTTGGTTTGTATTATTATACACTTGACAACAACATTCCGATTGCGTTTTTTGACCCTTGTGCATGTGTGCGTGAATGTCGAGTGGGTGAATTAAATGTGAAGAAAAATAGTAAAAACGTCGATGACCTTTCAGTGAATCGACAAATAAATCATGACTAACTCTCTAAATAAATGGCCAACGATAATCTTGATGATGAAATCAAGATTATTAATGTAGATTAATTAATAATATATATCATAAGACATGAAAGAAATTTTTGAATTCTTTAATGAGAGAATAAGCAAACATTTTTTTTCGCTTCATCTTCCGTTTTTGAAATGAATTCTTTACAATGATGATGATGATGATGTTCACAGACAACAAGTGAATAACTTGATATGCCAATCAATCAAAAAAAAATGAAATGAAATGTGGACATTGCAAACGATCATGGCAATAATAATAAATAATGATTGGCTTTATAGCCATATCGTTTTAATTTTTTTTTTTAATTTTCATTTTTAACCCTTTCACTCGTATGGATAGTGATAGTATGAAGAAGGATTAGATCACCATCATTGTTATATATGAATCCGGTCGATAATCCCTAACCATCAACAAACAAAGATCACCGACCGATTCGCTTTCATGATGATTTACGTGACTATTATCATCATCATTATCTTTATTATCTTTTTTTGTTGTTGAAATTCGCCAAACCCTTTTCATCATTATTATCATCATCATCATATATAATGACCTTGAACCACTTAAACTTAAACTTGAACGTAACAGTTATATGTGAAAAAAAAATAAAAATATAAATAGTAAAAAAAGGTTATTGTACTCTCCCTCTCTCTTTCCTTAAATGATTACTTTTACCCCTTTTTTCGAAAAAAAACATCATCATAAATGAATCATCATCACATAGATTTTGATGTGAAAATTCAATTTCTTTTTTTTACATTTTATGAACAAACAAAAGAATGTTATTTTTTTTGCACTTCCTTGTTTGAATTTTTCTTTCCCAAACAACAGGTTGTAATTATTTACATTTTATCAATCATCAATCATTCATCATCATCATCATCATCATCATGTGTTTGGATTTTATTATTATTTCAACACACAAACAAACAAAATTTTCAAGAATTTTATTATTTTGTTTCAAAATTATTCATTTTTTCCTTATTTATTTATTTTTATTTTTCCAGAATTTTGTTTTTCATGGAAAAGAATTTTTGTTGAAAACCAAAAAATTTTTTTTTTTCGTGCAGGAAAATCCACACATCCAGGATTCTCTGTTTTGAATTCAATTTCAAGTTCGAGGGCAATCCATACACACACACACATACAAATTGGAAGGAAAATTTTTTTTGTTTGTTTGTTTGTTCGACAATGAAATTATCATAATTATTGTGGGCAAAAAAAACGTTGATCAAGTGTACAGGTACCGTATATAGATATCAACCTTGGAGAGAGAAAAAAGGCATTGAATTCATGAATTCATTTTCTTGTTGTTGTTGTTGTTGTTGCAATCCTGGATCAATCCATGGATGATTATCGATTGTATCGATGGATCTGACATTGACATTTTTTGCCTCATTGATCTCTCTCTCTCTCTCTCCTTGTGTGTATGTGTAAGTGTATTGGGCATCCTGAATCGATATGAAATTGCATAATTAATTAAAATGAATTTAGATTCAATAATAATTTTTTGTTTCCATCAGAAAAAAATAAAATCATTGCATGGATGAAATGATGATGATGATTATTGTTTGTATGATGGTAATTTTAACACCAACAGCAAAAAGAGAGAGAGAGAGAGAGATAGAGATTGAAAAAAAAGAACTAATCAAACCACCATTTGCAAAGATGATGAATGTCAAAATTGTCAAACCAAACTGTTGTTTACATTGAAATGAATAAAGAAAAAATTAAGTGAAAAAATGGAAATTATCATCATCATCATCATCATCATCATCAATTGACGAATGATGACGACCATCATCATCATCAATTTTTGTCAATTGGTAATTTCTATTCCGAATAAAAAAAAAATTACACGTCTGGAAAAACATACATTCACGTTTTTTTTGCAAACAAATGTACAAACACCACCACCATCATCATAGATGATAATTATGATGGAAATTTAAAAAAAAATGAAAAATTTACAAAAATTTGATTTTAGACTGATTTTAGAAGAATTTGAAGATAAAGCAAACCAAAAAAAAAATGAAAGGAAAAAAAACTTACCATTGCACCGACATCGGATGAGATAAAACGTTTTCGACGATGGCTATGATAATTTGTGGTCATATTTTTCACCATCATCATCGTTTGAAGATCATCATCATCATCGAAATTATGATTAAATTGTATTGATAATTTTGAATTTAAATTATTATTATCATCATTGTTGTTGTTGTTGTTGGCAGGAGGAGCTGCATTAATTATCACCATTGAGATCATCATCATCATCATCAGTATTATGATCATCACAAATATTGAATGACTAAATAGTAGCCCACTATTAAATGGCTTGATATTACATTTTGAATTAAATTTTTGTTGCCACTGTCGTCGTCGTCGTCGTTGTCGATGGATCGATTGAATTCGATCATTATTTGATAAAATTGAAAACATGTTTGTTATATATATCCAATTTATTTTGGTTGATAATTTTCAAATGTTGAAATTCGTTGATTATCACATACACACACGAATACAGAAGGCACTTTGAAATCTACAATTTCGATTTTTTACTTGATAATTTCGAAATTCTAATTCATCCAAACCGAAAGGAACAACAATAACGGATTTTATTCATTCACATAATACATGTGGTATTTATAGCAAATCGAATCAATGTTTCAATCATCGTAGATGTGATGTTGATGAAGGAGAATATATAGAAGAAAAAAAAAATTCGGGTTGGGTTCTCATGACAACGATGATAATGATCATTCATAAAAGAAAAAATTCACTGTTGTTGTTATTGCTGGTGCTGTAGTCAGGTTGGTTTGTTCGTTGTTGATTTTCGTATGACTAATCTTATGATGCAGTAAATAATCATGAAAGAATCGGTTATTCATTCATTCATAGAAGACGAAAAGAGAAACCAGCCCCGACATTTATAAACGATACCTATCGGCTGACCGATGACCCAACCAACATTGAATGATATGACCAATTACACACACACACACACACACACACACAAACAAACAAACAAACAAAAAAAAGCCGATCAGCTAGATTGAAAATGATCACAAGGAAGCAATGATGATGAAATTCAAAAAAAAAAAAACGTTAAAGCGAAGACTAGCGGAAAATATTTGCGAGAAAAAAACAAACAAACAAAAAAATTCTTTCTTCTTCAACCGATCGATAAAGAAGATTCATCGAAAAAGATTACCAATTCGATTTGTCATTTCAAATTTAAAATTAATTTAAATTCATTCATCATCATAATCATCACCATAATGTTCTGTTTGTCAATCAATTTTTGACGTTCAATCATTGAAAAACATTTTATTAACACATTATTGTTGTTGTTGTTGTTGTTGTTTGATTCGTTGAACGTTATCATTATTTTATTATTATTATTGTAGACAAAAGCAAAAAAGAAAAAACGATGATGATGAATTCTACCAATACACTAGATATATGATTAATAATTGACACAACAACAACAACAACAACAACAACAACAAAAACAGTAAAAAAATAAAGGAAATGATGATTCAATTTGAATTCATGAATTTCATTTCTAAATGAAATGAAATAAAATTATCGGAAATGAATCTTTCTCTCTCTCTTATTCTATCCATTGGTAGCATTATTGTCATAACAACAAATATTGATGTAGTAGTGGTGGTGATGGTGGTTGATTGGTTGGTTGGTTGGTGGTCGATAGATAATTATTATCAATTAAAATTCATTCATTTAAACACACACATAGACAATTGATTATTTCGGTATAGTGAATATATATTGATTGATTGATTTCGAAATTCTGTACCACTTGTTGTTGTTGTTGTTGTCGTAGTTTTTTGATTTGAATCATTCATTATCACCATTATTATTATTATTGTCTTTTTCTTCTTTATTATCATCATTTTCATCATCTTCATCATCATCATCATCATCATCATCATTCATTTCAAGGTACTGCATATTCATTCGATCGAAACCGATAAAAAAACATAAAAATCATTATCATTATCAACAAACAACAATTGATTTTTATAAATGGAAAATTGTTATTATTATTCAGTTAGTCATCAAATTTTTCTCTGGTTTTATGTTCAATGTTTTAGTTGATAGTTAATGATGGTTGATGATGATCATTCGACCGGCACAACACACAAAACGAATAATGAATGTGGATGAATCCAAAATAATTGTATCATATCAAAAATGGAATGATCAAAAAAAAAAAATTTTTTTTTCAGAAACATTTCTTGTTCGTTTGTTTGTTCTGTAAATGCTGTAAATATTATATGGATTATAACAAGTTAAAACAAGTTTTTTTTTGTTCGGAATGAAAGGATTATTGAATGTGTGAAAAGGATTTGAAATGTAAAGCACAAGCGCACATGTTCACATTATCATTGAAATTTGAGAGTGGAAAATAATGCAATGCCGGCCCCACCAATTGAATGAAAATGAAAAATTTAAAAAAAATCAATCATCCGCCATGAATGATGATGCCAAATAGGAAAATAATAATCGTTGAAATGATGAATCAAATTTTTTTTTTTTTTTTTTTGATTTTTTAAAGTTTCAAGTTCCAAAAATAAATAAATGAACAAGGATTCTGTAATAATAATGGTGATGATGATGATGATGATGATGACGATTACAGACAGACAGACAATATTTTACAACGAAATAACACAACAACAAGAAGAAGAAGAATGAAAAATCATTGTCGATCAATCCATCAATCACAACGAATCATATTTAGCTGTCATCATTTATTCAGGTACAAATTCACGGTTGCGATGGCCATCATCATCGTCATCATCGATTACAGCCATATGATTGTCGTTGTCGACTACAAGATAGTATAGCAAACAGCACATAGTACATGGAGCATGTTTGGACACCTGTGTGTGTGTGTGTGTGTGTGTGTGTATGCGTCTGTGGTTGCCGTCATCATCGTCTACCTCGAATAATGATGATCTTTAAGTAGTAAGAACTGAAAAAAAATATATTACTTTAATACACGTGCACACACAAGAACACAAACTTTTATATATATAATTGTACGTGCACGTAGATCATTCAAAATTAAAGAAAAACACACATTAGAAAACTTTTTAAAACATGGATATGTGTTTGTCATATTAAAATGAATATATATAAATAAAAGGAAAAACGAATCGTATCCGATCCAATCTGATTGAAAGACTAAAAACAGCAACAACAAGTCAATCACTAAAGTGATTTTCGTTTCACTTATTTCAAATTTGAATCTTTGATTAAAAAAGATTGTGTTCCGCCCATATAAAACGTGCGTACTATTGTTTCTTATGTGTGTGTGTGTATGTGGCATCAATGGATTATCATGTTTGGAAGGCCATACTGATGTGTGTGTGTTCCGTATTAACGATGTAAGAAGCGGAAAGAAATTCAAAGACAAAAACAGACACACACACACACACACACAATTAATATGCAATTGATGCATAATACAATTGATTGAAATTTCTTTTGATTTTTTTTTGGCCATTGGCATCATTTTTATTGTTATTACATGATTTTTTGTTTTCGATGATGAAAGAAAATTTTTTTCTTTCCCATTTTTCTGTTTCTCTCTTCATTGATCATCGATGAATGATGGTGATGTAAAAAAAATTTTGATCTATCGGTTGGTTGGTTTGTTTGATGAAGAATTTCAGAATTTCAGAATTTCATTTGTCATACAACGATCGATTTCTTTTTCTTCATTGAAACAAAACAAAAAATCAAAAGATTGGAAATAAAGTTTTTTGTTGTTTTGTCATTTTTTTTGAAAATCAGAAACAATTCTTCCGATTCTTTGATTCATGATTCGCCTGACCAATGTGATGTGGTCAAAAAAATTTTTTTTTGTTAAAACTTTCCTTTTTTAAGTATTTGTTCTGTTATATTATCGAGAATTTAAAAATTCGATTCTGATATCGACAGATTGTTTTTTTTCATTGATTCGAATTCTTCGATTCAAAGTTTTCATTTTTCTTTCTGGTTGAAAAAGTTTTTCAACTTTACATGAAATAAAAATTAATCGATTGAATTCAAATGTCATCGAACAAAATTGAGGTTTGTTTTTTCTTTGTACACGAATCAAAACAAGAAAACAAATTCAATCCATCAACAAAAAAAAATCAAAATCAACTTTTCAACAAACTAGCCAATGCTTATGTTTCTCAAAATGAAATCTTAAAAACGCCAAAATAAAAAATCAGGTAGGCGTTATGATTGTTTGTGTGATGGCAAACAAACAATGGCAGAATCAATCATATTTCTTTTTTCAATAAAAATTTGAATAAATTTCAATTTTGTGTTTGAAAATCCAAAAAAAAAATTGAAATCAAGTTTCACCAATCATCGATAGATGGCGACGAAAAGATTGTAAAAAAAAACAAAAAATTTTCTCACTTTCCATCATCATCATCATCATTAGTAGATTATTATATGACAAAATCCATTCGATGATCACATTTGAAAGTAAATCAAAATTTATTGTGAAAAACAAAAAATAAATAACTGCCGGTCATAATATTTGGACACATCATCATAATCGATGATGATGATGATGATGATCGAAAGTCAAAAAAAAAATACAAAATTCGAATCGATTTTTGGAACCTGTGTGTGTGTGCCATCACAACCATCAGCATCATCAAAATGATTTGCTGCGTTTGTGTCGGTCATTTTTTTTTTTTTTTTTGTTTTCTCATCATTGTGTAGACTCATCGTACCACAACAAAAAAGTTAATGATTTTTATTGATTTTGGTACCAAAATTCATCCATCCATCCATGTGGCATCACATTCACATTTGTTGTTGTTGTGGCCAAGACAATTTTGTTATGAAGAGAGAGAGAGAGATAGAAAAAACCAAAGGAACCAGAATTCTTCTTCGACATTTTTTTTCGCTCTTTCAAAACAATTGTTCCAAATAAAAATAATAATAAAAAACAGGCATTTGTCAAAGTTTTCTTTGCAAAAAAAAAAAGAAATGAAAATCATCATCATTGCTCGGCATGTGGTGTATCATCATCATCATCATCATTTCGTGTGATGGGGCGTTCATATACACCCATACACCCATTTGATGGTTCGATTTCTGTTAATTTTTTTTTTTTGTTGTTGTCATCATCTTCATCATCATCATCTACATCGTTTGGTATTGATTGATTTCAATGTTTTATATATTTTTTTGAAAAAAAAGAAAGAGAAAAAAAATTCTCTTGAATTTCAATTTCGATTTAAGGTTTTTTCTTCTTTTTCTTCTTATTCTCATTCGAACAAATAATTTTCAATCGAAAATCGATCCGAAAAAAAAAATTTTTCTCTTGTCTTGTTTGGATCGATTCCATTTCGTTTTTTTTTTTTTCATTTTTGCTTTTGTTG